GTCAGAACTGACCACGCCGCATTGCGGTGGGTACTTAATTTTAAGAACCCCGAGGGTCAGCTGGCGAGGTGGATTGAGGTCCTATCTCAGTATGACTTGGTCATTGAGCACAGGAGTGGCAAGAAGCATGGTAATGCTGATGGGTTGTCGAGACGGCAATGCAAACAGTGCGGCCGTGAGGAGGTGGTCAAGGAGGATGAGGCAACTGGTGTAGTACCCGAGGTTCAGCCTCCGGGGAGTGAGTTTTTGGTTAGGGGCGTAGCTGCCCAACCAACCCTGTCTCGCAGTGCTTTAAAGGAAGCACAGTCACAGGATGACACCATGAGTTGGCTCATGAAGTTGAAGGAGGACGGTGATAGTCGTCCTGAGTGGAAGACGGTCTCGCACTTGTCGGCAGCCTGTAAGACCTATTGGTCACAGTGGGACCAGTTAGAGGTCCGGGAAGGAGTTCTGCATAGGAGGTGGGACTCCGACGACGGCAAGTCCGTCCGGTGGCTGTTGGTTTTGCCACTGAAGTTTCGGAAAGAAATTCTGTCGGAGTTGCATGGTGGGCAACTGAGTGGTCATTTGGGGGTCAGCAAGACTCTGGCCAAAGTCAAAGCCAGGTACTTCTGGCCAGGCATGTCTGCGGACGTGCGGTCTTTTCTCCGAGGTTGCAATGTCTGTGCCAGGAGAAAGTCTGCTGCTAAGAAGAGGGTTGCGCCCCTACAGCAGTATCGAGTTGGTGTTCCGATGGAGCGAGTAGCAATAGACTTGCTCGGGCCATTGCCCGTCACGGACAATGGTAATCGTTGGGTGTTGGTGGTTGGCGACTACTGCACTAAGTGGATGGAAGCATTTCCACTTCCTGACGCTACTGCGGTTACAGTCGCGCACACTTTGGTGACTGAGTTTGTTTGTCGATTCGGGGTGCCCCAAGAACTTCACTCTGATCAGGGCACAAACTTTGAGTCAGAAGTGTTCAGGGAAATGTGCCAAATTCTCGGCATTTCGAAAACCCGGACAACCGCCTATAATCCGAAATCGGACGGCATGGTTGAGAGGTTTAACAAAACCTTGGTCAACATCGTGGCGATGCTCCTTGACCCTAGGCGTAGGCAGAAGGACTGGGATGAGTTCCTCCCCTTTGCGACCTTCGCTTATAGGTGCACGCCGCAAGACTCAATTGGGGAATCGCCCAACATGATGATGTTGGGGCGAGAGGTGAGTGTCCCAGTGGATCTGGTGACAGGGTGTCCTGAGATTGAGGTGGAAGCCACTGCAGACTTCGCTGAAACATTGCGAAGTAATATGCAGGAGGCCCATAATAGGGCGAGGAATTGTCTCGGGAAAAGTGCCCGGAGGCAAAAGAAGAATTTTGACAGGAGAGCGTCTCAACATGGGTTGAAGGAGGGCCAATTTGTGTGGCTACACAACCCTGCAAAGAAAAAGCACATGTCCCCCAAGCTACAACTTAGGTGGGAAGGACCATGGCTTGTTGTCAAGAAGTTGTCAGATGTGACGGTTCGTATCCAGCTTAAGCGTAATGGCAAGCCAAAGGTAGTCCATGTAGACCGACTAAAACCGTATGTCGGTGAGGCAATCGAAACGTGGGATTGTCAGTCCGGGGAACAGGTGACAGAAAGCCTCCCCATGGATGAAATCCCCGAGGTTCAAGATGACAAAGAGTCGTCTGAGGAGTTGGCTGAAGTGGCCGAAAATGAGGTTCCTGTGGAGGATTCCATCACTGAAGATTTGAGTCCGGGTAGTCCAGCCGATCAGTCAGAACGGCAGGATGAGTCAGCACCAAGACGGTACCCAAGACGGGCCCACAAATTGCCCCTGCGGTATCGTTAGAGTCCAGATTTGTTGTTGAGGTCGTCCAAGGGATGAAGCTCCAGTATCCCCTGTTTCGTCCCCCGCATCCTCCATTCCCCCACTGGAAGAGGTGGCGAGGCAATCCCAGCCACGCCCCGAAGTGTCCAATTCCAGAGAGACATCCCCCCTGTTGAAGATGAGGACGGCAACTGTGCGGGTCCAGTCATCATCTCAGACGTGGCCGGATGGCAACATCATCGTCTCCCGAAGAGAACTACCGGATGAGCTGCAAGCAAATGTCCGTTGATGAGAACGGGCGTCCCGTCGAGAAGTGAACGACGTGTTCCAGTTTAATGTATTTTTTTTGTTTATCTATGTTTCTAAAGTTTTCTAAAGTTTCTAAAGTTCTTAGGTTTTAAACAGTTCTGAAATGTTTCTTAAAAGTTTTGTTGAAAGTTTCATAAATGTTTTTATAAAAGTTTATTGTCGGTAAGGAAAAAAAAAGTGTATTTATCTAATGGAAAAATTCGTTGTTTAAACTCTGTAAAATTTATCCCAGTTAAATCATGTAAAATTCAATTTGCGAAAATCTTGCCATCAAAATTAGTGTACATTTCATCAGTCTAAAATTATCCGTAAATTTCAGCTTTAAATCTGTGTAAAATAAGTGCAAATTTCCCCTAATTTCTTGTGAATATTTAATGAACTAAAATTTGAGCCAGACGAGTATAAATTTCCTTAAATTTCTTGTAAATATTTAATGAGCAAAATTTTGATTCAGATGCTGTACGATAATTACCTGTGAAATCTTGTGAATATTTAATTAGCAAATTTTGGTGAAGTTGGACATGTACATGGATTCTCGACACGTTGTACTGTGCACTTACAATCTTGTGCATATTTAATGAGCTGAATTTGGTGTTCTTGCACATGTGAAAAATTTGTACATGTAAGTTACATGTAGGTAGGGTACATGTTATATTTTGCACATGTTAAGCACATGTACACATGTAAAGTACATGTGAGGAAGGTACATGTTATATTTTGTGAATATTTAATGAACTTTAATATCAGCTTCCTCTCTTATGTTTTCTTTTGAATTTCAAAGATGAAGTTAAACTTTATGTTTTCTATTGTAATTCAAAGAAAAAGTTAAGCCTGATGTTTTCTTTTGAATTTTATGGATGAAGTTAGGCTTTAAGTTTTGTATTGAATTATTTTGAAGATGTTAAGATGTAGTCACACTTTCCTTTTATTTTTGTATTATGGCTTTAAAGTATGGGGACATCCTCTGCCATGCTCGGGCCCTTGTGGCGGAAAGTGTTTAGTTGTGACGTCATACCATAGCACTAACGCTTAATCACTTGTGTGCAGTGACCGGGCGGAGCTTACGAGCTCCGTGGGCTGCTGCGCGTACGCGATTGGCTAATTTTCCCCATAGGTTTAGCGCACCATAGGGTTAGTACACGCACATGGTTTGTAGACATGACGTAGCGTCTACATGTGCCTGGTATATAAATGCGTGCCTGGAGAGCGCGCTCTGTTTAGAAGTTTAGAAGTTTGGGTTTTGGTAGCGTTTTAGCAGTTTGGGTTTAGAACGCGCATTGGTACATGGTTTAGCCTAGTTGTTGGGACTGATTGCTGCTAGTTGTGGAGATCGTTGTTAGGTGAGATACTATAGCTTGTTGAGTGTATAGTTTTGGGGCTCATCTGTTCAGAGTGTTGAGTGCCGGGTGTAGCTGCGACAGCGGGCAGAGAAGTAGGTGAATTACTGGTACCCTGCTTATGTGAAATTGCTTAGGCGATTTGTGTACAAAGTCTGTGTAGCTGTACTGGGGTCGCGCTGGTATGTGTAGCTGAATTCTGGCTTACACGCACGGCGTAGCGGGTACCCTGCTAACGGACTGTATACATTGCTAAGCGGCTGTTGTGTGCTTGTGACGCTGTGTTTGGCTAACTTAGTGATTCATTCCTAGCGCTGTGCATAGTTGCTCATTGCTGCCATTGTTGTCTAGTGCTTAATGCTGTGTTCGTTGTTGCATAGGCAAGCAGCGGGCTATCTCCAGTAACTAAGGACCCTGTTAATAAAACAACCCACCGAATCACATCCTAATTGTTGTACTTGATTATTGTTGAATAAATTACGATCATTGTTGTTTGAGATTACCGACAATTCTGCTTCCGGTGTTTATGTTTACAGGTTTATTGTGCAATTAATTAACAGAGATAAATAATCAACACTTATTCATAATCGGGCGGTAGATTTCCACCAAAACGGACCTGCACCCTTAGCCTTGAAGGTCGCTCTGAGTGATCTCTCGTCTAGGGAAGAGCCTTGGTTTGGGAAGATTGTCTTCACCCCACTAGGAGTCAGACTTATCCTAACAGACTTGGGTTGGCCCGGGGAGTTCCCGCCACATTACTATACTCGGACCCAGTGTGGTTGGACTATGCTCTAGTCGACTATGGGTACGGTTTGCCTGTTAGTTACCAAAAGTTTGCCTGCTAGTTACCATTTTTTCTTCTTTGTGCTAATAGATTTGGTCATGTTACTTACGTACATTTTTTATTTTTATATATGTTTATATATTCAATTTTCTGTATTGTGGGTAATTGAATATTTATGTGCAAACAGAGAAGTAGAATTTCACGCTGCCATGATGAATTTATTTATTTATTTATTATCCACATCCAACAGCAGAAAAAAACCCGCCAATTACAGGACTGAGTTAAAAATAGTGAATGAATAAATCGAATTGAATTGAATTGTAGTTTGCGTGGGTCTGAAAATGGCCCGTAATTGCCTGTAGAAGCAGCGCATGCGCACTAGTTTTACCCCATTTTTTTTGGGGGGGGGGCGATTTTACGAATTTTCCTCGTTTCGACGGGGATCGTGGGTTGTGATAATACGGCGGGTTATCACGTATCCCCTGGACTACTTCGACCCATCTCATCAGTTAGGCCTTACCGGTTTTTATATGGGACGTTAAGTATATCTACTTTTGAGAAATGCAAATAATTTAAAACGGGTTATTTCAAGTCCCAATCAGAAAAGATGAGCAAAATCTTCGGCTGGGAACTTGTAACAGATTTTAGCTGTTTTGTCATTTCAGCCAAATTGCTATTCTTAATTTTCGCTTCAAGTCTGAAGTACCAGAGCATCGTTTGTCAACAGTGTTCCCAGATATGCAAAGAATAATTACCTTGATGCAGAGAGCAACCTCCATCTTTAGTCTTTCCAGCTTTCTCTTGTCCTTCATCACCATGCTGGTTGACTTCCTGGTTCGCCTGATACCGACCACAGTCAAGATAAAGAGGACCGCGTTCGCCATCATCAAAATCGAAATGGGTGTAGCCACCAGCAACAAAGCGCCGACGCCGTAGGGCAGGCAGTGTCGGTAGATCACCAGTGTGTCCCTGCCTGTCAAGAGCAGGCGATGGACGACAACCCAGGCCCCAGATATAATGGCAGGAGCGCCCCATCCGTACACCGAGTACCACATGAAAGCTCGACGAAACCGCCTGGTCTGCATCTGGAGTTTGAAACCGAACGTCCGGGCGAAGTGCAGCGAAACCACGTTGGTCCAGAAGAAAAACGCCAAGAGGAGATAGTGAACCAAGACGGCGAAAGCGAGACAAGAATCCTCATTACTGACAGTGTGTTGACTCAGGGGTGACCCGGGACCAATCAGGAAGACCGTCTGGGTCAGAAACAGGGCCAAGATGGAGCAGAAGAGGTTCTTGCCCGGTAGGGTCCAGAGCTCCGGGAACAGACAAAAGCTGAGTAGACACAGGAACAGGAACAGCTGAGAAATGCTCAGGCAGACTAAAGAAAACACCGCGTCTCCAAGGAAGGAGGGTTCGGCACAATCGAGACACTCGCCAAGACGACACACTACGACCTGATCGTCACTCAGCTGAATATACCCATCACTGGACAGGTTCACACCTGAAGATAAGCGTATGGTCGTATTATCCAGCCAAGTGTACTCGGTGGAATTGAGAATCATCATGGAACAGTTGAGCTTCATTTGACACAAGTACACAAACTCTTCTGATCGCTTTTGAATCTCCAACGGTCTGAACACGACCTCTTGATAAAGGCCATCACTTGGGCATGTTATTTTGTCATCGATATCCACCGTGATGACAACAAAGAGGGACCCATTTAGTTCAAACCTCTCATAGTCGACCCCAAGAGAGTAACTAATCGGCACCTGTCCTAAGCGACCGCACCTATCGACCAGTGATCCCTGCTGATCGAAATTCCTCAGTGATAATGTCTTCAAGAAAATACCCGCACCAGAAAGGACGGGGTCTGACATTATTAAGGTTGAAAAGTCTGATAAAGTCTCTTCAAAGCTCAGCGGAGGAAGTGCGGTAAAAGATAAATTGCAAGGAATGTGCATATTAGCGTCATCTATGAAAGGCGGTACTTGACAATCATACAGATCGAATTCTGTGATAGTTACATTCAGCAGAGTTTGGGTCATGTTCCTCAAAAAGAGCTCAGCCGAACTAATGTATTTGACCAGAGTATGAAAATCCACCTGAAACGATACCAAGCGCGGATCATCCAAGTTCGATACCAAACACCGATCACTCGCAGTGTCCACAGCGACGCATGAGCCATGAGGGCCGTAAGCCTGACCAGGAAGACAGTGAAACCTTCGACATGCTCCGAGCTCAGGATCGAAGAACTCGTACTCGTGTTCGCAGACCACAACCGTGGGGTCACCGTCCAGAGAGTAGCGCATGTCTCGGTGAGTGGTGAAGTCGAAAAGGGCGCTTACAGGGACGAATAATGGAGCCTTCATTTCATCAGAGCCCCGGTAACAAGAGCAACTGCCATCGCAGTGTGGGTTTTTAGCGCACGAGGTTCTCAGTCTGTACGCCCGGCACGCCTCTTCGTATTCACGCTTGGACTGGACAGTGAAAAAAATACCACAGGAAAACGAAATCTCCTCGGAAGGAACAAGTCGTGGCTGGGAAATTCTACCCTTGAACGACTCCGGAGGACCGACAGACTCAAATGTACATCTCCCCACGGAACTGTCGGTCAGACCAACGCGCCTTACCTCAAATGGGCAGTTCAGCTTTACCTGCCAGAACTGTAGGTCTTCGTCCTCCATGCCGTTACACCGGGCGCAGTAGACATTACGGTAATGCAAGCCATCTTGACCAGCAACCGGTACAAGCTTTTTAACATCATTCAAAGTGTCGAACCCACTTGATACGCTCGTGTTCATACACAGGTCATACGTGTCAGTCGTGTGCCTACCTTTCAAGCAATCCTGGACCAGCACGAACTCGGAATAACTATGACCAGGCACGTGAACTAAAGATCGATTCGATTTTCGCGCCAAAATGACGGGCTCCCACAGTGCCTCTAGCTTGCAAGAATACTCGTCGATGAAGCTTTGCGCATGCTCAGATTGCCAGGCCGTGCAAAGGTCACGTACGGTCTCACTGCCATTGGATGACGCCATCCCCGCTTTCCTTAGAGTCACCAAATCTTTGGAACAATTCTTGACCGTCTCTAAGAGCCCATCATCGGCCCACTCTTGGCTAAGTCTGCCCTCCAGGTCGGTGCAGTACAACTCGTAGTCCAGACAGCAATCTTGGTACACCAAGCAATACTCGTCGCAATAGCAGGTCATCTCATAGGTCTGGTTGTGTGGTATAGCCTCGTTGCATCGTCCACAGCACGAGGCATCGGGCGTGATTCTCACTTTAAGCCAAAACAGCGTCACGTTGATGGCATCTGTTAAAAACAAACAAAAAAGGAATCCAGAAAATGTCAATTCAAAGACCGATTAAGAATATAGAGAGCTTTTACAGAGCGCCCTCACTGTGAACTGCTTCGTAGACACGTGGTTTTCTTTTCTTAAGTACATAGTGTATTATTTAAATTAAGTGTGATTTGAGAACAAGGGGGATGTTATCCTCCGTTGTCACTAAAAAATATCCTCTTCACTTCTATCAATGACAGAACTCGAACTGTCGCTAAAAGCATACAGGACGATTTTTGGAATGTAACTTGTCTCTGGAGTTTTGATGAAAGTTTTTGCGACATTTATTCTCAGACATGCATAATGCACATCTGAAATCTATTGGTTTCAATCGCATGTTCATGATGCATGCAGATAACGAATTTTAGCTTACTTCGAGTTGTATTACCTCCGCCAAGGAAGTTATGTTTTCATCGGCGTTAGTTAATTGGTTTGTCTGTGAACATGATAACTCTACAAGATATGGGCGGATTTTCTTGCAAATTGTTTTAGGGTGGTCCTTGGTACAAGCACATATAGATTAGATTTCGGAAGTGATCCGGATCCAGGGTGTTTTTTTGAAAGGATTCTTCACCATTTTCTAGGTGTGAACGTGCTAAAGACAATGAAATTGGGACACCCCCAACAATTAATGGACCCGTCCATTTCTAGCAATATACCCTGCACACACTTTACCAGGCCAGTAGTTTACGACTCTCTCTAGTCTCGTGGCTAATTGCATATGGAGCCTCTGTTTTACGACCCTAATGTAAACACTCGCACACTTAATGAGGGTGACCGTATGTAAATGGCACAATTCTGCTAGATGCACTTGAACAAGTGCAAGTGCACAAAAGGCTCTGGCCGTCTGGCATGAAAGTCTGGCACGAAATCTATCCTTGCCTGACGCGTTGACGTATGTACATGTAGTGTGCATGCATGTCGAATAATAGTAACTGGCTACTTATTCAACGTTATTCAATCTAACCACACAGGTCAATGGAGTAGACCATTTTATACAATGGGGGAGTAGAAAGGTAGCCCAACACAGGAATATACATGTTAACTACAACATGTTTGAGTTTAAGGATTGGCGTTGTGTGTAATGGCGGGAAATTGTTAAGCCTTGGCGGAGATGTGCGCTCTCTGAGTGCTGTCTAGTTTGTGATGTTTAACATCTGAACTTGTTTTTTGTTCAGGCCCATTCACAGGGTCGTCGCTAGAGGGGTGTGACACCCCACCACCACCACCACCACCACCACAACCACACATAGGCGTAGGCAACGGAGGGGGGGGGGGGTAAGGGGGGTACCCACGCTTGTTTATGGTGAAACTCGAGAATTTTCTTTTGTTCCTCTTCCCTTTTCCTTTGTTTATAGCCTACTCCCTAAACATTTTTGCAATAGCTCTCATCGGTTTTGTACATGTTTTCTATCCTGTCCTCAATTCATCGATGTTGCACGTGTGTGTACACGATTTACACCATAAACAAATGTCCATATTTACGTTACAAACCCAGTGTGCCACATTCCTTTGTTTTCGTGTAGTTAAAAAAAAAAATCATTTCACCCAAAGAGTGAAAATTCTTTCGACCCAATTATTGTCGATGATTCCCTTTAATGTTTCTCTTCATTTGACGACGGATAAACCTAACCCACAAATGTTTCTAAACCTGTTTTCCAGAGAGGGGGAACCTTGGGCAGGTCCACACGACGTATCTGGAAACTGGTTTATGCGGACCTCTTTTGTTAGGAAGTCCACACAGTAAATGTAATGCTTGTCCATCTTTGTGATACCGTGGCAAGCGTCCAAAATTACTAAATTCAGTAGTAAAATACGAAACAGGCTAGCCATGGAATACCATGATGGTTACAGCCCGATAGTCTGAAGGTTCGATAGTCCGAAGGTTCTTTAGTCCAAAGGGTCATTAGTCCGAAGGCTTGTTAGTCCGAAGGTTCAATAGACCGAAGGTTCGATAATCCGAAGGTTCGATAGTCCGAAGGGCCCATTAGTTCGAAAATAAAATAAGGTTAATTGATCCTAAGGTTCGGTAGTCCGAATAGACGATAGGGTTCGATAGTCCGAATCGACAGTAAGGTTTTGATAGTCCGAATAGATGATAAGGTTCGATAGTCCGAATATACGGTAGGGTTCGATAGTCCGAATTGAGAATAAGGACTATCGGACCTTCGGACTATCGGGCGGCCCCCTACCATGATACCGTAGAATAAGGACTACCGGACCTTCGGACTATCGGGCGGCCCCTACCATGATACCGTACACCCAAGACGAACAGAGTTAAACCTCAAATTCACGTATCATGCTTTATTTGCAAGACAAACATTTTAAAAATATCCAACAATATTGAAGAACATGAAAATATCGATCTAATTCATAAAGACAATTTTTTTGTCATAATGTTATGTCGGGCCATCATTGGCAACTGGTAAGGCAAAAGTCTTAACATCGCGCTTCTCACCACATTTCTCAGCCACATACCTGTTTGTCGAATACCGTTAGCAACGCCTATCAATGCCACAACTGTCATCAGAAATAAGACAATCCGACAAGAACTAAGTGCAAATTCCATCTTTTGTTCTCTGCTCTCTCACTACTGTTGGTAAGAAAAAAATATCTGTCGTGCCTTTTATAGTCTACAGAATCACCTTGCCCGTGGCCTAGCCAAACCATTTTATATTAATAAAATATTATACCTAACAGCCTTCAAGGTACAGTACACAGGCTACTAAGCGAAATAACTGTCATGAATAGTGTTCATGCATGACGCAGTAATATCACTTACCTCATCATGACGGGGATTACTTTTCTCATTTAATAACCGTTGCACGTCTGTTCTCGTCACGGTATATTGCCTGTCTGCGTTGAAAGACTACCGGTATTTATTTCCCAGTGTTAAGCCCCAGCCACAGGTTTTCGGTTTGGAGCTACGAACACCCACGGTTTACCAAGAATCAATCGATCACGATGAACCGTTGAGAGTCGTGGAGAAATCGACTTTCTAAGAATGCACTACGGTTTCAGGACGGATAGCCACGACTGTCCTAAGTTTTCTCTACATTAATACACCACGGTTTGTCAAGAATATGGACGGATTGGTGAAGAATATCGACGGTATTACTACTGACGTTAACGCCACGGTTGTCTGCGATTGGGCCACAGATGGCCAAGGTTCTCCTACGAATAAAGCGTGGATATTCGTAGTACGACCTTTAACAGCAGAACCCTAGCATATCCAGACATATCCGTAGGACATTCGTAGCGAATTAATTAAGATTTCTACCAAGACGAATCAGTACGGTAGTCCTACAGATGTCCCACGGTTGCACTAAGGATTGATTTGTATGACGTTTCACCCGCACGGAAGTTTTGAATTAAACAGTTTTAAAAATTCCGTAGCCCCTCCACGAATACCCAAGGAAGAAGACGGATAATCGCGGGTGCTAAGGGTGAATACTGAGAATAACTGCACTACTTGCATAATGTTCCATATGCCTGTTTTCCTCATTTGTGACCATAGCTGTCCAAATTAGACAAATGATGTCAGTTGATACAACTCATCAAAATGGCGGTCTCTAGTTAACTTTGCCAGTGAGTTGAGTTCTCTTTAAGTTGTTAGTTCCAAATTCTTTTTTGTTGCTATGTCATGTTCAGTTGATTTTTGTGAACATTATTTTTACATTCAGGAACACGAGGACACACTTTACTTTGTAAAAAAAAATGATATATTTTATTTGATTTATATCGCAAAACAAATTGTCCACGTGAGTGGACGCCAGGCATTCGGACACTGTATTTCTGGATGATTGTATGTATAGATCATAATGTTACATAAGGCAATGGTGCTAATTCCTGCAAGTAATATTGTGAATAAAATTGGTATTGGTGAGTTTTTGGTACTTTTGATGTATGTTGATAACTAATTTGACAGTTTGAATTAGTTTTGTAACCTTTAATATATTTTACAGTATTTTAAATCTTCAGTTTTTGCTCATATCTCCACTTTTATTTGTTTATATGAATATATGAAAGCCCGACGTCCACATATTGTAAATCCATAATTAACAATGCAAATTTTTTGTTGCAATTAATGAGCCTACAGTAACACAAACAAGTGTATTCATTTTAATAGCCAGTAAGTTTTCTCAGGCAATAAATGGTTACGAATGTATTATACAAACACAATGCAACAAAAATAATAAAAGGCACATGGAATATTTTTTTAAAACTATTGTTATAGAACTACCACATCTATTTAACAGCACCGCTATTAAGACTTTTACTATAAATTAAGGTTAAGTGAACACATTGATTGTGTATATACGTTTTAAGCAATCAAAAAATTAAATCAAAATTAATATTAAAAAGTGTATTCCACATGAAGTTCTACGCCTGGAAATTGAATGCCCACAAAATGATTGTTAGATCATCAGCCGCCTTGAGTTCAGCCGTGCGTCAACTGAGCCGACTCGAAGCTCAAATGTTGCTTTTCAGTTCCAAGAAGGGTGGGCACTGATCGCCCCGACCGCGGTGTTTTTATCTGCAGCACACGTCGTCAACGGATCATGATTATTCAGCTAGTTCGATGCTTATTCATAAGAAAATAATAATGACGTCTTCCTTTTTTCACTTACCGCCTGTAGTGCCACTAGCTCCACTTGTCTTAAACTCGTCGCTGGTGGCAGCAAACAAAATAATAACGCAACAGGAAGGATTTTTGGCTGGGGGGGGGGGGGGGGGTGCTACGGTGCGTATATGCCGAAACAAAAATAATCCATTATAAAAACCCTTGTCCTACACATGACGTTATTAACCTTTTGATATTTGCGGTTGAAGGAACCGACCGCTGTTGTCTTTATTTTGCGGGCAAATTCCTAATGAAATTTCATCATAAATATTTTTCAGAGTGTGTTACAAAAAACTGGGACTGTTATAATGAGATAGAACTGATCAGAGGTCGAAATGACTATATGGTTTACGTGTATTGGTAAAGAGAATATAAGTCTCCATACAATACTGTTTGCTGCACTGCAATCGGACATTCAGTTGACAGGGTATGGCTGTTCTGTTATTTCGGTTGTGTACTATTGAACCTAGCAAGCAGTTGTGTAAATAAAAAATGAACAAGTTGTGTAATATTATTTTTACACAAGTTGTGTAAACAACACTTTACACAACAGGTTGCTAGGTTCATATAGTACACAACCGTTTGATTTTTACACAACCCTTAAGTTCGCACTTATCAACATGTCAGGAAAATAAAATACTGAGAAAAAAACGTCTTTTAAGTCTCGAGTTTTGTAGTGAAAATGGAAGGTGCCATTTTTTGGGTAAAACACCTTTACTGCACGATTTTAATACTATTTTGCTTAAATAATGTGTAATAGATAGACCGCTAGACATATCAAAGATTACAAATATCAATAAATCCAAAAATTGACCCCAAAATATTATCCTTATTTGTTTTTTTGTTTTTTGGCATTTTCTTCTAATATGGCTTGTATGCCCAGTTCTGTTGTATTTTGCCAGAACGCCTCATACATACAACATTTCATTAAAATATCATTCAGTTATTAAAAAAACCACCTCTTATAAGACCTCATTTTCTTTTGGAGTTTCGGTTTTATGTTGTTCACCTTTCCCAGAAACAAGGTTTCATACGACATTTCATTAAAATATTATTCAGTTATTAAAAAAACCACCTCTTATAAGACCTCATTTTCTTTTGGAGTTTCGGTTTCATTTTGTTCACCTTTCCCAGAAACAAGGTTTCATACGAAATTATTATTATCTTTCCAGATGGCTAAAGTATCAAGGCTCAGACAGAACGCTCTCTCATGTCGCTGTTCCGCGTAAATGATTTATTTTATGACACTCAATCAAATTAAATTGTAATGTTGTCGTCGGGTGAACACGAAGTGACGAATACGATATTTTTGCCTCGGCATAATTACGATACAGATGGTCTATTAGTGCATCAATGATATCCCACTTCTATACAGCCGACGATATAAGATCTAAAAAGTTAAGTCATAAATTTAGCTATACTTTGAAAGTGATACAATAAAAACTTATACAATACAGTCATGTAAAATTGATAAATTGTAATCGTGTTTGGAGGACGCGATCGAACTAAACCCCTTTGCTTTCAAAGAATACTGCAGCCTCAGTACAATCGAGTGGGCATGGGGCGGGGGGGGGGGGGGGCTCTGTAGGCGCAGCTGGTCGGTGTACATTTGTCCAATGGTAAAACTTTTCATGCCTTTCTTTTCTTTTCCATACATCAATTTATCTGTAAAATTACTCGGATGAAGTTTTTAAGGATGAAGAGACGGTTTTCTAATCAGTGTATGACCCCCTCCAGAATATTAACCCAATACCCCCCCCCCCCCCCCCGCCCGCGAATATTGGATCCAATTTACGCCACCGGTCAAAATGAACACTCTGTTTGTTTTTTTATAGAATCCATTTTCTTCTGCCTTTTCCACATCTGTTGTCGCAAGATTTTAGTTACAGACCCGCGGTTGAAAAAATCCTGGTCATTCCACGTTGCAAACAAATAGTGGTCTATTTACGCATATAAGAGCTATCCAATTTATCCAATATGTACAACTTTGCAGTACATAACCGTTATGGCGTAGGCAAAATAAGGTTTGACCTCACGCAAATTGCAACAGAATATATTACACGGCAGTTATTAACGATTTATGCAATTTAGGCATATTTCCACCACTTGATTTTTTTTAGTATGTCATTCTCGGAACCTTATAGAAATGCACTGTGGTGAAAAAATATATATTTTGCAATTTGTTTGAGGTTCACTTAAAAAAAATAAGTATTTTGCCTGGACTATATAACTATCCTATTATAAGGGATACGTAAAATACCATACTCTGGATCGTGTATTCTGGATCTAGAAAACCCAACAAGTAACAGTCAAGCCTCCGCAACTGTAGGCCCTCATGTTCTTTCAATTAACGTGAAGCCCGCGCTGGAAAGCACGCAAATGATGAATAGAGATGAAGATGAAGTTCTTGCTTCTTGTGGGCTACAACTGTATTTAGGACAACAGCTTAAGGTGATATTAAGCCCAGACCTTGATGATTCAAGCAAAGGTCCATGCTCTCGATTAAGGAACACCGAATCCTATAAAATAAACAATTGTTTCCCTTTTTGTTTAGAAACTAAAGACATCTTGATGATTTTTGAAGCTGAAGCCATAATGCCTTAGACATTTTGGTTGAGAAAATGCCAAGTGTCCTGTGTCCTACATAATGCACATCAGTTCGCATGCCAGTTTAAAAAAATCAACCCGATTTAAAGAGAAGGACAGCCAGGGGGCCCAGGTAGAAGTAGATGAAGTTTTTGGTCTCGTGGGTGACGTAACTGCCGAAGTGCTTGCCCACGATGCAGTGCCAGGTCGGGTTGTAGGACTTGTCGAACTCCTTCTTGATGTAAGCTGCGATGTCCTTCTCCACGTTGAACTTGTCCAGGGCCAGGGTGGCGAAGTGGACCGCCTCGTCCTGCTGGTCCTGCTCCATGTCCGTGTTCTTGACGACCGGCTTCTTGTCTGCTTGGTTCATCGTGGGAGGAAATACGGGTCTCTATAGGGAGCAAAAGAGAAGATTTACTTCATACTTTCTTTGAGCTCTCATTGGATGCATTTTGTAATAATTAGCCAGTGGCACAGAGCCAGAACGTGCGTGCGAAATGCACATTATGTAATGAGAAGCGGCCTAAATGCCTGCTTTTCCGGTTTTCCTTCATAGGTTTTTGTCAGCACCGTGTCAAGCTTTCTATGCCGGGGGAGGGGGTGTTGGATTATGACTTTACTGTATCGACATCTGAACCGTCTTAAAACCGTTAATGCGTAAATCACAATCAAAATGCCGCCAGGGGGCATTTTGCTATAGTTGTTAAACAGAAGTAGGCCTTGACAGTCCCAAATTTACACACAAAATGTGGATAAACGGTTATGCTGAGAAGCTCAAATTATCTGTTGTGTTGTACAAAGTATTACAAATCTAAAGACTGTTGATACCAACTCATCGTAAATCACAATCATTGGATCTTATATACGTTTTACTCACCTTGGATGATCTTTTTTTCCAGATACGTCAATTGCCCAAAAACTGTCGTCTTGTTTGTGTTTTACTTGTCAAAGACTGATGACAACTGAATAGGTGGCGCACAACGACTCAAAGCAGCTCCTTGCTTCATTGGGTGGATGCAGCGTGAGATATCATCCGTTTAAATACACTCTCGAGGAAATTGGCAAAGTTGCAGATCCCGGCGGAAATAAAACACCATTTAACACGAAAACTGTCCGCGCGTCACTGATTGGACGAATCTTGCTCGTCCTTGTCCACGATTGGCCGATATCTCCGATCCATCCGTACGGTAACTTGCTCCGTTTAGCCAAGGCCGGTGTCATATGAAATATGTGCTCCTATGAAATCTGGTCTCTTTTACCTTATATGGACTGTAACCCTGACACGTGACCCCTCACTGTTGTATTTTATCTTCATTTACGCATGCGCAATATTAAGTCCGTAAAATAATTGCAGTCCAAGTTTCACACTACACCGGCCGTTCAGCGTGGGAACTACGTTCCAAGGACCAGTGTGTCAACACGAGAGGTGCTATCCTTGAGTTTTCAACCCAGCAGAGAAATTCGCGTCACAATGGCATTCCTCACCATGACAATGGCCTCGCTAGCTTTTGCTGTTTTCGTTGTTTGCCACGGTCGGGTGAACAAACCGCACATCGCAAGTGAATGAACAAGTAGTTTATTCTGATCTTAAGTTCACTTGTACTTAATAACAGTTTCATAAAATCTGATTTGTTGAAAAATACTATAGATGTTAAACGTTTTTGAGTACATCTACTTAGTGCCTTTATGTGTCAGCTTGTTCCCTTTTTTTTAGCAAGAAGCGATGCAAGATGTTAAGGTTTGCATGGCGAAAAGGGCAAGGGTATAAGTTTGCTGTTTCCCCGGTTTGCAGCCTTGCTAATGTTGCTATCACCGCGATTTTGGGCGTGATCCCTGACTGCATGGCATATACGGATTTATGGCTTCTGACTAGCGCCCCTTGAACATGACACTGACAAAATGGGGAACCACCGACATAGTGCTGGATAGCTCAGTTGGTAGAGCACTGGAATAGGAATCCGGAGACCGCAGGTTCAAACCCCTCTCAATTAGTTTCTTTGTTCAACTTAAAAAATTGTCCATACAATTGGTTTTCGGAGTGAAATGCGCTTGTGTGTGTCGCAAAGTTACAAAACTCCAACTTGTTTTCCAATCGTGTTTGCCAAGGTCCTCGTATGATGCGGCAAATCAATATGCAGTGAGTGGAAGAAGATCTGGCCGCCAATTTCTTTTATTCGGTTGTGTTATCTATGTTGGTTGTATTATCTATTAAAAAGGGATGAAAACAGGAATCGTTGCCGCAGCATTTGCTGCAGTTTTTGTTGTGATTGAATAGCTTCGTAAGAAATAGAATGTGGGCTTGTGTCGCAATAGTACCATTGAAAAGTGTGGTGTCCTTGCTCTTCATCTTATGCGATTTTTATTTTCTCCTCACGAATGAAAATACCTTTTATTTTGAGTTACTTTTGTACACACAAACATCCACTATGCGAATAGACTGGTTTCCGGTTCCCACATCATCGATTCTCAATTCTTATAGAAAACGGAAATCAGCCTACCCACCCAACCTGCGAGATCTCAATTATTGTCGGACCACAATTAACTAATTCGAAATGACTCCACATCTAAAACGTGGACCGGATTTTTGTCGAAGTCTAATACTAGATATATAAATTTAGGAAATGTCTGGGTGAAAGTATAGAAATAACACAGACATTGCATCTTTTGTACCTTTGAACCCCGGTTTCATATCTTCATTAAAAAAAAAATCTTTTTTTGGGGGGGGTCACTTCGATCCCATTTTGCTCGGAAACCAAGAGAGCCAACATTTTCCCCTTTGCCTTGCTTTCTGAAGGAGAGTTATCTTTTAATTGACACCCAATTTTAATGTTGAGTGAAACTCACACTTTAGTGGAGGGATCAGGGAGGCCCCCCTCCCTCAACCCCACCCCACCCCACCTCTTTATAGTTTTATAGTCAAGTACTTAACCTAATCATATACAGAGTAAACTATGTGAGAGGGTAATTTTATTCTGAGAGGAATCAGGTAAACAATCAAACAAAAACAACGGATTCTTTTCTCCAACAGCAAACTTGATTGTATTATTATTATTATATATTTTGTATAATATGTGTGGTTGTCTTAAAAGTTGGGAAATCACTGTTTACACAGAAAAGAATGTGACATCTTGGTGGTCATTTAATTTGGCTAAAACCTTAATTAACAGTAACGGTGCTTTCGTTCTTTAAATAATCCCAGACAACAGAAGTATAACTAGTTAAAAGAATGTATTTTTTTAAAATGAAGAATCAAGCCAATTAATTGAATAAATTACCAATAAAAGATAATAAATGTGATTTAAAATGTTTAACATCATAATCAAAATTCAATAGTCTATTTCGGTTTTGTTTTATATTATCAAAGAAGGCAGTAAAAGATTTCACCTTTTGACAAACGCTTAGAAACAAAGTATATGGATTACATGAGAGAACATTCCTTTGTGCAATTGAGTAAGAGGATTATGAGTCAAATGGAATCTCTGAGGCTTGTGGCATTGTAATGAAGGGTGCAGGATGGAGACGTAGCAACGGAAAATGGATGAAGGTTGTCAAAGAATAAAGGTGGAAGATGAGGATCTGGGTTGGTGTGGTGATTGGGGAAAGGTGCAGAATGAAGGAGCGGAATGATGGTGGAAAATTGGGGATAGGGAGGATGAGGATGAGGATGAGAGGTATGAGGATGAGGATGAGAATGAGGATGAGGATGAGGATGAGGATGAGATTGAGGATGAGAATGAGAATGAGGATGAGGATGAGAATGAGAGGTATGAAGATGAGGATGAAAATGAGGATGAGGATGAGAATGAGGATGAGGATGAGGATGAGGATGAGAGGTATGAGGATGAGGATGAGAATGAGGATGAGAATGAGGATGAGGATGAGGATGAGAATGAGGATGAGGATGAGGATGAGGATGAAGATGAGGATGAGAATGAGAATGAGGATGAGGATGAGGATGAGGATGAGGATGAGGATGAGAAGTATGAGGATGAGGATGAGAATGAGGATGAGGATGAGAATGAGAATGATGGTGATGGGGAATAAATTGGGATGGAGGATAAGATGTTAATCTAAATCTAGGATGATAAGAAGGAATACAAAAAGGAAATGATATGAGAATGGTGATGATGAAGGACGATGACAAAATGCGGGATTCAAAATGATGATGGGAAATACAGGATAGTAATTAGAAAATGAGGATTCGAGATACAAGGAAATCAAGGATGATGATCAAGGTATAGAAGGAAGAAAAGGGATGGGATTATTGTAATGAGAGAAGGGGTGCAGGATAAAGGATGCAGAAAATTATGATGGGCAGTATAAGATGAGGATGACAATGGAGAATTAGGATGGATGGCATGGAAGGCTAGGATGATGAGAAGGAATAAAGGAGGAACGAGGAGTTGATGACGATGATATGATTTTCAGAATGATGGGGATGATGATGATGGAGAACTTGTCGTGGAAATTTTGGATGACAAGTGAAGACAATAAAGAATGGAAATTGGGTGACTATTACAAATGAAGGTGCAGGATGAAGGACGCAGAATTATGATAATTATCAAAATGATGATGGAGAATATGACAAGGAAAACAGGATAAGGGTTATGTTGAAAGTTAACATGGACACTTGGATCATTATAGAGGCTTGTAATGAGGTATGGAGATGGGCGATGGTGGTGGAAAGGGAAAGATGAATTTAAAATGTTAAAAATGATGATGATGATGGGGAAATACAGGATGGTGGAGAACTATGATGGGGGTTAACTAGGAAGATGATAGGGGAATATAATGAGGAATGGGGTTGGAATTATTGTAGAGGCTGGTCAGGCGAGGAAACATACGAGCGCAATTGAGTAAGATGAGCGGGATGTAGACTTGGTGATGGGATGGTGGAGATATGAGGGTGTTGCTGGTAATGGCGATGCTGATGATTTCGGTTATTACTTTCCAAAAACCGATAAAGCAGTTCTGGCGTGGTAATACTCATTTTGCGTGAATATGTGCACGATTAATCTGTGCACCCATGGACGAAAATCGAAAACGCATAAGCATCTACATTTTATCAAAGTACTCTTTATATTAATAAATTACTCCCTACAACATGCATTTTCAATAAAAAATAATGTCTGAAATCTGCGAATGTCTATACAGTCTGGTACAAAGTTCAACAGGAATCCGCTCAACCGGACTTGAAGAGCAGTATGGCTATCTGCCCGAGGTAGAAGTAGATGAAGTTCTTGGTCTCGTGGGTGACGTAACTGCCGAAGTGCTTGCCCACGATGCAGTGCCAGGTCGGGTTGTAGGACTTGTCGAATTCTTTCTTGATGTAAGCGGCGATGTCCTTCTCCACGTTGAACTTGTCCAGGGACTGTAGGGCCACCTCCACGGCGTGGTCCTGCTGGGTCTGCTCCATGTCGGCGTTTTTGATCACCGGGGCCTTGCGGGGGTCCTCGCCCGTGTGACTCGGTCGGGTACCTCGGTTCATCTTGGCAGGGCGATCTGAGGAGACAGAGGATTTAATCGATTTTAATTTTTTTTCCCGGTTTTCTTTTACAATGACTGAGTCGGGACTGGAACCCAAGACCCATAGATAACTATAATAGTGTTCTACCGATCAGCAACGGTCGCTATCTGTAGATGGGGAATATTGTCAGCAAACGCACTCATCTTAAACACATTTACTGTCGTCATGCGAATTTGATCTGGTACACGGTACCCCGTGGAGACATGTGCACAAAAATCCTGGGGAACAAAACATTGTGTACGTCTCCACAGAGCGATTTCTATAGGTGAATAACCTACGTCTCCACAAGGTTATCTCGAAATAGATATATGGATTTTACTCAAAAATAGGAATTTCCAAGGTGTTTGGATTCGTCGCAAATTGGAGTATTAAGGGATATTAAGTCCGAATTTCAGCCCGGGACTATAATTCTGGTGAAAAGAGGAGCATTTTGAAAGTACACTTTCAAACTCGAAAACTTTAGCACACGAGTACAAAGAAATGACCCCACAAGGATACAAATTCCAGCATGTCTGTTCTGTTAAGGATAAATCTGAGGGCTTCATTTCGGAAGAAATTGTACGTTGCAATTTTAACTCAACATTTTTGAAAACATCAAAGCACAACTGGGTCTGTAGACTCCATGAGTCCAATGCTGGAGCCTCTTATTAGTTCTACAAGTACGCAGTGTTACACTGCTACTTACCGGTTTCGTGAGTGGTCAAAGTGGTAGGTAGCGATCTTTTTCCGTCGGAAATACTCTTGCACACTAGGATGTCGGTTCCTTGATGAACTTTGAAGTTTGGAAGACTCCTTGGAAAAGTGGTGTTCAGTGTTAATCGTTTGAGTTGATTTAGGAAAGTAGCGTCTGTTAAATACTAGTAACTACGAAGGTTGCAAGGGTGTTAAAGGTCTTACAGAAACCATCGTGCAAACATTTTGCTTTCCAACGGGCGATCTGATTGGTCCAACCGAAGCGGAAAAGTTAAGTTCCCACGCTTGGTACCGACACTAGCGTACGGAAACAACCTCACCGTACCGTCTTTTCGGTAGCTTGCTCGCATTTGCGAAGGCCGTTTCCTCTGAAAACAACTCTCGACCAAAAAAGAAAGAAAATAACATCTCCATAAAAAGATGCCAATCGACAACCATTTGAAAATAATGTTGTCCTTGATGTGGAGTGCTGGTGTGAAATTCACACGCTCAAAAAAGTCATCACCGTGGCAATGGCCACGTATACTTTGCAATCTTTTTGTCAAAGTTCCCGCTTGATTAAGTTAGGTGTATAGGTCTTGTCCACTGTGACAAGTTCAGTCCACTTAAAAAAAAACTGTAAGTCGAAAAAAGTCTGCTTTTTGTAACAGTGAAAGTTAATAGGGAAAAATGTGACCTGCTTTAACAAAATGAGTACGAAAATTGATAACACTGCTACCTTTTAATTACATACGTTTTATTTGTATAAAAAAAAAAGTAGCAAAACACCGAAACTTGCAATTCGAAAAGAGAATATATATGGCGCTTCAAACAAGCATTGGCGGATCCAAAACTTTGGGGGTGGGGATGGGGTGGGGTTGGGGGAGGTACATTTATAAGGAGCCGGTCATTGCAAAAAGGGGAGAGTTTGGGTTGACTGGACATTATTGTTGCTGCTTTAACACCCTCCTGTGACGTCACACTATTGTTTCTTCTCGCCATTATTTTGCGCGAATGGAGCACGGCGCGCCATTCAGCTGACGAATGGCGAATGACGAATGGTGTACTGCGCACATATTTTTTGCCGTAGGTGGATAGTGTAGTTCGGTAATTTAACAGAATCGAAGCAAGACACTAAGGTTTTCGTTCTCCTATTTTAAATAGACACAGCAGGATTCGAACCAGGGACCTTTCAATCCCATAGCTCATCTCGTTAACCACTAGGCTACTGTGGCAGCTCGACAACTGCCGTTCTTTTCAATGATTTAAGAGGTAGGAAACTCACTAAATAATAACAAAGATGTGACGTTATTGTTCTTTTCTCATAAATAAGCAAACATGTTTTTCCCATTTTAACAAATTCAACAATGAAGCTGTACAAAGGCCTTTGTTCAAGCAATAATGAGGAATTCATGGAGGGTGTTAAGTAGGTTAATACACTCGGGAGCGCGCCGTTCGTGGGCTTCGCCCTCGGGCCATTCTCACCCACGAACGGCGCGCTCCTCGTGTTTTATCCTAAACATATACACTCTAAAAACAGTAGTTGGATTTTACTCCAATTTTAGTTATTTTTCCTTTAGTCAATAATACTGACTGGACAAATCTAGACAGATTGACCGATTTTCAGTTGCACTCAGCTTACCCTGACTGAATAGCTAGTCAAATTTAACAGGTTTCTAGTAAGCTCTGACTAATGTTTTTTTTTTAAATTTATTGAATATTTTCAAATCCGTAGAGGAAACGTTGAATGAGTAGACTAGCATCGATTAACAAACAAACAAACAATCAAACATTGTCTTCACTATATAGCTTCTCTGGTTGAATAATTCAAAAGGAATCTCAATTGTGTGTGTGGGGGGGGGGGGCTTCTGCCCCTAGATCCGCCAGACTATAGGGGTGTTGAAAATAAAATAAGAACTTTACAACTATGGTTTCAGTTTTCTGGAGGTCATAACAAATTGCAAAATTTTCCCATCTTCATTCCCCTTTGACACGAAATTGAGGTTACACATTTAATGTTCCGACAGCCCCTGTGTTCCGACACCCATATGTTATATTCCTCTTCCCTAGCCCTAACCCTAACCCTAACCGGGAGTGACACAATCTTATGTGCTGGTTGTCGGAACATAAAGGGGTGCCGGAACATAGGGGTGTCGGAACAAAGAGCAGTCACCCCAAATGGACGGTCTTTGCATGGTGACCGTGTTTTCAGTATAAAAGTTAATTATTTTGCTCTCTTCAGGTCAAATCTTGATATTCCATAAGACACGATTTTTTTAGGGGGGGGGGGGGGGTCCACCGAAGAACAATAAGCAATCTGATAATCCACTAACATTGTTATGTTCATTTCCTTCTTCATTGTGTCACTCGTTAGTGTCATGGGCCTGTTTTACCGTTTGTCGGTTTCGTCGTCCATGCCAGCTGGCAAACCAGCGATGCTGTGACAGGTTAAGGATAGTGTTTCTTTCTGTAATTATTTAGGACTGTCAGTCGGATGAAAAGTGACATGTGGATTAGTGAAATACGCTGGCGACGTTTCAAACAGTGTGCTCTGTTCGTCTCCAGAGGACGAACAGTCTCAGAGCACAAACGTACTCACACGGCCGGTTCTTTTCAGTACCACCGCTAACTCATACATGTAAGAGTTATTTTCCGTGGTGTGCCCGTGTAATTGCTGGTATTATTTCAAAGGAGAAACTGGGTCTGTATCCATCGAACTTGAAAGACTAGTCCTCTAGTACAGTCCGGGCATAGTCAAAATTATGGTGGAAACTTGGGGGGAAAAACGTACGAGTGGCAACGCAGGCAAGTTACTGCTCTTCCACAGAAGCATCGAGTTCGCCCGTTGTCTACACCTAAGTCTTCAGGGCCGACTTCAATCGTTCGTGCATGCCAGGCTAGCTTTCTGGTTCGCCGGCTGGCAAATTTTCTTCTGCAGGCTACCAAAGTCATTTACTTTAATACGTATACGTGAAACATATCACGTGTTTGAATTAAAAGTGATTTAAAATAATGTCATATTCCGTCACTGGCCACAGTGCTGCACGTTAGGGGTTGAATCCCAGATATTTTACATTTTCTTTTTTTTTCACCCAGAAGTCAGATTTTTGTCCTGTCCTAAAGTGCATGTTAAATCAAGTCCTACTGATCGCTGAAAGAAATTTCACCTTTTTTCCTGATTCATAGCACTAGCAATGGAGGATTTTTGTTATAAGTGAAGTAAAGTCCAAGAACCATTTATCCATTACCGACTGAGATGATGAAATCATGCATTATGATCACTGACAATGCTTGGTTGCAGAAAAAATATCTGGCAGGTGTGACTCTATTCTGAAATGGGAATCAAACTTAGTTTAAAGTATTCGTGTGAGGAAACTTCAATTGACTCCCATGCGCACGGCCGAGTCAAATGACTGTCGGACATGTTTTATCTGAGGATATAATTTATGACGACACCTTCAGGTAAGATGTCGACATCCAATGACGAGGTGACGCAATCCTAAAGGAAGCAAGACGACATTCATATAGAGATGACGACAGCCCTGAAATCAATCTGTCGATCCGTAATTCGCTCGTACCCCCGCCCTGCAAACAGGACGCTGGGACACGCTGATGAGCTTCACAGAATCTTGGGAAGGAAGTGGCCTATGACCTATGTATAAAGCATCTTTATAGTTAGACAATGTGCGCAAATGCTATCCGAAAACTTCCCATACAAATGCACACGTTCCATACCGGATGTGATTTCTGTTTCATTGCGGACCATGATTTATTGTGGACAAAATTTTGAACGTGGCATAATGCAATCCGACCGTTCGTGATTCGAAAAACGGAGCCTGAGCAAGTGACGGAAATTGTAAATTTACAACACAGATAAGTTTCACAGAATATCCTACATTATTACGAAATATTTCAACGAAAAAAAGTAATTAAAAAACTGAAATAAAAGAGTGAGTCATGACCGTGATGACGCGCAGGTCACAGGTCACGCAAAATCCAGCCATTCAGAGCGTGAATTCATCAGAGTATCCCAGCGTCCTGTTTGCAGGGCGGGGCCGGTACGAGCAAAGATCCGTAACTGAAGACTGTCGACATCATGGCAGGAGCGCCACTAGCCCACTCTGAATGAGGGGGGGGGGGGGGGGTAACAAAGCAACGGACGATCCAACCTAACATTCTAAAAGGTAGACACAGGACTTTCTTTATGGCCACCCTGCCTCCGTAAAATCGAAATGGGAGGGGGGATTGGGGGTGGGATCATGGCCACCCGTTCACAGGGGCGCTTTTCAAATGATGATGGGCACTATCGAACACCAGCTGACGCTTTTCATCAAGGCACATTATAGTTTGCAGACGAACACATGATTTTGTCGACTAGCAGGGCGATTTCATGGCGCTCTTAGCTCAAAATATGCCATGAAAATAAATTTCTTTGGGGGTGTTGTTAAATACAACCCTGACTCCCCCGATACTACGCCACTGTTCCCCCTTGAATAATCATATCAAAAAGTCGGGTGCAGAATACGCCTTTATGTGTGGCTTTTCTGACATCTTCGCAACACCCCCCCCCCCCCCCCCCGATGTTTTACATCAAAATGAGAAGTTTATGAGAAATCGCTCTGGTGCATATTACAAGTTCAAACGCCAACAATGGATGGAAGTAGCCCAAGTTTGCGTGGATTGGATTCCAACCACGATCAATAGAGGGCGCACTGTATAAATAAAGGAATCATTCAATCCTCAAGATGGCCGAGCAAGGCGACGACACAGGAACTGAAAAGAACTCTGCAACTTCTGAGGAAATGTCTGACTCTCCCATGTTGCTTTCACAGGTAAAGGCGAAGATTAAAGCGAAAAGGATGTATTTCTTGATAAAATAGTATTCTGTTTTTGTCGAGTGTAAGTAACGTCGTTAAACGTGATGATTTGGTTAGTCCGTTTTACGGTACAACTATAGAATGCAGGGCCACTTTACTCTACATCCGCGCCTCCGTACGGCTGCGTGGAGGCGTGGAACCGCAGTCGGACCCCGCAGTCGACCTACCTCTGAAAATCGATCGTGGAGTCGTGGAGCCGCAGAAAATTGCGCCCTCTATCGGTGCACGTCTCTGCGACTCCGCGACTCCGCGCCTCCACCACTGAGAGACAGTGCCCCGTCGCCCTCCCCCCCCTTCCTAATTGGCCCGCCCAATTAAAGTGACTCTGCGACTCCCCGACTCCGCGCCTCCGCGACTCCAGACAGTGCCCCGTCGCCCTCCCCCCCCTTCCTAATTGGCCCGCCCAATTAAAGTGACTCTGCGACTCCCCGACTCCGCGCCTCCGCGACTCCAGACAGTGCCCCGTCGCCCTCCCCCCCTTCCTAATTGGCCCGCCCAATTAAAGTGACTCTGCGACTCCCCGACTCCGCGCCTCCGCGACTCCAGACAGTGCCCCGTCGCCCTCCCCCCCCCTTCCTAATTGGCCCGCCCAATTAAAGTGACTCTGCGACTCCCCGACTCCGCGCCTCCGCGACTCCAGACAGTGCCCCGTCGCCCTCCTCCCTTCCTAATTGGCCCGCCCATTTAAAATGGATATGGATGCTTCGTTCTCAAAAAGATTCCGCCGAGAATTGCGCCCTCTATCGGTACGCGTCTCTGCGACTCCGCGCCTCCGCCACTCCAGTGCCCCGCGTCTCCGCGATTCTGCGACTCCAAGACTCCGCGCCTCCGCCGCTCCAGACAGTGCCCCCAACACATTTACAAGCACGCCCTCCCTTCCGATCCTTCATGAGAAGCTTTGAAGACAAGTGCAGTGCATTCCTTCGCTGTACTTAGCAATTTTTTGCAGGTTTGCATATCTATTACTCCTATTCCATCCACGCCTCCAGGCAAAATAAAAAACCTTGCTTCGGCGTGGCCCTGCATTCTATAGTTGCTCCAGTTTTACTGAGCCACGTACTGCGTAGGGCAATGTAGGGGCGGTCTTCGGGGGGTCAGACAAGTCGACCGTTGAGACAACTCGACTCGGGACAAGTCGACCGTTGAGACAACTCGACCGTTGAGACAACTCGACCGTTGAGACAACTCGACCGTATGTGCGATAAATGGAAAGACAAGTCGGCTCGCATGTTTTGGGGCCTAGTTTTGGGGATAGAACCAGGGATTTTGACGGCGGCTGATCGCCGTTTTGGGAGCTATGTACGATCGTTTTTGCCGGGCTTGTGCGCCCACTTATCCCATCCCCGGTCGGTCAACGTGGCCGTACCGTGCGATCGGAGCGCCCTCTGTGCATCGAGTATGCCCGCCCCGCGCCCAGGACTGGTCTTGCCACAGATTTATGCAACTTTTTCCGCTCCACGTGTATACATTTCCATTGAGCTGTCTCAACGGTCGAGTTATCCCGAGTCGAGTTGTCTCAACGGTCGACTTGTCTTAACGGTCGAGTTGTCTCAACGGTCGACTTGTCTCGAGTCGAGTTGTCTCAACGGTCGACTTGTCTGACATTCTTTACATTCGGTCTTCGGCCCATAAATGTTGCCATGTACAAAAACATGTAGAACTTTGTCAAATTTTGATTTTCACATTTAGGCTTAGTTTGTACTGTAGGTTTGTTTTGCTTTAGAGAAGCATATTCACCCTCTTTATACGCTAATCAGAAAGTGCCTTTTTCAGATGTCTATTTTTCCTGAAATTTCCTGATTCGTTTGCACACGTTTGCGTATCAAAATTTCAACATGAAATTTCACGAAAATTAGACAATTGAAAAAGGCAGCACTTTCTTGTTAGCCTATAAAGAGGGTGAGTATGCTTCTAAAGCAAAAAAGCCACAAACTAAGCCTTAATGTGAAAACAAAATTTGACAAAGTTCGACATGTTTTTGTACACGGTGGAAGTGTGGCCTTTATTTACGGAGATAGGCCAGTAAATTGGCCACATTTATGGGCTAGGTCATGATGGTCGACAGACGGTACAGTCAGTGCGACAGTTCCGGATCACTTTTTATACAAACCGCTGTACATCCGCCCATGTTCAGAGTTTCTGTGTCTGAGTGACATAATTTCATAGTAAAATTCCTCCTCTTCGAGTCTAAACAAAACTATATAGGCCTACCAAATTGTTAATTATGAACACTTTGTCATTATTGGACCGTAGTACTGGTGTTAGTGAATGACAGTCTAACGTTATTCTGTAAAATCGTGGCAGCTGGTGTGCTGCCATTTTCAAGAAAAGTGGTATTTTTGTATCAGTTTCCAATGCTGGTTGCCGATTAGCCCCACTTGTGTGGCCTCCGTATTGCTGCGCCGTACGTTAAGCCACACACCTGGTTTTTCAACCTACTGAGGAGTTTAGTCCAAACACTGGCGCACCCTTTTTTGGCATTTTTTTTTACGTACCACTGCATACGGTTGTATTCTATGATGTCTCATCTTTTGCCCTCCGGGTAGATTAGGTAATCTTTCTACAAATTTTTCGAGAAATTTAGACATCTTTCTGGAGTCCATATGCACTAGTTTCGTACTAAACTCCTCAGTAGGTTGGGAAACCAGACGTGTGGCCTAACGTACAGCGCAGCAATACGGAGGCCACACAAGTGGGGCTAGTTGCCGATAAGCTTCAAATATTTTACTGCCTCTAGTTTAGTTAGTCCGCATTTTGTTTGCAGTCGATTACACACCCATGACCTATGATTATTATGAACAAGTGCAAGCCAGCTAGACTGGTTCCCTGACCTAACAATTCCCTGACATCTATAAATTGCTCCGTTTCATCTTGAGTGGGGTCAAGGAACCAGACTACAGGAACACAATTGTTTTTCTTGGTTTTTCCAGCATCTATGAACACAACACTTCAAACAAGTCAGTGTAACAATATTTGCTATAAAATTCTAACCACCCAATTCCATCAATTTTTTTTTTAAATTACAGCAAAAGCAAATGTTGTAACACTGGGCCTATGCCTACCTAAACATTTGACAGAGTATGAGTATGATACAAGTAGGAAAATTCACTTTATGTGTTTGGAATCATCTAAGTAGTTAGCTAAGAATAAGATATGATATTGAATATAAGCAGCTAGCATAATTATGTGGAAAGAGGGCAGGGTTTTGATTTATGAACGGAACTTGTAAAATATTGAGGTGTTCTAAACTACAGTTCACGATTATGGATGTATTGGCGATCGTGTAGTTACGGGCCCGGTTCCCTATAAGAGAACAATATCCACTTTCAATTTATTTGACTTACCAAGCTACTTGGCGACATTAAGAACATGCATGTATGTCATAGATAGAGGGCAGGGGTTTGAATGTTGCATTATGCAGGCAAGCGCATCATGACATGGGAGGTCGAGTTGGTTATTACCATAAAGCTATATTAAATTACTAGAGCGCTAACTCGATGTACAAAGTAATGCCTGATGGGCGCATCCATGTTTGTGCACAAACCTATGGAAAACTTGAAATTTTGTACGGCTTTTGTATGGCTATTTGCATATCTGCGTTTGTATTCCATACCGGTGCATCATCGAAGCCGATATGCCCGAAACCGAAACGCACGATCAGCAAATGAGCGTTTCATTTTTGCTCTATGCAAACAGCGCAACATGTGCGCGTCCTTCCGCTGCAGATGCTTTTCGCCGTGACGTTTTTTGAACCGTCATGACGCGCTTAAGTTGTTTGCGCATCTTCTACTTGCGCATTGCATTTAGAGTACACTTTTAAAATTCAATCCATCTATTTTGATTGTGTTCCACAAACACGCACATAAATTCAAAATGTCTGCGCCCAGAGCGGCTTCAAAGCGTCTCCGCGGGCAAGAATGAGGAGTTAGCGCTCTAGTAATTTAATATAGCTCTATGGGTATTACTCATATATCCTTCTTACCCCCTAGATCCTCCAAAATTCATTTTTCAGGATTTTGAAAGGTACAGCCGAACCTCTATTACTCTTTATGGGACTCAGTTGCCCTTCAAAGTTGAAATACAGTGTGCCTTTGGTTTTCTGCACGGTGGAGAATTTCTGAAACGCAGAACTGTTTCCAATGGGAAAACAAATACCTAGAATGTTAAGATTAACGTAACCCTGCCAGATGCAACACAGTACATCAGGTGGAAAAGTCTGGTGCACTTTGATGCATTCAGCTACCAACACAAGTGCATGAACGGCTGCTTCTGAGTCAATGAGAGCTAGTCCCATGGAACAATGCCACAGTTGTATCCTGCTGGAGTTGGTGACTACAGACTCTGAGTTACCGGTAGTTTGGCCTTGAGACTTTCGGCCTGATGGATCTTAGGGTTAGCATCTTTATCATCCCCGTTTTGTCCACAAATTTATCCACAGAGATGGCAGCAGTGCAGCTCCAAGGCCGACTTAAACACCGCCCTCTATCAGTTTTGGCGCGACAATGTGCCCCGGGCGTACACCTCCAACGAGCTGAGCGTGCCGGAGGAGGACCTGATGTGCCAGGAGAAGCTGCTTCAGCCCCTGGAGTGGTTCATCTGCAACGGGGACCCCAGCTTGGTGTTTCAGCAACTCAAGAAGACGGACAATCCGCCGCAGCTGTGCGGCCGGGTCTTCAAGATGGGGGAACCCACCTATTCCTGTCGGTGAGTACTTCCAGAACTATGTTAAGACTAATTCAGTGAACAAAATTAGAAGCCATTTTTGAGGTGAAACCACGTTAGGCTGAAAGCGGTATCCATTGCTGTATCGGTGTTATTCTTTGCGGTACCGCACTCCATACCCCAAACCTGGCTGATGAATGGAAAGCCGTCAGGCCTGAATAACTGAATATTTATGAGGTCAAGTGTGGCGCGTGGAGCTCATTAGAAGCCCAGTCGGCTTGTCAAAGATTTCAAGTTTGAATAGGCCATGAAGTGTTGAAAAGGCTCGGGCCAGCCCGCATGCAAAGAACCCAGTACACTTAAAAGGGATTTTCTAGCTAGAGAGCAATTAAGGGGTTAGTGCTGCTGATTTTGAAGGACACTCAGTCAGCAGACTGACACTCCTCATGAATATTGTTGTGACGAAACTGCCTGTGTGCACTGACCTGTATACATTTTGTATACTGAGCTCATTATCATAGCAAGCTGGACTTAATCCTTGTAACGCAAAAACCACCGGTACCGCAATGGATACCGCTTTCAGCCTGACTGAAATGCTCCCTTAGCACGCACGCCGGACACGTTCTTAAAGAAAAGATGTACGCATTTTGATCACCCTGTTGGTCGAAGGAGCCTGGAGTGCGTACGTACTACCTGACAGCGACTCAAGCGAGCCTGGTGTCACCCGAGAAAATGGCTGTCGCCGAATTACGATTATGAATATAATCTTTCACCCTTTCAAGAGGCGGGGGAAGGGAGGGGGGTGGATATGGGATGAGCATAGAAATGACTTGGATAAAATCATGTTTTTGGATCTCACGCCACAATGAATTGATTCCGTCTGTACCCTGGACACCGCATACAAAAAAAATCCCGGATTTAAAGCATGGCCAGGCACCAGACTATTTCATATCTAATTTTCATGTGCAAGGTATTTGAACATGCAGATAATTCAATACCAGGATGACAGAGCAGGTAGTAGGAGTGTACTGCTTGACACCATGGGAACGAGGTTGAAATCGCAAGAACTAAGGGGGGCCGTATCATAAGTCCGACGCCTCATACATGTCATAGGTCCGACGCCTCATTAGTCCGAAATTTCGGACTTATGAGGCGTCGGACTTATGAGGCGTCGGACCTATGAGGCATCGGACTTATGAGGGGACCCGGAACTAAGGCCTTCATGCTATACTGTTTCTAGATGTGTCCATAGCCCAGGTTGGACGAAGTCTTCATTGCAATACGACTAACGTCCAGGACAAGACTTTTCTACATGAAACCATCCCAACATTTTTACCAGAGTTTTGTATGTTTTACCTCGTTATAGAAGCTTATTTCACGCCTACATACTCTATGTATCCTTATCTATTGGCCACTTGGTTCAGGAATTCCATATGCGATGCTGACTGACGTTAATCAGGAAAATAAACTCCAAAGCAACGTTAAACTTGTTCGTGTTTGTAGTCTCTTTTCATCAGTTTATTCACAGAGTCGTACGTCATGTACAATGTACATGATTATGTACAAATGTACGTGCGTACGATCCGAAAGCGCGCACGCACGCTAGCGCCCTCATTTGTTTAGTTTTGGTTGAACCGTGACGTCACTCCAGCCAACCGATGTCACGAAAACGCTCAACCAATGACCAAAGCCGAAGTGTGTTTCTGGTAACTGGCGCGAAAACACACTCGGTCATTGGATTAGCGACCGCGCCTTCAAGTAAGTGCGCGTGCGTATGAGGGTGGTTACTAAGCAAATCACGCGTGCGCACTGCATATTCATACGGCATAGTCTGTCCCTCGGACCAGATGTGATATGAGCGTCGAGAATAATTGTCCGGTCTAGGGAACCAGACTACACGCTGCACAGACGTTCATGGTATGATGTACGACTAGAATAGACTCGGCGGTGAGAAACTGATGAAAAGAGACTAAACACGTACAAGTTTAACGATGCTTTCGAGTTTATTTTCCTGATTGACGTCAGTCAGCATCGCATATGGAATTCCTGAACCTAGCGTACTAACAGATAAGGACACATAGAATATACGACGTAAAAATTAGCTTCTCCAACAAGGTAAAAATATTGAAATTATTGGTAAGAAATGTTTTCGTTCGGTTGTGAGCACATGTATACTCAGGACTCCCTCCGTAACGTAGGGAGGAAAGGGAGTCCACCAGGGCTAGATGTGTCCAATGGTTATTGGTTCAGTGATGTACAACGAATACAATGCATGATATAGCTAAGTTGTTTTCGTGCTAATTTGTTTTACCTACAGGGATTGTGCAATGGACCCGACCTGCGTACTTTGCATCGAGTGCTTTCAAAAGAGCAAACATAAAACCCACCGATACAGGGTAAGAGAACTACTGAAATTTTCCTCACAGAGCTGTCCCTGTGTCCCCGTGCACATATGTCAATGTCTTACATTCATTTGATTGTTATTGTCCATCACTAGTCCAGTCACAAGACAGAGGAGACGATCAAATGCATGTACAGTTCAATTGAATAGCTTGTAAACTGACTTAGATTTATGATGACTTCGTTGGGTGCCTGGAAGAAGGTCGTTAGGGCCAAAAACAGGTCAATAGGTCAAATTAAGATTTTTCGGGTAATCAATAGTGCGTGGAAATATCTTTCAGTAGGATACATTTTGTGTCCAGGGGGCTACGTCATTCTGACGTAATTAACAGTATGAAAGAGACGGGAGGAGATTTTCCATTATTTTTCCCCGGCAAAAGGATGTTGGCGTGTAATACTAATGTATTATTTTCCAAGTGCGCTAATGTGCCACTGAAGTGGGAAGGTATAGCCAAGTTTATTCCCTGCAAAAGGACATTATGATATAACATGTCGCTTAAGCGCACATTTAAGGCAAGGGCAGTTCCTGGGATAAAGGTTGCTAGCCGAAAAATGTAAATAACTTCAAAGTTAAGTAATACTTTGAAATAAAAATACACAATATTATTTCAATTATTAACAAATTTCATGTGCCAACATTTCAGCCTTATGTGATTTTTTAATTTAGAAATGGAAACACAAAACCTTTAAACTCGATAATCTCCAAAAGTTTTTTTTTTACATGCCTGGGCTGCTAACGTCCTTTTCCTTGACAGTCAACAACTTGTTTTGGCATTGCGTAAGGATTTGTGATTGAGTCCACTTCAGCACCTATAGGCCTAAATATACACAATCCCATCCTAGCTTAGATTTACATTCAGTTGTTTGAGTGAGTTAAATGCCTAAAAACATGCATGGACGTGTACTGTTCTGTTGCTTTGGTCAGATGAACACGTCTGGAGGAGGAGGCTACTGCGACTGCGGTGACATTGAGGCATGGAAGAGCGATCCCTATTGCAGCATCCACCAACGCAACCCGGAAAAGCCAGCACAGGTCAGGTTTGCTCTCATGGATTACCACTGAAGTGTGTTTTGTTATGTTGTCTATCCATCCCTTGGATGTGTAGTTGATGTCCCCTATTAACGTGGCGTGGCCCCTTGAACGTGGCACACCTTGATCTTTCGCCTCTAATTCCTTGCTAGAACAAACGCTTTACCTCCAATTTCACAGCAAGTGAAATTTCATGAAGCTCTAAACATTCCCAGTCATAAGTGTGGAAGCTTGAAGCTTGGCCTTTTAATCTTGAAGGATCAAGACAATCCTTCACAGGATTTTAGTATGACCCATTTATACAGGACCCTTTGGAGCACCTACCCGTCGACATGCAGTCCTACTCCTCAGCCCTGTTCTGCATCATTCTACACTACTGCTGCGATATGCTGCTCCAGGACGACCTCGAGGTGCCCGTGGAGGATCTGCGGCCAAAGTATGTAACCAACTTTGACTTCCAATGGAATCCCCAAAAACCAGTATGAAAAGTGACCAATCTTTCCATTCAGCTGTTTGGAAAAAAATAGGGTCGCGCTGTTTTTTCTCCCCAAACAGATTACTCCTTCCCAAGGGTGTAATTCCTTGTCAACGGGGTCATTCCCTGCCAAAGGGGTCATTCCCTGCCAAGGGGGTCATTCCGTGCAAAAGGGGTCATTCCGTACCAGAGGGGTCGTTCCCTGCCAAGGGGTCATTCCCTGCCAGAGGGGTCATTCCCTGCGAGAGAGTTCATTCCCTGCCTGAGGGGTCATTCCCTGCCAGAGGGGTCATTCCCTGCCAAAGGGGTCATTCCCTGCCGGAGGGGTCATTCCCTGCCAGAGGGGTCATTCCCTGCCAGAGGGGTCATTCCTTGCCGGAGGGGTCATTCCCTGCCAGAGGGGTCATTCCCTGCCAGAGAGTTAATTCCCTGCCTGAGGGGTCATTCCCTGCCGGAGGGGTCATTCCCTGCCAGAGGGGTCATTCCCTGTCAGAGGGGTCATTCCCTGTCAGAGGGGTCATCCCTTGCCAGAGGGGTCATTCCCCGCCAAGGGGGTCATTCCCTGCCAGGGGGTCATTCCCTGCCAGAGGTGTAATTCCCTGCCAGAGAGTTCATTCCCTGCCAGAGCGGTCATCCCTTGCAAGAGGGGTCATTCCCTGCCGGAGGGGTCATTCCCCGCCAGAGGGGTCATTCCCTGCCGGAGGGGTCATTCCCTGCCAGAGGGGTCATTCCCTGTCAGAGGGGTCATCCCTTGCCAGAGGGGTCATTCCCCGCCAAGGGGGTCATTCCCTGCCAGGGGGTCATCCCTTGCCAGAGGGGTCATTCCCTGCCGGAGGGGTCATTCCCTGCTGGAGAGTTCATTCCCAGCCAGAGGGGTCATCCCTTGCCAAAGGGGTCATTTCCTGCTGGAGGGGTCATTCCCTGCCAATGGGGTCATTCCCTGCCATAGGGTCATTCCCTGATAGAAGGTTCATTCCCTCCCAGAGGGGTCATTCCCTGCAGAGGAGGTCATTCCTTGCCAAAGGGGTCAATCCCTGCCAAAGGGGCCATTCCCTGTCAAAGCGGTCATTCCCTGCTAAACAGTTCAATGTTGATATCTCCCTTTCAGGACATTGGAAGATACATACTGTACAATGCTGTTTAATGACGAGATTCACACCTATGAGCAGGTATGTCATCATGTTCAACTGCAGTGTCGGTTTCAAATCATCACTTTGTTACACTTACAGTCATGCTGTCAGATGTACTAATCACAATGAAATCATGTTTGGAATTACAGTAAACTATCTTGCTCAGGGATATCTATACCTATATATTGCAGGTGTAGATTTCCTGCAAAAGGCATCGTTGCCCTCAAAAGAGGTCGTAGCGCTGCTTAACAGTTAGCAGAAAAGTTTTGCTTTCTTTAGCAGGAAATCATTCTGCTGCTTAAGCTCTATTTCGTGGCGTGGACGTGCTAACGGTTGCACATGTTATGTCACTGATTTAAGCAACTTTCTCCTCCGGGGTTAAGCGTGTTTTTGCTGTGCTTACTACTTATACGGTCTCCTTGAAATAGATGGAGGCTCTGTTAGCAGAAAATTGGCTGTTAAGCAGGGCTATGAAATTGGGCACATGTTTTTAGCTGATAGTCTTAAGTCACTACTAATATAATACAACCACGAAATTTTAAAAGTTGCATCAATTGAAATTACAAGTCATTTCATCTTGAAGAGATTGAACCTTTGAATTAAATGCTTATTTTTGTTTCCAAGGTGATTGAGACTCTGAGGAAGGCAGTGAATTGTACGCCAAAGGAAGCTGTTGATTTTGCGACAATTGTCGACAGGGAGGTACGAGAATCCCAATGCAATCCAATTTAATGTGTATAGCATTGCCTGGTGACCTGCATTATGCATGTTATTGTTCCCCGTTGTTCCCCCCCCCTCAATAAGCCTCTGTACTGATGACGTCACACTTTGTTTACATGTGCACTTTCCTATGGAGCCAGTGGGGGCCCACGGTCCACTGAGCACCATAGGAAAGCAAATAGGCTTATTCCGCCTTGTATTAAAACAGAGTGAGACCTTTCATTTGTAACAACTTGGCAATTCAGTGTTGTAGTACCTGAACTCGTACTCCAGTTCATTTTTTGGTACTCGTACTCGTACTCACAAAAATGTACTCGTACTCATACTCGCAAGAAAAAAATATCTGTAGTCGCACTTGTACTCATACTCATGACAAAGTACTCATTCTCGTACACGTACTCGTACTCTTGCAAATGTTCTCCCGCAAGAATTACAATTTTTTTAGAGCGACATTCAGGAAAAGAACCAGTTTTCTACTGTTTAGGAGGCTTCTAGGAAAAAAATGTTGCAAACTGACGCCACTTCCGCGATTGTGTGCAAAGTCTATGGAGAGTCAAGAAAATTGTCTAAGTATTTCCTAACAAAATTTGAAATGTTTCACAGTCCCAGATTCATGTCTTATCATCATTTTTGCAATGAATGACCTTCATTGAGATGATATATGAAGAAAAAAGTGGCATCAGGTTAAAACATTTTTTCCGGCTTTTGCATTTAATGACTGGTTTGACAGGAAAAAGCCCTTGAAAACACGTGATAGATTAAAATTTGCTCCTATATGTGAAAATACTTGTACTCATACTCAAGTACATTTTTTTGGTGGTCATACTCATGGAAAAAATTGCCTTGTTCTCTTTGACTTATTGAAGAAAGGGAACAGGGAAAAAATATCTTCTTTTCTTCTTCAGTGACACTTTTGAATACCATTTTTTTTTCCTATCGCAGGGGCGGAGCACAGTGCGCAATGGGCTCTACAAGGATTGTGAGCGCGCCCGGACTATCATCAAACGCAACACCGGCCTCCATGATGCCAAGTCACTGAAGGTTCAGGTGATGCACTCCACCGTCGTGGCCCATCAGACGTATGCCCTCAAGCTTCTTAGTTGGCTGTCTGAAGTAGCCTCCTATGCAGGTATGCTAGCTTCAGTTTTGTTGGGGACAAAATGGAATTAGACACAGTGGCAGTAAGGACACAATGCACATAATGGAATTCCCTAACATGGTATCCTTTGACTTTTTCCCCAAATTTTCCTAACGCCTAGTAATTTTCAAGTTGGGTTTAGGAAAATCTGAAGAAAGTACTAGCTCAGCTCATACATGTACAGTAAACTCTCGTTACCTCCAAGTCAGATACCTCAAAACTCTGTTTACTTCAAAGTAATACCCCATTCCTGTCAAGGGAGTAGAATCTTATGTACATGAATACCCGTACCTTGAAACACCCACCTCGGTACCTCCGTTTCCTTGAACTTTTGTTCGGCCAGTCCATAGAAAACAATCACAAAGACACATAAACGACATCGGGACACTTTTTTCATGACTCATTACTGTCCAACGGACTTGGTCTTTTCGCGTGGTGATGCAGCTTGCATGCAGCATTGTAATCAGACATCCAGCGCGTAACTGCAACACATCCTGGCTTTTGAGCTAGCCTGATCACTACCACTGCCCCCCCCCCCCGGCCCCCCAGCGATGGGCCTGCTTGTGACAGACTTGATTGCAACTCTCTGCATGTTGTATCTGTCCTCTCTCTTACTATTCAGATGGGTTGCGTCAGCTGCAATGCCAGGAACTTATGAAGCCCCTCCATGCCTCGGAGTATACCATCCTAGAACAGATCATGCTCAAAGACACAAAACTCTGGAAGGGTAAGTAACAATTGCATAAGAAATTGGCCGGGCAATAAATTTTTATAATTACTTGCTTATTACATAGAGCATTTGCGCATACAGGTTTGCTAAGTACAAACAACAAATGGCTTAACGAAAAATGGGTACCAGCTAACAAATACGTGCAGTGTATATTGCTTGTGACTGGTTCTCTGCTGATCTCTGCTGAGCCCATAAATTTGTTAAGCGGTGTTTTAAAATTGGGCCCCTGTTACTCCAAAGGTTTATGATAAATTTGTGTTGTGATTATGAGAATAAATATGTGCTTGGCCGGTTTGAAACAAAAAGGTTAAAAACCGGCTAGGGGCCTGGTCGCGGATACCTCGCCATTATCCGCGTCCAGGCCCCCAGCTGGTTTTAAACATACCTGTTTAGTACCAGCCAAGCACATATTTTTTCCCATTCATAAATACGTTTCGGTCAAATAGTAAAAATTTATAAATTTTAAGTAAATTTGGGTGCTTGGCAATTCTCTTAGAGTGAACCGTAGTTAACGCAGTAGGTACACTTTAACATTGGAATCATGTATAAGAAGAGTTCTCCATGTGCACTAAAGCATTTACATGCTTCAGCTGTGAAATACAATTAATGCCAAAATGATTATCCAAAAGTATCTTAATGGCAAGAAAGGGAGAGTTGGGGGAGACCACTGGGAGGGACATTTGAACACAAATTACACCTGATGCTCATGCAAAGAGGCTATGGCTTTGTGCACATTCAGAATAAATTTAGTGGTGTGTACTTTGCGCCGTACGCACGTGAACTATTACGTGTACACTGCATATCCTGTCCATGCGAATCTCGAAAGTGATCAGATAGCACCCTCTTTTGTTCACTCACGGAGCCCATACTTGGCACAGTGTCTCTGAACCCAGTCAAGTATCTTAATGGAATTCTGTACAAGACTTTTAAAAAAACAGGATTAATTCTTTAAAAAAAAATAGAAAATAATATAAACATTGACCTCTTGTATGTGAACTTGTATACTGTTTTTTACAGAGCTGCCATTTTACATACAACATTCATGAGAAGTGAGTCTATAATATGTCTGCGTAATGTTGGAGATATTTTTCCTGCAACCTGTTTTTTATAAATATTGGCGTTTATTTTTTTGAATCGCACACAGTTGCAAGAATACAGTGGCACAAGCTGTTCATGAGTACCCTGCTAATGGACATGGAGTACAAGAAGAAGTTTGCCATCATGTTCACTAAGGTAAGGACAGAAGGCAAATTTGGATAAGTCTGGCATTAAATTGTGTTCCTCTAATGCAGCCAGTCCCAATTCCAGACAAGCGCAGTAATGCTGCCCTGTATCTTTAATATCCATGTAAGTGGAGATCAATGATTTTGCACATTCAGGATACAAGTATAACATGGTTTGAGGGTGGATAGTATACAATTGTTGAGTGGCTCAGAGTGAAATGGGAGGAATATTATCGCAAGGTAAAATCTGGACTTTTCCATTTCACGATGAAGCCGAGTGAACTGGAAAAGTCCAGATTTTACCGAGTGATAATATTCCTCCCATTTCACAATTTAAAGCCACTCAATAATTGTTTTATATAACTGACATATAGATCCTTGTCATTTGATATATTTGAACTTTTTTTTCAATACAAAATGTATTGGAAAATGTATTTCTCTCTTCCAAACCACCCCTGCACGAAAATGTTTTAACCCAACTCTGTAGCGCTGGCTCTTTGGAACAATACGCGCTACGCGCAACGCTGAACGCGCACACCAGCATGCCTTTGCACACAAATACCGTGTCGTGGAACAAGAATGATCCTAACTGTTGAATAGTATTTCCCATTCCCCATGGGCGAATGGGACTTTTTGAGCCCCGGCATGAATGGGAGCAATAACGAATGTCACATGATGTGAGTTCCACCAATCAAATGACAAGGATCTGCATGTCAGTTATATAATTGATATTAGCTCCCCGAGGTATTGGAAGTTGACAAACTAGTTCCTGAGGCGAACCATGTTATATTTTCTTTGACTAAAATTTCATCGAGTTCCTCATCAGTTATCTTGGCAAAATGTTTCTGTTCGAGTGCCACCATCTTTTCATGCAGCTAGGGCGCGATGTTTTGGCATTCACGCTCCCCCCATGCACTAGTTCCACGATTGCTTCGTAGAGCACATGAGCAGTAGACTAGTGCACAGGTAACCTGTGTGATAGTCTACTGCGCACGCGTATTTACCCTGTGCGTCAATCCTTGCGTGCACGCTTGGTAAACAGCAAAACTAGCATTTGGCACGTGATGTTGAATGGACCAGTGAGAATATGGCTCTTGATCATGAATACGTATGAGGTATAGTAAAACAGAACTAGTCGTGTATTTCATGCAATACGCACGTGAACTAGTACGCGCACACGGTGTGCCCCTCCACTGGAGCTCTCGTGAGTGGGGTAAAAGTGCCATTATGCACGGAGTCTGTAGCGGAGTTCTTCTGTGTGCAATAGCTGAGCAGTAATTCAGTCTTATTGCGTTGTATCTCTGCAGCACTACAGCCAGATCCTGCATGACTTTGCTGAGGATGATCACGATCACGTGGTCTCCGTCACTTCGCTGTCTGTGCAGATATACACTGTTCCAACGGTGGTAAGCAAAAGATCATTAATACCTTGTTCTCAATTGGTTGTTTGAACAAAAACAAATTGACTGGATGAGCCTGTTGCTTAAAAGTATATAGAACCATTTGCTTTGTGTGCATTTTTTTTGTCATTTCAAGCATCAAAATTGCCCCAAATTGCCCAAAATCTTAAATAGGCTACTCTGTCAAAATTTCAGCTCAGTGGATACTATACAATTTTCAGGAAGCGGAGAAAAAATATGCAACATTTTCGGGGTCTCATTTCTGTATTTGAGGAAAATTCATTGAAGGTCGTTGCTAATGCACTTGAAAAAGGATGCCCGCGGCAACACTTTTTAAAATTACCTTCAATTATTTTTTTTCTTCGGAATGATACCATTTCAGGTGGAATAATTTCACAGCATAGTTGGTACCATTACTATCTTTACTTTGAGCAAGGTTTTTCTCATTAAATCGGTAGGTCCCTTTTTGGAGTAATTGCCATCATTTCTACATGCCTTTGGATCAAGATTTTGAAATAATTTTTCTTTTGGAAATTTACTTACGTACATTTGCTTTTTTCAGTCACGGATGCTGATTATAGAACACAATCTCTTGGCCGTCATTCTAAAGACGTTTGTGGACTACACTCAGAAATTCAGAGAAGGTGAGTTGAGGTACTAAATACTGCCAGTACAGACTGGTGGGCTGAATTCAGTGATTGACCCTCACCCTGCCAGATGCAACAACAGGTGTAAAAGTGTTTTTATTTGTAGCATTAGGCAGTCAACACCAGTGCAAAACCTGCCAGTTCTGTGACAATGTGAGCTAGTCCCCTTGAACAATGCCACTGTTGGATCTTGTTGCAGGTGGCAACCCTAGACTCGAGGCAGTTAGGCCTGGGTTTTTTTACCATTTGGATCTTGTTGCACTGGATTGGCTTCACACTTTCACAGTCGTTGCATGTTGTTGCGTTTGGCAGGTTTTTTGCTTTAGTGATTTAGGGTTAAACACTCTTTATAATGGAGAAACAACTAACCTAAAGAAAAAAAATCTGACTCCTTTTTAAAAGTGCAAGCCAATATGGCTTTTTTTATACTTCAAGTCAGATTTTGTTCCTACAAAAAAAAAAAGAAGAGAAAATTGCTGTGCTGTTATTGTCCATATTATTGTATGTGCCTTCATAAAAGCTCTTTTATTAAGAGAAATCATTTCTATAGCAATCTTGTCTTCCTTTGTTCTGGAAACAGGGCCAGCGGGTGGGAAGTTCCGTTTCCAACGAATGAATCTAAACGGACTTCGCCGATTCCAGTTTGTGTTGATCGATCTCAGGTAATACATATTTATGTATTTATCGCATTATTTGTTAAATGTTATTATTTTTTTAAATTGTTTTATCAGATGTAAGCCAAATCAATTTTTGGTTAGTACCAGGGTAAGCCTTAAGGATTTTTTTTGTATAGCAAAACTGCTATGCAAATTTTGATTTGCATAGCAGTTTACCAATTTTGCATAGCAATTTTGTTATACTCAAATTTAGCCTCGGCTTTGCAATTACTATTTACCTGTCAGTGTCAGACTGTACAAATTACAAAGCAATAAAGAAGTAACTTACGTTAAGCTGTGAACTTAATGACTCATCAGTTGTCTGTTTATTTCAGGAGCTGCATGCTTGCTGGAATAACTTTCGAGTGAAAAAGCAATTTATTAACCCGGGCCATTCCTGGCCCGGGTCTAGATCCGCCTGCCAATTATTGGCAGTATTTGCCTTGATACCGGTAGTTTTCGTAGTAGCCATGTTTTCATCAATATGCTACACAGCGCACAAAAGACAACACAGCTGGGATTTTGACGTTTTAGTTCCCACGAATCCCACGTGCGTATCAAGTGATTTACTTGAAGGGGTAAACACGTTTTCCGTGTCGGCAAAATGTTTAAGATAAACCGACAAATATCTAAAGAATAGTGATGAGAAAAGGGCTCGATTTACCCGGGTGCACGCATGCACCAGTGGATGTAGATTTTAGCTTGTGCACGTAGCTTTTTTACTGAGCATGCACGACGTGCATGTAACTTTTTTAGCCACCAAAATACTCATTTCATGCATATATTTACCAGTGAGTGAGAATAAGAATAAAGATTGTTGAATACTTGACCAGATAGTGTACAAACGTGTTATTTCTTTTATAAATCCATAAATTATTCCTCGCACAGTCGCAGCAGATTCAAAGTACGAGGTAAAATCTCGACGTACGTCCTGCACCTCCTCCGATCATGCACGTGATTTACCACGTGATACATGCTGCGGATAATTTGGTATCGCACTGACGCTCCGGGCATTCCTTATGTCCGGATCATTAGTGCGATTCCAAATTATTAGCTGCGTTTATCACGTGGTCTCGTTATTGGCCCATCAGATGCGCGCCGCCTGTTTACAAACTAAACACGTACAGATTTTATACAGCTGAACAAAATTGACGTTCTTTTTCAGTATTTAAGCTTAACTAAATCAAAACATGATGGATGTTTACCATGTCCGATAGTTGTGGAATTCAGTGGACCGAAATTTGGTGGCAAGTACACTTTGTGTCAACTTTTCATGATCAAAATGTTGTATAGCAGTTTTGCGATGCACTTTAAAAATTGCGTCGCAGTCGGCCTCGAATGTGTCGCAAATTGCGATGTGATACCGCTTATTGCGGACCCTGGTTAGTACTGGTTTTTCAGAAGGACCTTGAACACACCTGGAAGGCATTGTTGAGGTGACACCAGGCTTGTGTGCATGTCACAGTCGTAAGTCAATCACAAGTCAATTAGATATCATCACAAGTCAGTCACAAGTCAGTGACAAGTCAGTCACAAGTCAATCACAAGTCATCACAAGTCATCACAAGTCAATCACAAGTCAATCACAAGTCAGTCACAAGTCAATCACAAGTTAGTCACAAATCAATCACAAGTCAATCACAAGTCATCACAAGTCAATCACAAGTCGTCAAGTTTCGAGTCCAGTTCAAGCTTTTCAAATGAAATTTTACAAACGACATTTCTTTGTCATTGTCCCCCGTCAGTTTAGACCTGGCTATTTGATTGGATTGGTAATTTGACCAGTGATTGTCTTGTAATTGACTTGTGATCGCTTTGATGTCAATTCTTTGTCTCAGGTACATTTTGTCCAACAAGCCGGAGGAATGGACTCCAGCTGTGCGGGACCGTGTCATGGACGGAATAACAGTGCTGTTGGATCTCTTGAGTGCGATGCATGTAAGTCTATTTCAGAATCAAGTTCACTTTTCATGTGAACGTCTTGGTACCAAACACTGACTAGTCTAGTCACAGACTCCTGTGAGAGAATTTATCCAATTGATATCTACCTGATTGATTGATGGAAGTTGAGGTCACAATTTTTTATTTTATTATAGTCATCAAGACTCAATATTTTAAGTAATTTGTATATCATAATGCATTCATTTACTTGAAACACAAAGTTGTGAGTGTCTTGTATAAACTTCGATAAGTTGTGCAAGTCTCCATAGCGATCACGATTTGCTGGTAAAATGGATATTTGCAGTCGCTTCGCCACAACTTATGCCACCTAAAATGATTGCGTAAGTTATGCCATAATTTGTTGTGCAAGGCGAGGATTCGCGCACTATAAAAACTTTTGTGAATTTGTCATAACTGAAATGATGCGCAGCATGAAGTTTTGCGCAACTTATGCAATAATTTTGTGGTGCAACTGGAGTTTCGTGAAATCGGCTGAAGGTGCTAATTGGTTAATGATCACAACGCAACAAGAATTTACATTTTCCTGTTACCAAATCCACACCTATCGTCATCAAAATAATTGAAAATTGTGTTAATTTTCTGATGTTCTCCCTTTTTTTTTACCCCTCTTTTCCTCTGCCTCAGGGTATGGATCAAGTGGTGAGGCAGGTCGGCAAGCACATCGAAATTGAGCCAGAGTGGGAGACGGCTTTTAATCTTCAGATCAAACTGGGTCCCTGCCTGACTCTGCTGCTGGATTGGTGTGTCTCGGATGTAAGACACGACTCAATTTAACATTTGTTATTTTAAAGGAAATAGACAACATTTGCAAACATCAAAAAACGAAATGATCAAATTATCACAAAATACCTTACTGGATTGTTAGGGAATGACAGTCTAAAGCATCCTGTAAAATCCTGGCTCCTGGTGTCGTGACATTTTCAAGAAAATTTGTATGTGTCTATTTATTTCTGGAAATTGAAGCAAAAGCAAATGTTCTATATTCCCTTTAAGCAAATAATGCCCCTAATTTTAGCGTGCTCTATTCTTTGCTTATAATGCTTACCGTCTCCATTAAAGGGACAGAGGTTCAGTTAGCAGAAACTTGTGTGCTTAGCAGCGCCATGAAACTTGCCCTAGTTCAGACCATAGTTAATATCACTGATTTGACTCTTTTTTTATTTACACATTTGGAAACAGTAGCCAATTGGCAAGGAAGTGTTCTACCTTGGCTGTTATTTTGGAAATAATTCTCTGCTTTAAAATCTATCATTTTCACATCTGGATAAAAAACCTCGATTTAACAAGTTTCGACGGACCTTTAATGATTGCTAGTATATTCTTAAGACCAGTTTAATATAGGTTTACCCGGCCAATTTCCTGAAATGTTCGGTCACTTCTGAAAATCGGTCATTCTTTTTCATCTGGATATGAATGCACATCTTTAATCCTGTTTCAATTCAATGAAAGTTCAATCGTTTTCATTGTCCGTGCATTCGGTTTTGAGAAACAGACGGCCAATTACGTTGCCTGTTCATTCATTTAGGCAAGCATACCTTTTCGCGCAGAGTTCTGGAACACAATTTCGTGAGTGTGCAATCAAAAGTATGTTTTTCTCATTCAAAATAACAGATTACATCACAGAACACTAAACTTAAAGTGAAATAGAATGGTTAATGTTTGAAATCGCCATCTAAAAGCGAAAAAGAAGTCTTGTAAAACGAATCTGAATGGGCATAGACGAAAGGTGCTACTCAGTCACTTAATTGATTGAACTGAAATGGAATCGAATGCTCTGGTAGCGAAAATGTAACTCGTGTTCAGAGTGATTCTCAAATTCAGACGAAAATGAATGGCCGATTTTCAGAGGTGAATGAACATTTTAGGAAATTGGCCGGGAAAACCTATATTAAATTTCCATCAAGTTCTCTGAATTCAGTGAAAATTGTATTTGGTTTGTATTTTCAGCGCTCTCTGCTATTAAGGACGTACCGTGCTACCATGACTGCGCTTCGCAAAATTGTCCACAACTGCCAAGAGAGGGAGGTTGAAGGTATGGACTCGAAAGATTTTCCATTTTTGTCCTGTTTTGTTTTTTAAACTATAACCCTCCATGGTGTTTTGTCTAGAACCACTGGCCAATGCAACAACATGCAAAGTGATACCAACTGTAATACTAACTCCCAATTCATCCATCTCTGAAAAATACAGCAAAACAAATGTTGTATATTACATTTAAGGCCAAAAAAAAAAAGTCTCCGGTTTCTGGTATGCGCGCGCGTCGCCGTAGCCATGCGTGTCGGCAAAATGAAAAAGTTTTTTTTTTCAATGAAAGATGATGTCTCAAAACCGCCAAACTCACTACTTTGACTGGAATCCTGCTGCTGCACAATTTTAACCCTAACCCACCTCACTCCTCCAAAATCCTCCTGGCGGTTTTGGAGGATTCTAGAGGATTGAGGATGAATGGTGATTGAATCAAATGAGGATTCTGGAGGATTGAGGATGAATGGTGATTGAAGCACATGAGGATTTTGGAGGATTGAGGATGAATGGTGATTGAAGCACAAGAGGATTTTGGAGGATTGAGGATGAATGCATTTTGAGGCAGGACTGTCTGATGATTTTGAAGGATTTGGCGTTGGTTATCCTTCATTTAAACACGAGTGCAAAGTTTTGGGATGAGGAGGATTTTGGAGGATTTTGGATGAATGCATTTTGAGGCAGGACTGTCTGACAATTTTGAAAAATTGAGGCGGAGTTGCACATTTTTGGAAAATTTTGGAGGATTTTGGAGGATTGAGGATGGTTGTAAGCAACAAGGGCCTAGGGGGTTAGGGTTAACGTGTTTTTAGATTGGGTTATGGTCGAGAATAAGCTTTATGTGGCCTCTCTGGACTCCCATATATTTGCACTAAGTTTAGTCGGGCACCATTTGCAGTCATCAGCCGACATTTGAAGCAAAACAATCAGGTAAAAAAAAAAAGCCACGTCGCCGCACCACTTTTTGGGCAAGCTCCATACCAGAAACCGGAGACTTTTTTTTTTGGCCTAAGCCACTTTCCATAGATTTGTATGTTATTGCCATCCATATCCTAGTGATTCTGATGTGGTCTTCACTTGTCGTTATCAATAACATTTGCACTGCTATTTGTCACAGTGGCCGACCACAAAACAAAGTGCCTTGTCTACAACGTGTCCACTAAGCCGATAACAGTTCACTGCACGCTGGTCCGCTTCTTAGCAGGTAAGAACCCTTGAAACCTTTGGATCAGATTTTTCTTTGTTGAAAATGAAAGGATTACTATTTAAGAGGGAGTACTCATGTCTGTAGCCCATGCCTGACAAGTATGATCAGATTTAAGAAGCCCTAAACTTTTCACTTAAAAAGGTCCAGTTTTAGGTCAAAAGTGCTCATGCCACGCTCCTCGAATCTTTTGCTGTTGCAATTACTCTGCTGCTTTCGTATTGCTACAAACATAAGGTCTATAGCTGTCCCTAGGCGTACCTCACGATACGTCAGACGATCAGACGATCCTCGTGGAGAAAGGGGGTTTAAACCGTTCGGAAAGTGCCTTTAAATGAGCTTGACGACCAGTTATAAAGATCCAATCATTGCCAAGCTCGGCACGAGGGGATACAAATGTTTACAGACACAAAGATGGCAACAAGTAAAACGACAGAACGAACGAAAATCTTTTTTGCCTGGAATTGAATTATTAATTTTAGTTGAAGGTATTATATGATTATCAGAGCTATAAGTATAACTTCCATTAGAAGATTTTTTATTTTTTTTTGATTTTTTTTGATTTTTTTATTTTTTTTAATTTTTTTTAATTTTTTTTTTATTTTTTATTATTATTATTTTGGTTTAATTTTTTTTAAAGGAAATTGGGGAAGACTAATCAGCATGGCTAGGAGGATATTTTTTTATAAGGAACATTGGGGAAAACTAACCAGCATGGCTAGGAGGATATTTTTAAAAGGAAAATGGGGAAGACTAACCAGCATGGATAGGAGGATATTTTTTTTTTTAGAAGGAAAGTTGGGGAAGACTAACCAGCATGGCCAGGAGGATATTTTTTAGAAGGAAAATGGGGAAGACTAGCCGGCATGGCTAGGAGGATATTTTTAAAAAAGCAAAGTTGGGAAGACTAACCAGCATGGCTCGGAGGGTACTTTTTAGAACGAAAATTGGCACAGCTAGTAGCCTAGCATGAATACTAAAGGAAGTTTACGTTAGGCCGTACAAACGCAGCGTGGAAAATTTCAAGGATTGTAAGGAACGGATCATTAAAACATACACTGGAAAGTGAAGTAGTTTATAGGTTAGTATAAGTAGTAAGGAATGCCGGCATGTAAAAGCTCTTACCAGTCTGTTTTGGTAAATTTGACAAGAAACCAGAAATTTGTCTAAAAAGCGAGACTCATCAGGTACAGTTCGCTAGACCTTGGGTAGGTTTCGTCTCGAGACTGTACAATTATGAACATGTCACATGCGATCTTAAAAGTCGCGTACCCTGTGCTCTTCAAAAAAATTGATTATTTTTCTCCTAATAAATTTTTAATGTGCATGTTTTGTTTTGAAGGGAAAAACCCTACTTTATTCCGATTTTGGCATCTGCATACCTCTGAAGAAGGTTTTTAACTTTGCGCACAAATGTAACCGAATTATTGTCTGGCAGCTAATAATTCAATAATCAATAACTAAACATTGGTGAATTTTAATCATTCAAAGGTTCATTCAGAAGTGAATAACTTTTTTATTGCTAGGAAAATAGAAATTGAAATTTTTTTTTTTCGAGATGCAACTCGAAAATAGCATTCAGAACGCATCTTTAATTGAGACACCTGTATGTAATTTGAAAACTCTGTCAGTTGACCACAATTGTGTCAAATGAGGCAATTTTTCACCTGAGAGAGCCCTTCCGCCCCAAGGCACACCCTCAGCACCCCACTCCCTGGCAGTAACCTCTCTGGATCCACCCTTCAACACTGAGTGTGGAATAAGACCTGCACTTCTTACAGTGTGATGCCACCCCAGTAATCCCTTCTAATTTTGGTCGAAGAATAAGTCCATATGTTTAACCCATTTGCACCTGAATTACATTGTGTTTATTCACTGAAGAATATATAAAATCATAGAGTGCTGGTGCAGTTTTGAACACTACAGTGAGTAATAGGCAGGGCAGTGTCGGGCGCTACAGTGAGTAATAGGCAGGGCGGTTTTGGGCGCAACATTGACAAAAGGGTTAATATCTAAGTTAGCTTGGTTAACATTGACTGTTTTTCATTGTGCATCACTGTGCAGGTCTGCAACTTGAGCTAGGCAGGTACAACCTGAGCTATCTGTCTGACGGCCTGCTACCCCCAGTAAGTCCATTAATACATTAGCACCTGTACCTCAATGTATTACATTGTATTGAATTCTAAATGCATCTATAAAACCATACAGTACTGTGACAGTAAGGGGCACTACAGGAATTAATGGGTCCAAAGGCAATGGCGAATCAAAGATATCTTAGCTAATGTAGTTAAAAGCTGTGTAGGTTTTTAAAATAAAATCCCTGGGTATTTTTTGTTTTGTTTTTTTTGTTGGGGGGAGGGGTTGGGGAGGGAGTTGGGAAAGAATGTCTCCACTTGGAGAGTCAAGAAAATTTCCTTACAAAATTGGAAATGTTTCTCAGTCTCAGATTCATGTCTTTTCAACATTTTGGCAATGACTGACCTTTAGTGAGATGATATATGAAGAAAAAGTGGCATCGGGTTGCAACATTCTTTCCGGGAGTTGAGCCAAAATCTTTGTTTTCTGTACTCTTAGTAATAAATTTGTGAAAGGGGGTTCCTCAAATCTCAAGCCTTGACCCGGTGTCATATGAAAATCGGACTCTTTTCCCCTTTTATTGGTTAAACCCTCTCACGTGACCGGTCCCTCTCGTAATTATCTATGCATGAGCATGCGCGCAATACCACCAATGAGTCCGTATTTCATAAAAGTTAAATTCATGCTACACCGGCTCCAACATGGTGATTTTGTTTGGCCTGGAAGTGTCACCGCACATGTCTTGTTAGTAATCACTGACATCTCTCTCTTTCTGTTTTTCAACACCCAGCATCCTCTCTCCCCCTTGGAGCTGATGGAGGAACCGTTACGGACCCAGGTCCTGATGGCTCAGGTCAATGCTGCAATGTGGAGACGGAATGGCTACTCACTTCTCAACCAGGTTTGACAGTCATCCCTCCTCAAGTGGTGTCCCCTAGCGTGGCGCACTGGGACATTTTTACTGACTTTCCTCATGTAGTATTGCTAAGCCGCTATGTTGACGAGAATCATGTTCATTTAGTTAATTGCTGGTGCTGTGAAAACTTGCTATGGAAACCTTAACATTTTTAATTTCATGAAATTTAGACAGAAAGCCATAGAGTGCTGTCTACAGGGTGAGTCACAAAAAAAGTTTTCAGCAAAACGAAAACAATTCATGTAGGAATGTGTGTGAATTGTTTTTGTTTTGCTGAAAGAACACTTGGTTTTTAGTGATCTGTTGACAGAACTTCAAAACGAGGTTTGTGTTTAAACTTCTGTTACTTGAAAAGTACATGAGTGATTTGAATGATTGTTGCACTGAAAGAAAGCTTATTAATTGGGCTTTCATATCCTAGATTTCGAAAGTGCTACATGCAAAGGTTCCGACATTTGGGTCTCGTTTTTTTTTACTCACCCTGTAGAAATTGGATACATAATTTGGGCACATAAATTGGGCAGAGGGTTAATTAAATTGGCCCTCGAACACATCGAAGGAATTCCCAGAATTTGAGAAATTTATTCAACCTATTGCTTATGTTGGCAGTCTTGAGTGTTACGTATTGTATTCCTTTCCCCTGATAGATCTACTACTATCAGAATGTGGCCTGCCAGCGAGAAATGTATGATAAAGACATCATCATGTTACAGGTAAAACACCAACCCCCCTTTTGAAATGGAAAATTTTTATTTGTCGTTAAAAAAATAAATGTTATGTTGTCGGTGAATGCCCCAATCGTCGTATGTTTAAGGCATTTGGACCTCAAAAACAAGAAGGGGGGTCAGATTTTTTTTTCTTTTTTTGATTTTTTTTGTGTTTGTTTAGGTTCGCACTGATTTTGAACAGAAACAGGTCCAGACATACTGAGTTCCTTGTCTTTTTTTAATCCTGTGTGCCATTAATATGTTAAAGTGGAAAACTTGGAATTTCTCCGTTTTTGAGATTGCTAAGTACATGATTGGATAATTCAAGCATTGAAATGACTTCCACATCTCAACTATTTTTGTTTGACAGTCTTGTGCCTGTTTGATGGACAGTAATGACTTCATGATCCGCGCTCTAGACCGCTACAACCTGGTCAGATTCCTGACTGTAGAATTTGAGGGCAGCTCCACTCCCGAGGTAGGCCATGCACACACATTGAAGACATTGCAAATTCTTTTGAGATGGCTAATTTTGATGTTTTGAGAGAAAGTTATTCTTTCTTTTTGAATTTTTTATACATTTTTACGGCATTGCTTTTTACATTTGCATTTTACATTCAATGCTCTGCCCGTTGTCCGGTGACTTCCGATAACGCCTACCGTCTGAAATGTTGATTTTCCACTAGTTCTTTTCAGAACACAACTCACTAAAAAGATATCCTTTCACATGGGTGCAACATCAAACTCACACTTATTATTACATTATCAAGTACGTGGGCATAGTGGCTTCACCGCCTGTCTAACTCGTGAACAATCAACTCGGGAACACACACACACATACTCATGTAGTCGAGGACCGTTTTCAACAAAAGACCCAATACTCAAGACTGAAAGGATCTTTTGTTCTCCCTTTGTGTGGGTATCCTTGATCGTAAAACCATTCAAGAGCACACATTCTCGTTCCGTAACTGTGAGGACTACACATGGTACTCCTATGGTACTATGGGGACCAAAGAAACTATGAGGTCAGCAGAAAAGTCCCCATAACTCGGTCCTAATCACCCTAACAATGAAAACTTTCCCATAACACGGTGACTGCCAGCCCACGATTGCAGGTGTATACATACCACGTTATGGGGAAGTTTTTTATTGTAAGGCAAATTAGAGCCGAGTTATGGAGACTTTCTGCTGTCCCCACAGCGTTTTCAGTCCCCACAAATACCTTGTACAGACGAGTGTACGTCCCCACAACTACGGAACAAGAATGGGTGGACCCCCTATGGTTTTTCTTTTGTTTTTAGCAAAAGCTCTCGTTGTTTTTGTTCACGAATCTCAATCGTGGACCTTTTGTCAATCTTGGACCCTATTGTCCTCTATTATTCAAGGTCCATGATTTGAATGCGTATACAAACTCAGCCTCACACACACATATACTTATCAGGGAAGGCCTTTGTTTCCCTTCTTTTGTTCTCCTTTGTTCCTATTGAAATGTCAAACTCCATAGCGTTTCCTTTATGGGGTAGATTGATTACTAAAGACTTACTTATGGGGTATATGGTTCTATTGGGTTTTCTACCCAAAAAGGAACCCTGTACATGTACATGTTGGATTGTTTATGTTGTAAATTGAGGATTCCCTGTTGTTCCTCATCATCCATCTTTTGTTCATACTCTTAACTTTTTTTTGCAACAGCTCCCATTGGTTTTGTACACGTTTATTATTAAATCGAGCACATCCTCGATGTGACTCCTGTCCTCAATTACACAAGGATATTTCACATGTGTGTCCTCGATTTACACCATGAACATGCGCACACATACACAACTTGTGCACTTTACAGTATAGCGGTGATAATGTCCCTATCCTTTCATGCAGGACATCCAGCAGCGTACCCTAGGACTGGCCATCTTGGAGGAATTCTTGCATCTACTGATCGTGCTGGTCAGCGAGCGATACATCCCCGGTGTGGGCCAAGTGACCAGAGCTGACCGCGTCCGCAGAGAGGTCCTACACCAGCTGTACATCAACTCAATGTCGCACAGCGAAATCGTCAAGGCCTTACCTAAGGACGTAAGGCGGAATGTAATTACTTAGGTTTTTCCTGAGTGCCTTAAAGGCTGCGTTTAATACTCAAACATACTATTGACTGGTAATGAGGTCACTAGTGCACACCTATGTACCCCAAGGGGCTGTGATTGTGAGGCTCCAATATGTCCCTCTGCCAAGTGGGAATCTAATTTCTCTGGATTTTCTGAGTGCCTCCAAGGCTTTGTTACTAAACATTATATTGACTGGCAATGAGGTCACTAGTACACAACTATGAACCCCAAGGGGCTGTGACTGTGAGTGATCAAAAGAGGCTCCCATTTCCTTATGCCAAGTGGGAATCTAATTTCTTGGGATTTTATGAGTGCCTTCAAGGCTTTGTTATTCAATCATTACATGTATATTGACTGGCAATGAGGTCACTAGTACACAACTATGTACCCCAAGGGGCTGTGACTATGAGGCTCCCATTTCCCTATGCCAAGTGGGAATCTAATTTCTTGGGATTTTCTGGGTGCCTTCAAGGCTGTGTTACTCAAACAATATTATAATGCACATATTAACTGGCAATAGGGTCACATCTACGCATCCCAAAGGACTATGAGTGACCACAAGAGGGTCCTACTTCCCTATGTGCTGAGTGACTAAATAAAGGCCTGTTTAATAATACTTGCTTGAAAGTGAACACGAACACAAATTTGTGACACCATGGCAAGTTTTCAAACTGTAAATTTGCAAAAGTTGAACACATTTCAAATTTCGTAGAGAATGTTTTGTGACGTTATTTTCGCTTTGCCTTCACATGCACGTTAACCCTCCTATGCAAACATACACTACAAGTGGTCCTTTCAGTCAAAATCAATCAAGTGACTGTTTTCAACAGATAAGCATTTCCAGCATACATAAAAGGGATTGACTGGCTGTGACTGTTATGTAACTTGATACAGCTTTGCTGTGACTTTGGGTAATTGATAAGCCAGCTGTGCCTAAAAAAGCCTGCTTTGTCTGTTCACGGTCTGTTGACTGAGTTTGACTAGTCACAGTGCTTGCTTGACATGATCTGACTGCTGGTGACTAGCCTGTGTTAAAAGTATAGGAGGGGAAGTGGATGGAAATTTTGACTGGCTGTGACTGTTTAGATAGCAGGAGGTTTAAGCATGAATCGGCCTTAATGCCAATCCATATGGGTTTCACAACGTGGCACAGTTCACAAAAATTACATTTTTCATATTCTGATGAGCCTTGATAATCTCCACATGTCACCGTAAACAGTCAAGAATCGTTAGGGCGCATGATATAAAAGTGAATAATCAGTTGATTTTTGGTGTTTTTTTCCTTCTTCCTGTTCTGATTTCCAGCATTGTCATGAAACTGGTGTGGAAGAAGTCATCAATTCCGTGGCCAATTTTAAGTAAGTCCTTCTTTTTCATCCATGGTGTCTTTTAACCACTTTGCGCCGGGATTATTTTTGGCGAAAATTTCGATTTTCGCAAAAGGCAAAATTTTTGTCAGCCAACTTCTGATATACAGCCAAACGCCAGAAATACTGATTCACAAGAGTAATTTCAACAGTATTTGTACGATATTTCTTGCCGAAACCTCATATGTTTCAATACTCTGGGGTGTGCACTGGAGCGTAAATTGTACAACAGTAGGCCATGCACAATGGCCAATTCAAGATCAAAAGAAGAGATCATATCTCCGGCCTCACTTGCTGCGAGCGGGTCGCTGATAGATATTTCCAGCCTCGCTCCTTACATGTTTTTCTGTCATCCGTTCGAAGACAGGCAAAACGTTTGCGGGTATACACGTCATCCGGCGCGAATTGGTTAAACAGTAGTTAAAAAAAAAATTTGTTGACTGTATTTGTAGGAAGCCAACCGGAACGAACAGCAAAGGCCTATATGAGATCAAGCCTGACTGCCTGGCCGAGTACTCGCCCTTCTTCTATCATTACTCACGGGTTGACCAGTCAAAGGTAAGGGAATCACTGGAAATCAGTTCCCTTCAAGGGCCATTATCTTTGGCACTTGAACGTTCAACCAATAAAAGGGTAAATGGGACCAGACTTCATAGGAGTCCAAATTTTGTGTGACACTGGAAAAGTGTTTAAGACCAGCCAGCTGGTGTTTTATCTACAGTTTAAGACCCGCCACGTGACGGGCTCTCGACCAATAGGAATGGGTAAACTGTCTTAGGTATTTATGAATTCATAATACTGAATACCGTAGTGATCCATGTCTATGGCAATTGGCTTGAGCCGCTTCCATAGCCGCATGTGTAATTTCAAGCCGTAGCCAAGTAATTCAGATGGCTACGGCTCACAGTGATCCATGTTTATGGCAATTGGCTTGAGCCACTTCCATAGCCGCATGTGTAATTTCAAGCTGTAGCCAAGTAATTCAGATGGCTACGGCTCACAGTGATCCATGTCTATGGCAATTGGCTTGAGCCGCTTCCATAGCCGCATGTGTAATTTCAAGCCGTAGCCAAGTAATTCAGATGGCTACGGCTCACAGTGATCCATGTCTATGGCAATTGGCTTGAGCCACTTCCATAGCCGCATGTGCAATTTCAAGCTGTAGCCAAGTAATTCAGGTGGCTACGGCTCACAGTGATCCATGTCTATGGCAATTCATAATACTGATGGGCTGTTGATTGGTTGTTTTCTTTTGCAGTCTGAAGAACAGCAACGCAAGCGAATGAAACAAGACAAACCAGTGCAAGGTAATGGACAACAAATAATGGTATACTCGTCCTCTTTGGACACTTGTTCGAACCCCACTTTGACAGTTTTAAAAAAATTCAGTACATACTCTGTGGTGTTTGTTCCAACATTAAAGTTGCTTTCCCCATGCTTCAACAAATGCAGTTTTTTCTTCCCCTTAACTTTTCAATGTGGATGTTTCATTTTTAAGGGGAAAAAAAAACTCACTAAATTTTAAAACTGTTTTGGACGTCTACAACCCTCTGGAAAAAAAAAAAATTATTTTGGGTTGCCTGTGCACCTCTAACACGTAAAAAAGATCATGCCTGAATTATTGTCAGGTCACAAATAATTCAACATTTGTCAAGTAAGATTCCATAAAACTAAATCTAATTGGAATTTTCTCTTAGATGTCTCGTTATTAAAGTGAATAACTTTTCTTTTGCTGGAAATATAGCGAGTTGAAAAAAGGATGAAAGCAGGATGAAAACAGTAAACAGTCAAGGGAGAGCAGTTAAAAAAACACTGAACATTGCTATTGTCTCCTCTCATCATTCAGTTGTTAGGCTTTTGAGAAGTTGATGTGACTCTGTGCATGCTACATTCTGTGCATTGCAATGTAGTACACAGTGCCGCTCATTTCAATCATGACACTGCCTTGTATTACACATAATTTTCCAGAGTGGTTCAACATTTCTTTTCACCCTAAAAGGGGAGGGAATTCTCAATTTTTTTTTTTCAAAAGTAGAAAGAAAACAAATGAAATAACTAAAAAAGCAGAGAATTAAATAAGGTAGAATGCTGATAAAGGATCACAAAAGATAATGTGTTACAGGTTTGTTTCTTTTAACACTAAAAAGGCAATTTTCTGCTGTGCTTGGAATTCTGAAAATTGTACATAAATTATTTACCGAAACTGAATGTTTGGTATATTGTCACTCTACTGAAATACGCAAAGTTAAGGTTTTGTTGTTTATCTTGTTTTCATTTCAGTGGCCTGTCCTCCCCTGCCCCCACTGCCGAGCCCCAATTTCAAGAATCTTCCTCATCTATTGGACAGTGAAGTCCTAGTCAGTGTTTTACACACCATCGTCCGTCGCGCAGTGGAGCGCATTCGTCAAATCTACTCAGAACAATCGCTGCAAAGGGTAGGCAACTTTTTGAAATGCTAAGGGCTTGTTTACAGTGTGCGTGTTAACAGGATTCCAAGTGGGAAATAAATGATATTGTTCTGGTTTCATTGGGACATTTTTCCGCACAGTAGAGTGATTATCCGCAAAGCTTAGAAACCTGAGCAATATTTTCAAAAATACCGTGCTATAAATCTGCATCCCAGTCCTGACACTATTCAGCTAGCCATGACATCAACCTGTTAACCTTTCAGTACTTTGCATAAATTATCACAATACTGCAATAATAATGTTTAGCACCTTAGGATAGTAATGTCTTGTTTCTGCCTTCCTGTACCATAGTGATCAGTGGCGCACCCAGGATTTGGCTTTGGGAGGGGGCTCCCAATTTTTTTTTTTTCAAATTTGTAGAAGTTAAAAAAAAATCCAAAAATCTTGCCCAAAATTTTTGGCCACAGAAAAAAATTAAGTTTTTTTTCGGCGTTTGACGTTGGTGGCGCCACTTACACCCCTATTATACTACCTGAAAATAGGCCACATGCATATCACCAAGGTCAAATTGTGGGACTACAAAAAAAAAAAAATTACCAAAAAAAACAATCTGGGGGGGGGGGGGATGGCTCAAGCCTCTCGAGCCCCCCCTTGGGTGCGCCACTGATGGTGATGGCAAAATCTTGGTGGGATTACGTCATCCGATGAAAACACACATTCATTGGCACACCAGTTTTCATCGGTTGCTATGTGTTACCATTCAGCACTCCAGACTCAAGAACCATTGAGTTTTAAGAACATATGTCTGGAAGCTGGATGAGCAGATGCAAAAAATTCCCAGATATCCGCGCTCACCTATCATGGAAAGTCATGGAGAGTTTATATTCCAAGAAAAAAGTCATGGAAAAATCATGGAATGCTGCACAATCCATAAATGATCATGTGTAATATTTGGCTGTGGCAGTCGTCCAGTTTGCATTCCAGTTTACTATACTTCCTCTCTATGCATGTATATTCTATACTTGCTGCTTTTCAGTGCACCATCGTGGTGCTTTTGTGGTGCTCAGTGGTCTCGTGTCAAACTGGAAGGCTGAAAGGGAGTGGCATTCCTTGCATCAGTGTGATGACTGGCTAGTGCATTGTTAATAAGCTCATAAGATGCCAAAACAGCTTAGGAATTTGTCATTGAAACCCCTAATCTTGTCCTAAGTACATGCTGTGGCTTTGTACCAGCCTACCCTATTCACCGCCATATGCATTCCGCTAAAATTATCATCGTTTAATTAATATTGTGAAGCTTGTAAATTAATCCAGTCAAAAATCAAAAGTATCATAATTCCCTCTACAGGCTTTGTTCTTAACCGGACTGGCTGTGCTTGAAGAAAAGCGGCACGCAAAGATGGGCGAAGAATTTCATTTCCTTGAAAAAGCTGTGAAAGGTAAGTTGTGGCCAACCCATAGAGCTATGGACTCCATGCGAGAACAGTTGATGGTGTTTGTTTTACCACTTTCAATAGCGCCACTGGGAGGTACACACCGCATGCACGCACTTGTTCCTGCCCGAAAGTACCCACTGCTAATTTTATTCTGAGTTTTCACAAACCACTTGCGTCTTCGCGTGTAGGGCTGTGAATTGGAACCGCGTACCCTAGTACCCGACGGCTGATGTCAGCAACCAGTTCCGGATAATTGGATCGGGTACCGTAAAATGAACTTTACAAACTTCTCAGACAATGAAAAAAGAAAGGTCATGAATGTCATTTATGGAAAATTTAAAAAATAAAAACCAGGATACATAAGAAAACAAAACATATTTCACGTTTATGACGCTCGCGAAAGGTAAAGCTGTAAGCTCACTGTACGCAATTGTAGCTTGCTGTATTGACGCACCGATGTTTATATATCCAGGTGAGCCAAGTTTGCTGAATTTGCTGAAGAACCTGACGGGAAACTCCACCGTTGAACCACACAAGGAGCTTCTAGCCTGGGTCTTACAGGTATGAATCAGTGCAACCCCATTCCATGGCTCTGCTTTACCGTAAGCCAACAATTTGTGTTACTATACCTCATACATATTTCTCACTGGTCCATTCACCATCACATGCCAGATGCTATTTTTGCTGTTTACCAAGCGCGCGCGCGAGTATTCACGCACATGGTAAATTGGCATACAACGCGTGGGCTTTATGAAGCAATCGTGGAACTGTGGTACCGGTGAAGTACGCGCGTGCGAACATTGTTCTAGCTACACATGAAAAGATGGTGGCACATGTAAATGTTAATTAGCGTTTTTCCAAGCTCAGTGATGCCAAACTGGAGAATAGTGTGGACAATAAAGGTGCCTCCTCCACTAAAAATAAGTTGCCCACAATGCAGTAAACTCTTAGGAGTTACTATATTGCAAAAGAACTGAACTTTTCTGAGGTTGAGCAATATTCTTCTTGTGAGCCGGACAAGTTTCTCTGAAGATTTTATGCCCGCTAGGTGCATACTGCAACGGGAAAATTCAGCAACTGAATATGTATGAGGTATAGTAAAACAAATGTAACATGGTTTATTTTGGTTGGATAGTCAATATTAGCTCCCCTCGGTATTGGAAGCTGACAAACTAGTTCCCGAGGCGAAATCAACTCCCAATACCTGAGGGAACTAATATAGACTATCCACCCGTAAACGATGCTATATTTGTATATTATCTTGTTTGATAATAAAACATCTGGAGGATGTTTTTTGCAAACAGTATGCGTGTTTCACATCTTAATAATGGGCTAGCTAACGGTTGGTGGCATTTTTTTTTTTGGGCGGGGGGAATATGGCGCCCCCACCCTGCCCTTCGCACTCCCCCCTCAGAAAATGAGGTCCCGAATGTTCCCCCTGCGAATTGAACCTTAGTCATGCTATTGCAACTTAACAAGGATTTTGGGCTGGGCTGCATTTTTAAATCTTGTAACGAAGAATTCCATGTCATGATCTTTTATTTCAATCGTTTCCTGAGAGGGTGTAATTATGATTAAACTGTATTATCAGGAGGAAAGCATATAAGCTCAGACAAATATTTAACCAGTGGGTGCATATGAAATTATTGGAAAAATTTGACTCTTGTTATGTGACATAGAACCTGTATAAGAAGCGCATTTGGCAAAAATGTGTTTGTTAATCTCTAAAATGCTCCTGTAAGCCTACGGTGTTGTGAGCATTACCAACGCCCGTTTTCGGTCGAGATTTTTTTTTCTGTTGGTATTCTGGGTCCATAACTGTTTCATTAATTTTATTTAAAAGAAACTCTTACAATTCACCTCCAGAACATTACAGAACTGCAGCTGATGAGGGGCGACACTGCCACCGCCTCCTTAGCGCCATCATGCCCCGCCCCCAAGGGACAGGACCAGGAGTTGCTCAGACAGCAGCAGGCAGAACGCCAGCGGAGATCGGAGCTAGCCATGAAGAAGAGGGCCCACGCCATGGACCAGATGAGGGCCATGCAGCGCAGCTTCATCCGTCAGAACCCGGAGTTCTTTGAGCAGACTCTAGAGGGCGCCAGAGAGGAGCGGACGGCCTCCACCTCCAGCATGGACACAGTGTAAGTCCTTGTCCTGAATTACTTGGCTGCGGCTTGGAATTACACACGCGCCTATGGAAGCCGCTGCAGCCTCTTCCCATAGTCCTGTGTCTTATTTCCAGCCGCAGCCAAGTAATTCGGATGCTGCCTATGTCCACATCTGAATGACTTTGCTACGGCTCACAGTAATGCATTTCTATGGCAATTGGCTGCAGCCGCTTCCATAGCCGCATGTGTAGTTGCAAACGGTAGCCAACCAAATTGGTTTCAGCTCAGGGATGCTGTCACAATAGATGTCGCAATTTTTTGAATGAACAAAGAATTATTTATTTTTATTATCTTCATCCAAATATCCATAACCACATCTTTCAGAAATTTATTGCAATTTTTTAACCCCATTATTATTCCGTTAGTAAACTAGGCAATCTTTTGTTTAACTCAAATGCTCCTTAAACAGTGGTTGACCCTTGTGTTGGTAGAAAAATAGCAAGTTAAAAACCTAACAATTTGACAGGGTTGAAAATGAAAATAGAGCAACTTTAAATGAACTGAACACAATTTCACTCCATGTGCATTTTGGGATTGGTCAGTTTGAAGTAGACGAAAGGTTATAATTTAGTAAGTAATGTGATTGATTGTGTTGTTTACAATGCAAATTATGTCAGAGTTTGATTCCCCATAATTTTTTGTTTTGATGACAGTGATATGTTTCTGAAGTCTAGTTCGATGGAGGATGCATTTGTAGCACTTGGTCCGTCACACAGTGAACCGCTATTGGATGAGACCAGCAAAGTGACCTGCATATTGTGCATGGAGGAGTCTGAAATCAGAGTAGATGGTGATTCGCTGGTGCTACCCATGTTTGTGCAGAGGTGTGCAAGTTTAAATCCCAGTTCATACTTCATGCGAATGCGAATGCGAATGCGAATGCGAAGCGAATTGGACGTCATGAATCGTTCACAATGAAATTCGCCCGAGTTGAAATATGTTCAACTTTTACAAATTTGCAGCGCAAATACTTGCCATGACGTCACAAATTCGCCCTCACTTTCACTTTTGCGCAGAGTATAAACCAGGCTTAATAATTTATTTTTTTTCACATATGAAGAAAAGGACAAAATTTACCATAAACATAATGAAATTCTTGTAATAAATTTTCAATTTCTATGTTTATTCCAACTAAAAAAACATTTCTTTTCCCCGTTTTTTGGACGTCTGCAACCCTCTGAAAAAACAAAGGTTTTTGTTTGAGGTACAAACAGATCTACTTTGCAAACAGACTGGCTCCAGGTCTGTTCATTATCAATACTGATTGTTGGGTGGGAACCAGTCTACCCGGCAAGAATTATTGTTTGGAAGCCATTTATTCGAAATTGTAAAGTAATATTTCAATAACTAAACATGGGCCAATTGTTTTTCAGGTCGATGTCTCATTCAAAAGTGAACAACTTTTGTAGGGCTAGAAAAGGAAACTTTTTTGGGGTGGGGGGATATTCATTGCAAAAGTGAAGACAGACAGACCAACATGTGCAGCCCGACAGACAGATGGACAAACACGTGGTAAAATGATGGAGCAAATGCAGGCAAAAAACTACTAATTGGAGTGGGACGATGAAAATAAAAAAGAGGAAATATACTCGATATCTGGAGATTAGGAATAACTCAGTTTGTACCGAATACATAGTGGTCTGAAACTGAAACATGTCCATCACAAGTCACCGATTCCAAATTTTTGAACATGATGTTTTTGATATATCTTGCATATTACAGGTCAACTGTATTGGCTCAAGCTCGTAACAAAGACTTGGGAAATCCGGGTAAGTTTGTTGGAAAATATTAACCACACAAAACTGGTATTATTCCAAATGTGCATAAACGAGGGGTAGTTAAGAAGTAGTAGTGGTATTTTTAGAGTCAGGTTGGCGTAGCGATACTTTTCTCGAGTTCCACCGCTGTGACCCAGGTTTGATTTCTGCCCAGGCCAATATGTGGATTGGGTTTTCAGTCTCTACCTGATTCCATGGGTTTTCCTCAGAATATTCTGGGTTTTTCCTCCCACATCTACAACTGTAGTTTCTTCACATTGTCTTCTCTTTATTGGGCCCCATTGGAGTCCAGTGGATTCCAGTGAATGGGCTGCCCAGTTTAAACAAGAAATAATAAATTATTACTCCATTTGTGTTGATCATTCTGTCCTTGTCCAAGTGGTTGTTCCTTGACCACGATTTGTTACGAGTCCCTTGTGGAGAGGTCATGTATACCAGTACAAGTACTGCACCACTCAGAAGTGCTTTGTGTGCAGGGAAAGCAATCCTACACCGATACATTGTTCGTAGTGGCATAAAGGCACCATACCATTACAGATTGCCAGAACATGTAAGGCTGTGTCCAACTCACTTGGCTGTAACCGGAAGTAAAGCATGAATCTTTGAGAAATTGCTGCAGCCGCTAGCCGGTGGCTTCCATAGGTGCGTGTGTTACTCCCGGTCATAGCTAAGTGATAAGGAGATGGCGTTAGTCTTGCTCAAATATGACAAAACTCGGTATACTAGACATTAATCAATGTATTCTACTCCCATAGCTTATGATCTTTATTTTTCCCTCATAGAGTTAGATGTGTTGACTGTATATTGTGACAATTTCTTTCCTCAAGCCACACAATTTTTTTTTGCAAAGCCTGATAAAAAAACTTCACATGGTCATCATTTTCTTTAGGAAAACCTTCACCAATCCACTCATTTATGTGATTGATTAATATTCTTCTCTCTCCAGATGAGCTTGATCCACTGTTTGTGTCGGCTCAGTTGACATGGGGAGTGCATGCCAATACCTGTGGTCACATCATGCACGCTGACTGCTGGCAAGGGTAAACTAACTTCTGCTTATTTGACCACATCTACCTTAACCCTAAATGAGGGGGGGGGGGGGGGGGAGAGGGGGCGGGGGCAAGTGTATCCCCCTTTTATGGAATCCTGGCTTTACAGTTTTGTGTGCTTATCATTCATGAATGTGTAGACTGATGTCTTACTTACCACCTATTTCAGTGAGTTTCCCCCGGTTCTTTTCAGAACCTCATGAACCCCGCTCCTCACGTGTTTATCTGTCATCCGTTCCAGATACCGCTAAACCTTTACATGTAAACACGTCATCCGGCGGGAAATGGTTGAAAAAAACAACTTAAACAACGTTCATGCAAAATGTCAAATTGAAAAAAAGTTTTGTTTTCCTTTGACTGTGTACGCAGCTGTAGTTGTTCAATAGCAAAAGTGTGGAATATTAATGATCAAAATGCTTTGTCAGATTGAGCCAAATTTTTATCATGGAAATTTCTGCTAGTCTTCCAATAAAAAAAAATGGCCCATACATTTCTGAAAAAAGTAAAGTTATTCCCTAACTTAAAAATGGCTCTTTTTTGAGTCGATATCACATTAAATATTGATTAACTTTTGTATTTCTAACAGTTGAAATTTTTTTTGGGAGGGGTTGAAGTAAAACATGGGGAGAGCAAAGTTAAGAATATTATTCCAAGGCAGCCTTTAAACAACAAAATTGTTTATGAATCTTTTTGACTGAATTACGATTTCAGGTATTTTGAGTCGTTGGTCATCAAGGAGCAGCGCAGGACTTTCCGGTTCCGTAACAACTTGAGCTATGACCTGACCCGTCACCAGTACCTCTGCCCGCTGTGTAAGACCATCGGCAACACCGTCATACCCCTCATCCCACCGCTGCAGGCTCTCCTGCCGGAGGAAGAAAGGTAGGCTGCAGTCCTCAAGTATTGGTGTCCAGGCACTTAAGATGGATCCTAAGTTCATCACAAGTCCATCACAAGTGTGGTCACAAGTAAATCACAAGTCGGTTAACAAGTCAGTTCACAAGTCAGTTTGCAAAACAGTTCAAACGTAAAATACAAGTCAGTTCACAAATCTGGTCGCAAGTAAATCTCAAGTCCGACTCAATTCACAAGTTCTGTTACACATAAATCACAAGTCCAGTCACAAGTAAATCACAAGTCCATCACAACTCCGGTCACAAGTAAATCACAAGTCTGGTCACAAGTCGGACTCAATTCACAAGTTCAGTCACAAGTAAATCACAACTTCATCACAAGTAATCACAAGTCCATCACAACTCCGGTCACGAGTAAATTTCAAGTCTGCTCACAAGTAAATCACAAGTCCGACTCAGTTCACAAGTAAGTCACAAGCCCATCACAAGTAAATCACAAGTCCATCACAACCCCGGTCACAAGTAAATCACAAGTCCGACTCAGTTCACAGGTAAGTCAAAAGCCCATCACGAGTAAATCACAAGTCTATCACAACTCCGGTCACAAGTGAATCACAAGTCAGCTTACAAGGCTTGTCACAAGTAAATCACAAGTCCGACTCAGTTCACAGGTTCAGTCACAAGTAAATCACAAGTCCATCACAACTCCATTCACAAGAAAATCACAAGTCAGCTCACAAGTAAATCACAAGTCCGACTCAGTTCACAAGTTCAGTCACAAGTAACTCACAAGTCCATCACAACTCCGGGCAAAAGTAGAATTTGTGATTTAATGACTTGTGATTTAATCATTCACAAGTCTGGTCACAAGTAAATCACACGTCAGACGTAGTTCACAAATTCAGTCACAAGTAAATCACAAGTCCATCACAAGTCCGGTCACAGGTAAATAACATGTCAGTTCACAAGTAAACCACACATCAGACGTAGTTCACAAGTTCAGTCACAAGTAAATCACAAGTCCATCACAAATCTGGTCACAAGTAAATCACAAGTCTATTACAAGTCTCTGCCCCCATTTCATGGCGCTGCTTAACAGTTAGCAGGAATGTTGTGCTAACTATGGCAGAAAATAGTGCTAACCTTAAGCACTATTTCATGGTGTGCATGTGCTAACGGTTGCATGCGCATGGAGATTTCTATTGTTACGTCACTAATTTAAGCAACTTTTTTCTTTTGAGGAAAGAGTGCCTTATGCTGCTTACGGTCTTCATGAAATAGACGTAGGCTCTTTTACCAGAAAATCGTGTGCTTAGTAGCGCCAAGAAATTGGGCCATGGGCATAAATGACTCGGAACCCAATTCACAAGTCCAGTCACAAGTTAGCAGGGATGAACAATAACAAAGGAGCGTTTTTCACCTATTAGTGATGGATGCCTGTAGCTCTCAGAAGCACCCTTCTCTAACATGGTGTATCTGCAAACTTCTCCAAAGTTTGCTTGAACCTTGAGGCTCGCAAGTTCCCAACATTTTTTTTTACGTCGTTGGTTTATCCCCAACACCTCGGCCATACTTATGAATTACAAAATTAATTGAATAAAAAAGCCATGGTGGTAATGTTAAGATAAAGATCCGAAGCTGCATCTAAAAATTGGTCAACAAACCTCACACAAATAAACATTTTTATGTTTTGCAACCTGGATTGGTCTTTATTATGTCTGTATTATACGTTTTACTTGTTGTTTTTGCATTTTGCCATGAACAGAGAATAAATGTTTCATAAGTTTGAAAATTCACACTCTAGAAACAATTCCCTCCTGACCTGTAGTACTTGCACTTTTCTCGTAAACAGTGACACCTCATGCAGCGCCTTCCAGGAATGGCTCCACCTCATTCAGGGAATGGTACGCTCCGGGGTGAAGCCACCACAACAGTCCAGATCAGATCCCTTGGATCTGTCCACGTCGGCAGAGGGGTCAACAGCTGATATGGAGGGACACATAGGGTCAACAGTGAAGATGGAAAAACTTGACAGCGAAGGTATTGGGCTGGGCTCTGGAAACAAAAAAGAGTTTAAAATGTCTGTCATTTGTAACCTTTGCCAGTGTTTGACCCGCACCCACAGTTCTAACTAGGAGTTAATGTTCATGTTAGTGCTGAAAATGAAGCCTCAGGTTCGGTATGGGTTTGGTTCGGCACTTTTTATCCGAACTTTGGTTTTGTTTGGTTTCGGCAGCAAATGCGAACGTCAAAACAAGTTGTTGGGAGTATACCTGTTATAATCGTCTTCATGCATAATAAACCTCTTAAAGTTTTAGAGGACCTTCGTAGGACAGAATAAACCCAACCATGCCATATTGACACTGCTTTATAGCACAAGTAAAAGAATTGGTATTTTTTAAGTGCTTGAAGTGCAAAATTTAGAATGAGAGTGGAGTTTCGTACGTGAAAAACTTATCCATATTGCCCATTGTGTCTTACCAAAAAACAAATCTCAACAACATTTTGATGTAAAAAACTATCGTATATTACCCCCAAAACCCATGAAAAGGCATGATTATGATTATTCACTTACCAAGGATCGTTGATGCTTCTCCCCAGATCTTGACAGGCAAATTTTCACCAGCACGGGACTCCTTGAGACACTAGGAGACGCAGCTTCCCAGACCATGGAAACGCTGGAAACACTGGGAGATGCCGCCAAAACGCTGGGGGATGCCGCCACGCAGAAGTTCCAGAAATTCTGTGCCCTGCTGCAAGGCTCCAAGTAAAATTCTTTGATTGATTTTGTTTTCGTTAAAAGAAAGTGAATGGTGCTTTAAGCACTGTCGATATCAGAATTTTCAATAATCGATACATCAGAAATCCAATATCGAGCATATTCGATATATCGATTATTACCATGTAAAAGTTAAAGACCATAAAGATGAAACTTTGTCTTGATAAAAGACACAAATCTTAAGTCCCAGGTTTCCACGACTTCCTGTGAAGCATATTGCTCAAACATTTTTAAAACAAATCTCAGCACTGAGAGTTTGTCCAGAACGAGTGGTTTCTTTTGAGGTTTTATATTGGGGGAGACCGCAAATTCCAGAGAACGCAGAGCACAAAGCGTCACCGCTTGGCATTTCGCGATGTTTTTATTTTCAGTCACAAGCACAAGTTGCTGCCGAGTTTTATGTCATTATAGTTTTAAAGCAAACGTTAAACACAAAGTAACAGCACAAACGGGAGATTGATTTGGACGATAATCTGATGCATTTTGATATTTTCGATATCATTCCTCAATATCGAAATTTCCGATATTTCGAAATGATTAAAAAATTACTATCTGCGATTCTGATATCAAATAATATCAAATAATCGAGTAATATCGATATATCGACAGTGCTTAATTGTCTGAAGATAGTTTGATTTGCTATTTTTATTCCTAAAACTTCTTTTTCCCCCCTTCTTTCAATAGTTTTCCCTTTTCCAAGAGTGTTCAGGAGATGATCCGTATGTTTTCCAAGACAGCGTACACTGTGAGTAGCACTCATGTTCACAAATACTTTATGATTGAGATTTGACTTTGCACTGTGGTGTAAATTTTTGAAAAACTTATTTGTAGGTTTTGTTTCTGTAATGTGACCTGCCTTAACAAAATGAGCTTAAAGTCAGATTTTATGTGAGAATTGGGATATTTGTAATTCTGGATCCTACACAACAAAAGCTTAACAATGGTAAATCACTTTTTGGGGAACTTAGTTCAGTAAGTAGAAGGACAGACCGAAGGTTGTGATGCAGTTGGGCAGTTATGGAGTAAATCTTGCTAATTTGCATCATGCTTTTTCCCCCAATAGTTGTTGTGGGCATAATAAATAACGGGTTAAAATAGGTTTTATACAGGGCGAGTCAAAAAGAAAGTGGCCGAATTAGAAAAAAATAGTTAAAAAATAAGTGACTAGCTCCATTTCATGAAAATGACATAGGCATAAAGTACATGTTATTGACTAGTACCTGTAAACATTTCACGTAATTTGCATACTCTGTTCCCAAGTTATGTCTATTTTCATAAAAAAAGATCACAAAATTCAGCTGTCCGCCAATGATCATTGCACGTTTTACAAACTGTTGAATACCCATTAAATACAATGTAACATGGACGTTTTCCAACCTCCATGGATGAACGAGAACTCGCAAAGGAAAACAGACAAAAAGTGTCGTTAATATTTCAGAATAAAATACATGACTTGTTCCTCGTATTCAAACACAAAATCTGACATTGAAAATAATGTTTCCGTCTTGATTTAAGTGATTAATGTCTCATTTGTATTTGAATGCCCGCATGGAATCTGTAATTCTCACTTTGCTCAATTGCTCCCAATGGCACTCCATGGATAGCTATAAAAATGGATTCTTTTTAGTAAACATGCATAACTTCTGATAGCGTGGATCGATTTCAGTAATTCTTTTTTTTTTTTTAGATGAGTGGAAGAACATGCTCTTTTAAGACGTACTTCATTAATCTATCAAATTTAATTGCCTCTTTCTAGGTCACTTTCTGACTCACCCTGTAGACGTTTGGTAGAACTAAAAAAAACCCAAAAAGCAGGCAGAGGAGGACTTTGTGGCTTACCTAAAAAAAACAAAAAAAACAGCAGCTACCTCTTCGAATTTTGGCTTAGTCCCACTGTACTGCAACATTTGTGAATCAAGGCTCACTCCTGTTGTGACAGGTCACAAATTGTTGAGAGTTTGTTTTCTTTGTAGGTTGGCCTCGGCGTCATGCCAGACGATGAAAACGAAAGAGTCTCCATTCTGGGCTGGAATGTCTGCGCCTACTCAATACAATCAACAGGTATGAATGACAAACACAACACAATACCAAGTTCATTAATAATTCGGCAAACAAAATGAGAAGTCTTTTTTTGAGGTGGCACCATGTCTTCGCACATGCTGCATGCATTCTGAAAGACAAGACGCACATGCATTTTGGTAACCCTTGTGGTCGAAGGAGTTGGGAGTGCATGCGTACTACCTGAGCACGACTCAAGCGAACCTGGTGACACCTCAGAAAATGGCTGCCGTCAAATTAGTACAGATCATCCATTCCAAAAAGAACTCATTTGGATTTGACTATATTTCTTCATGGCAAAAAAACTTCGGGAAAAAAAGTCATCTTCCCAATCAGCAACTTTAACATTACACTTAAGAACAATTATGAAATGAATGAAGTAATTATAAAGATTAAAAAAAAGGAAAAAGACAGAAGTGACAGCCACATTTTTGGAGTTCACTGGATTTTCTTCTTTTTTTTTGGTCATGACTTCAGAGGTGTTACTGAGAAGCAAAGGCAAGCCACTATTTGGAGAGATGGCATCTAGACAGGTAGGTAATCATTGGTAGGGCCCATGCAGTAGGACTTATTGCAGTTTATGAGCACGTAGTGCTATTGTGTTGACCATATCTCATAGACATGCGTTTGGAAAAACTGGTTTTTGACCATCTTTCTTTAAACCATCGCCATTTCTTAATTTAGGCTTTATTTTCAGCGTCGTTTTCACCATATACAACAAAGATACTGTAGTTAAGCAATATCTATAAAACATTTTTAACATGTTTCCCCAATTCCAGGAAATCTGCGTCTGAAAAAGTGTAAATTTTTTGGAGCACTCTGCATATGTAAATATCCCCTTCTCCTTCCCTTTAGACCGAGGGACTGAAAGCATTAGTGCGCTTTGCCATGGTGAACACCTTTTACTGTGATCAGAACCACATCCAGAAGCATGTCGTCCGACTGCTGTCAGGTAAAAATTCTCTCCCAAAGACTGTTAAACCTTTACATTCAAGTTGGTGTATTGGTGTTGTCTCCATATTTGGCTGTTAGGGTTCCTTATTAGTTGTAAGTGTCGTATCAGTTCCTTTACTAGTCCGTCACAAGTTCTTCAGTCTCAAAGTTATGAAGGGGACACTGCATCCTGGAATACGCCCAATTGGGCTACAAAATGCGTTTTGAACGAAATGATGTTAATCGGAAAGAACATTTAAAAGTGGGATATTTTTTATATTCCTTTAATACAGGTGAGCTTAGATAGGTTTGCTTTGAAACATATTTCTCACTTCAAAATTGTGACATGTTCTGTCAAAATCAGACTTTTCTGGGCATAAGGTCAAAAATGAGATTTGTGCGTATTGTTGAAATGTGTACATTTTCCTTTTAATAGGTGGTTTAATTTTTGAAACTGGTCCTTCCTGGGCAAAAGTTATGCTATTTTTAAGTTCATCGTGTCGAAAAGTAGAAAACGGAGAAAATGGCAGTTCAAGTTTGGGGTCTATTTTAAGACCTGTTTCAAGTGACATTTCTATAACTGATATACCTTAACAAATCATCAACAATACTATATATTTAGAGTTCAAATTAGGGGTTCAAACTTTTATTGTATATTTTAGACATGTTCAAGATTACAAATATGCAAAAATTAGAAAATAAAAAAAAAATCACCCTCACAGAGTTTTTTGGCCCTATCTTAATTTCAACCTTTGCCCAGAAGCGTCTGCTTTTGACAGAACAGGTCACAATTGTCCCAGAGCCATGAAGTAGATGTCCATTTTTTCCTTCCGATTTCCAAAAATTTCTGAATTTATGTCTGAATTCTTTATCCACAGTATTCTCTGCAGAGCATGCGAATACTGGGCCTTGTCTGCTAGACCTTGACATGTTCACATTGCTGGTACGTATGTATTTTAGTCCCTAAAGCTGTTTCAAAATATTTTACTGAACTGAACACCGTACGTCACTAATCTTGTCAAAAGTAGGTATGGCTGTGTCCGAATTACTTGGCTATGGCTTGAAATTACACACGGGTCTATGGCAAGTGGCTGCGGCCGCTACCATAGACAGGTGTGTAATTTCAATTACTTGGCTATGGCTTGATATTACACACTAGTCTATGGGGAGTGGCTGCAGCCGCTACCATAGACAGGTGTGTAATTTCAATTGCTTGGCTATGGCTTGATACTACACACGAGTCTATGGTTAGTGGCTGCAGCCGCTACCATAGACAGGTGTGTACCGGGGTAATTTCAATTGCTTGGCTATGGCTTGATATTACACACGAGTCTATGGGGAGTGGCTGCAGCCGCTACCATAGACACGTGTGTAATTTCAATTGCTTGGCTATGGCTTGATACTACACACGTGTCTATGGTTAGTGGCTGCAGCCGCTACCATAGACACGTGTGTAATTTCAATTGCTTGGCTATGGCTTGATACTACACACGAGTCTATGGTTAGTGGCTGCAGCCGCTACCATAGACAGGTGTGTAATTTCAATTACTTGGCTATGGCTTGATATTACACACGAGTCTATGGGGAATGGCTGCAGCCGCTACCATAGACAGGTGTGTAATTTCAAGCCGTAACCAATAAATTCAGAACAGGACCTAACCTACCTAACCTGTATGTGATGTAGTAACATTGTTCACAGACATGAACAGTAATAGTTATAGTTCCGAGAATTTTTTAATTTTGATAGCCACCACTGAAAATGCATTTGAATGACAAAGCAATCCACTATTGAACCATAAAAAGCAAATGTTGATAAATCGTCTGTCAATGCCCAGCTAGTCACAAAATATAAAATGCTGTTTGACATGTGAGAGATTTTTGAGTGTTGCTACCTGATTCACAAGACAGTAAGACAAGATTTTTTGTCAAAACAATGGCTTATTCAATTCTTTTGTAGGTGGGCGTGGACATCCGGAATTTTTTTTTTTTCACATTAGCTCATCTAGTTCCCTGACCTATGTTCTTGAAACTCAATGGTTCTTGAGTCTGGAGTGCTGAATGGTAACACAAAGCAACCGATGAAAAAATGGTGCGCAAATGAATAGATGTTTTCATCAGATGACGTCAGCTCGCCCTCACCTATTGTGACCAACATGATATTTTACACGAAAATTGATATTGGAAAGGCAGTGATCGTCTTTATCCAAGTTTTAAAAAATATTAACAATTTTGCACAGTCCTGCCAAGTTACGTACAATTGTTGTTGTCAGCTAACAAACAGTTTGTTACATAAATCCTATGCATGGCTCAAGTATACATGTTGAAATGGGCTTCAGTTGTTTAGTCTTCTGTTTAAGACTCTTCTCCCGCTCTCCCATGCAGGTCAGTGTGTGTCTGTCAGGGGCTACCATGCAGAAAGGTGACAGTGCGACTGGATTGAAGGCTACCATATCCACCATACCTATAGAGGGCCATCATGCATTGAGGGCAGTCCTCACTGCACACATAGTGCAGATACTACTTACAGTTCAGATAGACAGTCAAGGTAGATAACCAGTGCATTTGATATTTTTGGGGGGTAGGTCAGGATGGGGGGGGGGGGTGGGGTGGGAGGGATAGCTAGAGGAGGGGATGGGGCAGGTAGCAAACCCACTGATCTTTGAAATCTAACTGTGACCATGACACATCTTACAAAATTGGATGTTGTGGTCACGTAATGCCCACTGTTCTATTCTGCACTGCACGTGTATCTCTTGAAATGTGGTCGGTTTAAATGTTTGCACTAGTAAGCAGAAAGTGGTGGGTTCGAGTCCCACCTGAGTAAGCTTGCGAATTTATTCTCGCAAGCTCTTGGACAATAATGAGGGTACATTATTTAATAAATTGCGTCAATGACGGGATAAAACCCAATAGACGCTTTTATACTGATTCAAATGTCAACCTTAATTTAAATCTTATGAATAATGTAGATTGGCCCCAGATGGGTTCATTTAATTTGTGGATTAAGATGCAGTGATTTGTTTTCTTGTGTTTCTCTGATTTTGTTTGCATTATGTAGATGAGGAGTCAAGCATGGATCAGGATGGGTGCACTAGCCAGCACGCTCAGGTCATGCTGCAAGCCTACACAAGACTAAGAACATTAGCAGGGTAAGAAACCAGTGTCAATGAATGCTGTCTACAGTGATGTGGTCCATGTTCCTTTTGTACACCTGTGTGTTGGGGGGGGGGGGGAACGAGTCTTCTGCTTCTGCTGGATACTGCAACAATCTCTGCTACGGGATATGTAAGTTGCAGGTGCATGGTGGCTAGCAGACGCCAATGATGGGCCCCCATTATTAAAGATGACATCTGGATGTTGCCAAGATTGGTCTTGAAGGTTTGAACAGTTGCGGCTTCCCTTATGTTAGCAGGCAGGTGACTCCACTCCACAAGGGTCCTTGGTACATGTATGAAGGAGAACTTGAAGCAATCTTTCTGTGCTGATGGATGGGTAAAGGAGATTGTGGAAGATTTTCGCGTTAATGTTCCTCCCTTCTCTGATTTAGCCCGGTAATAGGCTGTGTCAACTGTTACTTGGTGGCGAATAGATTTGTATAAAAGTGTATTTTAAATAGAGAGCGCTGTTTGCTCACAAGGTCGTGCATAGACTCTCATAATTCCATGGTATTGGATTGTGAAATTTCAGCGGTTAAGAACTTTTCACGTGACGTACTGCAAACGTTTATATATGGACAACTTGTCGGACTCCGCAGAGTACATCACCTCATGTTACCCGGGAACATCACCTTTCATCATTCTCAAAGACGTGTTTGCTCCTGTCAGGGTGTTTGAGCGTGCAACCAGGCTCTCTGCTTCCTCTACCCATACACTCTAGCTGCGCCGAGATGTAGAACAATGAGCTACTCTAATAACTTTTCCCCACGTTCTGTATCTCTTTGGAACTCCTTGCCTAGTCTCCCTCCATTCTATGATCTAGGCTGTTTTAAGATGAATATCGATTCCTAACTCCAGATTTCCTGATTTTTATTTCGTGAAATTGTCTTAACTGAAATGTTGCGCAGCGTGAAATGTTGTGCAACTTGCACAATAGATTGTGGCTCAAGCGCACTACTGCCATTGTGTAAAGTTTCATGAAATCGGCTGCAGAGGTTCATATTCATGAGCGCATATTCATTCAAAACATCTGTTGCCAGAATGTATCTGAAAGTAGTCCATTTTTATCCTTTCTTGGATAGAATTCCTGTTGATGTCCAACCCGATGCTTGGAGGTTATTGGACGTCGTCCGTACATCCTGCCTTCCCTTGCTCCGATGTGCCACCATCTTCTTCCGTTTTGTCACCGGCATACCCACCCCAACAGAGTTGCAGGGTAAGCGCTGAATTGAGTGAGACCAAGGTGTGGCCTCTCCCTAAGAGTCTGAGGCACTTGTATTTTACCAGTGGCAAGCATTCTAGATTATGAAAAGTAATGCCCATTGATTTCCTGTTAAAATCCTGTTATGTTTTTCTCATGTGTTAAAAAATCTGATTTGAATGACAATTGAAGTGCATCTGTCGGAAAACAGGAAGTAATATTGGTGCACTCATACTCATAACAAAGTACTCATACTAATTTTTGTTGTAAAATAGTTCTGCTTGTACTCTTCGTAATGTACTTGTGCTCTATGGAAAATGTAAGAAAGTAAAGTCTGTCGCTAGCCAGTATGGTCCTACAGGCTAGTGTTTATCTCTAGTTTCCTTGGCATGAAACGACTGAGAATATTTCTATTCCCTCTGGATGGGATGCCAGTCCATCGCAGGTTACTCCCCAGCTAATACTGGTACCCATTTGTACTCCTGGGTGGAGAGAGGCAAGTGTGGATGAAGTGGCTTGCCCAAGGACACAACATATGACCAGCAGCTGGATTCAAAACCCCTGACCCTCTGATCATGAGTCACAAACACTAACTACAAGGCCACACTCCCCCACTATGGAAAACGTTCAACTCATTTTCTACCGTTTGCTCTTCTTTGCATGTGTTCAATTATGAATTTGTCTTTCTTTGTCATGCTATCTGCATTGCAAATGCATCTTACATGCAGTTTTTCGTTACTGCGATAGGTTGACAGCAAACAGTTCTTAGGAATGTGTGTACCCTGAAATGTACTTGTACTTATACTCATGGAAAAATACTTGCACTCGTACTCATATATTTACTTTTAACAACTCGCTTTTGTACTCATGGCAAAGTTCCTGTACCCTGTACTTGTATTCTTGCATGTTTTTACTTTCTTTCATAGCCACATGCCTGGATGAGTTTGAACAGCTGTGTCGCTACCTGGCCGTGCCCTCTGACCTCTCTAGTCTGGTATCCAATGAGCAGGAACCCATTATGCAGGATCTGATCAAGGCGTGGTGTCAGCATCCAGACCTAAAGTCGCAGCTCAGCGACACCAGTGCAGATGTCATTCGGTAAGAGCAGTTGTCATAGTTCTTTTGGCTAGCTCGTTACTGACTCGAGACGGGATGACTTATGATGGACTTTTGACAATGAACGGTAAGGTCTGCTTTGACGTTTTGTACTGCGTTCACTAACATTTATCAATCAGTGTATTTTTCATTTTACAGTTTTCCAATGGTGGTCAACAGACTGATTGAGCTACCGGAGGACTACAGTGATCTGATGAACAATGTGTCCATGTTTACGTAAGTGGAAATTCAAGCTCTCTGTTTTGGCCACCTGTACATTTTGGTCACCTGTCCATTGTGGTCACCTGACAATTGTGGCCATCCATGTATTCTGGCCACCTGACCATTCTGCCCAACGGACCATACTGGCCACTGCACCATACTGGCCACTGCACCATACTGGCCACTGCACCATTCTGGCCAACTGACCGTTCTGGTCACCTGACCATTCTGGCCACCTGACCATTCTGGCCACCTGACCATTCTGGCCACCTGACCATTCTGGCCACCTGTTCTTCTGGCCACTTGCCCATTCTGGCCACTTGTCCTCTCTGGCCACCTATCCATTCTGGCCACCTGAACATTCTGACCACCTGACCATTCAGGCCACCTGAACACTCTGGCCACCTATCCATTCTGACTACCTGACCATTCTGGCCACCTGAACACTCTGGCCACCTATCCATTCTGGCCACCTGACCATTGTGGCCACCTGACCATTTAGGCCACCTGAACACTCTGGCCACCTATCCATTCTGGACAACTGTACATTCTGGCCAAAGGCCATTGGTGCACAAACTATTATAGTAGAGCTCCAGCTTTTTTTGTCCATCCAAAATCCCAGTGTTGGATCAGGGCCAACCCCTAAGAATTGAACCAACTTTTTCACAATAGGAACAATCCAACTTCCATTGGGTCAGTGCTCAACACAAGTAAATTCTGCCCTGGTCAATACCAGGGTTAAGATGCTCCACTTGGATAGAAAATGCAATATCTATGTATACGGTTATTCCATGCACAAACCAATGTAATTGTCAATGGTATGGTGAACTGTCGACCATGTTTGTGCTCAAGCTTGAACCAGGTTGATTCCGAAATGGGTAGGCGAGACGATAGTGTGAAAAGCCCTTACACTGCTTTACTCTGCTCATACAGCTAGTTCAGTTCTTCTTGGATTCATCTTAATGAAATAATTTCTTTCTTTGATACAAGGTGTCCAAAGGCCAGCGGTGCACAGAGCGACAGTAGAGCGCCAGCATTGTGCCTGGTCTGCGGTGCTGTAGTCTGCTCTCAGAGTTACTGTTGTCAGACTGAGATTGATGGGGAGACAGTGGGTGCGTGTACCTCCCATGCTATCACTTGTGGGGCTGGAGTTGGCCTGTACCTCAGGTAAGAACAAGAAAAGAACATTTACATACATTGAGTATGTAAATGTGTTGGACAATCTCAGACTTTTTAAGAATTGAGATATTTATTTGTCTGGATTCTGTCGAACAAGAGCTTTCCGATGGTATACAGTGTTTAGGGGTACTGAGTTCAGTAATTGAAATATAGACCACCAACTTGCTTGGAGTTGTAGAATTGAAACTTGACAAAATGGCATTTCAAAATCCTGTAGCTGTGTTACAGTGAATCATCCTGAATGAACAGTCAACTTATAAATAATGGGAAGAAATAGGTTTTACAGATGTCTGACCAAACAAAATAAAATGCAGAAAAATAAAGCAGGATTTACAGATTGAGGTTCACCTGGCAGTGAAAAAAAAAAAAAATCAATCTCCCCTTCAAATATTGGCTTTGCCCCACTGTACAGCAAATGGCAATTTCCAACTTTAAGCTCATTTCGTGCTGACAGGTCACAAATTGGCTCCGAAATTTTGCATATTATTTTTCTAAGCAACAGGATATGAAAATATGAAAATGAATACAAGGAATTACCGCTATACCAAACAATCTTTAGTAAAATTTAGGTCAAACTATCATCACTTTTACCGTGCGAGTGGAAAGAGCATAAACATACATGCCCATGATTGTAGGCCATATGGATGATAGAAACCTTTGTCGAACATATTCTTGCAGTTCCCTGAAAGATATCAACAGTTTGAAGCATGTTTGAAATGTAAAAAAACGAAAAAAGAGATGTGGTCATATTGGATGGATTGATGTTCTCTTTTTATTTTGCAGGGTTCGAGAGTGCCAGCTGCTGATGATGTCAGCCAAGAACAAAGGCTGTGTACATCAGACACCATATCTGGATGAATACGGGGAACCAGACTTGAATCTCAGGTAAGTTACGTTTGTTGCTTACCTTTCATCAGATACTGATTTTGTTCCTGGATGAAGACAGTTTTAAGATTGGCTACAAGGAACCTGCTGTGAAGACCATTAACTCCTATTTGCATCTTTATAATCTTTCAAATATCAGCTTGTCTGCTTTCTTGAAATAATATATCAACACATGATGTTTTTGGTATTTATTATTTTGTTTTGCAGGCGCACGCAAATCCTGATTGGCGTGTTTTGAATATTTGAATATTCAACCAAATTAATGTTAGAATACTAAGTTATTCGAAAATACACAGCACTAATATATATTATTCAACCCCTGAATAAATCCCCGTCACCTGATTCGTCATTTGTCACATGTCATTGAATTGTAAATAGAAGTTCCATTGCACGGTCACACTATTGGTGGTTCTGACCAATCAGATGACGAGTATTTATTCAGGTGTTATAAAGCAAGTAATGAATGTTTCACATTCATACAATAGACAGAGTAATTTCATTTGGTGGCAGATGAAATGTTCCATTCCTTTCGGCTTCGCGGAATGGAACATTCCATCTGTCACCTCATGAAATTATTCTTACCATTGCATCATAAACATTCATTATTTGTGTAATATTTAAGCTGATACTAATGCTTTCATTCTGATGATTATTTGGTGTCCCTGTAGGCGAGGCAACCCTCTCCACCTCAGTCAGGAACATTACAACCAGCTTCACGAGACCTGGCTGTCACATAGTATACCCTCTCAGGTGGCTCACAGACTAGAGGCTAACAATTCCCTCCTGACCATCGACTGGCAGAATCTGTAAATTCACTGGACTCGAACCCACGACCTCCTGCTTTCCGGTGCAAACGTCTGAACCACTGGAACACTAAAGGCTGTCACATTCACTCCTGACCATCGATTGGCAGAATCTGTAAATTCACTAGAAGATAAGAAAATGGGGAAGGGACTCGAACCCAAGACCTCCTGCTTCCCGGTGCAGATGTCTGCACCACTTGAACACTGAGGGCTGTCACATTCACTCCTGACCATCGACTGGCAGAATCTGTAAATTCACTGGGAGATAACAAAATGGTGAAGGGACTCGAACCCACGACCTCCTGCTTACCGGTGCAGGTGTCTTAACCACTTGAATACTGAGGGCTGTCACATTCACTCCTGACCATCGACTGGCAGAATCTGTAAATTCACTGGGAGAGAAGTAAACAGGGAAGGGACTCGAACCCACGACCTCCTGCTTTCCGATGCAGATGTCTGAACCACTTGAACACTGAGGGCTGTCACATTCACTCCTGACCATCGACTGGCAGAATCTGTAAATTCACTAGAAGATAAGAAAATGGTGAAGGGACTCGAACCCACGACCTCCTGCTTTCCGATGCAGACGCCTGAACCACTTGAACACTGAGGGCTGTCACATTCACTCCTGACCATCGACTGGCAGAATCTGTAAATTCACTAAGAGACAAGAAAATGGTGAAGGGACTCGAACCCACGACCTCCTGCTTACCGGTGAAGGTGTCTTAACCTCTCAACCACTGAGCTTGCCAGGGTCCATAGCAAGTCCTCGCTAGTCCTTCAGTCTCCAGTCAAGTCACAAGCTATTCAAATGAACTGTGACAAAAGTATTCCTTTGTTAATGTTCATCTCATGCGTTTTTTTTCAACTGGACTTGTGATTTTACTTTAGACCAGACCTGTGATAGCTTGTGATGAACTCAGCTACGACAGTGACTGTTTTGAGTGACTTTCAGTTTGGAACGCCATACCTCGCAAACTTGGTTTTCTAGTGGTTGAGACATCCTCACTTGTACGCAAGAAGTTGTTGGTTTGAGTACGATCTAACTATTTTATTAGTTATCCCTCGAGCGCGAGTTGAACACGGAGTAATGTAATGCGTCTGTGTCCCATGTGCGTAAAGCCGAGTGGCATATGGAACACCGATGCGCAACATTGTTCCATGAGTGCAAGTGGGAAGTAAAGACGGAATGCACAAGCTTTACACGAACTTTTCAGCGGTAATCCTATTACACGTGCGTGCAACAGGATTCGAGCGTGCATCTTAGAATAGCGCAATACGTGGGTAGGTATATTGACGCAAATGGGATAATATACAGCGGATTGTTTCCATGGATCGACCAATCAGAACCAAGGATTCAAATTTGCTTGAAGATAAAGGCAGTGATGTGGCAGATGGAATTACACGGAAAAAGCAAATACTCGATTCTAAAAATTTTTCAATGGTTTGCATCACTTTGCCACTAAAGTAAGCGCAGATCAATCGCAAAGTTAATGCTTTTGTGGCAGATGGAAGTCATGTCCAATGCGTAGTATTTCAGATTAATAGATGGTATTAAAACAGACGACAGAAAAGTTTAACAGGATAAAATTTAGTTTGGAGTAGGGCTCAGGGAACATACTGATTTATTAAAATTTGGCTGATTTTCACTGTTTTCTATCATGCCTAATATGTTGTTTTGGCACCATGCCCAATCCTAGTCATGGATTGTTGCCTGAGCTTTCAAATGGTGTCTCCTGAGCTTGTTATCGGAATTTGCTGCAGGTTTTTTTCGCTTGTTTAATATTTTAAGTGAATAATTTGGGTTTCCTTTTTTTGTGTAGACTTATGATGGATTGAATCAGGTCAAACAGCGAGTTGCTGTGTCCTGAATCAAACTTGATAGGTTTATTGTATAGTGCAAATTTGCATGTTAATGTTCTATAGGATACGTGTGCAGTACAGAGCAACTTCTGTGAAGTGTCCAAAAAAAAAAAAAAAAAAGAATTAATACAAACTTCACTCCAAAAGAAAAAAATCTAGAATTCACTGAGGCCTCAAGGTTGTCTTCTTTCACACTCATGCAAACACACACGTGCAGTGCCTATATTTTTAAATTATTCCTAGTCATTTATTATATGAAGTGATAAAGCTACATGCATGTACTTACATTGATAATGAAGTGAAAAAGCAAAAAGGTTTTCAACATCGAGCGTGATGGAGTGTGCAGCAAGACCAACTGCTTACCCTCAGCTTACCGCACCAAAAAAGAAAAAAAAAAAAAAAAAGCGAAAGTCTTAAAGACTTTCGCTTTTATTTTTCGAAAGCACAGTCTTCATCTGATGACATTCTTCAAAAGGTTTTATGTGTGGAATCAAAACTGGGTTATTTCTTTAAAGCTGTAGTCCATCATTTGCAGCCATCCGAAAAGTAACTGGCGTAATTATTGTTGAAAAACAAACTTGGTTGAAAGATAGTAAGGGAACTAAACTCCCTGTGAAATTATTCTTTCTGGGAAGCTGTCATTTTGAAGTAATCAACGAAAGAAGGCCTTTCCAGTGGTGCGTCTTAAGACGCACCGTAGGAAAATTTAAATTAGTAGTTCGTTTTGTTATTTGACGAAGCGCGCGCAAGCATTGGCACGACGCACAAGCGCACGCGGTTGCTATAATTCGTCAGATCAGTGCGCGACGTCGCGTATAGCTGCAATTCAAAACATGATTCAGTAACTTTTGATTTGAAATTGAGATCCTAGAATGATGTTTTTCTCGGAATACACAGCTGAAGCTTATCTGAAACTTCATCAGGTTAGTTGTTCAGTATCCTTCATTAGATTTTGAGCACTTTTGTTGCTTCAAATGAACGAAAGGCACAAATTACAAATGATGGACTATATCTTTAAGGCATATAGGATCATTTGCATTTATCCAAAAAGTAACCAACCGACTTTATTATCAAAAAGCTTACTTAGATTAAAGATCATACTGGTACTAAATACCCCATGAAATTATTCCATGCGGCTTGCTGTCCTATAGAAGAAATCAAGAAATGTGGGTGATTTCAAACAATTTACTGATTTTAGAAATATAAAGTGCTATAGCCGAAATTGTGTTTTTCGTGATCAAAAGTATATGGGCAATTCCACGGTTACTCACGTTACATTTTTGATGTACTTTTGAGTTTCCTTGGGCTGTAATTACCTTACTGAAAAGGTTTAATAACTGTTATCCCCATGGTAGATAGAGTAGACCTAGACCTACCTGCACAATCGTAGACAGAGTAGACCTAGACCCACAAAATCGTTTACTCACGTTACATTTTCGTAACGTGAGTAACCAATTTCGTACGTCTTGTTTATCATGCATAACACATTTTTCTGGATGTCATCTTTGGTGCTTAGGTAGGTCTAGGTCTACTCTGTCTACCATGGGGATAACAGTTATTAAACCTTTTCAGTAAGGTAATTACAGCCAAAGGAAACTCAAAAGTACATAAAAAATGTAACGTAAGTAACCGTGGAATTGCCCATATCCACTGAGCTGAAAACTTCAACAGGTTAAGCTTTGAACTTTCCACCTTTTGATTTTGAACGGTGTTATTATTGGCAATGAACAAAATGCATGAAAAGCAAATCATCCTAATGCCTTTAAAGTCTCAGTCAGTCAGAAACTTGTCATTCATGTTGGTTCAGGAGGATTTCAATTAATTGGTGCAGTGAATTTGAAGCTTTCTCCCATTACATAACAAGGAAGCCATTTTGGTTGTGTTCCCTGAATACATTTTGTAAATTGTGAACTGTTGAATCGGATGGCGTCAGACTGTTTATGCATTGCCTCATTTTCGTTTTTTTTTTTTTTTAAATGTGGCTTAAAATATTAGGGTTTAGTCACAAATTGTAAATTATTCATCAGAGCAGACTGGTATTAATTTGCAATTAATTTTATCAGGGGTGTGAAATCTCAGCTTTAAAGCTGATTTCAGTTTGTGCTCAAAAGTATAGGAGATTTCCAAAGTTCAGCTTTTTTACACCTTTTTCAGCTGTTTTCAGCTATTTTTATCAGTGGTCGCTCACACCCCTGTGTATGTCATTGCTTTCATTTCTGTTCACAAGTTCCAGAAACAAAGATTTGACCTCTCTTTTAATTTAATATGGCCGACTCGTGAATAAAGCCCATATCAGCCTATTAACGTGCATGCAATTTATGGAATGCCGATGTATTTTTGTACTGATCAATAAATTGCTAGGATTGCAATTTTCAGTCCCCCTTCCTTTCGAATGCAACGTAGTTTGTAGTAGGATCAAACAAATAAAAGTTGCCCATTCATTTTTTATTTAAAAATTGTACAAATAGGGACACTGATGGAATGTTTTCTTTCAAAAAACAGTTATGATTGATTTTACATTTGACAAATTAATATATCTCTATAACTTGCTATATAAAAAAGTTTTCATATTATATATGCTACCTATTACACTAAAGAAATACTAAAACTTTTTTCTTCAAAACATGTTGGATCTCAAGCTTTGAATGTTAAAACTTACTGTGCTGCTGTACCTCTGACTCTACGTTATACTTATTTACTTATTGTTTGTTTTGGTTAGCTTTGTAAAAAAACCCCTTTTTTTCTCCTGATTTTCTCATGTTTGTGAATACACAGTCAACAGCATATAGGCCTATGTGTCTCTATTGTTTCTGTAAATGTATTAAACATAATTTATGGATGTATCATAAAAAAAAAGATATTTAGAATTAGAAGTAGTTTGGAAATATAAAATTCATCATTGGGGTATATGCGTTTTGTAATTCTGCAGCTATATTTCAATGCTGGAGGCAGTAATGGAAATTCATTGAAAAGCTGTCGTGGCTTTGGGGTAATTTAATAGCACAAAATAATAAGTTGAATGCTAATGTTCACATTAAAAAAGTGATAGAAGTGATTTTCTAAATAAAATTTCTCATGTACAAGTGCAATTGCTCAGTGTTTACATTGTGTCTTGCCATTTGCTTTCTCCAATGTTTTACAACTCTTGCCCTTTGGAATCCTTTGTAATTTTTCCCCTTTTCAATGTTAATTTCAATACCAGTATCTTTTGGGAATAAAAGTACTGGTAACTACTTCACTAAGTATAGTTAACTTTGGCTTTCCTGACTATAAAACAGATTTTGTATAGAAAGGACAAAAACGCGTTTTATTCTTGCTAAATCTTATAAATGACAAAGACAGAATGACATAACTAGGCAGTCCTCCCACCTCTTCCCACTCAAAAACCACGCCCCCTTCAGACTGTACACGAACGTCAGCATCCTCATCAGACGCCGGTGTTGAACGTATGTTTCAGGGGGAGAATTTCACAACGTGACCGTAAATCAAGGCGGTTAAACTTCAGCACCTTATGTCTGGCTGCATACACGGATATAATAACGACTGTAAACGAGTCTATGCAGAACGCATTGTGGGTACAAGTTTTTTTTCAACTCCTTGAACTGCATGGATTAATCGCGCGATATTGGGCAAAATGGTGACTAACCAGGCGTTCTACGTGGAGAATCCCCGGAGCGAAAACACTCGGTTTTTCCTGTGTTAATATTGGTAATTCGTAGCATATGTCTAATCATGTGTAATATATACATCAGAGAGTTGGTTGTTATCGGTAATCTTGTTAGTGTTTTGATTTTTGAAGCGATTTAGACGCCATGAGTGGTTGGGAGAGTCGTTCACAATCGTTGCAATCGAAACCCACCAAACTCAACCAGGTTCACCATGCACAACAACACGGCAGCAGAGCGTCGACTTCCACTGCCGGCAACAGACACGTAACAAGATCACACCACCAAAATAGACATGAAAGAACGGGTTCAAATTCTGAATTTGGGTTCCCCAAAACGAGGACGAATCCTAACTCCACTTCGGGTCAAGTGCCGAATTGGAAGTCATGTCGATTTTGTGCATTAACGTTTAAGAACCCGGCAGATTTTTGCCTGCATTTGAGAGAGTATCACTGCACCAAGGAAGGTGGCTCCTTCGTCTGTCGATATGGGTTGAATGGTGTTTGTACGACGCTGCCACTAGAGGGAGTGAGTGACGGGGACTACGAATCACATGTTGCAAAGGATCACTCTTTGGTTTCCGTCAATGGTGAGTAGGCCTAGTGTACTACCCCTAGAACTATGGTGCTTCGCTTAGTTACATACAATACAAGAGCACCATAGTTCTAAGGGGGGGGGGGGAAGAAACACTGCGGACTTTGATTAATACCCACTTTCATTAAGCTAAGTTAAAATGCTTTGCTTGTTTATGTTTACTCACCGTGCTATCATATGCATTGTATCTCGTATTTCTGGATCACAACAAATTTATATCATGTCTCATGTACAGTTACGGAGAAAATGTTTTAAAATCCTGTTTGGATCTCTGACATGTCTGAAATGGAAGTTGTTTCTTTGGAAAGAAATCGATACACGTATGGATATCACTAATTTTTCCCTGCAATGACCTACATGTATCAATCATCAGAAAGCGATATTAACATGTCCTAAAAAGTCATATTTAGCATGGAAAATATCGATGCATTTACTGAAATTTTTTTTGTGGAATTTTCAGACCTGTCTCGTAGTCCTGTCCAACTATCTTTATCCCAGTTCAGGGTTTTAGTTGTTGTTCATCATATTTGTATTGATCATTACATATCTGTTTTCTTGACTCCCATCAGATGCTATCAAGAAAAGTCCTAACGGCAGCTCATCAGACGAGCCTGCCTCTTCGGTACCCTCCGTCGTCAATGACCAACACAAATGGACAATCTACTGTTCCCAGGTCAGTCTGCCGGCGGTCCTGAACGACCCCAGGAAGGCCAAGCGGGAGCTGGACTTCCTGACCAAGACCTGGGGCGAGACGTTCGTGGAGAGGAACGACATCCTTCCATCCCCGCATTTACCTCACATCACCAGGGCGCACTTTGAGAAATATCTGCGCTGGACGGGCACTGTAAGTGTGGAAAAAGTCAGTTAGTCATGACTCATAAAGCCAAATTCATAGTGACTTTAAAAATCCCATCTAAACTGCTACATGCTTGGTATGCCCGGCTTGGTCTGTGCACTTTGAATAACACAATTGCATGCGCACATTCAAGCCAACATATTGAACACGTTGTACCTGTTAGTGTGGCACCAAGACGTGTCCTCTCTGCAAGAAAGTTTGTGATCTACTGATTGTGGGTAGCGACCAATCTATTTGCAGTATTCGGAGAATTAGCCTATGGGAAAGGACCTTGAGGGGCACTAAAAAAAATAGTGCACCCTCAATGTTGATATGTGTCTCATTTGTATAGAGTACCAAAGTGTAAGTGTGCTGCGTATTCTAGTTCACGCGCATAGCTTAAGTGTGCGCAGATGTGTGCGCTTAAGTGTGTGCAGACATCAGAGCTCTAACCAGCACGTGAACCAGAACAAAGAAAGCTGACATCAGACTTCGGTACTCTATACTTCTGCACTTGTGAAGCAAGGATCAGAATTTGCAGGTATATAATATCACACAATGTCCTAGGTAACAAATGCTCTGTGTTTAATTGTATAAAGCAAATATGAGCTCCTGAGCTAGATTTTCATTTTTTTTAGCGTGACATTTGTGTTGCCTTCACACACAAAGTTCTATGGCCTGCACCCGATTTCATCAAACTCTTCGTAACTTACGATGCATCGCAGCGCTGCGACGCGTCGTATCTCTACGATGCGTCGCAGCTGCGACGCGTCCTGCGATCCATTTCACTAAACACGTCGTAAGTGCGACGCGTCGTAGGTGTATTTATAGCACAACTCGGTGACTGTTTTATGTCTTTAGTCAGCGTACAGGAAATAGTCGTCTGATATTCAACAAAGAGTCGTCGGATCTCAGCTCGAAATTTGTTAAAACGTAAAACAAAATGGCGGCCGTGCGATGCAATTTTGAAGGAGAACAAGCTCTCATTGGACTGTATAGCTACTTTGAAATTTCAACTCTAATATTCCGGTCTAATTCATAATTATTCAATGAATTTTCTATTTACAACTTTACACACATTGCCTCGGTATTATAATCTCGTTAATGTAATGTTTGTGGCATAAAACTGGCTTAGAAATGACTCTTCTTATTTTGCGATGACCACTAGACACGTCGTGACTTGCGACGTGTTTTAAGCCGTTGTCAAGGAACTTACGACGCGTTCAACAAATCGCAACTTTAGTGAAATGGAAGATACGACGCGTCGCGAGTTGTGACGTGTAACACGTCGTAACTTGAGTTGCGACGTGTCGCAGCGCTTCGTGAAATCGGGTGCTGACCCCTAATGTGGAGCCCGGAATCACTGCAGCATATGTGTGCACTGACAGGGAGATCCCAGGCATAGCATAATCATTGTGCCAGCAATTGTACGGAATAACTGTACAATTAAACACAGAGCATTTGTATTGCCAACTCAATTTACACAATGCCTAGCTGCCATTGCTGGATACCCCTTTAAAGTGTATAGTCATTCCCAGGCCAGAATAATTGATAGAAATATCTTAGAAATTGGATACATTGTACATCTGTCTGCAAATTCTTTCTTTCCTGAACTTTCTATTGAATTGCATTTCTCTTTCCCTTTTTTGTTGCCGACATCTCAAGCTGCCCTTTAGCCTTGTGGTCGGCAAATTTTATTTACATGTAAAGAAAAAAAATATTAAAAACAAAAATGTGTAATAAACATTAGGTTGAAATTCAGACTGTGTTTTATTGTGTGAGCAATCGGATTAGTTTTCCACTGATTTTTTTGGTGGTCCCAAACTTACTCTGGACTGGTACCAATTGTATGAGGCTTTCCTATTCATGTATGTAATGGAGCACCCTATACCACATGCATTACTGGCACTGTTTGTTTCATGTACTGTCATGATACACGTTCAGGCATTTAGTCAAGTCTCCATGCGAACGGCGGGGGTGAAATTGTCATTTCCACCACGTTACCAAAACAGCTTATTCTACCAAATTTACAAGGCTTTTCTTGTCTTGTTTAGGAATGTCATGATTGGACTGTCAAACATTTTGCCTGCCTGAAATCTAATACTAGTCTATTACACACATACAACCTGTTTCCAAATTTTTAAAATTTAACGTGTATTCTTCATAATTTGGTTTCTACTGCAGCGCTTAAAAGAACACAAGAAACTAGACTTGGCGATCAGTACAGCGACAGTAGACCCGTCAGATAATCACCAGAGTCCTGTCGTCAGACTAAAAGGTAAGAACCTGTAACGGTATGACACACTTGTAAGTACCGGTAACTGTATCACTCTATGGACTCCGTGCACAAGGACCCCAGTAACGGCTAAGAAGTGAGAGTCAGGGAAGACCACTTGGAGGGACCTGTAGTCAAACCCATGGCTGTTGGTGCCTGACTCTCTCACGGGAAGATGGAATGGATTCTTGCAGATTCACACAAAACAGTAAAACAAAAGAGTAGATGTACATGCGTGCATGCAGTAATTCTCTCCCACTGGGGCTCTCAAAGGGCTTTCACGTGTTCATGCACCATTAACACCCACCCCCCCCCACCCCCCCCCCCCCCCCGGCTAGTCACCAACAGTCGGAGCATATTTTAAGCAAGCACTGTGACTAGTCAAATTCAGTCAACAGACAGAAACGGGCAAAAGGTAGGCACAGCTGGCTAATCAATCACCTACAGTCAAAGCATAGCTGTGTCAATGTACATTGAACAGTTACAGCCAGTCAATCCTGCTTTATGTAGGCTGGCAGCTCTTAACTGTTGAAAACAGTCACTTGATTGATTTTGATTGAGAGAACAACTTGGCACAGACTGTATGTTTGCACAGGAGGGTTAAGCTGTCCTCAGGTCGACCTGCGACTTGCTTGCGCTGCGACAGAACCGTCACCCTAACTCCCTAGGCCTTTTTGCCAGGATGTAGCCTCAATCCTGCAAAATCCTCCAATTGGCCTCATGGAAAAATAGCATATAGCCTCAATCCTGCAAATTCCTGCGTTATTTTTTGAATATGGTCCATGGAGGGGTGACCACTGCCTGAATCCTGCAAAATCCTCCGGCTATGACTGTCAGTAGGTTGAGGCAGAGGCATTGACATCCTGGAGCAGTGCGGAGGATGTCAAGTATAATCAAGGACTAAATTTATGCACGGCTGAGCATAAACAACACAAGGTCCGGCCCAAGACCTTGACACAGTGCATACTCTGAAATCAGCAACGCACTTTTGCCATGTAACCTCAATCCTGCAAATTCTTCCAATTTGCAAAAAGGATTTTGGAGGATTCAGGGCGGTTAGGGTTAAGCAGAAAAGTAATGCTCAGGTTACAAATTTGAGAAATCGTTTCATGCGCGCATGTGTTTTTTTTTAACCATTCATAGTTGGTGATATTTGTTTGCGTTTGTTTCTTGGGTGGACACGTTTCTTTAAAAACGGCTGGGTAAAAGGGACGTTAGCCTCTGTATAGGCATGTAACACCAGCTTGTGAAAATATGGATTTTGCCTGTTGTGGTTATGTTTTATGATGTAGACATTGTTTTTTTGTGGGTGAGGGGAGGTTAATTTTTGTTATGTTCACCTGTTGTTTTTAGTCAGTTCTCAGGGAAAAAATGAGCTGGAAAAATAAATATTTAATACCGGTAGTTAAAGTAATAAATTGAATTAACGGTTTGCTGCCCTTGCACCCATGGAGGTTTTGACATTGCATGAATTGAATTAAATTTTATATTCCTATTTTCAATATAGCAGTTTTCAGGCACCACATGTACAGTAAAAGCCATAAACATTAACGTGTGCACAATGGCGTAACATTATCATGTCCTCAAATGTCATGTTCATCCTTCATATTCTCTTTAATAGTACGCTTGAGCATATTGTGGCATTTTGTGTGTGGGTTGAAGTTACTGCAGTGTGACGTACCAGTATGGTACACAATTTTATGTTAGTGTCACACACATTGTTTTACACATAGTCATTATAGTGAAAGTCATGAGGCTTGTGCACTGATTCCAAATCAAATATGTAAAGAGGTTGTGGAATGCTCGAAGACATTTCCGTCATTTTTCGGGTATATATGTAGCCTAAGGTGTGATGAAATAAAAACGACTATTGTGTCTGTCATGAAATGAGTACAAAAGGTACTTTTGAGAGCTGTTTTTCAGGTCCTGTTTCGACCCGAACGTGCAATTTGTGTAAAAGTCGTCGTTGGGGGCAGCAAACAAAACAGACTAAATCGTGGCGTAATAAACAGGACTCCCGATGCAGCGTAGTATAAACGAGTCCTGTTTATTACGTCACGATTTGCTATGTTTTGTTTGCTGCCCCCAACAACAACTTTTACACAAATTGCACGTTCGGGTCGAAACAGGACCTGAAAAATAGCTCTCAAAAGTACCTTTTGTTCTCATTTCATGACAGACACACTAGTCATTTTTATTTCATCACACCTTAGGCTACATATACCCGAAAAATGACGGAAATATCTTCGAGCATTCCACAACCTCTTTAATGGAATCAAGCTAGGTGCAGATTTTTAAGAGTGTATTTTAATATGTAAAACTACAGAAGTTGAATCTGTTGATAAACATTTTTATTGATAATATGATTGATGAAATTGTGCTTTAACTTTCAGATAAAAGTATCCATGGTATCAATAGAAATAATTAGAGCATGTAGTTTGTCCGAAAAATTATAAGGCCAAGAAAGAAAATACCTGTTCTTGCATTTACCCCACCCAACCTAGAACATTATGTGGAACCTAAGTCTTTATATTAAGAAAAAAAATAGTTCTAAAAAATTATGGTGCAACCCCCATCCTAAATTTTTTTTTGGATATTGTCCAGCATTTTCTGAAAAATTCATTTCATTTTTTGTAAGTTGATTGACAGTGCGGTCTTGCGGTAGTCTTGCCACAGCATGCGGCAAAGCCTATAAAAAGTGAAGCAATGGCAGAATGAACAACTGAAACAATTACAACAAAATATTAGAAAATTAATTGACCACCATCCCACCCAATTTTTTCAGGTTATAAAAATTTAGAGTCCCCCCTACACCCCTCCCCCTTCCCCCATTTTACCACCCACCCTATTATTCAAAGTACATGTACGTGTAATAGGAAACACATTTTTTTTCTTGGCCTAAAGCAGGTTGATGCAGATTTAATTTAACACGCTTATGGCAGGCAAGGCCTTCAAGCGACAAGTACATAAATGCCACTAAATTGCATGCCAAGCTACATGTACAATATGGAATTTACATGTATAATGGTTTTTGCCTCATTGAATAATTCATGAGGTGAATTAGCAATTCCCTCTGGCTGGGTGTTAACCCACAACCTTGATATTTCCAGCCCAAGGCCATATACAACCAAACAACCCACTTGACCTCTACATGTATATATTCATGAACATGATGAATATCAACACCATGTGAATATTTGCATGTTGCTTGTCCTTCTTTCAGAGCGAGGCAGTACTGAAGTTGAACAGATTCCAAAGGTATGTTTAAGTCTTCCAGGTTTTTTCACTTATTATTAAAATGATTTTAAAATGATTTCTTTTGTACATACAGTCTTCAACTCACAAGATATTAATATGTGTACATGTGAGTGAATAGTTGAGACTTTCTGTTGTGCAAGATTTGTTTGAGTACCAGTTACTAAAAAAAATTCAGCAAAAAAACCAAAATAAGCAAACCAAACTCCCCTTATAAAAATATGGCAAAGAATATTGGGTAGATTATCTAGAAATTACTTTTGTGTGATGCTACTGTTTACTTTTTGCACAACCTTTTTTTCAAAAATGGTTTTAGCTTGTCTTCGATAGACATTGTGTGCTATTAAGCGTTCATAATTTTTTTTCCGTTAAATTGAAAATTTGGCAAAGTTCTCATGGAGGCACATACCAGGTGTTTTCACATGTTGAATGCCATTTGTTTGTCGCAAGAGCACTTGTCGTGTTTGCACATCGTCAGTTTTCTCCCAGAACAGGTGGTTGAGAGGAATGCATTTTCAAACAAAAACATTGTCCTTTTGACAAATCTCCAACAATATCACATGGAATTTTAGCACTTCATTAGAGCAGATGGCTAGTGTTGATATTAAAGGTACAGTACATGTAGTAGCTACCATATTTGCATTCCTCATTATTCTATGAGATGCTCTGATTTAAGGGCTAGTAATTTATAGCAGACATCGTTCCACTGATAATGTTGTGTGTTCACACATAATCAAAGTTATATCCTTGTGGAGACATGGTTTTGTTCTCGTGTTCAAAATTGTGAGAGTGTCGAAAGCTATTTCTAAAATGCTCCTATTTTAATCAGAATTACTTTCCTGGGTTGAAATTCCGACCAAATATCCCTTACACGAAATACTTTTATTTGCGACTGATAAGTATACCTTGGAAATTCCTAGTTTTTGATTGAAATCCATATCTATTTCGTGAAATCCTTGTGGAGACCTATTCACCTTTAAAAATTGCCTTGTGGGAGACCTTTACAATCTTTGGTTCCATATTATACCCGAGTCTCCACAAGGCATCATTTTTCGAAACACCGGCACGTTTGTTTATGGTGTACGTTGTAAATCGAGGATTTTCTGTTTTTCCCTCATCATCGATCCTTTGTTTATACTCTTAATTTTTTTGCAACAGCTCGTATTGGTTTTGCACACGTTTTCTAATCGAGGTCGTCCTCGATTTGACTCCTGTCCTCAATTTAATACTCGATGTTTCACATGTGTGTCCTCGATTTACACCATAAACAAACCCACACACACACAAAGCTGTTCGTTTTCAACCATCATAGTGCAGCTCGCTGAATCTTTCCATAAAACCTGTAGGTATATAAAAATAAAAAAATAGCAATTTTTGTGACAATGGTTCTGTCATAACCATAGTTGGAAATGATGGTAATTTCTCTTGAAAGTGATGGCAACATCAGACGCAACAAATTTACAGGATGCTTAATAGTTTTATCATTTACTTACAATCAAGTAGGCTATTTCATGACATTTTGGTACTTTGGTTTTTTAATGTATGCAAATGGCGCACTATCTTTGGAAGTCATGGTTGATCATATGGTGAGCAGGTAAAACACACTAAACAAAAAGGTTTACCAATTATGCATACACGTTTTTATGGCAGATGGCTAAAACTGCATGTACATCTACATGTACATGTACTTTGTGTAGTGTATGGTTGCATGTTTACACATGTACATGTATAAGTGATTTTAATTTTTTATACATGGTAAATACCGATAGGACAATGTAAATAGCAAACATTGCTGGTAAGTAATTTGCACCTCTGATGTGCATGCTGCTTACAGTACATGTAACACCATGAACATGTTCATGACATGTACACGCCATGTACACGCACATTTAAAAACAAACAACAGTTCAAACTACAGTTTTAAGTCCAAAACCCTGCTTTTTCAAAGCAGTAGTGCTAGAAACGGTTCAGTCACTGGGAAACATTTTGTAGCACTGGCAAGATTTTCAGGATTACACAGTATCTAAAATATGTATTGAAGTTATATTATTTCCTGATGCATTTGGGAATGTTCAGCTGTTTGGATATCAGCCTACAATACATGTAGATCAATATTAGAACCACTTATAGGCAGCTGTTTACCGTTAAAAGGTACAATGTTCAATAAAGACGACTTGGGGACTTTTTACCTATGGATAAGGTTTTGGAAGTAACTGCAGGACTTTCGTGCACACATTATCAATATATTTTTAAGTCAGAAAGAAGAAACAGTCACATGGAACACATACAATACTTCACATTGTAAGGAATAAAGGGTTTCGGTTTGTGATATTCAAATTATGTGAAGTACCACTTTATTGTTTATTTAAATAGTACAGGCACGTTAGTTGTTATTATTTTTGTTTTTGATCTGCAGATGTTTTTCCGGAATGACTTTGCCCTGGAGAACCCCGACACCTTTGAAGCTGTGCTGCCCTGGTCACAGTTCAGAGGTCAAAGGCTGAGTGACCCGGCCTCGGGTCATCAGTCCTCCAAACTTCTACAAGAAAAGGTAAAGATGATCACTGTGTTCTTGAGTCCATTCGCAACAACAACACAGCGTGTAAGTCCTCAGTGCATTCACACGTCCTATCACAAGTAAAACCTGCAGCCTATTCACAAGTTCTGTCCCAAGTAAAACCTGCAGCCCTTTCACAAGTTCTGTCCCAAGTAAAACCTGTTCCCATTCACAAGTTCTATCACAAGTAAAACCTGCAGCCCATTCACAAATTCTGTCCCAAGTAAAACCTGCAGCCCATTCACAAGTCCTATCACAAGTAAAATCTGCAGCCCATTCACAAGTCCTATCACAAGTAAAACCTGCAGCCCATTCACAAGTCCTATCACAAGTAAAACCTGCAGCCCATTCACAAGTCCTATCACAAGTAAAATCTGCAGCCCATTCACAAGTCCTATCACAAGTAAAACCTGCAGCCCATTCACAAGTCCTATCACAAGTAAAACCTGCAGCCCATTCACAAGTCCTATCACAAGTAAGCCCTGCAGCCCATTCACAAGTTCTGTCCCAAGTAAAACCTGCAGCCCATTCACAAGTTCTATCACAAGTAAAACCTGCAGCCCATTCAAAAGTCCTATCACAAGTAAAACCTGCAGCCCATTCACAAGTGCTTTCACAAGTAAAACCTGTTGCCCATTCACAAGTGCTTTCACAAGTAAAACCTGTTGCCCATTCACAAGTGCTTTCACAAGTAAAACCTGTTGCCCATTCACAAGTGCTTTCACAAGTAAAACCTGTTGCCCATTCACAAGTGCTTTCACAAGTAAAACCTGTTGCCCATTCACAAGTCCTATCACAAGTAAAACCTGCAGCCCATTCACAAGTCCTATCACAAGTAAAACCTGCAGCCCATTCACAAGTTCTATCACAAGTAAAACCTGCAGCCCATTCACAAGTGCTTTCACAAGTAAAACCTGTTGCCCATTCACAAGTGCTTTCACAAGTAAAACCTGTTGCCCATTCACAAGTGCTTTCACAAGTAAAACCTGTTGCCCATTCACAAGTGCTTTCACAAGTAAAACCTGTTGCCCATTCACAAGTGCTTTCACAAGTAAAACCTGTTGCCCATTCACAAGTGCTTTCACAAGTAAAACCTGTTGCCCATTCACAAGTCCTATCACAAGTAAAACCTGCAGCCCATTCACAAGTCCTATCACAAGTAAAACCTGTGGCCCATTCACAAGTCCTATCACAAGTAAAACCTGCAGCCCATTCACAAGTCCTATCACAAGTAAAACCTGCAGCCCGTTCACAAGTCCTATCACAGGTAAAACCTGCAGCCCATTCACAAGTCCTATCACAAGTAAAACCTGCAGCCCATTCACAAGTTCTAATCACAAGTAAAACCTGCAGCCCATTCACAAGTTCTAATCACAAGTAAAACCTGCAGCCTATTCACAAGTTCTATCACAAGTAAAACCTGCAGCCCATTCACAAGTCCTATCACAAGTAAAACCTGCAGCCCATTCACAAGTCCTATCACAAGTAAAACCTGCAGCCCATTCACAAGTCCTATCACAAGTAAAACCTGCAGCCCATTCACAAGTCCTATCACAAGTAAAACCTGCAGCCCATTCACAAGTCCTATCACAAGTAAAACCTGCAGCCCATTCACAAGTCCTATCACAAGTAAAACCTGCAGCCCATTCACAAGTCCTATCACAAGTAAAACCTGCAGCCTATTCACAAGTCCTATCACAAGTAAAACCTGCAGCCCATTCACAAGTCCTATCACAAGTAAAACCTGCAGCCCATTCACAAGTCCTATCACAAGTAAAACCTGCAGCCTATTCACAAGTTCTATCACAAGTAACAGGGGATGAACAATAAAAAGCGAATGGCTTTGTCACAGTTCTTTTGAGAAGCTCGTGACTTGCATCAGGACTGGTGGACTTGTGATTGACTTGCAAGGACTTCTGATGGCCTCGACTACAATAGGTCTCTCTCTCATATGACGTCACTTGCTACCGATTGTCATGTGCATCGGCATTTTGGGCGTCAAATTTTCGGCTGCACCGTATTTCGAAACATTTTCAAGCAACAGGCATGCCTGTTTAGAACATTTTGCACACTGCGTGTGCACACACCTGATGGCGTTGAACACGCAGTTGTAATGTTCCTACGAAGATGGCGTCCTATGAGGGAGATCAATACTGTGCTGCCAACATAATGTGTAGTTGGAGCTCCCCCTCCCTAGTAGAAAAGTAAGCCACACAAAGTGAAATTAACTTTTTCTTCACTCACTATTAAAGACACAGATCACGAAAGCAGAGTTCAAATCACCAAGCTTTATATGTGTCTGACTCGTCAAATGTTTTGGTGCTGCAAATTAGGAAAACAGGAAAAGGTTTTAATACTTCAATAGGGGTGAAGTGCTTTTTGAGGCCTTTTTGACGGCTCAACGAATACTTGGTGACATCGCTTGTAGACCGCTCAACAAATGCTTGGTGACATCTCTTGTAAATATACACTTTACTATTTTTGAAAATCTTGGCACTCTTTTGCATTTTCATATATTCTTACTGGCTACACATACATACATCACACTATGAACTTTCTTTTGTGTTTGCTATAGGTTGTGTCCTAAAAAAAACCTTGAAACCATTCCTGTTTTTTTTTCTTTCTGAACATTATTAAAACACTGCTGATACTGTTAATTCCTTTCAGCTGAGCCACTACTTGGACATTGTAGAGGTGCAGATAGCACAGCAGATCTCCATCCGATCCAATGCTTTCTTCAGTGCAATGGCCTCCCATGATAAGCTGCAGGAGAACCTGGCGTCCACATGCAGAGCCATCCGTGAACTGAGGTAGGACTTGGTTTATGCTGTCTGGCAGTAGACCGATACATTGACCTCTGCCACATGGTGTTTTGAACAGTCACACAGACAGTCAAAATCTCAATCCTCTTCCCCTGGAATACCTTTATACATAGGTTAGTCACCAACAGTCAGATCATATTTTAAGCAAGCACGGTGACTAGTCCAAGTCAAAAGATACAAGCAGGCAAGAAGTAGGCACAGCTGGCTTATCAATCACCTACATTATGTACAGTCAAAGCATAGATGTATCAAGTTACATAAACAGTCACATCCAGTCTATCCTGCTTTATGTAGGCTTGGAGCACTTAACTGTTGAAAACAGTCACTTGATTGATTTTGACTGAAAGGACAACTTTGCACAGACTGAAATGTGCAGTGTTGCATTGGAGCGGCGCATGTGTTGTTGCCCAGCTGCGTAGTGACAGTGGCTTAATTAATGCATCATTCTATTACTAACGTTTCAAAAGTGGCCTCTTGCATATGGTGGGACAACCAGTGCTCAATGCTGGTGATGAGCTCAGTTGGTTAAGTGAATGTTTTAGTGCTGGATAACTTGTCACTTTGGCACAGGATTCTGTAGACTCTTGTTTATGAAGACTCCCAGTTAACTCTTGTTTGTTGTTCAGAAGAATCAAACAGCTGATTTTGTATTTTCTGCTATCTAGCAGGCATTGTGTTAAAACAAAGACTTGTTGCTCTGGGAAGAAGACAAAATTAGGACTTTTCATTTCCAGAAAAACAATTTTCCCCTCAAAAAGTATAGTAAACACACATAAAAGTTTCCTCGAAACAATATCTTTGCTGAACCTCATATATATTTAAAGTGACCTTTATAGTTTGCCGTTGTGGTTTTATTTGATGATTTCTTTTTTGTACGACAATTGCAAGAATTACTTTGTACAACCCCTTTCAAAGATTGTTTGACGATGAATTTCTAATTCTTTTCAGGGATAAAATCAACAACATTGATGCGATTCTGGCCCAGGGCAACTTGAGACTACTCAAACTGCAAATTTCCCGAGCAAACTATGTCAAGGTCTTCAACAAGGTACATGTAGGAACCAACCTCTAGATAGTTCTTCTAAGGTCGCCATTGTCGTTTGTTTTGTTTTGTTTTGTTGTTTTTAATTGGTTTTTCAAACCGATTTCAAAGTGTTCTAGGAGTATTCGGAGAATCTTTTGTCTGGGGTTTATGCTGGTTGGTGGTTAAGTTTTTTAGTGGGTCCGCATTTTGTTTGCAATCGATTACACACCTATGAACGGGTACAAGCCACCTAGACTGGTTCCCTGACCGTACAGTTCCCCGACGTCTATAAAGTGCTCTGTTTCATCTTAAGTGGGGTCAGGGAACCAGACTACAGGAACATGATTATTTTTCTTGGTTTTTCCAGCATCTACGAACTCAAAACTTCAAACCAGTCAGTGTTACAATATTTGCTATAAAATACCAACCCACCAAATCCATTCATTTCTCAAAACTACAGCAAAAGCAAATGCTGTATATTCCCTTTAAGCATAAATGCTCATTTTTCAAAATAACCCATTTTTTTCTAAGCTATTTGTAATTATGATGAGTAATATTCCCCGCTTCTGTTCATGAATGAGAGAACTTTTCAACACACAGTTGATGTAAACAAAAGGTCAGGTTGTGAATATTCTTCTTTGGATTTTGAGCGGTTTTATCATTGGAAAAGAACAAAATGCTTGCACTATTTGTGGTTGGGTCGTCAATGCTTGGTTCACCTGGTCCCCATCCTGTCCTGATATGGTTCCATTCCAGTTAAAACTGATGGCCACCGTCCACCAGACCCAGCCGACCATACAGATTCTCCTGACCACGTCTGAGTTTGTCGGTGCGCTGGATCTCATCTCCACGACGCAAGAGGTGCTGACCCAGGAACTCTCTGGTTTACAGAGCTTCAGGTAGGATCAGAGCCCAAGTACATGAAGCTGTTCAACCGAAAATAGCGTTCAGCAAAGTTAAATGAACTGAAATTAAATGAAACTCATAGGGGTTTTGGCCAAGGATAAGGAGTATCTGCACAACCAACAATTTTCAAAATTGACCTCATGGTTTTGTAGTTATTTCAAAAATGGTCAGACGGACACGTTTTTGGGGGGACATACATGCAAATGAGGAATAGTCTGGTGCCTGCATGTGCGTTACATTAGCGTTTGTTTTTGTATGCGGTGTCTAGGGTAAAAACAGAGTCAATTCATAGCAGCGCGAGCATGGCGTGAGTTACGAAAACACGATTTGTATTCAATTAAACTGTTACGATCTTAACAAAACAAATATGCAGTATAACATTTCATATTAATATTAACAAATTGGAAAGGAAATTAATATTTTCGAGAAGGCGTGGACGAATGATTGCGAAAACACGTACTGCACGTTGTGAATAACAACACCAAGTACACGATAAAAATCCATTACTAGCCAATTGCGGTATCGAATCAGGATACAGGAAGAAAGTTTCCTATCCAGGGTTTACTATTGGAAACGATGTTGGAAATAAAGTAAGCACTGGGGACGAGGTTGGCGCATGGCACTCTTGGCTTTGCCTTACTTGAGCTTGCCATATTTGTAATACTTGTATTTTTTATCAAATAACTTTTCCTATATTCTTAATCCTGTTTTTTATAATCAAGAAAGACTTGGCTACAATCGGAGGACACATTTACTCTGACCAAGGGTAAAACTGAGCCCTGTGTCAATTCTTTTTAACTTGATAAAACAAAAATCTGAAACTTTTTGGAACAGGCATCTTGGTTCTCAGCTTGTGGAGCTGGAGAAGCTCATCGACAAGATGATGACGCAGGATTTTGCACGATTCACCGCAGCTGACCTCAACAGGCCCCTGGATGGACAGGGCCATGTGGATGAGGTACGCTTTCCAGAATATGTGACCCATGACCCAACTAGAAGTCCTATCAAGCGATGCATTAGGCCCTACTCGGTGATGATTTTTTTGAACAATCGCAGCCTTAATTATTGTTGATGTACCCTAACGTGGCGCGGCCCCTAACGTGGCGCACTTGGATTTTTCGCCGGTAGCGCCTACCTAGAGCAAAATTTTAAACTGAAATTTCACAGAAAGTGAAATTTCATCAAGTTCTAAACGGTCCTGTTCATAAATCGCGAGTTTATTTACCCGTAACAAAGTTAGAAGGAAAAGCTATTTTGGCGTGATTTTCCGATTTTATTTTCAAGTGCAAAGTGAACCCTTTGAAAATGCCCTGAAAAATAAGAAAATAATTTTCTGACAAACATTTGGCTGGGTATGTAAGTAAAGATATAAATTATTTATCAGAATTTATCAAGTTTACAGGAATTCGTAAGTGTTAATTTGGAATTTTCCAAGATTTATTCAAGTGCGCCACGTTAGGGAACACTCCGCCAATTTGTGCCCAATTTCCGGACACCACCGTTTTTGAATTTCGGATTAAATTTTATGAAACTGAAATTGTTCACAGAGGTAAAATAGCAAGCATTGATAAGGTGAAAGTACTAGTATTTCATTGCATGAATTTGAGGTTTGTCAACAAAGAGGTTTGGCAACACTACACGAGGAAAGTCGGGTAAGCTTCGAAGTGCGCCACGTTAGGGAACACGACTATAAACCCATTAACACTGTACTGCATTGTATTACATTGTGTTTATTCACTGAAGAATTAGTAAAACCATAGAGTGCTGGGGTGAATTTTGGTGCTACAGGGAGTAATAGGCAGGGCGGTTTCAGAAGCTACAGTGACTAAAGGGTTAATGTATGACACGCATGCACAAATGTCCGACATGCCTGTACGTGCAAATAACATGTGCAGCTGGAACACACATTGGGGCATTGGAGATGTGCACATGTTGTTACCCACATATTTGTGACTGTCTGCAACCAACTGGCTATGAAGTAAACACAGACCGCTTTTGGAAAGAGTACGTCAGACATATTCCGACTATTTATTACCTTGATCAAACCAAAACTGAAAATAATAGGATGTGGTCAGTCTACTTTTGTACCGTAACTGCAGTCTAAATAACTTAAACAATTTCACTTTTATATGCAGCCGCTCAAAATTGATTGTGCAAAAATATTTTGTCTGAAAACTTTCTGTTCAACTTTGCCCTCTGCAAAAGGAAAAGGCCTGCCCTGCCTGTCAATCAAAAAGGGCATTGACCAATAAGATTACGAGTTTTGGTCAGGTGACCAAGGTAGCTTGATCAAACTCGATCACAAGCACTGTAGCAACGGTGGATTGGGCTAATGATCAAATCCAGAAATGGTCCATTGTTCAAAAGGTTAAGGAGATACTCCCGTAACTTAGTGAAATGACATCGCCATATTTTTTAAAATTAGGACAAATTAACCGCCATCATTCTGGGCATGCTGAGACAACATCGGTTCAGCTTCTTGGAGACATACCGAGAGGAGGCCGCCGAAAGCATTAAGGCTCTCATCAAACAGACCGTGGTGCAAGCAGTATCCACGGCTGACAACATGGACAATGATGCCAACATTGGAAGGTAGTCTTATAATACATTTCCTTTTATAAAAAGAAAAGGACAATAAAGTTTAATTTGCTTGGTTGAGCTGAATCCAAAAGTCTTGTTATGTATACTCATGAGTCAGTGAGTTTGACAGCCCATCTGTTAGTGAGTGAGTGAGTGATTCTGTCATTCAGTAAGTGACTCGGAGGACAATCGGTTGTCCAGCAACAAAAAGAGGAGGTCATGGGTTCAAGAAATGGTTCGACCTGAGTAAGAAAACACTGAGCATGTCATTTTAAAAAGGAGCATCTCTGAGACGAATGCTTTAAGGCCGGTTCATACTCAATGAGCGCAAAAACGAACATAACACAAATTTGTTTGACGCCACTGTGAGTTTTTGCACATGTTTCATGACCTCAAAGTCGCTTGGCAAAATTTTGTATGCGGTATAAACCAGCCTGTAGAGCACAGTCTATTGCCAATCATTTGTTATATTTGATGAGCCTTTTTTGTATTTTTCTGTTCCCTAGCCTTGCTGATCAGATGAGACTCCTCAATTTCCCCCAGTGGCTGCAGTTATTCCGGGCGGTGTTTGAGAACCTGGGACTACTAATGAACAGAGTCAAGGTGAGCGATAAAGCATAACTGTGTCGTCAGACACCATTCTAATCAGGTTTCCTTTTAATCTAATGGAGGATTGGGTAGTTAGGTAAATGGACCAATAGGTCTCGTTTAAATGACGTCATTTCCTACAGACCACCCACGTGCATCGGCATTTTGAGCGTCAACTTGCATAACGTGCATCGCCTGCGTCGTATTTGGAACACATTTCGAGCAACAAGCGCGCGTGTTTGGAACATTTTCAACACTGCGCAATGCATGCTTGATTGTGTAAAATACGCAGTTGCAGTTCTCCTACAGAGATGGCCGTCATTGAGCGAGCCCTGTATCGCTGGCGTAGTCGTGACGTCACTCAAGAGGTGAAACCATGATTACTGGTTCACGTGCACTGCAACAGCCCAGTGAACACTGTGGTTTCGCTACGGCTGTTGTGGATCCGTTTCTTAATTGGCTTGACTCTCCTCTTTGAAGCGGAAATGAGCACAGCTCTGGTTGTAACTGGTGTCGTGGCAATCTGCTGAAAGGCAGTGAACCATTTTCAGGTACCAATTTGTGAAAATGTTCTACAAAATGTAGGTAATGGGTCTTTAACCCTAACTCCCTAGCGTCTTTTACTAGGAACTGGACCAAGTCCATCGAAATCCATCCATCACTGTACGTCCAATACAAAACTGTGCATGTGACATAATGGAATCCACCACTGACGCACTGGTTGACATTCATGGACTTGCTACACTTGGCTTTTATCACAATAGCAGTACAGGAAGCTAGGCAAAATCTATCGGATACCCCTAGCACTGCTTCAGGCCATTAGGCCCAAGTCCATCATACTCCATCAATATTAATAGTCATGCCAGGCCTTCTGGATCAAGTCCCCCAAAATCCACCAAAATGGGGGGATGGATTTTGATGGAGTTTGGTGGTTAGGGTTAAGGAATGTGCATGAACCGTTGTCGAGGAAGTGAGCTTGACCCGGGGAGGAGGTGACGTGACACTTTTTCAGCGTTTACTTGAGGCAATAACTTTATAAGGTCCAATATATCAGAAATATCTTTCATTGGACTGGCTTGTGACTGGACTTGGGATGAGATTACTTGTACCTGACTTGTGGCAGAGTTGTGAGAACTTGTGACGGACTCAACTACAAAACTGAAATGATGAACTTTTTTATCCAACAAGTTCCACTTTTCTCTGTTTCATAAGGAAACAACCACTGTCATCAAAAGACTGGTGGACCTTGCTGCCGGAGTTGACCCCGATTCGCACACAGAACCGGTCGTAACCGGTCCGGACCAGAATGGACTGGTAGAATGCGCCGACGAAGCCACTGCATTAGACGAAGGCGAGCAAGACGATGAGCCTCAGCCCCGACCGAGCAAGGTTGAGGAGATGATGCCAACAACTGCAGCAAAACTGTAAGTATTTTGTCAAAAACTACCAGTGTTTAACCACTTTTTTTTTCCTGAGAACAACTGGAAGTACTTAAAGCACTGAAAGCACTGGTAAAACCAGCCAGTGTTATCATTGCAGGGTGGTATATTGGGTAAAAGCCCTGATCGTGAGTACCGAAGGCATTATTGCTTTTTTGTTTATCAAGGATGGATGATAGGATAGTTTGATTGATTTGATTTGATTTAGCATTACCTGTATAATAATCAGTTACAAGTAATAATGAAATTTGCGACTTATTTGACGACTTGCTTCCAAATTGATACCTTTTTAAAAATCGCATAGAGGTTATATTACATAATCATTTCATTTAACCCTGCTATGCCCAGTGCAGTTGGCAAAGAGAATTATCAGACCTTTCAAAGGTGAAATAGTGCTGGAACTTTGGGACTTTTCGAAAGGTTTCTGAAGGTGAAGCAACTCTGTTGGCAAATTCAGTAAGTTGCATTTCAATACCTTTTGAAAGGAATTGAAAGGTTTGGTAGTGTAGTAACAATAAATTCTTTCTTTCCTCCAATTTGCCAGCACCCAGATTTTGAGGTGTTTTGAATGGTCTATCTACAGGAGAGTTAATAAATCTTTAAAAAAAAGTCAAGGGAGGCTTAAAAAAATGCAGACTCATCATAAATAATACATAAAAGAGCAATTTAACAGTTTAGTAAAAGAAATTAAAAAGAAAGGGAGTAAAGACATCTCTTTCAGCGTACCTCTGTGTCCAAGTATTGAATCATGCATCCTGTGAAGTCATTGTGCCTAGTATGCTGTCATTTTCAAGAAGAGAGGAATTGCCATCATTTCTTTGTGATGGGTAGGACCAAACCATTGCGCTTTGCGTCGCAAAAAAAGGAAGATGCGTTTTCACAGGTTTTGCAAAAAGTATATCTACCGAGCTGAAATTTCAACAATTTTTTTTTTATTACAGAGGTTGTGGAATGCTCAAAGACATTTCCGTCATTTTTCAGGTATATGTAGCCTAAGGTGTGATGAAATAAAAATGACTATTGTGTCTGTCATGAAATGAATACAAAAGGTACTTTTGAGAGCTGTTTTTCAGGTCCTGTTTCGACCCGAACGTGCAATTTGTGTAAAAGTCGTCGTTGGGGGCAGCAAACAAAACATAGTAAATTGTGACATAATAAACAGGACTCCCTATGCAGCGTAGTATAAACGAGTCCTGTTTATTATGTCGCGATTTTTCTGATTTTACGAAGAACCCGACGACTGTTGATTTCAATTATACGTTCGCCGACCAACAAATTACTGGATGAATTTCAGTTTTATAAACATATAAACGCCATTACAAAAGAATGGGAGTTTGTCATTATGATATATATGGGTCTACTCTACAATAAACAGGCGTGTGAAATCTCAGCTTTAAAGCTGATTTCAGCTTTTTTTGTTTTAGATTTCAGCTTTTTTCCCTCACTTGCTGTGTACAAAAGTATAGGAGATTTCCAAAGTTCAGCTTTCTTACACCTTTTTCAGCTGTTTCAGCTATTTTTATCAGTACTCACTCACACCCCTGATAAAAAAATATTAAAAACAAAACGACTTTCAGCATTCCACAACCTCTTTAACCTGCTTCAGATTTATTGTATTGTTGGTCCTTGATTTGGCTAAACAATTTTTTTTGAAAATGATGTCCATTACCGTGAAGTTTTCGCTGAACTGTAACACTGATTGTTAATGTCATCTGTTTTTGTGTTTCTGTCTTACAATGCTAGTGACGTCGATGTGCTAATAGCTCCCATTGAACACAACAGACTCACACAGTCTCTGCAGGATCTCTTGCTGTTTGTGTGTGACTACGCCCATGACCGCTGCCTCAAACTCCTTATAGCCAGAGGCAAGGTAAGCTAAACCCCCTCAAAAGCTAGGAAACATTTATGCTTAGCGGCAGAAACAGGATACCAGTCAAAATGTTACAGGATTCACATATTGTTTTGACTGGTTCAATGCAGATAGTTGCTTAGCACATATATTTGTTCACCAGAATGATACCTCTAGCTCCTCATAGCTGGAGGCAAAGTAGGACGAAACCAACATGGAAAAATTCACTTAGTGGCAAATATAGGTTAGCTGACGATGTAGTTTATTTAAATTCAGCCAAATAAAAGAGCATGTGAATATTGAAATTGAAACGTTATCCTTGAACAAGTTGAAAGAGAAATAGTTGAATAATTATTTGTGATATAGTTTTTTTTGTTAACTGCCTGTACGTTCGTGACATTAGTGATAAAACAAAACAAAGTGGAAAAACAGTAACCCCCAGAAAAAAAACCCAGAAAACAATTTAAACAACAAATGTAGACTTGAAATTAAATCATCTATTTCTTTTTTTTGTGTTCAGGACGGATTTCTGGAGCGACTGAGTTCGGGTGAATTTGTGTCGCTCTCACGTGCAATAGAGAAGTTTGTTGGAAAATGCGAAAGCGTCTGTGAAAGGAGGAGCACCTCGTTGAGAGGGGGCCTTCAGAATCAGGTCAGGGGTCAAGGTCAAGGGTCAAATGGACAGGTTTTCCATTGTCGTATTGTTCAGTCATTTTTAGAATATTCTGTTAATATCATTTTTATATTGCCCCTCCCAAGAAGGCTTTTACAAAGTTTTACTCTTTCTGAAACAGTGATTCAGAGATAGTAGTTGTAAATTCTTCATTTTTGAGGATATTTTTTTATTGTTAGCTTGGAGATCCTATACAACCAGTTTCACCAAACTAAACTCACAGTCCTTTTAGGCAACATTTGATTGCAGTAGCTGTGCAACAAGTAACGACACTTTCTGCAGAAGTTACATGCAGCGCGTAACTCAATGAAAAGCATGACATACGTGTACAAATTCATTATTCATTGGCAGAGTTTGGTGGACTTTGATGGTCTGCAAAAAAACTTGGTATTTTAAAAATAATTTGATGTCTTTTTCCATGTCTTTTCTGTATTTTTCTGACAGGCTAACAAGTTTATTAGTAGATTCCACGAAGAAAGGAAAACCAAATTAAGGTATTCACCCAAGCTCTTTTGTAATTTTTGTGTAATATTGTTAGGGAATAACTTCGTACTGCGCGAAATTTGGCAGAACGCAGCGGTGTTTTACCGGCGGTTTAAAACTGTAAACTGTTTCAGACATTTATGAATTATGCTTAATAGTAGCTTCTTGAAATATGATCAGATGTTGTCTTCATAATGGCTTAATAAATGATCTCTTCGGATTCCAGTTTGATCTTAGATAGTGAGCGTTGGAAGCAAGCGGAGGTGCCTGCCGAATTCCAAGATTTACTAAGTGCAATGGCCAAAGGTGAGGAACAGACACAGTGAGAAATATGACGAGGGCAAAGTTGATTTGAATATTTCAGTATGTGAATGTTAGATTTTGAGGTTTGAATTAGACGCAATAGTGCTTCTTAATTGTGCCATATCCTCTCTGAGTGATTCCCGATTGCCGTTTCCCTGGTTTATAGCATTACTGTTGTTGCTAGCATTGTGACTTTGTATTGTGGACCCTGGCGCCATCTCACATACAGGTTTACAGCTTCTGATAGGGGTGTACATTGGAACCGGGTACCTGAGTACCCGACCGCTGATGTCAGGAACCGGTTCCAGATTATGGGATTGGGTACCCATAACCAACTTTACAAATTATGCACAACAACTTCTCAGACAATGAAAAAGAGAGGTTTTGAATGCCATTTGCTGCATTGAAAAACTCAGATTTTGTCCGATTCTCATATTATGTTCATCATTGGAAAGATTATTCAGTGTCCTATCCGATGATGCCCAAATCTTATTTTTGAATTAATTGGTCCAAGTGACTAAGCACCGTCGATATCAGAATTGTCAATAATCGATATATCGGAAATACAATATCAAGAATATTTGATAATCGATTATCCCATGTAAAAGTCAAAGACCATAAAGATGACACTTTGATAAAAAAAAAAATATTAAGTCCCAATTTTCCACTGCTTTCTCTGGCAATGTCTGGAGCATATTGCTCAAACTTTTTGAACAAATCTCAGCACTGACAGTTTGTCCAGAACAGGCAGTTTCTTTTGAGGTTTTACATTGGGGAGACTGCGAATTCCAGCGAATACAGAGCACAAAGCGACGCCGCTTGGCATTTCGCAGTGTTATTATGTCGAGTCGCAAGCAAAAGTTGCTGCCGAGTTTTATTTCATTATACATTATTTAGCAAACGTTAAACAAAAAGTAAAAGCACAAACGGAGATTCATTTGGCGGTAATGAGGGAGATTCATCTGACGCATTTTTGATACTTTCGAAATCAGTCCTCAATATCGAAAATTTTGATATGATTGAAAAATTGCTATCGGCTATATCGACATCAAAATAATGTCAAATAATCGAGTAACATCGATATATCAACGGTGCTTACAAGTGACTGGTTTCTGTGCTGGAGGGTCACATACAGTCGGTATTTGCACCACAAAATGACTAAGTATCCATTTTCAGAGTGGATGTGATTTTGACCAGTTGTATTTGATGTCAATATCACTGGGAGATTAAATGTTCACAAATCAGTGCTTAGTGTTCCCATCTCTAAGCTGCTCATTCATGCCTAGGTTGAAAAGTTACACATAATGTTATCCAATTGTTTTTGTTTTTCAGGAGAAATTTCTCTGACGCTTCTTGTCAATGCTGATAAAGGTATGTACAAATGCAAGGCACATTTTTCAGATGACAGATGTGGCATATATTGGATAATCTTTGTTAACACGTATATTCAATGTGGATACTTCTGTAACTTTGCCTCATTATATTCAATTTTGATACATGGATACATTTACAAACATATATTGTGTACTTTCGCTCTTAAACACATCAAGACATTTTAAATGTGAGATGATTAAAAAATAGGGCTATTCTAGCTTTGCATTCAAAACCATACCGAATTGGTTTGTAAATTTTTAGAGAATTTTGTTTTTTAATTTTAGGAAGTGGCGAGAGGAAACCATTGGAGCTTGTAGAGATTGCAAACCAAAGATACTCAGTTGTAGGGTAAGTTTGGAAACTGTTTTACTCAAAAATTTTATTTCTCCAGCTGTTCAAATTTTGAAGGAAAAAATGTGTAAAGTTTGTCACAAGAAAAGATGGTTTCTGTTGCTATGAAAATTTCCAATTTCCTTCTCCCACAAAAACAGGAAAGAACGGGTGATGCTCTGTTTTGATGTTTATCTTCTAGTACAAAAAAAAAATATCAAAGGTGTGCATGATTTGAGGATAACTTGGAGTTGCTCACTGTATAAAATGTGTCCAAATTCGTCTGAAAAATCTCATTTTGTTGCAAATACGCCATAGTAGTATGAGGTCACGTGGGGTCATCTCCAATAATGATTTGTCCAAACAATGTTTTGTCCCCCATTTTTACCGTACGATAGACCTAAGGTCTAATGACGTAATGGCTTTGTTTACATATGCGCTTTTCTATGGGAGCGAAGTTGGGACGCCAGACGAAGTAGGGACCGTCTACCACATAGGAAAGCGCACATGAAAATAAAGCGTGACGTCATAAGGTCTCAGGCCACCGATTTATATGAACATGCTTGAAATTTATCGGACAATACAAATAAATAAGACGGGAAAATGGGAGGGTGCTTCGTAACTGACTGTAGTTGTCACTCAGAACGCGAAGGATGACGTTCTTTTCCTTTTCCAACGGATGAAAAGTTGATGAAAAAGTGGGCACAGTAGGTATTGCTACGTTAGGCCAGGTTTGCATATAGGCCTGCTACAGTTTGGATTGTTTTTCTTTTTGGGGGGGGGGTGTGAGAGATATTCATTAAAACAATTCTTAATCTCTCATTTGATTTATCAAAACCACTTGTGTGATACTGAAGGCTTCTTTGCAGCAAGCAATAAATAAGGAGATTGAGTTGTTTTGAGCGTCCTCACACTGGTTATCATGGAACTCATGTGCAGTCCCCAAAACCTGTTAAACAAGAATATATTTCTTCGTTTTTACCATTTAAGCTTAAAGTTGCCTATGTGTTCTCAAACAAACTAATGCATTTATACAGTTTGTTTACAATGTTGTTAACCGTTGTATCATTGCAGGACAGTGTTGTTATTGTTGAAGATGGTGGCTGAGTACTGTCAGTGTGCGATTGACATTCCATCAGTGACTTCGGACATTCTCACCAGACTCGTCGAAATCCTGCAGGTAAAATTGGCTCCATTGTGAAAAATGTCAACGCAATTACCCCCCCCCCCCCCACACACACACATGTGTTTTACATAACTCCCGAGGACAAGCCACTGTCTTTTCCTTTGTCACTGTAATGTAACACTCTTTCAACCCAAAGTTTCGATCATGACTTCCTTGACTGTTCCTCTTCATTTTGCGACTGATAACCCTAACCCCAAAATGCCTCTAAAACCTTTTCTTTTTAGAGAGTGGGAAAATTGTGTGGATGTGTGCAAGTTCACAAAACGTTCACACTTTCTGCACCCTGTGGACCTCTTTTGTTCACAGGTCCACAAAGAGCATGCAATGTTTCGAACTTCGAACATGCAATCTGGTAAAATTTTAAAGCTCTCTTTATCATTTTCAGATCAATTCATACTGAACCTGTTTATGCCTTTTTCTTTCGTGTCTTTTCCTTTCAGATGTTCAACTCCAGATCCTGTCAACTCATCCTTGGCGCCGGTGCCTTACAGGTCGTCGGTCTCAAGACTATCACCACCAAGAATCTAGGTCTGTTACCATGCCAACGGTTTCATCAGAGCAGTTTTACCCTAATGTGGCTGCGTTTTGATCTGTCTCATTTTTTTTTTAGCTGCAAGCCATTTCATCACACAATGAAATGACACTCCATACCTCAGACTTTTTGTGATAGTAATGCTATTTTTCAGTCGGTGTATGGATGATGTATATGCAGTGAAGAAATGCTTAAAAGTCAGCCTGTTGAAAACCTCTGATAGTACCTGTTATGTGGGTGTTTTGTGTGTGGTTTCCTTGTCAACTAAAGTGTGGTAATAGCAGGGGTTAAATGTCCTGCAGATTTACACATAAGTAGGATTCTAAAAATCTGGGAAAACCTCGAAAATGAGTTACCACTTTTCCAGTCAGGGAAAACTCAGGATATTTGGGCAAAACACCAAAAATCAGAGAAAACTTGGGGAATTTAACATTGAGAAGGGAACGTTTTCATCAATTTTGGGTATCTCGGTTCCATATGGTGAGGAAAGGATAGTTTTAAAGGCAGAAGGGAAACCATTGCTTGTCAACAAATTATCTGAATATTATCAGAATCTTAGTTGCTTTGCTGCAACTAGCTCTAGACTTCCCAGCAACCTTGTCAAAGTGAAAATATTTCTCATGGAAGTTTGGACATTTCTCAGGGAAATATCAGGGACATTTATGGTAATTTTGTTTTCATAAAGTGACGGGAAGCCTAATAAGTTGGCAATCGTAAGAAGAGGCCAATAAATGAAAGTCGTTGATTTTTATCTTGTTTGCAGCTCTGACATCACGTTGCCTTCAGCTGGTCATCTTGTTCATTCCAGTCGTCAAGGACTTCTTCTCTCAGAAGTTGCCGTCCAAAATGCAGGGTCTGCTCAAAAACTTGGACAAGATTCTCAAGGTATCACAAATTACATTCAGTTTGCGAATCAAATCAGATCTTATTTTTACTGAATAAAAGGTGTTTTTGCTATTTATTTTATTTCACACCAACTGTTGAAAGTATCTGAGAGTCTGAAAGAATCTGAAATTCAGTGAAGATTTTGTGTTGAGTTGCATGAGGTCAGGCATCCAAACGGATACGTGTATGCATACATTAAGCTCTCCGTAACGGTTATCGACCATGCTGTTTTGCATCATGTGCACGTCTGCAGACGCTTATCGCAACCGTTTAATAAAAAGGAGTAATCCAAGATGGCAGCGTCCAATGAAAGCCTTGCATCTGCGACTTATCCAGCTTTGTAACACAGACAAAGAGCACATTTTTCTTCAGTAATTCATCCTCTTTCCAGAAAATCATACAGGATTAATTAAATTAATGCAGAAGAGATGACAATCGACAATTTTCACGCTGATGCGTAGCACGTGACATAGACGTGCCGTGTACATGTGTAGCGTTGAGCTTCAGGACCACACAAAGTGATGACCTATCTGGCGCGCTGACCATATCCATTTGCTTGCTAAACCTCTCTGTTTAGTTGCAGTGACAACAAGTTTCTTATATATTTTTTATTTACAAACTCTGCCGGTCTCTTTCACTTCCAGGACTACAATGACCATGTGCAAGAGATCTCCAACAAACTGGTCAATATTATGGACGACTCTTTCCGCCACCTTTTGTCGACGGTACGTCAGTTTTACTTATGCATGATTCTTAAGGCAAAATAAGGGCATTCAGATATACAGGGCAGTGGTGTAGTCGAGTCTATCACAAGTCCGTTCCCAAATCCTTTTCACAAGTCCTTTCACAAGTCCTTTCACAAGTCCAGTCACAAGCCCAGTCACAAGTCCAGTCGCAAGTCCAGTCGCAAGTCCAGTCGCAAGTCCAGTCGCAAGTCCAGTCACAAGTCCAGTCACAAGTCCAGTCACAAGTCCAGTCACAAGTCCAGTCACAAGTCCAGTCACATGTCCAGTCACAAGTCCAGTCACAAGCCCAGTCACAAGCCCAGTCACAAGTCCAGTCACAAGTCCAGTCACAAGTCCAGTCACAAGTCCAGTCACAAGTCCAGTCACAAGTCCAGTCACAAGTCCAGTCACAAGTCCAGTCACAAGTCCAGTCACAAGTCCAGTCACAAGTCCAGTCACAAGTCCAGTCGCAAGTCCAGTCGCAAGTCCAGTCGCAAGTCCAGTCGCAAGTCCAGTCGCAAGTCCAGTCACAAGTCCAGTCACAAGTCCAGTCACAAGTCCAGTCACAAGTCCAGTCGCAAGTCCAGTCACAAGTCCAGTCACAAGTCCAGTCACAAGTCCAGTCACAAGTCATGGGATGAATGATGACAAAGTCTGAATGCTTTAGTAACAGTTCATTTGAATAGCTAGGGACTTGACTTGACACTGATGGACTTGTGATGGACTTGACTACAACACGGGGGGGATTTGGTTTTTTTAAATCTCGAGAATTTGTTTCATTAAGTTTATCTTTGAAGAAGGCAAGTGAAGAAGTATGTTTAATTTCCCTCAAACTGTTATGTTGCTTTGTTTAATATACAGTATTGATTGTATGTGAATATCATTAAATGTGAATGCGATTCGTCAAAACCAAACATATCTTTCGTTTTTTTAGACAAGTATGTTCAATGGCAACTTTATAGGTCTTTTTAAGATGTGTTGAAAAAAACGTACATTAATTTGTTTGTCTGGTAACATGCCCGAATATTGAAGGGAAATGTGAAAAGCTACAAAGGGTTCATCAAAACGGTACTTTTAAATTGTCATTATTTCTTTGAAATAATGATGTGTTACAAAATAATTTGTAATTTGTGTATTTTCTGTTTTTACTGTTAATAAACAAATGGATGTCAGCTGTTTCCTGTGTTGCAATATGACAAAAACAGGATTTTTCACTGCCAAAAGCAGTATTTTGGTATTGAAAATTGCTTGTATTGTGTAAAAAAAATCTTTATGTTTTGATTTTGAAATATTTTTTTTTAGTGGGAGGTTAAAGCCCCGGTTCCGTCCGCCTGCTTCCGTGAGGTCTGCAAGAGGGTACGGAAGCTTCACGAGGCCATTGCAGAGCTGCTGCCTCCAGAGCAGATTAAGGTTCTCTTCATGAGGCTCAATGTGTCCTTCAAGACCCACCTTAGAGACGCTCTGATCAGAGTCAAGGTCAGGAATGATGGAGGTCCCAAGCACGGGTGAGTTTTTTTCTCTCAAGATTAGGTTGATGTCTTTTTCTCAAATGTGAAGCATTCTGGCAAAATGAGACGGTCGTAGTGGGAAAAAAGTGAAAAAAAAAAAAATGGAGTGGGAGTGATATTCTTTTCGATTTTCAGATTTATTGATATTTGTAATCTTTGATATGTCTTCTGCAGATAGTTTAAAGAAAAAAAAAAAATGAAACAATATCGTGGAATAAACTATTTTTGAACCCTTACCAACCCAAATCCACCAAAATCCATTTCCCCGTTTGGCGGATTTTGGAATGCAAGCCATCTGTACCAAGTCCATTACAATCAACCTGTAGTAGTGGTGGTTTGGGGTGGATTTCAGCGGATTTTGTCCTGAAGCATTATGTGAAGCAGGGTCAGTGATGGATTTTGGTGGAATTGGTCCAGTACTTGTAAAAGAAACTAGTGAGTTAGAGTTAAGGAAACAAAATTGCCATTTTTTATTTCCAAAACACCAAAACTTGAAACTTTAAAGGCCTAGATAAATGCGAAATAATCTGGAATCAGTTCCTGACATTAACGGTCAGATACTCGGGTACCCGGCTCAGACGCACACCCCTAGCATGCTCCAGTGCTCTCCGATCTTGAAAGTTTGGGCAATGGCATTTCTAGCAGACTGGCATTAGAAAATAAACAAAAATAAAACCAAAACGGAAAGCACAACACTTAGAGAGCTAGAGTTAATGCTTTAATATTTTGCGTTCCTGTCCCCAGGTTAGTGACGTCAGACCTGGCGTTCTACACAGAGTTCATCCAGTCATTGGATGGTTTGGATAGCGTCGTAGACAACATGGACGACGTGTGGGACTGGAGGTAGCAGTAAAGCCGCCTAGGCGGCGAACTGTTAACAGTAACAAGTACCCCTCAGCGCTGACATAGACAGAGACTTGACAGACACTAGAAGGCACAATTTTAGAATACCCCGTCACGGTTGATTGCCCTCAATAACCCTCTCAGCGCTACATGTATGTACTATGTGTCATGCTCCACTGCACTCCCACTCCGTATCCGCGTAGCCGGCAACAGGGTAGTTGGTTTGGACTTAGAATTTGTTCAGCAACTCCCATTCATTTTGTGTTGCTTCGTTCTCAAGGGGACCCCCACTCAGTATCTGCGTAGCTGGCAACGGACTTGAATTCTTTTCCAATGATTCCAACCTCGTAGCCAGAGAAATAAGGGGTATATTTGCGAGTGGCGGGGTATTCTGCAATTACTCCCACAAGAATACATGCGTGACTCCTGTGGTAAGGTGCACTGGAGATTTGTGCAACATTCAGATTAGCTGTGCAGACTTTGTGCCATATGCACACAAACTAGTGGGCACGCAAACTGTGTCCTGTGTCAATCAATTTATGTTTTGTGCAACCAGCAGCTGTTATAGATGGATTGCATTCAGGGGCCATGTTTGAGACGTGTTTTGTTATGTAAATTCATTAACAATGCATGTGCAAGGGGTCTACCCATGCGTAGCCGTGTTGAACAAAAGCACGCACCTCAAAGATGGCAGCGGCGCAAACCGTCTATACTTCGGTCTTGATTTGGCTATGAAGAAACTACCATTGTTATATCGTGTGCTTGAATACTGTAATTTCATTGGTCTAGGACTGCCAAGTGTCTGGACAATAAAAATACATGTCACACACTGAGGGTGATATCACACTGCGTTCATTGCTCGTGAAACCTGCCGGCGTGCTAGCTTTGCGCAATGAGAACTGCAACATCAAACGCTCAGTCTCGTGTCCAGCATGACATCAAAACCTTCAGTTATCAAAGGTTACATCGCAGTGATTAAAGTTATTTCTGACACAGTAAGTTACAACTATTTATCTTTTTTTGAGTTATTGGCATGATTTAACAAAGCATTTGTTGACAGCTGTGATGTGGGATATGCCGTTTTTAACCCCCTTGGGGCGCATAGCACCCTCGGCTTTGCCTCGGGTGCTATGCACCCCTTGGGTGTTAAAAACGTCAAATCCCACATCACAGCAGTCAACAGTTGTTCATTGGATTTTTAAAGTGTGGGATATTGCCATTTTCTACAATTCGTACTGATCCAAAAAATGATTTAAAGTTAGGGGTTTTATATTGTATTATTGTGGTATTGTGGTACGGTTAAAACATTACAAAAATCTTATACAATCCACACTAAAAGTAGTCATTGTTATGAATGCTACTTTGAGTGCATTAGAGGCTGTAAAGGGTTTCGTATTTGGAGTCTCTTAAATTGTCATTGTAAACCACCACAGTGAATTTATAATTGAGCGAGTTAGAAGCTTTAAAGCAACTGAAAGTTGTTTGATAATGTGTGCTCATCGGATTAAATACTCGATCCCACAATATAGACTGATCTGATATGGACTGATCCGGGGTTTTTTTTTGGGGGGGGGGGAATCTAAGAATCGGTCAATATCTGATTCAGTGGAGAATTAGAGATTCTGTGGAACATTCGGAGAAAAGGTAAAATAAATTGTTATCAAATAAAACTGTTCCAAAATGGAAAGGGATCCTTCCAAGTTTGAAAAAAAGTTACAAGTTGTAGAATTTACCAGCTGGTATGGATATTCTCAAACAATTGTAAAAGTAATCGCATAAAACTGTTTATATTTATGTACCTTTAATTTATTGATTTCTACCACGAACCTTATTTTTTTTTTAAAGAAAGTATACCACAGACACTTTGCACTCAACGCAGGTAGCCCTTTTTCACGGGAGGGTAACAACAAAAACGGAGTTTGTGTAGTTTTGTCCCACAGTTAATTATTCTGTCAAAACCCTCCTACTGTTGTACAGTCACAGACAGTCAAAAACTCCATCCACTTCCCCTGCCATGCCTTTTACACAGGCTAGTCACCAACAGTCAGATCATATTTCAGGCAAACTAGTTAAATTCAGTCAACAGCCAATTCGCTCTTTTCACACTCCGCCATTGGGCATGCAGAGCCTCGATCTGGCAACTTTACACAATAAAAATAGCCGGTTCAGTGATCTGAACCCCGACACGGGAATCACTGAACCAGCTATATTTATTGTGTTAAGTTGCCAGATCGAGGATCTGCATGCCCATGGCGGAAGTGTGAATAGAGCGAATAGCAGGCAACTGGTAGGCACAGCTGTCTTATCAATCACCTACAGTCAAAGCATAGCTTTATCAAGTTACATAAACAGTCACAGCCAGTCAATCCTGCTTTATGTAGGCTGGAAGCTCTTAACTGTTGAAAACAGTCACTTGATTGATTTTGACTGAAAGAACAACTTGTTACAGAATGTATGTTTGCACAGGAGGGTTAGCAGTACACAAAGAGTATTTGGGAATTAAGAAACAAGAAAAAAAAAGCATTTACAAGAAGACAGTTTCCAACTTAAAGTGTGCAGTCTACAAACCTAAATCATATTTTTCCCCCATAATACACTGCAGGTGAAGCTATATGGATCACTCACTCTTTTGTACATTTTCACAGAGCTTAGGACTGAGGCCGTGTCTGAATTACTTGGCTACGGCTTGAAATTACACACGACTTTATGGGGAGTGGCTGCAGCCGCTACCATAGACACTTGTGTAATTTCAATTACATGGCTACGGCTTGAAATTACACACAAGTCTTTGGGGAGTGGCTGCAGCGGCTACCATAGACAGGTGTGTAATTTCAATTACTTGGCTGTGGATTGAAATTACACACCAGTCTATGGGGAGTGGCTGCAGCCGCTACCATAGACAGGTGTGTAATTTCAAGCCGTAGCCAAAATAAATTCGGACACGGCCTGAGTTTGACAGAGCTATTGTGGTCACCTGACCAAAGGTCGTGTTCTAATTGGTCAATGCGCACTGTTTGATTGATAAGCAGGGTGGGTCCATTTTCTGCGACCAACTGTCCATGTTCTGTATTGTGGATCACTCATATTAATTGACACATGGACTCGATGCTTGTACTTATTCACTTTATATCATTGAACCTTTACTCTGAAATGGGGTTTAGAATGTATGAATAATTATTACACCAAAATATGAAGAAAGTACAAAACTGACAAGGAATAGTTGAATTTTGTCACTTTGCAGTAGTGTTAGTAGTGCACTAATATACATGTAGAATTGAATTTTCACTATCAACATGATCAACAAGAGATCATAAGTATTATCAATAACTCGAGTGGAAAACTGCACTATAATTTTATGTGGGGAATTGTGTAGGAATCGGGCAGTGTTGTAGTCCAGCCCATCACAAGTCTAGTCAAAAAGTAAATCACAAACCGTTTCACAATCCCGACCACAAGAACATGCGACAGTAGGTGAACAATTTACAAAGGAGAGCCTTTGTTACTGTTCATTTGATTGGCTTGAGACTTGACTTGAGACTGGAGGACTTGTGACGGACACTGTTACAACACTAGAATCACAAAAATTCTCGGCAAAACATGCCTTGAGAGTATTAGGGTTGATGCAAGCCAAAAAGGTTTTACTGGTGTCGTCTTTACTGATGTAAAGAAGGGTCAAAGGAAATGAAAGCAGGAAATGAAGGACGAAGTCAATATTCCACTGTTAATTTATTGCGTATTTAACATGGGTGACAAGGGGGGATGTCAAGGGGAAGGGGTGAATGCCCCCCCCCCCTCCCTCCCATTCCTTTGAAACAACATTAAATTTAAAACATGCTCGAGAAAATATGTGGATTTTGTGACATAATATGCAAATCAAATCTTGACAAAAATTGCGACTGAGCTTTTTCACGACGGTGATTTCTCACATTGCTTCAGTTGAGTGCTCCCCTCCCCCTTGCCCCCCCTTGCCCCCCCCCCCCCTTGCCCACCCTCCCCCTGATAAAATCCTGGCAACTGGTGCCCTACCCTATCCCACTTCTACAATGCACATGTTTACAATCAGATTTAAACTTGATCTTCAATTTGATAATCTCAGCCAAAGACCAATAACCATGTACAAAAACCCTGCACGAATGAGGCCACTGTTTGGGATTTTGTGGCCTACAGTAACATGTCATTCTGTTCTGCAACATATAAATAGTCACCTCTTTATTTAAATAATTTTCAATTTTATTTTCAATTTTGTTTCATTATAAAAGTAAAGTAAGAAGTCATTTTTTGTATGAAATGAACTGTAAAACTGCTGTGTTAATTGACCTGTCTCAAGTTGTCATTCTTCAGGTTTATTATAACACTCAGAACTCTTGATGTGTTTACTTGTTGTCAGTTGTACAGTACATGTTGCCAGTGTTGTACATAAGAAATTTTATATGACGGTAATAATTATTTAAATCTAATGGTGAAAGAAATAAACGTGCTGCACAAGGCACAACTAAAACTACAACCGATTCGTGCTCCACATTTTGTATGTACATGTATTGTATGTCCAACTGAAGAAAAATAATCTCTTGAATTGTTAAAGGGAATGTACATCATTGGCTTTTGCTGTAATTTTCAGAAATGAACTATTTGAGGGGTTAGTATAATAGATCAAATATTGTTACACTGACATTTTTGAAGTTTTGTGTTCGAAAAGGTTGGAAAAACCAAGAAAAACAAAAATGTTAAAGTAGTCTGGTTCCCTGACTCCACAAAAGATAAAATGAATCAATTTATAGATGACGGAAAATTGTAAGGCAAGGGAACCAGTCTAGCTGGCCTGCACCCGTTCATGAACATGTGACCAATAGCAAACAAAATTTGGACTGAAATAATGGTAAATTTTGAGCAGTAGTTGAAAAATAGTTAGGTTTTTCCAACGCTGGTCGGCCGACCACCATTGGAAATGTATACAAAAATACCATTTTCTTGAAAATGACTTCACACCAGGTGCCATAGTTTTACAAGATGCTTGAGACTGTCATTTACCAACATTCTAGTAAGGTATTTCGTAAAAACTTGGTAGTTTTATTTTTCGATGTTTGCAAATGTTGTATATTCCCTTTAAAGAAACATTGGTTATATGTAATGAACCAACCAATTTAATGAGAAAATCAATGAAATGACTGGCAGCAAACACCCTGTGAAATTATTCCGCCAGAAAAAGTGTCATTCGGAAGCAAACAATCATTGACTTGGTTTTAAAAAAAAGTGTGCCAGTGGGCAAACTTTTTTGTAAAATTAGACGATTTTGTTAAATAGGCCTACTGCGAAAATCACTCATCCACTAAAACTTCAACTGAAATTTTATTAATTGGGAGTTAAGGATCAATTATTTATAGGGCCGGGTCCTACATCATTTCCATTTGAATGCTAATTCAAGTTAATAAAAGCCATGTTTTTACTTTGGTCAGTAAAACATGGCTTTTAATTAACTTGAATTTGCATTCAAATGGAAAATGATGTAGGACCCGCGGCCCTTATTATAAATAATTGATCCTAAACTCCCAATTAATAAAAACTCATGTCCCCAAAATATATTGTTTTTGTTTTGTTTCATGCTGGAGATAACTATTTTGGGGGTTGATACTCTTTACAGGGAATGTACAACATTTGCTTTTGCTGCACTTTTTCAAAAATAAATGGATCTGAATGATAAGTGTGTTACAGAAAATATTGTTAAACTGACTTGCTTCACGTTTTGGGTTTGGAGATGCTGGAAATCCAAGAAAACTAACCATGTTCTTGGAGTCTGGTTCCCTGACCCCACTTGACCCCACCTGAACCCACCTGACCCCCCATGAAATGGAGCAACTTGTAGACTTTGGGGAATTGTAAGGTCAAAGAATCTGTCTAGCAGGCTCATACCCATTTAAGGTGTGTAATGCAATTGCAAAGAAAGTGCAGAATAACTAAATATGAACAATTTGGAGCAGTTTTTGAAGAAAAGCCAGTTTTCTCCAACGCTGGTCGGCTGACCAGCGTTGGAAAAATAGAAGTTTTCTTGAAAATTTCAGCACGCCACTGAGGAGCCACGATTTTACAGGTGCATGCTTTATGATACAGTCATTCCCTAACAATCCAGTAAAATATTTTGTGATAATTTGATCATTTCGTTTTTTGATGTTTGCAAATGTTGTATCTTCCCTTTAATAATTGGTTTATCCTTTATAATTTCAAATAGCTTTTTTCCGGATTTTAACATGTAAGACTTGAGAGAGAAAAGATTCTAGACTTGCTAAAGCTAGGTCACACACAACTATGTCCAGAACACGAGCAGGAAATCAATTTGTACACTAATGTCGTGGGAATCCAAGTACTCCGAGGAAATTAATTGGGTTCGCAATGCATGATGGTTAAAAGCAGTTGTCATGAGAAAAGAATATGGCGGTCTAAACATTCGGCATTGGAAGTTTGCGAAGAACTGAACTGATGAAGAAGATGAACGATTACAACACGAATTTTGCTGTTTCTTAGGTACGTGCAGAGTGTGCATTTCCTCAGTTTAATTGTGCATAATTGAACAGCACGAAGTAAAGCTGCCAACGCCAGCGCACGGTAACCCGAACCGTGCCCGAACTTGCCGAAAAGTCATTAACTCGCGTACAACGACATGAAGTTGATGAACGAGATCTAGTGGCGTGCAGTGGTCGAGGCGACAAATGTGCATGCTTAGGCTGGCTAGTGACTGCATCGAAAATGAGAACCTGATGAAATGACCTGTTACTAGTTAGTGTTAGTGTTAACATGGTTTATAAAGTGATATATACTACTTAAGTTCTAGTGCCAGCAATATTATAATTATTATTTTTTTTAATATTAATATTTAGGCAGTGTATATTTTGCCGGAGACGGCAAACTTTTAGTATAGTCGTGTTCCCTAACGTGGCGCACTTCGAAGCCTACCCGACTTTCCGCGTGTAGTGTTGCCAAACCTCTTTGTTGACAAACCTCAAACTCATGCAGTAAAATACTCGTACTTTTACCTTATTAATGCTTGCTATTTAACCTCTGTGAACAATTTCAGTTTCATAAAATTTAATCCGAAATTCAAAAACGGTGGCGTCCGGAAATTGGGCACAAATTGGCGGAGTGTTCCCCAACGTGGCGCACTTGAATAAATCTCGGAAAATTCTAATTTAACATTTAAGAATTTCTGTAAACTTGATAAATTCTGATAAACAATTATTATCTCTACTTACATGCCCAGCCAGATGTTTGTCAGAAAATTATTTTCTTATTTTTCGGGGCATTTGTAAAGGGTTCACTTTGCACTTGAAAATAAAATCGGAAAATCACGCCAAAATAATTTTTTCTTCTAACTTTGTTATGGGTAAATAAACTCGCGATTTATGAAGAGGAGTGTTTAGAACTTGATAAATTTTCACTTTCTTGGAAATTTCAGTTAAAACCTTTGCTCTAGGTAGGCGCTAAAGGCGAAAAATCAAAGTGCGCCACGTTAGGGGCCGCGCCACGTTAGGGTACATCAACAATAAACGTTAGTTTGCCGGATATGCACTGAACATGCACAGTTACTGTTTTTTTGTACTTGAACATTTTCCGGTGACAAGTTTTAGTCTGGCTCCATGCCAAAATTATCGTTGTTACCTCGTATTCACAAGATGGGATTCAGTTCAGACCATTTTATAATTTCGGACTTTATTTCCCTTTTAAAAAAAAATCCTCCAGAGCCACAAATCTGAAAAAGAAAATGTAATACTCTGCAAAAAATGTTTGAGACATGTTAAAATAATAAAAGAAGAATATTCTTATTTATTTGGGGATGGGAAAAAAAACCTTAAAATAGTGGCGGGGATCAGGATTCGAACTCGGGACATCCCACTCAATAAAGTCACTGCTTAACCACTGCACCGATTTTGCTACACAACATTGATGGGAATTTAATACATGTTATAATTCAGCCCTATCTTAAAGAGTACAGCGCCCTCTGTTGATATGGATTACCGCCGGCAAACCTTTAGAAAACGTTAGTTTGCCGGCGTTACCTCCGGCAAAATATCCACTATCTATTAGGCCTAATTATTAACATTTTGGTGTCTAAAAAAATCAAAAGGTCCTTAATCTGTTAATTACGCTGACATGGCTGGCTTTGGCTTCGATTTGTTTTTGTTTAATACTGTAGTGTTACTAGTGTCAGTTTTAGGGACATATGGTTAAAAAAAAGATCCTTGTGTGACCATTTTTTGCGCACTTAGCACTTTGACTGATTTTTTTCTTGCATAAACTATTAACTAAAGCCTAAACACAGTTATGGACTTTAATGTTGTAACTAAGAATGGCTATTAAACTACATGGAAAAATAATTTGAACAATATTGAATGTCAAGGAAGCACCAAGAACGTCGTCATCTGCAGATGAGTCATATTGGCTGCCACGAAAGTTTCGTTCCCATAATTCGCGCACGAACGGAAAACGTCATTCTACAGAGTCTCCATTGTGTCCTACTTCTGAAAACAATGTGGATCGATTTGTTGAATAAAGGATAAGTTTATGTGCACAACTTTGGTCTCTAGTTTGATAAACTAACTTTAGTTTGCCATCCGACATTGTTACTACTTACACAGTACACGTTTGTTTAAATATGAAATAAATGAAGTTCTTTCGATTTTGGTAAAAACAAGTTCATACAAAATATTTTAAATCTTTTCATAATTGAAAATTTGAGGTAAATAAATTAAACCCACAAATCTTATAATATATTTTTGTCGAAAATCTAAAAAGTTTAGGCCTAGTTAAATCCTATGCATGGAAAGAGTTCGAGAATTATTGTTTTGCTGAAAATCAACCATGTGCCAATTACATAACATTTTACAAATTTAAACAGATTCTCCAAAAATAGAAACATGCAATATTACTTTAGTATAACGTGGCTATATTTTTAAGTACGTGTACATGGACAAATATATTTGAAATGACCCCTCCAACAAAAACATAACAAAACCACCCTGGCTTTCTGTAACAATGTTCTCCGGCATTTATTGCTCATTCTAATACACCTGCGATCAATCAACGATAATGCAGGCGCGTGCTGCATGCAGTCTGGAGACATCCTTGTCACACACGCCTTGTTTGAGGCTACCATTTTGAATTCAGGAAAAATTGACTAGTGCATGGCTCCTGGCTAGGCTAGACTGTTTCCTGGGCCCCCTAAAAATATTGGAGTCTGAAGGATAATGGAAACAGGGAACTAGACTAGCTCATGGCTAGCATGAGACAGACCAATCACAGGGCACTTCAATTGGTCACCTGGACAAATAAGTAACCACCCAACCATTTGCCAACAAAAACATCAGATTTCACCCTCAAAACAGCCACAGAATTACTAAATACGCCACCATGAGACACAAGTAGAGATCGATGATTAAGATTGAGGCTAAAGTTTACTTACAATTTGGATGAAAAATGGAATTTACCATTTATCGTTCCATAGCGAATACTGCGCGGAGCTGCGGATGCCAATTTTGTTGACATTTAGGTTTAATTTCAAGGTCAACGATTGATCACATGATTAGCAAAGCAAATTTTACTAAGGGAATTTACTAAAGATATTTTCCAACACTTTAGGTAAAGTTGAAGTGCCTCACATTAGGGCTTCCCCTGTATATAGGCCATGTACAGGGGGTATATGAAACAAAAATTGTAAATTTTTGTTGCATTCTCTTGCTTACAGAGTGACTATTTCACTACAAGGCCATGGATTCCCCACACTATTCCGAGTCTGAATTGACATCAGAGTCTGGAGTAGGTGGCTCACCTGAACCGATTATGGACCTGGGCTACAATGACATCTCACCGCAGAACGTCAGCGAGCTGTTTGTGACTCCCAACACGGGATCCCGGCCGGCGCAGAGTGCCCCCGCCACGCTACAGACGACGCCGTTCGATGCCATCTCGGCTGCGTTTCTGGAGAGCGCATCCCCACCGGCTCACTTACTGCCGAGTACCGATGAAGAGGAACCCTTATCCAGACAGAACGGAACAACAACGTCTAAGACCGTGAAGTTTGCCGGCACCCCGCAGTATTTCCAGGCGACTATAGCTGCACAGAGGCGGGGCCTTGACCTAAAAGCCAGGCTGTACGATCGACCACAGGATGCCCAGGTGTACCAGACTATTCGACCAGCTGGTATCCCGAACAGGAAGACACAGAACGGAGTCAATGTAAGTCATTGGTATTGCCCCCCCCCCCCCCCCCCCCCCAACTATAGCAATGGTCTCAACTATAGCAGTGGTCCCAACTATATTTCAGACAGTCCCAAGTATAGTCCGGGAAGTCCCAACTTCGGTTTGGAAGATTTTAACTACAGTTGGCATTGTTCCATCTATGATGTTATAGTTTGATGTACAGCCTGTCTCAAAAGAAAATGGTACAATCAGAAAAAAAAATTGTTAAATATGAAATTTCAAAACAAGTCATTCTTACTTGGCATAATATTAAAGAACAAAGACTGGGCTTTCCAATAGTGTTTGTTTGATCTTATTTGTTTTTGTCAATTCAGAGATATAATCAATTTAGTGCAATACACCAAAATCGATTTTGTGCCACTTTTATGCACGGGCAGAGTTGTTTCGAGTACTGTGCCATGCTGTCTTGAAGCTCACAAAAGATTGCAACTTGGCAAAAGAAACAAACTCAATTTTTGTGTTCCGCAGTAAACTGGAGTTATCTCTGGATTGACAAAAGCAAATGAGATGAAACAAAAAGTATTGGAAAGCCTGGTCTTTTTTCTTTAATGTGATGCTCAAAGCGACTTACTTATGTTGAGATTTAATATTGAAAAAAAAAAATTGTTTTCGATTGTACCATTTTCTTTTAGACAGGCTGTACTTGTAACACTACAGTACTATAGAAGCGAGCAGACTGGATGCAGAAATGACCTGACGTTTGCTAAACATTTCAAAGTGATTCTCTTGTTTTTTCTTTAGCATTTTGGCCATTGACGTTTCAGTCTCAGTTCATCTAAAGACAAAAAGATTTATATCCTTGCTCTACTGAAAAATTCCAACTAATAAATTTCCCTCTGCTTTTGGGTTGTGGAAGGACTGTACTCTATATTTGGCGTTCAAAAATATAATGTGTTCATTTTGTGAGATTGTTAGGATTAATCCTACATGTACAAGTAAATCAAATTTGAAAGTCTTTGAACCTTGCCTACATAATATTACATGGTATTTATTCCCTTATGAAAAAAAATCCATAATATAAGCGTGCTCTGTTGTTCTGGAGCAGTGCGGGGTGTAACAGGCATGACAGTTATAATAATAATTATAATTTGGGAGGCTAATCATCCTTACTCGCAGCTGGCATGCTGAATTGCGAAGGACGCGGCTACAACGTGGTCGGGCCGCTGGCACGTAAAGGTGCCTATGGCTGCCGGCCACATCGACCCATATATGACCACGGAGCACAGCCTGAGATCGAAAGTGTTTGATTTTTCCAGAGGGAGGAAAACCGGAGGGCCCGGAGAGAAACCCTCGTGGCACAGGAGAGAACCAACGCACAACTCTACTCACATGCGATCCGCGGCCAGGATTCGAACCTTTGGTCACCTTGGTGAGGGGCGAGCGCTTTACGCACAAGCCACCCATGCTACCCAGTTATAAGGAAGTAATTTACTGTGCGATGTCTCAGGGATGCATTAGAAATCACAGACATTTCTCTTTCTCTTTCAGGGAACATCTAATCTATCAGCGGTGCCGCACCCCCCACCCTCTAGAGTCCCAGCCCCTGGGGGCGCCCTACGGACCACCCTGTATAAGCGAGACCATGCCAGGATCCACATGAAGAGACAAGGAAGCAAGTCATCACTGCTGGAGGAGGAGACTAAGCAGCAGAAGCCAAACAAATCGTAAGACTGAATCTAAGGCCCTGTCCGAGTTATTTGGCCTTGTTGCAAATAACACACGTGTCTATGGGAAGTGGCTGCAGCCACTGCCATAGGTGCGTGTGTAATTTCCAGCCTTATTCAAATATCTAGGACACAGCTTAGTTCTTGTGGTTATTCTGTTGAATGATAGGGGTATGACAATTCGTCACATATTCATAAGATGGAATTTTTGCGTCGGGGTGATTTAAATCAAATTAGGTTTTGCCCTTCACCGACGTATAAACACTGTATACCCAGTGTGTTACCTCCCGAGTGAAAGTTAAAAAATCACTCGGGTGGGACTCCAACCCATGACCTCCTGCTTTCTAGTGCAGATGTCTTACTCCTCGACCGCCGAGCTAACGGGATCGGTTGGCTGGTTCAAATCTGAAGTAGCAGCGGGTACCGCATTAACTATTCATAAGATGGAATTTTTGCGTCGGGGTGATGTAAATCAAATTAGGTTTTGCCCTTCACTGACTATACACTGTATACTCAGTGTGTTACCTCAGTGTGTATTTTTTCCAACTTTCACTCGGGAGGTAACACACTGAGTATACAGTGTGTATACGTCAGTGAAGGGCAAAACCTAGTTTGATTTCATCACATATTGCAATAATCTGGTATTTGTAAGGCCATGTAAAATATAATGTACCAGATTCTCGTGAACATGAATGTGTAGCCATTGTGAGGTTAAATTCCAGTCTTAAGTGGTAAATTTTTTTTAAAAAAAATAGCATCCTTGCCATTTTGGAAATGCTGCACAAAAGTGGTCGATATTTTGGAAAAGATCATAAGCCATCGGGGGGGGGGGGGGCAAAAAGTGCCCGCATCATTTTTTTTGAAAAATTGGGACGGGATATATTTTTGGTATGATAGGTATGGTAGAATGTGATGAGTAAATCTGTTTCGCAGTACTTTACTATGAATTATAAAGTTCGACAAAAAAACCTACAAAACCTACTAAATCATATTGTGTGCACAAATATATGGAAATGTCTCCCAATAGGTACAGTTTTCCATAATAATAATAATTTGTATTCATTGTTATTTTTGTTTATTTTTTTTGCTTTAGTGAAATTGAACCTAAACCTCCTTCCGATGTCAAACCAACAAGTGCTCCAGAACGGATCGCCCCAGAGGAAATACAGTTCCGCGATGTGCACAAGCCAGCAATCTCCCATTCCCACTTGGACGTACCCGGGGCTGCCAGCGGCACGTCCGTTGCCCCTACCTCACCTCTGATGCAGCTCACAAAGAAAGAGTTCACCCCTGACCCCTCGGTGACCTCTGACCTGGGTGACTCGCCCTCACCTCCGTCTTCCCCCTCCGGTTCCCGTAAGCAGGACCCGAGGATGGTGTTTATGTACTTGAAGACAAACAAATTTGATGACACAGGTAGGTGTCCACTTCTGGATACAATTTTTCCTTGTGGTGATTTAAATATGTATAGACCTCTCTCATAGACAGCCATCTCTGTAGAAAAATTACAACTGCGTTTTCAACGCTATCATGTGTGTGTGTGCGCAGTGTGCAAAATGTTCTAAAAACACGCATGTAGCTCAAAATTTCTTCGAAGCTTGGTTGGTTCTTCTCTTAAGGACTTCCACAAGGGAGTATTTATAACTAGGAGGCCAGAAACACTGGGGCAAATCCCTTCTCTTAGCGTTAAGTGTTCTTTTACGTGTGTTAGGCCTTATACAACACACGGGACCTCCGGCTTAATGTCCCATCCGAAGGACGAAGCAATAATCGTTCAGTGCCTTGCTTAAGGGCACAAGTGTCCGGGCCCGGGCTCTAACCCACGCCACTGTTGCCTCTGAAACACCAGAGCATGAGTCCGGTGCTCTTAACCGCTAGGCCATGACACTCTTAACCGCTAGGCCATGAAACACGGCACGGCTGATGCACGTCAGGAAAATTCGACTCCCAAAATGCCGATGCACATGGCAATCTGTAGGCAGTGACATCATTTGAGAGAGACTTATACTCTGTGTTGTCCTGAAATATTGTGTGAAAAAAATTCGCAATCTACTCTGGAAAGGCATGTTATGAATAGTTTTGTGCGGTACCCACTGCTAAATCAGATTCGAACCAGCCAACTGACCCCGGTAAGCTCGGTGGTTGAGTTGCTAAGATGTCTGCACTAGTAAGCAGGAGGTCGTTGGTTTGAGTCCTACCCAAGTAGTTGTAAATTTTCTGACACAATCACTCGGGACAACACTGAGTATTCAGTGTTTATATAAATATGTGGGTGAATTCCATGTTATGAATTGAGAAGTCTTTGGACTCGTGAGAGCTCCTTGGGGAAGACACATTGAATGCGCAAACATACTGAAATTTGTATCCTTGTGGAGACATTTCATTGTTGCGACGGATCAACATGCCTTGGAAAATCCTAGTTTTTGAGTAAAATCCATATATCTATTTCGTGAAAACCTTGTGGAGATGTATTCATCTATAGAAATTGCCCTGTGGAGAAGTATACAATCTTTGGTTCCCTATTGTGTGCATGTCTCCAGAGGGCACGGTGTTTCAGATCACACTGGTTGAGGTGTATGATGCGAAGTACACATGATAAATTGCACCCTGCGTGTACATAAACCTGTGTCTCCTTTCATTTGAGCACTAGGTATATAATGAAAATCACAAAATATTTGAAGAAATTCCCATACTGCCCGAAATACCCAACAACAAGTTTAGTTAACTAGTAGATCAACACAAATATAAGCTTAACAAATGTAATGCTCATAACTTAGCAAATCAAAACTGAGTTACCAAATAAATTACAAAAGTCCAGATCTGAACAAAGTTTGATTCTGTGAATTGTTCCGATTGGATTCCTAGCGCCAGATATAGACAGCTTGACATATCATCTGCGGCGGATGCGAGGTGTCATGGAGCTGGTGGTAGACTTACCAAGACATGGACCCACGGTCAAGGCAGAGATGATAGGCATTGAAGACAGGTTGCTGGAACCAGCCAAGGTAGGGATCTTATGGGGGCTAGAACAGGAAATACGGCTTTCAGATTTGCTTTAATCCTAACCCTGCCTGATGCAGCGCAGTGCAGTATCTGTAAAAGTCTGTGGGACCTTGCATTTGGCCATTGACACCAGTGTGTAAAATGCCAAAACTGAGAACGTGTGAGTCCCATTTAACAATACCACTGTTGTATCCACAGCCTCTGAGCAAATTTGGCCTTTTTTAAACATATTGGATCTTGTTACATTCCTCAGGCTTTGTTTTTGACAAGTGTTGCATGTTGTTGCATCTGGCAGGGTTTCTGAGACAAAAATTGGAGGTGTTTTCAACAATTTTTGATCCTGGTTCAGCCGGGGATTTTCCATCTGCTTAATCAATAGGCGATTGTTTTGCCACCTGTTTTCCAGCAAAAGTCAACAACTTGAGACAATATCTTCAAATTTTTCAGTTTCAGAAAATTGGTGAGTCAGGTTGGTGCGGTGGTACCGGTACTTATCACGCCCTCCAACTCACCCTGATATGGTTTCCTCCACCTCTTAAACAGAACATTTTCTTCATTGTCTTCTCCCTCTAGGTTTCCCCAAGCTTGTGAGTTACAGTGCCTTTGCACTTGTTGACTATTTTTCAGATAACTTAAACAAAACATTTTATTATACCCTTTAACCCCCGAATTTTTGTTCTTTAGTCTCCCCCCCCCCCCTGCACAAAAGCTCCCCATACCAGCAAATCACTGTATCAGCTCTTTGCCTAGAGAGTGCACTTGCAAAAACAACTTATTATTACTATGTAGATTTCTAAGCTATGGGCTCCATGCACGAACAAGAGAAAGAACCACGTTCGAGAGCACCATTGACGGGACACACAGCATGTGCGTACTGGTTTGCACATATATAGCGTGAAGTATGCGAGACTTATTATGAATGCACACATACCCGTGGCGCGTGAGCGTCAGGTGGCCCATTTCTGCCGTGTGTCCCAAGACTTTACATAGTTAAATGTTTGAAGGTTTCAGTTGAACATTGTAAGACTCGTAAACTAATACTCGCTCGCAACATATTCCATGAAGATTGTTTTTTTTACTTGTGAACACCGTCAATTCTTCTCCTTCCAATATTCAGCATAGTATTGAGGCACAGCTCAAATCCAAGCAAAAGGTACGGTATTCCTCGTAAACCATATCACGGTTGATGTCACTGCAGATTTGATTTTGTGATGTGTTGAAGTGTGATCATCTAGTAACTCTTTATTTCATCTCTGAGATTTCATTGTACTGTGATAAAATGTGTGGGCACCATGGAGGAATCACTGAAAGTATTAGGACCGATCGCAGACAAATGCAGCATGTGGCGAATTCCTTTCTCTATGTTTGCAGCAAATGCTTCTTGACGTCAAATTTGCTTCGCATTCACATGAAGTATGAACCGGCTGTAGAAGTACCAGCTTGCCAAAGTAGATTACACATAACGGTACATTGGCCAAAGCTCTATTTGCATTCAGGATGGGATAGTCTTGCCAAGTTCATACAAAACATTCTTAAATATTTGAAAATGTCTTGTCACTGAGTAAAAGTTTCAGAATGCTTGACTGCTTTTTTTGGTTTCATATTTGTATGCTCGTACATCTTATACATACATGTACCGGTAAGGGCGGGGGGGGGGGGGGGGGGGAAGGGGGGCAGTCGTATGTATGTCAGGTCCTATAAGTTGGTAATCAGTCCATCCTGTAGATATCCTTATCCTTGTAGATTCTTTCACTGTTTGTAGACAAATGAGTGTAGTGTCTCTTTTTATCACTAGTCGGGCCGTGTCTTGTGGCTACCACTTTGGTATTTAGCTATTGATGCACTTCAGAGCATAGTTGTAGCCACACACAATGTCCATTTTTTTGGACAAGGCCATTGTTAGTTGACACAGTGTGTATCATTCCACTCTCTGAAGTTACTTTTCTTCATTCACAAACTACTTGTTTTTAGTTCTCTGTGAGAAGTAAACATTTCCAATAACACCATGTCTATTAGCCCCTTACGCCAGCTGACGGCTGTGACTGCAGTTCAGTGAAGGGCGATGAGCCAGGGAACGCTGTGGCCGCATTGCCGCCGCATTCATTCATGAACATTGGCCAAATGCCTGCACATTGTACACATTCCACTCAAAGTGCAGCTAATACCGGCATCAAGGGTTTAAAAAAAAAACTCAATACACTTTTCTTATATTATGTAGTACTCTTTCTTGTGTTATGTAGCATGTAGTACTCTTACCTCTATTCCTTTCTGATGACACAAATAACTATCTTCACATTAATATTTCAAATTTCTTAAAAAAATTCCCCAAACCATTATCAGTAAAAAAAGATACATATAGAAAAATGATTGACAACTTTCAAATTGGAATTGGAAATAAAAAGGAAAGGTTCCCAATATCATACGCTTACCACTGACAGCCTTGTCCTGAACTCTCATTAGAAATTGGTAATTTGTGTAATTTTGAAATTCATCCATTAATTTTAAATTTCATTGATAAGATGCAAATAAAAAATGACCGAATTATTATTTTTGTTTTTTGCATCTCATTTCAACATAGAAACCGGAGACAAAATCTATTAGAAATTCAGTCAACTTTTTGATGAGGTTGTGACAATGTTCTTCAACCTTAAGGAGAAAAAAAATAAATTTAACAACAAATAACAACAATAACAGCATCCTTATAAACAAGAGCAAAAGGGGCCCATAACATGTGCATAAAGATTGAACCCTGTAGATAAAAATGTATTAGAGTGCTTTAAGTATATTTTCAGGCTGTCTTTTACATGTTCTTTTTTCTCTTTTTTAATTCTTCCTTTTTCTTAAACCCCTTGATGCAGCATTTGTTTGGAAGACCAGAGGATCCTGGTGAGTTTGTGTACGCACTCCCCCGCGATCGTTACAACCCTAGGGGGCGCTATAACCCTTACAGCCTGCAGGTGGTGTCACCACAGGAAGCCCGGACATCAAGGATGTACTTTACGGCCAGTGCTACCGCTGTGACCCTGGTAGGTGTCGTGCAGTGGGTGAAACTGCAGTCGCACATGACGCATCGTCCCACAGGAGTTGTAATCGAGTCAGTCACAAGTCAATCACAAGTCAGATTATAATGTGTGTCGCTTATAAATCGCTTTCCACCAAGCTAGGTCTCAAAGTCCTTCACATTTATTACCCCTGTTCATCAGGCATGAGATCACTTTTCTGTAGCTGAGATCAGCGCAGTCTGGTCTCTACCCTCAAAGGCCCCCATTTGTACTTCTGGGTGGTTAAAGTAAAGTGTCTTGCCCGAGGACACAAGCACCATGTTCCCCCTCAGTGTTCAAACCCAAGTACCATTGCACACGGGTCGAACATCGCAACCACTGGACCACGGCGCTCCCCTGTATACCCAGCACGATATGGGACGGAGGGGCACCCCCACCCCCCAATCTCCCTATACCCTCTGCAAACCCTAGACTATATTGTTACCTAACACATCACCCTAGATATCTCAGAGGAATTCCTGAGATTCTGGTAACACAATGACCAACACAAAAGAGGGGGAGGGGGTCCCTCCGTCCCATCTTGCACTACATTTGCTCCCCTGGGATGAACAATGAAACAGTGATGTAGGATGAACAGGAAGAAGGAATGCCTTTATCTGAGTTCTTTTGAATAGTTTGTGACTTAATTTGGTATTCCCAGCAAGAAATGAGATGAAGGGGTACCCCCAATCTCCCTTTTCCCTATGCAAACCCCCAAATATCTCAATAGAATTCCTGAGATTCCGGTAATACATTGACCAACACAAAGGAGGGGAGGGGTTCCCTCCGTCTCATATCACGCTACATATGTAACTTGGGATAGGATGAGATGTGATGGACTCATGGGGCGATACCAGGCATTGTCCCCCAGAGTGATAATTAACTTGTGTAATCACCAGTTAAATCACAAGTGTGGTGACAGGGAATGAACAATAACAAAGGAATGCCTTTGTCAGAGTTCTTTTGAATAGCTTGTGACTTGACTTGGGATAGGATGACTTGTGATTGACTCATGTCCCTTAGAGTGATGATTAAGTTAATCACAAGGTAAATCAGGAGTGAGGTGACATGGGATGAACAATGACAAAAGGAATGCCTTTGTCACAGCTCCATCGAATAGCCTTTTGACTTGAGAGTAGATGTCTTGTGATTGACTTGTGGTGACTTAAGACTGACCCAATTTCAGTTGCAGGTATTTAAAACCCTCCTGCTGTCTGAGCAATCACAGACAGTAAAAAAAAAATAATAATTCTCTTCCCCTGCCATGCCTTTATACATGGGCTAGTCACCAACAGTCAGATCACATTTCCTGTATACAATGTTCCTAGTCAAATTCCATCAACAGACAAAAGCAGGTACTGGTACATGTAGGTGCAGATGACTTATCAATTGCCTATAGTCAAGGCAAGGCTTTATTAAGTTACAGTAAGCAGTCGCAGCCAGTCAATCCTGCTTTATGTAGGTCAGGGAGCTCTCCGTGACTCCGTCACTCAAAATTGATTATGACTGCTCGGATGACTTTTTAACATACTCTGTAAAGTAAAGTAAGTTTTTTTGGGGGGGGGGAATGTAATTATATTGACTTTAGAAACTTAGATTTAGCATGCATGAGATATTTCCTTTGTTGTCAGAAAACCATTCAGATGGTACTTATGTATGTGATGGATGGATGATAAAGATGAAATGCCCATACTTTCCCGTCTTTTACTGTATTTGAATAGTGCATTCAAGAGAGTGAGGATGAAGATTATGAGGAGTTAACTCACACAATGCAGTGGCTGTATGAACGCCGTCTCTTCCACGCTATCTTTGATCTACCTGTCTTTGTCAAATTTCGGTAAGTTTGGGTAGGGAAGTCTTGCATTTTATAATAATCAAAGGTCTCAAAGTGCTACACAATATTACCCCTGTTCATCAGGCCATGAGACCACTTTGTTCTCTGCAGCAGCTCATGATCAGCGCAATATGGTGTCTACCTACACGGGTACCCATTCCTACTCCTAGGTGGAGTAAAGTGTCTTGCCCAAGAACACAAACATCATGATTCCCATCGGGGTTCGAACCCAAGTACCATGGCACATGATTCGAACACCGTAACCATTGCATTGCTATCTGGACTGTTTGACTGCCGTATGAATTCCTTTGCAATTGTCAAGTCAATATATCGACGTTTGTTTTCAGTATGTGCCATTTCCAACTGATTTATGGTCACATGGTGTTCAGAAATTTAAAGTATCAAGCATGAAATGGTCTCATAAATTGACAAATTGTCAAGCACTTTTGGCAATCAACATTTGGGCCTGACACTTGGAATTGTTGGCGGACATGAAGTACTGGTCATATTGTGAGAATCTTTTTTCTCTTCTCTGTAGAATTTGGAAGGCCTTTAAAATGTGGAAAAGCAACGTCCGAGCTCTCAAGAAATCCAGCAGCAAGTGAGTTGGAGCAAGTCATCGTAACCATTTTTTAAGGAAAATTTAGTCAGGAATTATGAAAAAGAGTTATACATATGTTTGTTTTTTTTTGCTTCGTAGCCTGTGTGTTTCAAGGTTTGTACTTGACAAAGTCAAGCATTTTGACCGTTTTGCCACTGTATTTGACTTTTGTACCATTGCCTCTGTAGAAATGGAAACTTTATTAATACGATTCTTTCTTTTTCTTTCAAATGAACCAGAAAGAGAAACTGACTACAGGGGATTAGGCCAAAAAAAAAAAGTCTCCGGTTTCTGGTATGGAGCTTGCCCCAAAAGTGGTGCGGCGACGCGGCTTTTTTTTTTTTTTTACCTGTTTTTTTTTTTTTTTTTTTGCTTCACATGTCGGCTGATGACTGCAAATGGTGCCCGACTAAACTTAGTGCAAATATATGGGAGTCCAGAGAGGCCACATAAAGCTTATTCTCGATCATCACCCCACCTAAAAACACGTTAAAATTGTGCAGCAGCAGGATTCCAGTCAAACCAGTGAGTTTAGCGGTTTTGAGACATCATCTTGTATTGAAAAAAAAAACTTTTTCATTTTGCCGACGCGCATGGCTACGGCGACGCGCGCGCATACCAGAAACCGGAGACTTTTTTTTTTGGCCTTAGGTGCATAATAATAATTTTTCAAATTGAACAAAGAAATTGACTGGAGCGGGGTTTGAACCTGTGACCTCCGGATAACAGTTCCGGTGCTCTACCAACTGAAATATCCAGCCCTGTGTTGGCGGTTCACAATTTAGTCAATGTCTTTGTCAAGGGCGTTAGGCAGAAGCCATAAACCCATATGCTCTACCAACTGGATAGCTCAGTTGGGAGAGCACCAAAACGGTAATCTGGAGGTCGCAGGTTTAAGCCCTGGTCCAGTCAATTTCTGTGCTCAACCAGCAGTCTTTGGAGTTTCCTTTATTTGTACTCTAGTCTAAACTGTTTCAAATATAGAAAATAATATTTAGAGGACTAGATTGAAGTTATTTAATAAAGTATCTTATTGGTTGGATGGTATTTAGTGTTGGTGTAGCATGAATTTAGGTTTTATGAAATACGGACTCATTGGTGGTATTGCGCATGCTCATGCATAGATAATTAGGAGAGGGACCGGTCACGTGAGAGGGTTTAACCAATAACAGGGAGAAAGAGTCCGATTTTCATACGAGTCCGATCTTCATATGACATTGGCGTTGAAATTACATGAAAAAAAATATGAGTTTTGCTCACAATTTGAGAGTAGCTCACAGTTTGTTGTACAAGCCAAGAGAGATGTGTTGCTTAATTAGAACATTCAAATAAAGCTTTTTATGTCAAAACACGTCAAAAACCAAGACCAAATTGACATTCAGCTTGGATTTTTGGCAGTCACAGCGTTGCATTTTCTCCTACCATTCAAAGGACCGTTATGCACCGTCAGCTCTTCGCAGCCAACGAGATTCTGCAGCGCTGCCTGCTGCACATCCGCAGCCAATGCGAAGCAGCCTGCAGCAGCCTGTCAGGGGACGGGGACGGAGAGAAATCCATCACCTTGCTCAAGCTAGACTCTCGCTCCAGGCTGACACTAGAGGACTTCTGCGTTGACCAGGCCGAGCAGTGCGACGTGGCCCTGCTGAAACTCATGCACATGAGGGATAAGATTGTACGGCTGGCCTTTGAGTGCTGTGCGGTGAGTTTGTCTATTATGAAGGAGTGGTCTGCTGTAAAATGTTGAACGACTAAAATACCCCAAAATATACAGAGTTGTAGTTTAGGTATTTTCAGTGGATCACAAGTCCATTGAAGCTCTGGTCACAAGTCAATCGCAAGTCAATTCACAAGTCCAGTCACAAGAAATACAGGATGAAAAATAAAGGAATATTTGGTCACAGATTGTGGACCTGGTACTGGAAGACTTGTGATAGACTTATGATGTCTTGGGATCCATAACAATATATACCCTGACTAGAACACTGCAAATATATAAACATGATAAATGTCGAAAAGGTCTGATTTTTAAATGCTTTCGAATCTTTTTCTGGTAGGATGAAATGGCAGGCAGTCCGTGGTTTCTTTTTTGTTTTGTTTTTGATAGAAGGATTCTATAAAGCCTTTTCATTCTGTAATAGATGGGAGATGGAAAATAATGGGAAATATGTTTCGATTTTGTTTACTTTGTATTTTAATTGTGTAGAAAACAATCAAATCTTGTTAAAATATCTCAATAAATTAGACTATAATTTGAAACTGCGGTTCATTAAAAAAAAAAAAAAAAAACCTTAGAATTATCTGTTGTCTTATAAAAGCCTTCCCTACATTGTGAAAAGGCTTTTTTTTTTTGTTCAAACTTTCTTGTAAAAAACCTCAGATATCCCAGGGTACAATATCAATTCTGATTTCTATTTTGAAACATATAAACAATTTATGGAGAATGCGTCAGATGTGAGCTAAATTAAAAGCATTTAGGTATATTCCTTCTTTTTAATGATGCCATACTTATGATACTTGTAATACTAAAAACGAATGAAGTTGATAATTTCAGTGTGCTGGCTAAAATGAACAATTTTGTTTTGAGGTTTTCAGATTTTTTAAAAACCAAAATGACAAATGTTGATATTTTTTAATTGCCTTTGCAGAAAGTGGCTGAAATGGAGGGTGTCACCCAAACATTGCTTCCTAACTCAGGCCCTCTCACCAAGAAGGTTGATCCCTCCAAAAATAAGAACAAGACGGGCACAAAGACAACTGGAGAAAAACAAAAAAGTGAGACAGATTGATCCATTTTCCCCCCATTTTTTTTTTCTTACAATGAAATCCTTAGTTTGCTTATATAATGGGCTGTAAAATTGCCCATATTTTTTATTTTTTTTGCATTGTGGCGTGGTAAGCTTGAAACACCAGTCAAAATGAATAGTGAATAAGTCGGAACAATTAGGTTAATTTCGGTTAATTTCAGTAGGTCAACTTTAATGCACATTTGTATGGAAGTATAAGTAAATAGTTGATTGAAATTTAATCAAAGCCTCATGTAGGAAAGAACATACATTGAGTTTGGGACCATTTTAAAGCTGATGATGTACAGTAGACCTTCGATTTATCACAATGGGGTCCACACAAAATTGTTCGGTATAGTGGTTGTTCGTTGTGCTTTTTGGCTACTTATGCATTTTGTACATACAATTTGCAAGTCCAAGGAGATGTTTGGTGCAGCCAAATGTTCGGTCACAGTGGCATTGTACCATACTCTTTTTTAATTTAAGTTACTCTCCTCATGCTATTTTTGACTTTCACCCCAAAATAGAGTTTGTTTTTAAATTGCTATTTTTCTAGCAGTACAACATTTATTCACTTTTGAATGAGACATCAAGCAAAAAAAATCTGTCCACTTTTATTTATGGAATAATTACTTTACAAATTTCTAATTATTTGCGGCCCGAAAATAATTCTGGAGTATCTGTGGTGCATTATGGGTGCAAAAGCAACCCCCCCCCAAAAAAAATTACCATTTTTTAAAAGTATTTTATGTTTACTAAAACCTACAAATTGAAAGTTTATTAGGAGAAACACAACGTAATATGTTGAACAGCCAGTTGGTATTGAGTGGTCACAAATGCTCAGAGATTTAATATTGTCCTATTGTATTTGGAATGTTTTATTGGCCCAATGAGCAGGGGTAATAATAATGCAAAGCGCTGTGATCTTTAGTTAAAAGTGCTGTATGAACCTGTTATTATTGTTATTGTCTTCCACCCCCCCCCCCTCCGTCCCCTCTCCATTGCCAGAAACCGGCCCATCATACACAGACATGGCAGAATGGCGCAGCATCCTTGCCCGTCTGTCCTGTTTCCTGCGGGCCGCTGACTATCTGATCCTGGAGATGCTGCACCGCTTGGTCAAGACAGCCGTGCACACTCTCAAGGGGTTCCTGGGCACCTCCGTTACTACCGGCCAGGAGTTGGCCAAGAAAGAAGCAGAGGATAATGAGGAGGAGTACGGAGACAGCTACATGCCAAGAAAGAAAACCACCGGTAAGTAACTCCGTGTCTGGCTTGAACTCCGGGGCTTTAGCACGGCTGCCATTACGGAGCTCAAGCATTGAAGGAATTTCTTCCTACCAGGTACCCATTTACTACACCTGGGTGGTGAGAGGCAATGGTAGTAAAGTGCCATGCCCAAGGGCACAAGCGCCATGTTCCCCATCAGAATTCGAACGCATGTACCACGGCACACGAGTTGAACACCGTAACCATTGGACCACAACACCCCACATGATGGTGTCTTGTGGATGTTGCATATTCACTAAGCATAAAAATCTCCACTTTATTTTGGAGATGAGAAGGTGGAGGGGTTGGGATTGGCAGTAAGATGGCCAAAAAGAACACCTTGATCTTTTAGGGTGAAGGCAACTGACGTAAGGGGACACTGGCTGGAAATGGGTCAATGTACTCCTCTCAAACAGATTGTCTACATATTCCTATTGAAGTGTTTCTATTTGTTTTGAACATCTTAGTCTTCTAAAATAATTTTAAAGTGAGAGATGAACCCAAAGCTATTACGGTACTTCTATTTGCACTTCTAATTGTATATTTCTATTTGGACTTCTAGCTATACTTCTATTTGTACTTCTATTTGTAATGAGTTACAAACACCAATACCAACTCACTGAAGCATGTGATCCTTTTCTCTGAGCAGGTTTCTCGCGGAGGCTGGGCATGACAACAGACGCTGACAGCCAGGATGGCTCGAGGTGTGGCTCAGCTACCAAGGACCAGACCGTCCATTATGACTTTGATAAACCAGTGGAGGAGGCAGCCCCTGTTGATATAGACCAGGTAACGGCTGCAGATCTGTGGAGAAGCACTCATAAAATCAAGTCACTTGTCCATGTTGACACCACAGGTCATAAAACGGGCACATATGGTCTGGAAAAGGGTAGGAAAGATTCTTTGCAAAAAGGAAAATAGAAACACTGGATAACAGGGGATGGGAGTTGGGGAGTCAGTTGACTCATCAAGATGTGTTTTATGTACTTTATAACGTTTATCACATTTTAAAAATGAGGGATTGAGTGACTGTAGCACAGTCTGACACAAAGGGGAAATTTTCTTGAAAAAAAAATGAGGGATTGGTGAATGAAGTGACCAACTAAAAGATTGCACACAATTATTACTATTAAAGGAATTAGTATGTGCTTGGCCAGTTTCATTCAAGCATGTTTAAGACCAGCTCAGGGGACTGGACGTTGATAATGGCCCAAGCCGAAGGCGAGGGACATTATCGACGACCATGTTACGATATGTACCACTCGCGATTAGTTGTAAACATCTCCTTATATGGAGATTGGCACGCACGTGGCACGTGCTGCGCGAATTGGCGTAGAATGCTGCTGTGCCGGTAAAGTGAATTTAGGACTTTCAAAAGACGGAGTCATTGGTAGTATTGCACATGCCTAAGTAAAGACGGCGACCGTTTGACCAATATAAGGGCAAAAGGGACCAGAATTCATAGGGGTCCAAATTTCACAAAACACTCTAAAAGTGTTTAAGACCAGCCAGCCGGTGTTTTATCAACCGTTTATAACCACCCACGTGACGGGGCTCTCGACCAATAAGAATGGCTAAACTGTCTTAGGTATTGATGAATTTTGTTTAATGTGGAAACAGCTTAGAATATTTGCATCACTCTGCAATCGGGCAATTTGCAAAATCTAGTGGAATTTCAATAGGCAGTACTGCCGTTTGTATTATAATCATTAAATTTATATTGACCAAAGGTCACTTTTGCCCTTTTTTTTCCTCATCCAAATTGGTCTAGGTTCTGGAAGACATCAAACAGCAGGAGTTTGTGGAGATGCCACCAGAGCCAGTCTTTGGGGTCCAGCTTGTGTTGAATGTGCCAGAATTGAGGAAAGCCAATTCTAGGGCAACGTAAGAAAACTCTTGTTTCAAAGTGCAGATCCAAGATTGATTTTTTTCCTTTTAAATGTGAGGGGCTGGGAGCGGAGTTGACAATTTATTTACATTTATCACAAAGTATTTCTTCAGACAGCGCTCAGTGGACTGTTCTGGATTTAGCCGTACTGCCAGCCCATACTGCATGTTTAAAGGGGTCGTGCGATGAATTTTTATGAGGAAAACATTTGGTGCAACTCTTAAAATGTATGGAAATTATTTTACATCCATTTTTGGTTAATTTTATTGAAAATGTCAATTTTTGGTTAATTTTGTTTAAACATTTAAAATATTCAATGCTTTTCTGGTCAGCTGAGGGCTCTGTTGCTGCGATGTCATTTCAGGAAGACACTGTTCAGTTTAGGAGTTTTCTGTTCAAGTTGTGAACCCAAACTTTGCTCATTGAAAACGTTTGTGAGAAAGGGTTGCTCATTGGCCTACTGCCATGTGCTGACACAATGACGAATTACCAAAGAAAAGAAAATTTACGACAGTAAAATATCCAAAATTCCAGCAATTGTTTGAGCTGAAATAGCTGTAACATTGAGGTTTCTGCCCGGAATAACATCACAGTTTTGCTCATGAATATGGAAATTTGCATGAGCATATAAACAAAAAAGGCACGAAATTACCCTTGAAAATGGTAAAACGAAATTTGAAAATAAGGTTAAATGGGACACAAAGATGCATGTTTTGAGGATTGCTTAAAAAATTACATTGCATGAGGACTTTTAAGTCCCACGTGTCTTACATAACTGCACGCATGCAGGACTTTTTGGCTATACCTCACATATGAGGCCGCGAGGACATCAGCACCATCAGTCATCGTCGGACAACGATGGACAGACATAGACATAGACATATTGTGACTTGCTGGGATTGTAGTGGGTAACGTGTGAACGTTTGAAGTAAGGTATTGCTATTGTTACTCTAGATCTTTTCTTTCGTTTGCCGGGTAGACAGTTCAGATATCAACTTCACCATAGTTTGGTGCCCTGGTCCAAGTTATTTAGACCGTCTGCTCCATGCGGAGATTGTTAGATGGGGCAGTGGGATAGAAAATGGTCTGCAGTTTGGTCTGCGGTCCCACATTCACAGGTGGCACTGTCCGCGAGGCCCAACCTGGCCATGTTGGCTCTGAAGCGCCCCACGCCAGTTCGAAGGCGGTTTAGTCTTGTCAAGGCCTTGCGTGTTAGATCCATTTCACTGATGTTTGTGTGGTCCTGGACGAACTGATGTAGGCACGTAGTGGATCCTTGCCATGATTGCTCCCATTTGTCTGTGACCCAGGATGCCGTGTTTGCTTGAGAGAAATCCTGCAGTAGCTCTTTGGCAGAGGATGAGAATGGGTGGTGAGACTTGAGTCGTCGGGCTCCCTCATTCGTAAGCTTGGTGTGTTATTGTTACTTTGTGCATATCTTTCAGGTCCATGTCCAGGAGGTCTTCTCATTCCAGAGCGAGTCGGAGCATCAGTAAATCCATGTCATCACTCAAGAAGAAGATGGTGACGTTCCCTGATCAGCAACCCCTGACCAGCAGCAGCGAGAGTGAAACGGATAGCTCAGGTATGTGAAAACCGAAGCAGGTTCAATATTCCAACTGTACACCGGTGCATTGAGACTTGACTGATTCGACTATGCACACAAGACTATGGGGCCAATCAAAACTGAACTTGCAATCTACAAATGTTTATGCAATCAAAAACTTGCAATCTACAAATGTTTATGCAATCAAAAAGAAAATGGAAATTAGTTAGAGCATACCAAACTTCTCAGTTTTTTTGCTCTTACCAAAGAAGTTTAATTGATACCCTCAAATTAAGTATAATCTCCATGGACAGTAGCTGGATTCGAACCCCTGACCCTCTGATCATGAGTCTCAAGCCCTATCCACTCGGCCACACTAACCTCAAAGTCAAAACTCTCAAATCTTTATGCTTAGTTGGAACAATAAACTGACTTATTCCAAAAACTGACTTATTCAAAATGTGAAATATCTGAAGAGTTTCTGATAACTACAGCGCGTCCCAAAATACCCGCACGTTTTTTTTGCGAGGCTCTAGCGTCAGCGCGGAAACACGTACCACCATTATTTTTATACCATTTTAAAGCTTGGAATCTGAACTTTATCCCTGGCGAGTATTGGTTTGATATTTAAAAGAGTTTTAAAATTATTTGTGTTCAAATAAAGGTATGTCGAAAACAAACTCATTCGATTTCAAGGAAAATTGATGATGCGGTACATCAGTTGCAAACTTGAGTCACACTTTGAGCGCACTTTTTAAATATAGGTACAATCTTATGCAACGCTAGAGTCTCGAAAAAAATGTTGCGGGTATTTCAGGACGCGCTGTACTGCACATCCTCAACTCTTTAGATACTATAAACCAACTCAAAGCTCTCAGAAATTTTGGTGGCACAGTCTAACTAATTCAACTAATCTTTGACTGTAAAGTCCTGTAATCCGCTGGTAAAAAAAATGCTCCTTAAATGTAAATGCCAATCAAGTTAGTGTTGTAGACTTATCGGATAAACAAGATTAGAAACCATGACCGAGGAGCCACCACGCTTGCAGACAAGTGGTACTGGCAAACTCAGTGCTTCTTTGACCAATAGGGTTTTTGAATTACTTAGTAAAAAAAGTAAAGTCTTTCACAAGCCAATATGATCGATCAGGCCGGCATTTATCTCTGGTTTCCTTGGCATGAAACGACTGAGAGTATTTCTATTCCCCCCTGGATGGGATGCCGGTCCATCACATGTTACCTCTCAGCTAATGATGGTACCTATTTGTACTCCTGGGTGGAGAGAGGCAAGTGGGGGTGAAGCGGCTTGCCCAAGGGCACAACATATGACCAGCAGCTGGATTCGAACCCCTGACCCTCTGATCATGAGTCACGAACCCTAACCACTAGGCCACACTCTCCCTGTAAAATTACACGTATGCCCCACATTATAGAATTCGCAAGTCATACATGCGAGCATGTAGTGCCACCTAAGTAATACTTTTGTATTACTTAGGTGGCACCTGATTTGTCTGTAGCCTTAATTTGCTTGAATTTTGGTTTTTTTTAAGTTTATAAGGGATTGTTTTGTTTATTTGTGATGAATCAGATGAGAGTGACATGGAGGGATCCATCGTCGACAATCCAGACGATGAAGATGTAGAGGTCAAAACGGAGAGATTTAATGAAGAGAGTGCATATGCCTACCCAGAAAGGTAAAGTGTCTTACCTTCTATTATTGGGACTGTTACGGGGATTCCACCTCCATGGATCTGCGAAATGCAATGACTGATTGTTATGAAATTTAGTATAAAATGTGACAAATTCAGGATAAGTATATATTCAACATTTTAGCTTAATCGGACAAAGCATTTTGTAATTATGATCATTCATTTTACATGCTTCTGTCTAGTGATTATGTGTGAATGAGTGCACTTTCCTGTACATGTAAACACGATACATGTAAATGGAGAACAAAATGCTGCATCAGATTTTTATACCAAAGGCATGGGAAAAAAATGTGCATTGGTATTGGAAAAAATGTTTGGGATTCCCTGCCCATCCCTTTTAGGGTTGAAATATAATATAACCTTTATAAATAAATAATACCTAGTAAGAAGTCTTTGTTATTCCCCCCCCCCAAAAAAAAAAGCAAAAACAAAAAGCAAAAAACCCCAAAAAACTTTTTTGGGGGAAAATATTTACTTTTAAAGTTGTTTCTATTGAACCTATCAACGCTTTCTTTCCTGATTGTAATTAAGCACTGGCTTAGATTTGGCACATTGCGCTGTCTGAATGATCAATACCTCTGGACTAACCCTTGAAGTTTGTGTTGTGTTTTAAAACCCAAGACTAACTCTTGAAGTTTGTGTTGTGTTTAAAAAAATAAAAATGATAGAATCGAAGAGTTTGTCCTCTGCGTTTTGTTGTTGTAGGACACCAAGAGAGGAGAAGAAAGTGGACACTACCAAGGTGTTTGTGAGTCTGGCTCCGAGCCAGGACCAATTTATATCCAAGATGAGAGGTGTCATCGCTGGCCTGGAACACACAGTCGGTAAGCAACAAGAATATTTGTCTTCAAGTCATTTTGAATCCTCTATCCTGATTGGTTGATCCGTGGCAACAAACTGTGCTACATTATCCCATGTAGCACGGTCTGTACCGCACTCTGCCTATTGCACTATTCTAAGATGCACACGCCATTCCTACTGCTTGCACGGGAAAGAATGCTGCATCCTGACGCTACTTTCCAAACAGAAAAAAAGACATTATTTATTGCTAATCTTGTACCTCAGAGAGTATACTTTCATGTGAGAACTGTAAGGAATATGTTGACAAAGTCTTTAAGAGAGATTTGTAGGCGAATGTGTGGCCAACTTAGTGAATTTTACATGTCACCGCATGTTGACATGGTTGACGCCCTCAACCGACGTGATGGAAACATGCAGTGACATGTAACAATTCGCTAAGTTGGCCAAACATTTGCCTACAAATCTCTCTTAAAGACTTCATCAACATATTCCTTACAGTTCTCACATGAAAGTATACTCTCCGAGGTACAAGGTAAGCAACAACAAAAATGGTTTTTTTTCTCTTTCGAAAGTAGCGTCAGGTTGCAACGTTTTTTCCCATGCACCTGTAATTGGATAACCGCTGAAACGTTTGTGTACAGAGTGTTCTATCCAACTTTACTGTGCGTCAATTTTGCTTGAAGATAAATTCGTTAGCCCACTCGCATTCGTGGAACACGGAAAATGTAGTGTGTCCTACATAACACAGCGCCTTCGACCTTGTGGCATGTGGGACACAGACGCACTACATTATTCCGTGTTCCACTCGCGCTCGTGGGAAAACTAAAATAATGTTAACCATTTTAGACTGGAGGTCAAAGGCCACAACTCTGGTTGGCTGAGATAGATTTTAGTTTCAAACTGGCAGACTTTGTGTGTTAGTGTTCCGTTGACTAGAATATGGAGTTGTTCCGGATATCTCCTACATTCAATCTTTTGACATAGTCGCTCCCAGCTGTTTTAAATGTTTCAATTCATTCAAATCTTCTGAATAATTTTGTCTGGCGCGACCTGGGAGATCAGAACTTCACTTTTCAAAAATCCACCCACATTAAGTTACTGAAGAATTATTTGCGGCTCGACAATAATTCAGATGGATCTTTTGTTTGTAAGGGGTAAAAATGCAACCTTAAATTATGTGTTTTTATCCCCTGGGCTTTTGATCTTGCAATAGTGTATTCCTTCTGTGTGTCCGTGTGTTTCATTTTGGTTAGGTTAACTGTTTAGTGCTGTCATATGAAAAGTCAGGCTTCAATCTCAACCAAACTTGGTGAAAATAATCTTTGGGTAGGGGGACTTAAGATGACTTGAGACGTTTGACGTCAAAGGTCATCTAGGGGTCAAATGAGGTCATTGTTGATTTTGATTAGGTACACTGAAAAGTGTGCTTACTAACGGACTGTATAAATATGCCAGGGGGATCGCGCAAGTTTAACTTGCAGTATTTTGTTATAAGGGGCTGTACATACCTGAAATAGACACAAGGAAAAGTAGGTTTTGTACTTGTATAAATTGAAAATTTGGCAGGAGACAAAATATAGAATTTGTTTAGCACATGGAGAGCAACCTCAAATGTGAAACGTTTGGAATCTTTTATATTTAATACACAGGTCAGGTGGGTGCCCTGCAACGTGATCCTTACCTATCAGTCTTCTGGTGCCCACCCCGCTATGATCTCAAGCTATCCACACCCATCCAGGAGGAAGATGATACCAGGAGGCCGTGGCCAGACTTGGAGCTGCTCTTTGGGGAGGATCCTGAATACAAGACCATGGTGCACGATGTGCTTAGTCTGGTAGCCGAGAACGTGGCCTCGGTTACGGAGTACAGTAAGGTATGCATTGTAGTCTTCTGCTGTTTTAAAGGTACACCTTCCTGTACCCAAAATATGTGGGTGTTTTAGAATGTATAGTTTAACTATATAATCATCAATGAAACAAGCCAAAAATCTAGTATTGAAAAAAGTCAGTGTGTTTTTCCAACGATGGTCAGTCGACTGTCGTTGGAAATTGATACAAAAATTCCACTCTTCTTGAAAATGACAGCACACCAGGTGCCATGATTTCACAGGATGCTTGAGATTAGTTTTCACTGACAGTCCAGTAAGGTTTTTCACAATAATTTGTTAGTTTTCTTTTTTTATATTTGCAAATGTTGTGTATTACCTAAAAGGTAAATAAGATTATAACCTAAATATACATGGAGAAGGTTCGTGCAATATGCTTAGAAATAAAATTGTAATTTCAAACGTAATACATACCTTCAAACTCTTTTTCCATTCAAGTCGTGATAATCCCACACATTTTGTTTTGTGATGTTGAAACTTTTCCAGAGAAAAAATCTGATAACTCTTCGCTAAATCTCCCTTGATTTATATTGTCTGCATGGTGAATGCATAAACTGTCGGCATCTTATTCTTTAAATACTCTTTTGATGCAACGCCTTTATGATGAGTTTAGTAAAATCCTTTGTAAAACCCAACTGACCTATGATTGATGTCGTGATCTTCATGCACTCACTTCCAGCTCTAGTTCAATATTTGTTCATTCACTTTGAAAATATATCTAGTCCGAAATTCCATCGTTGCTTTTTTGTTGATGATTTTTTATTATTAAATTGTCCTCTAAAGAACTTTGAGCAATACTGTGAGATGGTCCACGCGGCCCGTCAAGTGAACGTGGAACACTCCATGAGCAAACACGTCTGGACACCAGAGGAGTTCCACCATGTCCTGTCCACCCACACTGAAATGGTAAGAGATATGATCAGCATTGTAGTTGAGCCTTGTGATGACTTGTGATGGATTACAAGTCATTGCAAGTCCATAAACAGGTCAGTTCCAAGTTAAGTCACAAGTAGCCTTGACTCCAAGGGCGCGTGCTCTTCAAATGAAGTGTGACAAACACATTCCTTTGTTACTGTTCACCTGGTTACTTGTTAGTGGATTTATGGTTTTACTTGTGATGGACTCGACTGCAACACTGAAATTGCGGTGTTTCTTGGGAGTTTCTTAATGTCTTTCTTTATGTCTTTACTCTATTTGTACAAAATAAGAGATTCACATTACAAATTGAAGCATGACGTGTTTGCTTCAAAGGCCTCTTTTCACCTTCTTGATCAACCTCATTCACATATGTGACCTGCTGTGGCAAAATGAGAAATGTCCCCCAAAACCTTGTTTTGAGTAATTGACGCCTGAAGTCGCCTATACCTGAAAAATCTTGTCAAAATTAGATATAATATTTTTGGTATTTTTGAGTAGCCAAGGTGTCCAAGATTCACACTATAATTTTTTGTTATGAAAAATACCCCCAAAAGTTGAAAAAACTGAAGATCTTTTTTCACTGCCGTTGGAGGCGCAATGCGTATCTTTTGTTTCAAATAAGTTTTTCTCGAAATGAGGTCGGCGAAGTTCGACAGGACACTCTTGAATTTTCTGCTGCATATCTTTGGAATAAATTAAGCTACAGAAATAAATTTGGTATCATTGGAAAGCCAATGATTTTTGCTCTAACATAATGTAACTGGAAAAGTCAAAGGTGGGGGTTATTCCTCATTATGATATGGCAGGTCACATATTCCTGAACCTTATTATTTGTCCTTAAATACAAACACACATGTATTTATGAAAGCCTTCTAAATAAAAACTTGTACACACCATAACAACTGTAACTTTATAAATCTGCATCAGAAATGCAGGAAACCTATGCAATCCTGTCAACTAGTGGAACTAGTGAATTTCATATGGCAACGCCTTCTGACATAGACATTTTACCGAACTTCAGACCTTTCAATTTCTGCCAAATTGAGATGCCTTCTTGTTTGTTTGCTTTGTTCCAGATCCGTTCCATGACTGTAATGGAAGTTCAGCGCAGGCGCAGTATGATCATGGTACTCGGCCAGAACTTCAAGGAGGCCTGCATGCCATATCCCAACGAGGTCCTGGATGCCATCCTAGCACGGCTACCGGTCATTGCCAACGAGAGAAATGAGAACCTCATTAAGGTTATCAAGGTATGGATAGTGTTAAATCAGATGCTCATAGAGCTTACAAGTTGACCTCAAAAACTGGCGAGATTTTACGGAAATGCGGTTCTTCTGGGCACGTCATATAGGAAGCTACAATGTGCGTGACGTCCTATCTCTTCAGATATTTTGTTTTCTAATGTTGCTTATCTGGTCATTGGCAGTAAGTGAATCTGTGACAGAAAAAGAAAATACTACAACTTAACCAGTTCGCGCCAGATGATGTGTATACCCGCAAAGGTTTTGCGGTATTCGGAACGGATGACGGATAAACACGCAGGGAGCGAGGCCGGAAATATCTGTCAGCGACCCGCTTGCAGCAAGCGAGGCCGGAAATATGAGTGTGCTGCCTGAGGGTGATGGCTTCAACCCGCCTGGCTTGAGGTCGAGTGAAAAATAATCCCGCGGCTCGCTCCTCTTTGTCAAAATAATCCTAGCACGAACTGGTTAACAACATATTGAAAATATTAGAAATTCATGTCTAAAATGGAAAATGTTTACCTCAGCTTCTGATCGATCTTGCAGGTAGTAGTGAGTACAAACACAGGAGTCCGTGACTAGAGTAGTCAGTGTTTGGTACCACGATATTCACCTAAAATTGTACATGAACTGGGGAGATTTGCACACTCTATTGTCGGTTAAAAACATTAGACAGTTTGGATCTAAATTCACCTCAGAAAATTGGGCCCAATTTCAAAGAGCTACTAAATAGATCAAATAGAAACATATCAAGCAATTTTTTGTTGTGAGCAAAGATCATCGGAAAACCATTCCCAAGCAATATACATTGCATACTGTTTTGGGTGGTAACCTTTTTTTGTTTACTTATTTTCTTTACTTTTCAACTTTTTGAAATTGATTTCAGAAGCAAGGCATTGCTTCACGTTTATTTGAAAGGCTGTGCCATAGCCAAAAAAACTTCTGCTAACCTTATGTGTGTTCACATTATAACGCTTCCGCGCAGGTTGCGTCACTATTGTTGTTGGACTACTCTGTCACTAAAGTTAGCGTGCTCTTTGGTATGCTTACCACTTTCCGCCCCAAACCAGAACCGCCCCTACCTGTCACTACCAAACACCACACAAACACTCTTTGGTTTTGTGGATTCACCATAGTATTAATTCAACGTAATACAATGTAATACAAGTCCTAATGGATTAGGGTCGTTCCGTAAATTTGGGGTCCAAAAGTGTGACATTTGTTGTATCCCTGTTACACCTGACCTGTGTAATTTGCCATGCAGGTCATTGACAAAATTGACTTCAAACTATTTGTATTTGTTTAACAGGTATTATGCTTTACATACATAGTCACTCTTGGAGATAGAAGGCATTCAAGAATGTGTCCTGAATTTTCAAAATCTTGTATCAGCTGTAACAGGGACACGAAAAACAATTAGAACCAAATTTATGTTAGGACCCATTAATTATGTCCTAATTCTTTTGTGATTACTCCATGATCAGGGTGCATCTAAGAAGCTGGACCACCCACCCCAGTCTGTGGAGGAGTTTGTGGAGCACCTTGCTTTCCTTTCCCAAACTGCCTCTGAGCTGTCCAAACTGGACGAGGAATACAATGTGGTCACACGGCTCTTCACCATCGCCAGGAATTTCAACATGCCCATCCAGCCTGAGGAACTGGCTCTCTACCAGACCCTCATGCCCAGTTTCACACATCTGAAGGTGAGTGGACATCGGGAACTAGACCCAGTGTGTTAGTCACGTCCATCACAAGTCTGAACTAGTCCTCATAAGTCCATCTCAAGTCATCTAGTCCCAAGTCACAAACTATTACAATGAACTGTGACAAAGGCATTGATTTGATACTTTTTCATCACCTGTAAGACTAGGTTTACACTATGTTCCCGGCGGTCACGGCAGCCCCGTTTGCCCGAAATGTAGTGCGCCGTGGGATTTTGGCAATTTTTGTTTCTCCGTAGTCAAGTTTTTTTAGGTCCTGCTACGTTTTGTCACGGTCTATCACGGTATCTGTGATGGGCCGTGGGGGGAAAGGGGCTGCTGAGTCCCGGAGGCTCAAAGGCGCACTACGGTTCGGCCCGCGGTCTACCACGAATGCCAGTACATTCCCTCCCGGCCTGTCACGTTCTGATGGGTCCCTCTGGGGTCCCTCACATTCTAATCAAAGTCTGACACGTTTTCCGCGTTCTGTCAAGGCTTTCTACGGATGAAACGTGTACGCCGGGCAGCTTCGGAGCAAGTTTATGCCCACGGTATGAAAAGAAAGCCTCCCAAGCAATAGCAATCATTGTATGCTTTTATACTCCCTCCCAGACCGTGCTCGCCGTATCAGACCGTAGTAGAACACAACTCGCCGCATCGCACCTGGCCTGTAAACCGTCACACATCTGGACGCGCCGTGATTGAACGCGACGAAACGGCTACCGTACACCCTAGCTTGCCGTGAGAAACGAAGCAAAACGTGACAAAACGCGCAGCAACCGTGACAAAACGCCCGCTAAACGCGGCAGAACGTGACAAAACTTGACAAAACTTGAAAGGACCGGTAAGATGCCGGGGAATGCACATGCTTCCCGTCCCACTACGGACCGTCTCCAAGTTTTGTTACGGCCTATCACGTACTGTCACGTTTTGTTGCGTTCACCCCGTTTTACTACGGCCTACTAGGTTTCTCATCCGCACAGTGACTGCCGTGGCAAATTTTTTGACAGTTTAAAAATCTGGCCCGGCATCCACGGCAATCACGGACTGTCACGTTTGCCCATCCCGTCCCCCGGCGTTGTCTCACGTCCATACCGTTTTGTCCACGGTGGCCAGAAACGTGATTGCCGTGGCTGCCTGGAACATAGTATAAACCTAGCGTCACTCGTGACTGGACTTGTGAAAGGACGTGTGATTTACTGATGAAAAGGACTTGTGATGGACTTCAGGTGGACTCGACTACAACATTGCTAAATGTAACAAAAGAAATTAGTATTTTAAACATAGCTGCCAACTAGTACGATTTTTTCGTAATTATTACGAATTGTTTGTTAAATTACGAAAATACAATTTGCCACTAAAACATTACGAATTTCCCATTTTCTACCTAACGAAAAAAAAAATACTTGTAAAGTTTCGTTTTGACCGAAAACTTCTGGCGAAATGTCGCGATAATGGATGGACTGGTGACAAGTCTAATAAGAATGCAGTCAAGCACCTGATAGACATCAATGCAGAGTACTTGAGGACCAGACTAAAACTATTTTTCAATGGTGTGTCATTTGTGTGCATCTCGTGATGTGTGGTTGTGTGTACTGTATGTGAGTACTTTTCAGTGACGATCGTGAGCACATTTAGTCGCTTATTGCCGGGATGAGACCCATCAGTGCGAGATTTTAATCATGGAATTTAAGAGTATGGTTGGAATAATTGGTAATAGAGTTTGAGTTTGTCACAACGGACAGAAAAGATAAATCAGCATGCGTTTGCAAGGTATGTTGGCGGGATATTTCTATTGCATACGGTGGCCCTAAATCATTGTGTGTAAAAACATGATACGAACTCGAAACTCCACATCGATAGCATGCATCTCAAAAAAATATGCGCACATGTTATTGTTGTTATTATTTATTTGACTTCAACAAACAAATACAGACATTAAAACAAAATTAATTAAAAAAATATTTTTTTTATTTTTTTATATTTTTTTATTTTTTTTTAAATTACCCTTTGGCCTACAGTACATTATTATTCACAACAAGAAGGGTATGCACATGTATGTGTACATGTAAACCATGTAGCTGTACTTGATGTTGGTAAAGCTTTTGATAAAACGAGAAGTTGAAAATGACCACGCGGGTTGATTACTAATTGGGATTTTGAAAAGTTGGCAGCTATGTTTAAGGGCTGTCTTTCAGCAACTGCAAACATGCCTCCCACCCCTTGTGGTTTTGGGTGTGATCCCTGGCCAAACAGCATGAACAGTATGTATGGATTGTGATCTTTGAAAAGACAAACTGACAATTTTGAAAACAATTATTATGGGTCTGGATCGCTCACTTTATGAAGTTCTGGTACAGATGGACTGTGGGTGCCACGGATATCTTACATGAAAATACTCAAGTTAAAAATTCAAGAAAGTCCCAAATTTGTTATCTTACCAATTTTAAAAAGGCTGTATGGTTCACAATTGTTTCCCTATATAGACTGTAATCATCTATTGTGAAGCCAAGAAAGATGAAAACATCAGTAAATTCAGCGACGACCTCAACAGCCACATACAAGCTCTTCAGGTAAGACAACCACTTCCTTAAATGGATTTCTAGCCCTGTGTATTGTGTCTTGACCACATGAATGTCACCTGCTTTTGCAATTATAAGTGAATTCCAGTGATGACACAGAGGGCCTGAGTGTTGCCTTTTGTGGCGAGAGTGGTGTAACTGCCAAGCTATGCACCATTGACCAAGCTCAGTAGTTGGATGGGAGACCATTCCATGTATTGTCCTGGTTGGTGGCTTGTCTGGGACATGATAGGGCTCCTTCAAGCCCGCGTCTTTCGGATTGGACGTAAAACTATAGGTCCTGTGCATTGTGTAATGCACATCAAACACCCAGGACACTTATCATGAAAGAGAAGGGGCTTGCCTCGGTGTTTCTGGATTGGTTGCATAATGCGCCCTCACTGAGCATGTTTGGAGCATGCGCATTTGAACATATTCATGGAATTTGCGCAATGTAAATGAATAAATTATTATTAAATTATTAAAAGAGAAATTCCAAACGTCTCACAACGTCTGATTACTGATAGCAGGATTTTCACAGTCATGGAAAATCCTGGAATTAAAAGCCGTCATGGAAAGTCATGGAAAAGTTGTGGATTAGTGTTATTTAGAACATTTGGGAAGTTGATATTTCACTAAAAAAGTGATGGAAAGTCATGGAATCCTGCACAACCCGTACGTGAAGATGCATAATATTTGGCTATGGTAGTCTTCCAGTTTGCATTGCAGTTTACTATACTTTCTCTTTATGCATGTATGCTCTGTAATTGTTGCACGTTCAGTGCACCATTGTGATGCTTTTGTGGTCTTACGTCAAACTGGAAGGCAGAAAGGGAGTGGCGTCCCTTGCCTCAGTGTGATGACTGGCCAGTGTATTGTAAGGAGGCTCCTAAGATGCCAAAAGAGTGTAGGACTTGGTCGTGGAAAGCCCTAATTTTGTCCTGGAAAAGTTATTGAAAAAAGCTTGGAATTTCATTTTTGGCGAGCTGCGAAGCAGATGCGAGCCTATGTAATACCAATTTCCGTCCGTCTGTCCGGGCGCCCGTCTGTCCGTTCTGACCAGGACCACTTGTGGGGTACCCGTCCTTTGTTCGAGGTACCCCGCAAGTGAAATCTTTAGAAATAGGGTACCCCGCAACTGAAATCTTTAGAAATAGGGACAATGGGACAACAATGGAGGTACCCCGGAAGTCCATCTGGGAGGTACGTCCGTCCGTCCGTCCGTCTGTCCGGCCGTCCGCGTTCAGATAGGGTGGGGTGGGGTGGGGTGGGGTGGGGTGGGGTGGGGTGGGGTGGGGTGGGGTGGGGTGGGTGGGGTGGGGTGGGGTGGGGTGGGGTGGGGTGGGGTGGGGTGGGGTGGGGTGGGGTGGGGTGGGGTGGGGTGGGGTGGGGTGGGGTGGGGTGGGGTGGGGTGGGGTGGGGTGGGGTGGGGTGGGGTGGGGTGGGTGGGGTGGGGTGGGGGGGTGGGGTGGGGTGGGGTGGGGTGGGGTGGGGTGGGGTGGGGTGGGGTGGGGTGGGGTGGGGTGGGGTGGGGTGGGGTGGGGTGGGGTGGGGTGGGGTGGGGTGGGGTGGGGTGGGGTGGGGTGGGGTGGGGTGGGGTGGGGTGGGGTGGGGTGGGGTGGGGGAGGGGATAGGGTTGGAGTTAGGGTTTGTGTGAGTAGGATGAGTAGGGGAGCTAGGATGGGTGGGGCGGGGTGGGTTGGGGTGGGGAGAGGGGTTGGAATACTGGGTTTGGGTGGGGTGGGGATTTGTAGGGGTGGGGTGGGAACAGGTAGGGAGAGGATGGGCATGGATGTAGGGGTTGGGTTAGGAGGGGGTTGGGGAGGGGGCGGGATATAGGATCGGAGTAGGGGTTGGGTTGGGGATGTGTAGGGATGGGTAGGGATGGGTTGTAGGGGTTGGATAAGGGGAGGGGGCAGTATATAGGGATCAGAGTAGGGGTTGCATGGGGTCAGGTGGGGATGTATGGGTGGGGGAATGGGGTGGGCGGGATATTGGAATTCGAGTAAGGGTTAGGATGGGGATGTGTAGGGTGGGTAAGGACAGATAAGGGAAGATAGGGTAGGTGGGTGTAGGGGGTGGGGTAGGGGAGGGTACGGGTCAGGGGAGGGGGAAGGAGATAGGGATTGGAGTTTGAGTGGGGTTGGGATGTGTAGGTGATAGGGTGGGGATGGTTAGGGGAGGATGGAATGGGTGTGGGTAGGGGGTTGGGTGGGGGAGGGGGCGGGTTGGAGATGGGGTAAGGTTTTGGGATGGGGTAAGGTTCGGGGGAGGTGGTGATGGTGCTGTGTCTACATGTACAGTATGTATACCCATTCTTGTTCTGCATTTGTGGCGACTTCACAAGAGTTTTCCCATGGTACTACAAGTATGGGGACCAGAAGACACTGTTGGGGCTGCAAAAATCCACAAGTGGGTCCTAATTACCCTAACAATGGAAAACTCCCCCATAATACAGTGACGGCTAACCTATATACATATGTATTTATTAGGTAATCTGTTAACTTTTTTATGTTGACATTTAAAAACTGACCCCTACACCTAGGCACATCAACAAGAATCCTGATCCCCTTCCATCATGCCCATCCTCAACCCTACCTTCAGCCTCCCTTCCTGCCTTGGACAGCGAGCCATGGCGGCTTCGCCGTTCTAGTTAAAATTTCTGTGGGAATCCTGTGAGAGCCTAGGCGTTAAAACTGATTTGAATTTCATACATGCTTTGAAATAAACAACACATTTTGGTTTGGTCTTTGAAAGGCTGAGACATACGACATCCGCAACCACGTCCAAGAACCCACCCTCCTGAGCTCCGACACTCTGCCCGTGGTGGCCCTAGAGAACATGAAGCTGCTTCACGACAGCCTGAGCACGCTGACCATCAAGGCTCGCAGCTATGCCAGCTACCAAGACCGCTTTGGCAGCTCCATATCACGCCAGTCCAAACTCAAAGGATTTGCTGAGTAAGTCGGCGGGAGGGAGCTGATTATCTGAACCGATTAGCACTTGTATTACATTGTGTTTATTGCATTGAAGACTCACTAATAGAGTGCTTGGGCGGTTTCGACGTACAGTGAGTAATAGGCAGGGCGGTTTTGGGCACTACTGTGACAAAAGGGTTAACTAAAATTTAAAGTTTGGGCGTTTTAAAGACAAATTAAAATAATGAATCTAAAACAATCAAATATACAGTACTTCTGTTAAAAAATGAAGAACAATGTTGTACTTGAAGTATACTGGAGTCTCAAGAATGAAACATGCTATGGAAACATTGGTATTATTTCTTTGCGACTTTGTAAAGGGTAATCTATGGAATATCCCCTTGCACAGCAAGGGTCTATGATATGCGAGCAGATTTGGCGATTAATTATGCAGAACAAGACTGCGTCTTGACCTTGTGATTCTGACCATTCAGCGGGCGCCTTGTATCGGGGTTTCCGTACCCGTTGTTGTGTAACAAAAACAAGTTCGCCAAATTGACCAATCAACAGCTTTATAGTCGACATTTCTGAACGAAATCACGTCACAATTTGACTGGCACGTGAGGTCGCATAAAATTTGCATTGCTCACATATATCAGACGTTGGTTACGGAATCCATCGGACAACAAGTGATACTCGGAGGATAGATTAGGTCAACATTTTTAAACAGGTCAATGCCGAACTTGCCAGATTATCACTTTCTGTGAATTTATGATAAATGTTTTTGCTCTGGCAACAGGCTAGAGGAGGAAAAGAGAAAAAACAATGTGCCCCACATTACGTGTCAGGCCACATTAGGCTACATCGGCAATAAAGTGCCAACAGTTGTTGTGGACCGGCCATGTGACAACTCTCTTCCAATTTCTTCCTTTGACTGTCTGAATTCTTTGTATTCCCGTCCCTCACAGCGAGTCTCTCATGTCCGACTACTCCGACAGCGGCGTCAGTGCCCAGCAAGTCTTGAACGACCTCTCGGAGGTCGAGCGCGACCTCCAGCTGCGTCGTTTGCTGTGGGAGAGCACTATGGAGTGGGGAAGGCTCGTGGATGAATGGACGGCCAGTCAGTTTGACAAGCTGAACGTGGACATTGTGCAGAAGAACGTCAACAGGTTCACCCAGACTGTCTACATGCTGGAGAAAGGTACAGGGCCCTATTTCATGGCTGGAGAAAGGTACAGGGCCCTCTTTCATGGCTCGGCCAACAACAGAATGTTGTGCTCGTGAACAAATATCTGTCTAAACCATGTAAACAGCTGTAGTAATGAAATTCTGTGCAAACTCTGCAGGAAGAAAAAAATCCTTAAATCATGGGTGGGAGGGATAACATTGCCATTTTATTTATTTTTGCTGTGAGCCTTGATGAGTTCTTAGACTGATTAACAGTGAGGCCAAGAAGTATGGAAGGCATCATTGTACTCGCAACAAATTGCTGGTGAAGTTTTTGGAAGTCTGTTGATCGAATCATATCCATCAAATCATGTCTTCGCATTTTGAATACTCTACCGCAGGATTCTCAAATTGTAAATAGTATTTCTACATACTTTTTCTACTTGTGAGTTGACTTGTGATTGACCTGATCCCAAGTCCGCTATAATTGAGTACCAAGTGATGCTATAATTAAAAAATTCCTTTTTTTTCTTCAAATTTTGATTGCTAAATTGATAAAATCTTTCAATAAAATCTGATATTCCTGCTTTCTGTATACCCAGAAAATAGCATCAACACATGCTCCTAATTAAAAAAAAAAAGAAGCTTATTAATTAACCCTGCGTTTGTTTTGATCAGTCACAGACAGTCAAAAATTCAATTATGTTCCCCTGCCATGCCTTTTACACAGGCAAGTCACCAACAGTCAGATCATATTTCTTGTAGGCACTGTGACAGTCAAATTCCATCAACAGACAAAAGCAGGTGACTGGTAGGCACAGCTGGCTTATCAATCTCCTACAACACCTTGTAAACCCTTATAAGGTGCTACATAATGGGTCCCATATTTCTCATAAACTTTATTTACCTTTCTTTAATAATAGACATATTTCCAGCGCCCTGAGTACCTAATAGTTGGTAGATATGTGCGCTATATAAGACTCCGATAGTATTATTTTTTATTAGTCAAAGCATAGCTATATCAGGTTCCATAACAATCCCAGCCAGTCAATCGTGCGTTATGAAGGCAGGGAGCACTCAACTGTTAAAAACAGTCACTTTATTTATTTTTTACTGCTGGGCTGGCCTTGTTAAAATTGCCAGCCAGAGAGGGAGGGTTAATTAATGACTGAAATGTATTTCCACGTAAACAGGCCTGCCGCCCAATGAGGTCTTGCCTCGTCTCAAGGAGCGAGTGATTGATTTCAAGCAAGGCATGCCTATCATGACGGCGCTGCGTAACCCTGCCCTCAGGCCCCGCCACTGGCAGGAAATACAGGACCTGATTGGTAGACACATCGTCCGGGACAAGAACTTCACTCTGGGCAAGTTTATGGACCTACAGGTAAAAAGAAAGAGAGAATATCTGAATGCCTGTGCACTTGAAATTAAATGCATATTAGCATTTGCAGTAGCATAACCAGGGGGGGGGGGTGCAGAGTGGCATATTGCAATAGGATGGAGATTTTAAAACCAAATCGGGACGTTGATAGAAGCAAAATCGGGACGATGAAAATGGGTAACAGGATCAAAAATTCTATTTTGCAACACACTATTTTATAAATGATTGCCCTTATTTTCACGAGTGCCATTTTTCACGATTGCACTTTTTTTTTTTAAGAGTGCCCTTGTTTACGTTCGCGAATGTTTGTAATTGTGCCCCCATAGGTAGAATGTGTCCAGCCCTCCCCTCCCCCCCCCCCAACTCTTTTTTTATTTTATGGAGGCGAGGCTGGGTTTCTGGTGCACGGAAAGCCGAGTGCACTTTTTTCGCCACTGCAACGGGCAAACAAAACCCTGGTTACGCACCTGTATGACATCATTAACACTGTACTGTCCTAAACCATCCTGCACTACCCAGCATTGCCTAAACCATGCCCTGCACCATATTGTTTCACTGATTCATTAGGTACTAAAAGGAACAATGTAATACAATGTTGTTTAAATGCTAATGGGTTAACTTTTCAGGAATTTGAGCAATTCAAAAGGTGCAGAAATTTTGTTCCATAAAAAAAACAAGCGGTTCCCAGATTCAGTAAAATGGTTTTCAACTGATGCATGAATATTTTAAGAACAAAATAATTTGTCAGATTTTACACCAATCCTTCCAATCTCAAATCCTTAACAAATCTCAAATCCTTCTCTACAATTATGAAGAGTAGTTCAGAGGGTTTTTTAACAGTAAAATATTGTGTCTTCTTCGTTTCAGTTATTTCAATACAAGGACAAAATCAATGATATCTCCACACAGGCAAGCAACGAAGCAACTCTGGAAATTATGCTGAACAAGGTAAGCAAAAGCAAAATAATATTTGCTGAGCACATAACATTTGCTCTGCGATATTTTCTGCTAAATAAGTGCTAAAGCAGCATCATCAATTTCTTTTCGGATGAAGTGAAATTCTTTTCCCCCTCCCTTTTTGCAGGTGATTGACCTGTGGCAGGGTACCGATTTCCGACTGATCCCCCACAGCAACAGGGACTTTATGATCATCGCCGGAGCGGACGACATTACTCAGCAGCTGGAGGAGAGCCAGGTCACCATAGCAACCATCCGGGGCTCCCGATTTGTCGCTCCAATTAAAGTATGATAATTTACTTGCCTTTTTTGTCCCACTGTGAATGACAGAGTACCAATAAAATTGGAGCTTCCGCCTTTCATAACTAACATTATTTTTAATAAGGAATGTTGGCATAAGTGTTTTTCTTGTCTATTCAGTGTTTTTCTTGTCTATTCCTGAAATGTAGCATGCCGTCTCACCTTCTAACCTTCTAGAATGCATGCTTATTATCAAGTCTTTACTAGTCATACACAAGTCATTGAAGTCAATGGTCCAGTGGTTAGGGTGTTTGACTCATGTATGAAGTGCGTGGGTTCGAACCCCTGCCAGGAACATGGTGTTTGTGCCCTTGGGCAAGACACTTAACTACAATTGCCTCTCTCCACCCAGGAGTATAAATGGGTACCTGTGAGGGTCGAGGACCGATTGAGCGCTGATATCGGCTGCCGCGTGGTCCAATGGCCTGATGAACGGGGTAATAATTGTAAAGCGCTTTGAGATTGTTGATACGATGGAAAGTGCTATATAAGCACAATTATTAATTATTATTATTACCAACTATTGAAATGCACTGTGACAAAGCATTCCTTTGTCCATCACTTGTTGCTTCCGATCAGATTTGTTGCACAATTTTTTTTTGATGGGGGGATCGAGTACAGTGAGATATACATTCAATTTTGAATTTTTGCCCATCAGCAACGTAATTTCATAAACACTGTATACTCAGTTCTGTCCAAAGCTTTGAGAGAAAAATTACAAGCTTGCTTGGATGGGACTTGAACCAACGACCCATAACCTATTAATGCAGAAGTCTTACCAATTGACCATTGTGTTTGCTGAGTCATACAATTGTACTAATAAATAAGCAGGAGGCCGTGGGTTCGAGTCCCACCCCAGTAGGCTTGTGATACTTGTCTTGCAAGCCTACAGACAGCAGTGAATATACAGTTCTTATGAAATAATGTCCGTGAAGGGCAAATCCAATATTGAGTTTGTAGTATAGATTCATGATTGACTCGATTACAACTCCAGGACTCATTGATATTCCTTCACTGGTTATTCTACATGTATCTAGGCTCTAGTTGAAGAGTGGGATCGTAAGCTGAATGTCTTCTCCCGTACCTTGGACGAGTGGATGAACTGCCAGCGCAACTGGCTCTACCTGGAGCAGATCTTCTTGGCCCCTGATATTCAGAGGTCAGTTTTATCCAAGTAGTCCCTGTACCACCCCAAAACGTGCTTGCTTGTTAGGGCCTATCTCAATTCAAATCCGGGACGAGTTCCGGACAAGTTGCGGGTACAGTCTTTCACTTTGTCGGAAAGAAGCTCTGCATTTGTCCAGGACAAAGGCGGAAGTGTTCCAGGGAAATTGTCACTAGCAACTACTTGACTCACCAATACTGCTAATTTCAGAATCCTGCAACAGAACTCATCCTGGATATGAATTGAGACGGGAACTTTACCCCCTGTGCTGCCCAAAACTTCCCCAGCACTGTGTAGTTTAATAGTTTCAACGAAGCTGAATAGCCTGCCTAACAAATTGTCCATTTTCTCTTGCTTGTCAGCAAAGCTGTAATCAATTCATTACTGGTGCAAGTGAGTTATGGGTCACATTGCAACTCCAAATTTAAAAGATTCAGGTGAAAATGTTGAACTTTTTGTATGATTTTGCAGGCAGTTACCCAGTGAGGCTAAGTTGTTTGCAGCGGTGGATAAGTCTTGGAAGGATATCATGCGACGGACTGAGGACCGGCCCAATGCGCTGAGGGCTGCCGTAGCACCAGGCGTGCTGGAGATACTGCAGACTAACAACTCCAACTTGGAGAAGATTCACAAGTGTCTAGAGGTAAGTACAACCCTCAAGGTTTTTTATTTTGGGTGGTGCCCTTCGCCGATGTATTTTATAAACACTGTATTGACAATAGGGTGTTAGTCGTAGGGCTTGTGAGAGAAAAATTTCATGAGCTTATTCAGGTGGGACTCGAACCCACGACCTCCTGCTTACTAGTGCAGACGTAACACTTGATCACCAAGCTTGCCGGGGTCTGCTGGCCGGTTTGAGTAGATGTAGCAGCATGCATCGTAACCATTAAAAAAGAAGCCTCTGGTATTGATGGAAACCATCACGAATCTCAATATGTTGGACAACCCTTAATTTATAGAATGACCCATATTGACTGGCTTATCACAAAGATACTTCTCCTCTGCTATTAAAGATAGAGACAGATGGAAACAAAGTGACTGTCGGCAGCATCCTTCACTGATGATAACCAAGTCTTTCTTGTCCCTCACTGTGAGATGGATCTGAGCCAGACACTGAGAGCAAGTCTGCGCCATTTAGGTCAACCAGAGTTGCTCCTCATACTATTATTAGTTATGGCTCAACTGTGGAATGCCGGTCTGAATCAGTTGTAAGACCTACATTTTTTTGTTTCTCCTTTCAGGACTATCTAGAGACCAAGCGCCTGGTCTTCCCTCGTTTCTACTTCCTGAGTAACGATGAGCTGTTGGACATTCTAGCACAGAGCAAGAACCCCGATGCTGTGCAGGTCAGTGTGGATCATTGGCAAGACTAGGCTTGCCTGGTTAAGCTGGGTCTGAAAGTCTCAGTATAAGAATGTCTTTGTATCAAGTGAGTCAGCCATTAAGTTGTCAGGGAGTGACTCAGTCAGTCAGTCAGTCAGTGTGTGACTCAGTCAGAGGACAATAGGCTGACCCTTTAGGTCCAGCAAAAATCTACATTTGTGCAAAAAAAGGCCAAAAAAATGAAGAATTTTGGCTCCCAAACTTTGAGAAAGTACCAGGCATGCTGCGAAATAAAATTATCACCAAATTATCATTTATTAATATTTTATATCCGGTGTTGAAACAAAGGATTCCTCAAAAGCAAGGTAACGGTAGCTTGCAAGCATTAAATAAAAACCTATGGAGAGAAGAGGGTGAAGAAATTATCAGTTTGAGAGGTGGGAGAAAACTCCTGATTCATATTTTGGGGAACCCACTGAATCAGGTAGTAACTGAAAACCCAAACAACATGTTGGCCTGTGTGGACTCGAACCTAGGCCAAAGAGAGGAAAGGCACAGTAAGTACAACTGTGCTAATTTGACTTCCCAAAACCAGTAAGAAAAAAAGCTTATTTTCTTAACGTTTTGTTTTCTAGCCCCATTTGGTGAAGTGCTTTGGTAACATCAAGAGTCTAGAGATAGTGAAGGAACCCAAGCTGCCTCCCACTGTCAGGACCATGGTGTCTGCTGAGGGGGAGGTCATACTCATGCCAAAGTAAGTCTGGAATAGTGGTGTACATTCGTGGGTAGTATGGGAACCGGGTACCCTATTGAAGTAAAACATCTTTGATTGAGCTTACGAGTTAGCATATTTATAACGAAGCATGAAACTGTCGGCTAGTCTGGCAAATTTCTTACAAAATCAGTTGTTGAATTTCCGTCCCCACCCCAATGGCTGTAAGTTGGCCAAAAAAAAATAGGCTGTTTAGGGTTAAACGGGGACTAAATATTCTCCACATATTGACTGGCAGTGAGGACACTAGTGAATTCCATGCACCCCTCAAGGTTATGAAGGGAGTATAGGTGTTCACTAGTGACCCAATAATGCCGGTCAATATGTGTTTTATACAGACCCAATCCATCAAGCCACCATGTTCTTGTTATCATTAGCTTTGATAACTTCAGCATGCACTAGCTGTAACTAGTCCAAAAATTGTTGGGTACAGTACACTACACTCAAGGAAATTGATGTGCACCTCTAGTTCATGCAGAAATGTTATGCAAAGTCATGCACAAGCCTGTTTTAGTAAGTGCCAAGTGATCGTGGTTTTATAGCCAACCATATATGAAAAGGTGGGCTGTAACTTATGAACCATTTTTGGCATTATTTCCATCGCCAGGAATGTGCGAGCCCGTGGTCCGGTGGAGCAGTGGCTCGGCAGCGTGGAGTCAGCAATGTTTGACACGGTCAAAAGGTGAGTTAAAACCATCATTAACTTAAACTCTTGAAGCGACTCTTCAAGTGTATGATCCCAAAAATGTGAGCTGTAACCACTTGCAATGGCCATGCTGACTCGAGGTGTGAGCAGTCTGAATCAAGTCTTTATTTTGATGATTCCTTAAAGTAAAAACTGTCCAAAACAAATTCTGCTGAATTGTGCACTTGCAAATAGTTATAAAAACTGTCGAGTTCATTTTGCATCATGATACCAAATTTAAAGTGTTTTGCAACATACAGTGAAATCTTCATAAGTCAAGCCTCAAGGGAACAGGTTCAAAATCTGGCTTAAGCAGAGTTTTGAGTTAAGTAGGGTTGTATATCATTGTTATACTACTGAAGGCAATGGATTCATTGTTTGACTTAACAGTTGTTTTGTGTTATCAGACTTTGACTTATCGAGATTTCACTGTACATTGCAAATTGAAACTGGCAATATCAATGTGGAGTATAATCTTAGATCTGATTTATGTCCCCAAATAAATCCAACTGGTCTTTAAAAGTGAACTTAACTTATGGGTAGAGTTTTGTAAAATTTTTGCCTAATAATTCAGGACAAAATAATAATATTATTGTTTGCACCTACTGTATAACTCTTATGGAAAAAAAAATAATACCATTGTGACTTTTTTTTCTTCAAGGCAGGACTTTTTAAGCAAAGAAAGAAAAGGTGATCTGACGAAAAACGCAAGATTTGTTAATGGCTTGTTTGTTCTGTCATGTGTGTATAAAACAGATGTATGAAATTCTCAATGATGGATCGACGTCTGCAATCTGCATGGGCGGACTCCAGCACCTATTCTTTCGAGTCTGTGGTTAAACTTTCTTTGTCAAAAAAAACGTGTTTATTTGTAAATTGTCTGTCCGTATTGGTGTGTTGGTGTTTATATTGTTTTGGTGTTTGTATCGGGTTTGTTAATCCTTATATTTGACTGTTACCCACCCCCCAAAAAATGAGTTTTCATTCATCACTATTCATAAGTCTTGAGTCTGACATGTCTTTCGATTCGAGACTAGAATTGATTTTTTGTTTTTGCATAATAAAGTTGATACAAATCACCAAAAGACGGCATCTTGACATTGATTTCACCTCAACCTGTAAAACAGTACTATACCATTTACTTCATCAACAATCAACCAAATTAATCATGTTTCCTCCTTGAAATTGAAACCTTTGATTACGTAAAAAAAAAATATGAAAGTTCTTTTAACAGCCATTGAAATATGCAAGTAGACTCATTTTGGTGTGCGGTGGGATACACTATCTGGTGGAGTTTATGTCTCGTCTATTGACTGTTGGATTTATTGCCTATTAACTGTTGGACTTTCTGCATTTAATAGCATGGCTAGCAGCATGCGGCATGAAGGCACTTAAACCTTCTTTATTTTTGCAGGCTTCTGAAAAGACGCTGTTTCTTTCTTTGTGTCTTTTGTAAGGGAATGCTATTAAAGCTGCATGCAAAATGCAATTAATTCTTTTTTGTTCTCATCAAACAGTTTAATTTTGATTAAACTCTGTTCTCTGCTCTGCATAAATCCCTCGCTGATACATTTAACAGGCTAGTTCATACAATTACTTACATTTGAAATTATTGGCTTTTTTCCTATTTAACTGACTTTGGGTAATTATTCCTTACATCAGTTCTCTCGTTTGCATATTTCCCTTTCCAAAGTTCTGAGCTAGGGCAAAAAAAAAAATTCATTTTTTTTGTGTGTGTGGGGGGGGGGGGTGGGGAAGGGACTGGACTGACCTCAATTCTCACACATATAGTTAATACTCGCATTCAGGGTGAGTAAAAAAAAAACGAAACCTTAATGTCGGGACCATTTTTTTAAGTGAAGTTCTGCATGTAGCACTTTCAAAATCTAGGATATGAAAGCCCAATAAGCCATTTGCGAGTTAAATTTGAATAAAATCTGGAACACTGACTTAATTCAGTGCTTTGCACGTTTTAAGTTTGCATTCTCCCGGCCAAAGAGATTGTTACTATATCACGTGATTCGGGGCAAGCCTTACGCTAGCAACCCCCAGCTCCGGCATGGTCTGGTGTCTTTGTGCCATTCTCACCCATTGTGAACAATGTATTGGTGCTGAGCGTCTCTTACGTAACTATGCAAGAGCTTGTCCCGAATCATGTGATTAGCAACAGTGTCTTTGATCTGGAGAATTCAAAGTTAAAATGTGCCACAGCATTCTGAGCAAGTCAGTGTACCAGATGTTTTTCAAATGTAGATCCCAAAGGGTATAGGTTACTCGCAAATGGCTTATTCATAAGCTTTCGTTTAGTACAAGAATCATTCAAATCACTTATGTACTTTTCAAGTTACAGAGTTTTAAACACAGCCACCATTTTAAGGTTCTGTCCACGGATCACAAAAAAGTTCAGTGTTCTCTCAGCAACAGGAAAACATATCACATAAGAATGTGTGTGAATTGTCTTCGTTTTGCTGAAAGAACACACCTTTTATGTGATCCATGGACAGAAATTTAAAACGGTGGTTGCGTTTAAACTTCGTAACTTGAAAAGTACCTGAGTGATTTGAATGATTCTTGTACTAAAAGAAAGCTTATGAATTGGGCTTTCATATCCTAGATTTTGAAGTGCTACATGCAGAACTTCACTAAAACAATGATCCCGACATTTGGGTTTCGTTTTTTGTTTACTCACCCTGTACACTCTCAAATGTTGGCAGGGAAGTGAATGTACACATTTGGACCGGTGATTTTGCCGCTTTTATGTTGGTCTGTGTTGTCTGTGCTTCTCTGTACCACAAAGGCTTACTAACCCACTTTTGTCTTCAAGGGAAGAAGATCCATTAATCAAAGTTAATCACTCATTTAGCAGAACATGTAAACAAAAAATAGACCATTATTCCATTTTCATTTTGAAAGTTACACATCAGTGCTGTAGTTGAGACCAGACCCCAGACCTGTAGAGACCTCATTGTGTGTAGTTATTTAAATATTCATAGACAAAACGAGTCTAAATTTAAACCTTTAGAGTGTCATTTCTTTCTTTTTTTTAAAAGAAGCTTATTGACTGTTTGGAGTTAGCATTTCACTCCCTTTTCTCAATTTTTGTGCAGATAATGTAAACATGAATATTTTTATCCGTGGTATTTTAATAATCAATTCTTCATTTAACAGCGGGACCAGAACAATTGTAGATGCGATCGATCTGCCTAAAACCTTCTTATGTTATTAAATTCTCAGAAAATATCTATGAAGTTTTTTTTTTCTTCAAAATTTAGATCATAACATTGGATAGAAGGTCATTGAAAATTAAAACCAGTTCCCGGAAACAGCTGTGCCAACTTTGTTGCAGGCATAAAAAAGTATCCGGAAACATGAGAATTTGCACCTTAAGAAGGTTTTCCACAAATCGCAGAATTGGAAATTAACATACTGTTTACTTTAACAATCTAGTATTTTTGCATATACTTCAGGAATTATCCTTATAAAATACAGATGGTTCCATCGAGTAAAGTAATTTCTGGCCAAAATTTACGGGGCATATTACAAATAGATATAGAATGGACAAATTGAAAAGCTTAAAGCAGAATTTATGTGCCTCTAACATTGTAACAGCATTGCTTATTTACTGCAACCACTCATGCAAGTTCTAACTCTTGAAAAGAAATCCACTGACAATTCATTCATGCATTGCATTTTAGAAAACAACCATATCCATTATAACAAACAAAAGAGCCCACTTAATTTGGTTTGCATCATTTCTGTTAATGCATTACCAAATATTGAAATTTGAACCAAAATATTAGAGAAATGTAGCAACAGATTTTCATGAAAGCATGTGCATGCTAATTATTATTAGTTTTTTTGTAGGAAAGTTTGCATGCCTGTTTTATGATAAATACTCCTTTCAAATTTAAAAACAAATAGAAACAAGTTGTCATTTTCACAGAAGAGTGTTGAGTCCTTCAAAGGCTTCAGACCAGAACCACATTAATGATTTCCTCTTCAAAAAGTTAATTTTTTTGCACATAAATGAGAATTATTCCCTTGAGAACACTACTGTGTGTGACAAAATATCGGAACTTTAAAATTTGTGGGGCCGTAACTGGTCTGAATCCTGCTAGCAAAATTCTTCCGGAGCTATTTTCATGATGCATATTGTTCAGGAACCATTTACTACGGCATATCTAACCTAACTATGACTACATAATTCATCTAATATTAGTATCAGATTTGGACACACAACATGTAAAAGAGGATCAGTTTTGAAAAACTCTGGTACGGTGACCGCCATGTAGAATCTACCAGAATGGAGAGATTGTGCATGACCTATTGTTATCAAGTCGCTTTGTGGAGATATTGCAAAAGTCTTTTACTTAGCATGGAAACTTCTTTTGCAAAGATATTATTTGCTTGGCCAAAAAAAAAAAAAACGGTTAAAACCAGCAAATGTCTGGTAATGCATGTTGCGTGTAACTGATTCTAAGCTGCTCAAAAATTGGGCCTTATTTCTGTACTAAGCAAACTTAGGTGCTCTTACGCGCTCATTAATCTATGAAAGAGTTATATTATTTTTAGTGAGCCATTTTGACATCTTCTTATCAAGCATAAAATTGTTTTTGTCATATTAGAAATTTCAAAGAGTGTGTCCATCGATGGGGACGTAATCTTCAGGACTGGGTCTTGAGTCATCCCGGCCAAGTGGTGCTTACTGTGGTAAGAAAGTAGTCAACATTTACACGTGGGCAGAAAATTGTGCGGTATTATGTTAATTTATGCACATTATTGAAAGATTTACAGGTCCAAATCATGGCCAGCTCTATAACATTGTAACTATTAGCCAGACTGCAGATTTAATTAGCAGTATTTTGAAAAATTGCCTAGGTTTCTTGCCACGGTAGTTTAGCACTCAACTGTGTGAAATGTTTGCGCACCGTGTGAACGTGCCCATTGAAACCAGTGCATTATTTTTTTCCCTCCGCCAAATCTAAATAGGCCCTCAATCTGTCTTGAGTGTCAAATCTGTCCTATTTCTGTCCCCAACAGGTGCAGATTATGTTCAACCGTGACGTAGTGGCCAGTTTGGAATCCCCCGATCCCGGCTCGGCCCTGATAGACACCAGGGACAAGCTGGTCCTCCGCCTGAACACCTTAGCGGGCATGGTAACCAAGGCCTTGAGTTCCCACCAGCGCCACAGCGTGGAGGCTCTCATTACCATCGTGGTACACGCCAGGGATATCCTGAATCACATGATTGAGGCTAAAGTTCGTCGCAGTGACGACTTTGATTGGACCAGGTATGACCAGAGTTTGTCCAATGAACCAATGTTGTGTTTTTTATATGAAATCTGTGCACAAGTAATTTTTGGCCATGGCATGTGACTGCATTGGAAACCTTTGTGTACGACACACATTAAGCCTGATAGCTGCCGCTGGCCTAGTTGGTGCGTCCTCAAGCGATTAAATAGGAAAGGTCACGTAACCACACATAGGAAAACCTGAGTACTTTCTTGTTCATGCACAGTTCATGCACAGTACCATTCCTGAGGACGGACAGAGCACACTGTACAAAATGTTGAGATCAAAACTCAACCAACCGGTTCTTTTCAGAACCACACTTCTTCCAAGAAGAGATTTCTTTCCACATGGTGTTACCCGCAAACATTATAATTTATTTTTGCTTAACTAGAACTCCAGATACCTCAAAGTGTTTATTCATTCCTCTGAGGTTTGAAGTATCAGGATTTTACTGTATTTCAATATTCTTGCTGGACTCTGAAAAGGACTAAAACACTGCCCCATAAATATCGTCTCTCTGGAAATCAAGTACACATTGAAAAGGAGTTTCCATTTGTTCCAGTCAGGAAATACAAAGGTGATTTTGAGAAATAAACACCAAAAATCAGGGAATACTCAGAGAATTTGACAGAAAATGGAAATGAATTAAAATTCTTGTGTGCACAGGCCACCACTCTGTTGCATATGGTGAGGAAAAGATGGCTACAAGGAGGGAAGGGAAGCCCTCCCTTGTCAACAAGTTGCCTGAGTGTTATAACTATCTTAGTTGCTTTGCTGCAACCACCTCTTGATTTAAAAATATAAATGTCATGGAATTTCAGAAATTTCTCAATATCAGCAAAATTCAGGGAATTTGTTAAAGTGCTGGAAACGCTGTAATGTCCAATCCCATAGGCAACTGCGCTACGAATGGGACGAGCAACACAACACCTGTATGGTCCAACAAGCCAACGCCTCATTCCAGTACGGCTATGAGTACCTGGGATGCTCCAGTCGGCTGGTCATCACCCCCCTGACTGACCGATGCTATCTGACGCTGACTGGTGCCCTGTACCTACACTTGGGTGGTTCGCCTGCCGGGCCGGCCGGTACCGGCAAGACGGAGACGGTCAAGGACCTGGCTAAGGCCGTGGGGAAACAGTGTCTGGTGTTTAACTGCTCAGAGGGCCTAGACTACAAGGTAAATGTGAACCTGCCTCAATTGTTTACATGTACCTTAAAGATACAATTTTTTTAAGTTCACAACTAGTCTACATTTTGTATATATTATCCTGCAGTGATTGATCTGTCCTTCATTGTTGTGTGGTACACAAACACAAATGTGTTGTGAAGCCTCATAACAAACATGTAGATTAACCAAAACAACCAAAAATCCACTGAAATTGCTTTTGCACCCCTTCCCAAGAAACAAAAATACACTGCAGACTTTGTTTACAAGGTTAAAACATTTCTGTGTTTCTTATGTGTTCTGCATTAGTCATAGGTCACATTTTCAAGCAGTGTTTATTGGAAAGTATATTCAATTTGAAAAAAAAAAGCATTCACTTTGGTTTAATGGCTGAAGATATAGGGCCACGGTTTTTTCGTTTCACAGGATAATTTAACAGAATTAACCCTGTAAAGCCGGCAGATAGCTGGGCCGCTAATGCGTCCAGTATGCTGTGGTATGCTGTGGTATGCCGTGGAATGCAGTCTGTGGGCAGCTGCACTGCCGCTGCTATTGTGCAGTGCCACTACTGGACAAAGGCTGCGCATAAGCTGACACAGTGAGGAAGAGGCCGGCGGGCGGGCGGGCGGGCGGGCGGACGGGCGGGCGGGCGGCAAGGGGTTTACAGAATTCCCCATTTGATACAGAATTCAGCTTTTTGGGGAACTCTATAGTGTTGAATAAAAAATAGATACAAAACGTTGGAAATTAAATAATTTTTGTAAACATCTTCAATTTCAATCATTATATACAGCTTTTGGTAGCTTAAAAATTAATTTGTTTACAGACAAAAGTCACTTTCAGTAAAAAAAATTTTTTACTACATGACAACACATCGTGAATTGGGATTAGATATTCCTGCACAGTTTCATAATTGAATTACAACATAAAACATTTCCTGAAATGGAGTACAGACAGGTATAAATCAGTGGCCCAATAAAGATGACAGTCCAAGTGTTGGTTGTTTAATTTGCAGATGATGGGCAAGTTCTTCTCAGGCCAGGCTCAGTCAGGCAGCTGGTGTTGCTTTGATGAGTTCAATCGTATCGACCTAGAGGTGCTGTCTGTCATTGCTCAGCAGCTGCACAGCATCAAGACTGCTAAGGATCAGAATGCACTCAGGTAAAGGCAGGGCAGAATCAGACTTAAAGGGTAGATACAACATTTGCAAACATCAAAAAACGAAATGAACAAATTATCACGAAATATCTTACTTGATTGTTAGGGAATGACAGTCCAAAGCATCCTGTAAAATCGTGGTTCCTGGTATACTGACATTTCAAGAAAATCATGTTTTTACCAACGCTGGTCGGCCGACCAGCATTGGAGAACTGTTTTTTTTTTTTTAATTGCTCTTAATTTTTCCGCATTTTCTTTGCAATTGATTACACACCTGTGGAGGGGTACAAGCCTGCTGGACTGATTCTCTGACCTTACAATTCCCCAAAGTCAACAAACTGCTCTGTTTGACGTTAAGTGGGGTCAGTGAACCAGACAACAATAGCATGATTGGTTTTCTTGGTTTTTCCAGCATCTACAAGCCCAAAACGTGAAACAAGTCCGTTTTAACAATATTTGCAATAACATTCTAATCCCCCAAATCCATTTACTACTGAAAATTGCAGCAAGAGCAAATGTTGTACATTCCCTTTAACAACCATCCAACTTGATGTGAGGATTGGCAATGCCCTGGATATCTTTTGAAATCTGTTGGCCTTGAAAATGCTGTCTTCCCTCTAGTTTCATGGGCATTAAATTAGCCATGTCCGAATTTCATGGCTATGGCTTAAAATTACACACTTGCCTATGGCAGCGGCTGCAGCCACTTCCCATAGATGCGTGTGTATTTTCAAGCCGTAGCCAAGTGATTTGGACGCGGCTTAGTTTGCTTTTCAATTTTGCAAATTTCAAATTTACCCTGTAAAGAGATTTAGTTTTAATATACCAACAGAAGCAAATTGCTTTAAAGCTTCTCTCTCCTTTTGCATCTTTGTAGGTTTGTGTTTGAGGGTCGGGATATACGACTTAACAGCACATGTGGCGTGTTCATCACGATGAATCCTAGGTAAGTTTTGCTCCCTAGTTTGGTGTAAGTTTTGCTTTTTTTCATTGTAAGGTGGCCCGTTTTTTATCATATCTGATATGCGCAACGCATGCGAAAAAATTCCACTGTGAAGTGTGACGCTCAAGGCCATAAGGCGTCACTTCTTCAGTTGTTTGATTGATTAATATGGATGTCAAGTAAAGTCTGTCATGAGCCAATGTGGCCCATCAGGCCGGCGTTTATATCGGTTTCAGTGACATGAAACGACTGAGAATATTTTTATATCCAATGGATGGGATACTGGTCCATCGCAGGTTACTCCCCGGCTAATGCTGGTACCCATTTATACTCCTGGGTGGAGAGAGGCAAGTGGGGGTGAAGTGGCTTGCTCAAGGACACAACATAATTGCCAGTAGCTGGATTCGAACCCTTGACCCTCTGATCATGAGTCACGAATCCTAACCATTTACCACACTCACCCAAAAGTAAATGGATATTTAAATAAATGAATAAAAGATGTAACCTGTTGATGTCTAGTCTTTGCCTTGCTAGCATCAGGCAAACATTTGCATTCTTGAATAAGTGACTCGGGCTAAAATTTAGGTGGAATGGTTTCATGAATATTTGATATCATCAGATTTAATACCCAGAAAACTCTGCATCTTAGAAAGCATCTGTTTTACAATTAAACACGTTTGACCATTTTATGTAATACTGTCTGCTGTGCCATATTTGTACAGTCATTATTTCTCACTGAACAAGACATTTTATTGGTCAATCGATACAAACAAAGACAGCAACCATGTCAAAGTTCAATTGAACTCGAGTGTGATGTCTCTAGTGTTCTTCAGTGAACTAGTCACTGGCGTTTCAGCGACAACTATAAACAGTTTGTACGATGATCACGTTTCAAAGTTTTCAGACACATTGCGACCAACTATAAACCGTAACTTGTGCAGTGATCACTTTTCAACATTTTCATTCGCATGCGACCAACTGTAAACCAGCCTGATAATCTTACTTTTTGGGGTGACGTGTTCCATCCAATGGGGTGGTTATGTTTTCATCAAACTCATTTGCACTAAATTGTGTCTTGTACCCCAGCTATGCAGGTCGTGTGGAATTGCCAGACAACCTGAAATCCCTGTTCCGTCCCGTGTCCATGATGGTGCCAGACTACGCCCTGATCGCGGAGATCATGCTGTTCTCCGAGGGATTCACTTCAGCCAAATCCCTGTCCAATAAGATCGTCAATCTTTACCAGCTTGCTAGCAAGCAGCTGTCGCAACAGGTCAGTGTCTTAAGCCTAGTTTCCACGTAGATATTACCATTGGTGTGTTCTAACACCTGTTCTTCCCCCTGATCATACAATTGATTGCTTTGCTACCTCGTCACATCATTTCATTGAGCTGCTTAATACAAAACATGCTAAGCATAGATTATATATGCTGAGCAGAAACAGGTTATCAGTCAAAAATGTTACATGATTTGTGCTCCTCATGACTGGTTCTCATCAGCAGGTAAATTTTCTAAGCAATATTTTCTGCGTAGCAGTTCAATGTAATTGAGTCCTGGTCGTGAAAGATCCTGTATCCCTTACCCCAAACTCTCAGACAGTTTACAGATTATGCCCAGATTGGAAAACAAACAAATGTTGATATGTTATATTTCCACTCCTAAGGACCATTATGATTTTGGGATGCGTGCTATCAAGTCAGTCTTGGTCATGGCTGGACAGAAGAAACGACAAATGCAGTCGGAGTAAGTATATAACTTTTGAAAAAAAGTTGTTTTGATTTAGTTAGTTATTTAAATATCTGCTCTATTGGTTCACTCCAGTCATTGCTTTTACCCACATGCATATTCACCAGTATGACAGACTGAGTGATATATCACAATGAAGAGTCAGTTATTATTTGTTTTTACTACATATGAAGAAGAGCTATGAACAACTCCCCCCCCCCCCTTTTTTTTGGCCGTCTTACAGCCGGATTGGGAGGTGGTATTCCTGTACAGACATCCTTGCTTAGTACACATGCCAGGGTCTAGCTCAAATGAACAGCGTGTTCTGTAATTATGATTATTAACATTCCATTCTTCTTAATGTAAATGAGTGCACGTGAATGCTTTCCTATGCACAGTCAACAAAGGTTTTTAAGGTATCCTATATCAAAAATCTAACTTGAACCAATTTTTTTTTATTAAATTAATGTCAAAATGTCTGCAAGACATCAGTCTATAAGCACAAAAAGGCTATATGCCAAAAAACAAAAAAGTGATGCTATCAGAAACAGTATTTTTTTTGGGGGGGGGGGGGGCAAGGGGGGTAATTGTTTTAAATGAGCAGCATTTTGTAGGGTTAAAACTCATTTTGTTGCATCGGGTCACATTTTGCCTCTCGCTGATAGATTTCAGGGTGTAACCCTATCTGAGGAGCAAGAAGCCTTCATTCTCATCCATTCCTTGCGAGATGCCAACCTGCCCAAGTTCCTGGCAGAAGACGTGCCGTTGTTTGAGAGCATACTGGCCGACCTCTTCCCGGGTGTCAACCCACCGGCACCAGACTCGGGAGCTCTTGAGGTATATGAAGGGTTTCCTAGTAGAATTGTCTCTGGCTTTGGCTAGAGAGGTTGGGCTCAGACTCATCATAGGTCTGTGGTCTGCTACACAGCTATATTTGATTCATGGCCAAAGTTTGGAATGTTTACATTTTAATAGTTTAATCACGAGAGCCATTGTTGTAGTCAAGGTTCTCGTGGGTATACAAGTACATCAGTACCAGTCACAAGTGTAGTGGAACGCCGCTATAACGAACATCGCAGGATCCACAGAAATTGTTCTAAATAGCGATCATTTGGTACAGCGATTTTAAGCTGCTGGTGCTCCGATACTCATTTTTCAATAAATAGCGCCGTTCAGAACTTCATCCTGCATGCCCTGGTAATTACTGGAAGACGACTTTGAACACGTGCTGACTTTTGAATTATGTAATTACACAATTGTTTAGCTTACTACCTACATCAATGGGTGGCTTTCCCCTTCTATTCCTTGGGGAAATAATAGCCACTTGTCACTCTTCTGTTGACATTTTTCAACAGCAATGTTCGGTACATTTTGTACACAAAAAGCGGGAACCAAGGACAGTGTTTGGTATAGCAACGTCCCACTGTACATGGCAAGTCATTCACAAGTCCAGTCACAAGGAACAGAGGATGAGCAGTAACAGAAGAATGCCTTTGTCACAGATCCTTTGAGTAGCTTATGACTTGACTTATGACTGGATAACTTGTGATGGACTTAAGATGGACTTGTGATGGACTTGTGATGGACTTATGATGGACTTGTGATGGACTTGTGATGGACTTGTGATGAACTTATGATGGACTTATGATGATATTTGATCCATCACAAGTGGCTTGACTGAAACACTGATTAAAGCCGTTCTGGAGCCAGAGGTGAAGCTTAACCCAGGCATGAAGCCACGGTTTGGGAAATGGCCTGTGCCACTCTAAAATGTCCTCATGTGGGTGGGCAAACAATAGACCATTATCATGTTGCGGCGGTCTTGATTTTTTCCATTCATTTCAACGTAACCAAAGCGAGGCTGGAAGGAAAAATAGTCTGGTTCCTTTTTGCACAAAAACCATTATCATTCAGTACTATTATTGGATTCAGGGAACATGACTGAAATGGTGGCAGCATGATAAAGGTCTATTCTGATTTGTTTCTAACCTGGATTCATGATTCTGCTAACAAACCTCACCTTGACTTACAACTTTGGATGAGAGACCTAAATCAGTTTCACAAAGTTCTGGAATTCATCATAATATAAGTTACTATGGTTGAGTGGTTTAGACTAAGTGTGCGCGTAATAGTAAGCAGAAAGTCTTGGGCTTGAGTCCCAGTGGAGTAAGCTTGTAAAAAATTTCTTGCAAGCTTGTGAATTTTTCTTGCAAGCTTGTGAATTTTTTTTGCAAGCTTGTGAATTTTTCTTGCAAGCTTGTGAATTTTTCTTGCAAGCTTGTGAATTGTTCTTGCAAGCTTTCGAACAATACTGAAAACATAGTTGCAAAACCCAGAATGAAACGTTTACTTTCTCCCTTATGCGAAATTCCTAACATACAAGACTCAAAGTGAATAGCAATTTTGCATTAAAATCCCCAGAAAGCGATTTCCATGGCGATCCGAGACCTAGGACTCCAACACTGGCCCAACCAGATAGACCAGGTCAAGCAGCTGCACAGTCAGATCCTTGTGCGACACGGTGTCATGCTGGTCGGTCCGACAGGGGGTGGCAAGACAGCCGTCCGTACCATCCTGCAGAGGGCCTTAGTCCTGCTACCCACGATACACATGGGGGAGCATGAGATGCAGACCGGCTTGCAAGTCATGGTATGTAGTGCAGTTTCTGACGCCTGTTTCAGAGTAGGGTTCCAGAGTCTAGCGAAGCCAAAAATTATCAGAAACGACTTATGTCATCAACCCAAATAGACCATGGATTCACATTGGCAAACTTTTTTGTGTAATATGTTTTCTATGACTTGTACATGGAGGTATTTCAAATGACTGTAGCAGGTGATCTCTCATTGACTTGCCCTATAGTCACCCCTGAAAATTGTTTTAAATGTTGAGCGTAAGTCAGATAAAAGGTACAATTGGGTTCGGTGTGACTCTGGAATGCCAGTCTTAAACAGATATGAGGTGATTTTCAGTAAAATTTTTATAATATTTATTCCTTAATACAGACTTGTTTTCCTTTTTTTTTGGAGCGAGTGGAAATTGTGTGTGTGTGGGGGGGGGGGGGTTGTTTACTAATTAAGAGTCTAGATATTTCATTGTGAAATACACCACGAGTGTTGAAAATTCATTAGGTATACAAAATATACATCCCTGCATTTCCATAAAAAAAATTACATTTTTTTTTTGTATGTTACCCCAAAATGCATTACATGTATGTTAAGGCTGTTGGAAGACAAAGGAAGTAGATTAAAATGGGGACGTTAAATAAAACCAGCATATATACCTTAAGATAAATGAACTAAAACAATGAATCAGCACGTTTGACTGAAAAAAGCTAAAACAATGAAATCAGTGCGTTTGAAAGTTTGACTGCTAAAGAATGTACCAAATGGGATATTTCAGAAATCTCAGACCCTACTTTTTAACAATTAGAGTAATGTAACAATGCAACTTTTCCGGGTACTGGCAGTTAAAAATATGCCATTTATTGAAGCCAGTTAACAACCATATCTCAAGCTGAAAAAAAATTTTTAATGAAATTTTGGAATACAGCAACATGCGAACTTACATAATTGGATTAAAGTTTGGGATTTACATTGGATTCTTGTTTATGATTGACATGGGATTCATGTTTTGGATCGACCTAGTATTGACATTTGAGATTAACCAAGATCATTACAGCATCTCCATTTACTCAAAACTATGGCCATCAAGCTTAACTATTTGAATGTTGTGCTCGTTATTCTAATTTTAAATATAATCCTCCCCCTTCCTCTCATCCTCCAGAAAACCTACGGCAAGAAAGGCCGGGTGGAAACATTCGTCATCAACCCCAAGTGTGTCAAGATGGGAGAGCTGTACGGCCAGACCAACCCCAACACCTTAGAGTGGACGGATGGCCTGCTGGCATCGGCTGTCCGTCGGTTTGCTAAGGAAGCCTCCGAGCTTACCCACGGTGGAGGGGAGGAGGGAGACAGATCCACCACCGTGGGGAGTGTCACACCCAGGGGAGACAGGCCCACGTCTCAGGTAGGCTAGTATCAAACGTCCTCCAGAAAATAACACTGTTATATTTGTTTTACATTACTTCATACATCAGCAGTTGTCAGTTTTTAATTTCAGGAGTCTGTAAAAAGAAAAAGTAAGGAACCTCCCCCCCCCCCAGTGAAATAAAACTGAATGTGTGTGCATGGGTTTGTTTCTGCATTCAATAGGGGAACAATAGAGGACAAAAGGGGTCCCCAATTCCCAAGATGTCCCCAATTTGGATTCGTGTACAAAAAATATGGGAGGTAGATGTACAAACAAAAGAGGGACAATAGGGGGTCCTCGATTGCAGGCAAATACAGGGTGAGTTAAAAAAAAAAAAAAAATGTCGGGACCATTGTTTTAGTGAAGTTCTGCATGTAGCACTTTCAAAATCTAGGATATGAAAGCCCAATTCATAAGCTTTCTTTTAGCACAAGAATCATTCAAATCACTCATGCACTTTTCAAGTTACAGAGTTTTAAACACAACCGCTGTTGTAAAGTTCTGTCCACGGATCACAAAAAAAATCAGTGTTCTTTCAGCAAAACAAAAACAAATCACATAAGAATGTGTGTGAATTCTTTTTGTTTTGCTGAAAGAACGCACACCTTTTTGTGTGATCAGTGGACAGAACTATAAAACGGTGGTTGTGTTTAAAACTCTGTAACTTGAAAAGTACATGAGTGAATTGAATGATTCTTGTACTAAAAGAAAGCTAATGAATTGGGCTTTCATATCCGAGATTTTGAAAGTGCTACATGCAGAACTTGACTAAAATAATGGTCCCAACATTTTTTTTTTCATTTTTTTTACTCACCCTGTACACACTTGGGTGTGTGCGCCCGAGCAAGTGAGCGTGCACACTCCCCATGTGATAGTTCCACAATTGCATGTGCAGTTGACTATCATACGGGTAGCCGTGTTAAAATATTGGCTGGAACATGACTGCGAATTGACCAGTTAGAAATCAGTTCTCACTCATGAATATATATGAGGTAGATTAGGGTTTTTTTTAAAATTTGGATCACAAATTCTAGACCACTTGTGTTGCGCTTTGCCTTTAGTTGACCACCCCGCGGACCCCCCAGTCCACGGCCGCAGACTCCCACCATCCACATGACAGCGGCCTGGCCGACGAACACAAACTCTTGGAAGACAGGAGCAGTGCCAGCGACAGAACCCAAGCCAATCACGGTGACGAGATCCCCCAGGACTGGCAGTGGCTAATCCTGGACGGGCCCGTGGACACTCTGTGGGTGGAGAACCTCAACACCGTGTTGGATGACAGTAAGCTGCTCTGTCTGGCTAACGGGGAGAGGGTGGGACTCACCCCAGGAATGAGACTGCTGTTTGAGGTGGATAACTTGTCGCAAGCCAGCCCAGCTACTATCAGTAGATGCGCCATGGTGTACTTGGTGAGTGGCATTTTTAGATGTGGACAGCAGCTCAACAAATAGTCGTGTCTCTTTGTTAGTTAGTTAGTAACAAACATTCCAGTGACAGCCTTGCATGGGCATATATCAACTCGTCCCTCAGGCCCTGGCCCTCTTTTGTGTCACTTTAATAGGTCTCCACCGACCGCCTACCGATTTAATTCAATCCTGATTTTTTTACTGAAAACACTACTTCCAGATATTACGTGGCATAATCATATTACATTAGGCCAAAAAAAAAAAGTGTCCGGTTTCTGGTATGCGCGCGCGTCGCCGTAGCCATGTGCGTCGGCAAAATGAAAAAGTTTTTTTTTCAATGAAAGATGATGTCTCAAAACCGCCAAACTCACTGGTTTGACTGGAATCCTGCTGCTGCACAATTTTAACGTGTTTTTAGATTGGGTTATGGTCGAGAATAAGCTTTATGTGGCCTCTCTGGACTCCCATATATTTGCACTAAGTTTAGTCGGGCACCATTTGCAGTCATCAGCCGACATTTGAAGCAAAAAAATAAGGTAAAAAAAAAACTAAACGTGTCGCCGCACCACTTTTTGGGCAAGCTCCATACCAGAAACCGGAGACTTTTTTTTTTTGGCCTTGGCTCATCTAGCTCCCAGACCCATTTCTTTGAAACTCAACGGTACCTGAGTCTGGAGTGCTGAATGGTAACACGTAGCAACCGATGAAAACTGATGTGCAAATGAATAGATGTTTTCATCGGATGACGTAATCCCGCCTGTGCCTTTAGAAACAGAATGGAAGAAGTCGCATGTCTCGTGTTGAGAACCCGCCATGAATATTTGTGGTTTTTTCTTTCTTTCTTTTTTTGGGCAGGATCCAGTGGATCTAGGCTGGAGGCCGTATGTAAGGACCTGGCTGTCTAAGTTACCCAGAGATGTAAGTTCAAACTGTTGGAAATGCCTTCACTACTTTAAAGGAATATACAACATTTGCAAACATTGGAAAACAAAACTACCAAATTTTTACGAAATACCTTAATAGGATGTTGGTAAATGAAAGTCTAAAGCATCCTGTAAAATTATGGCACCTGGTGTGAAGTCATTTTCAAGAAAAGTGGTATTTTGTATAAATTTCCAACGGTGGTCGGCCGACCACCGTTGGAAAAACCTAACTATTTTTCAACTACTGCTCCAAATTTACCTCTTTTTTAGTCCAAATTTTGTTTGCTACTGGTTACATGTTCATGAACGGGTGCGGGCCAGCTAGACTGGTTTCCCTACCTTACAATTTTCGGGCATCAATAAATTGATTCATTTCATCTTTAGTGGAGTCAGGGAACCAGACTACTTGAACATTTTTGTTTTTCTTGGTTTTTCCAGCATTTTCGAACACAAAACTTCAAATTTGTCTGTGTAACAGTATTTGATCTATTATACTAACCCCTCAAATAGTTCATTTCTGAAAATTACAGCAAAAGCCAATAATGTACATTCCCTTTAATAGCATTTAGAAGTAAACAAAGCACTCGAGGGGTGTACGAACACATAATGTTTCAAGTTGAAGTTGGCAGCGTTACTTCAGTGTTCACAGACACTCTTAAAATCAAAGAAAACCATTTGTCCAGTCATGGTAAATTCAGGGAATTGGACAAAGACCAAGAAGGGAAAGGTTTTTGCCGGCTTGGTGGGCGTCTGGTGTCATGCATCCAAATTGTGTCCATTTTGACTGACTGGCTATGGTGGCTTTTTAGTGTTTATGCAGTGGGAATATTACACACCTCTCCAGGCAATAACAATTGGCTGTGCTATATGTAACCACCTTCTGACTTCCCAGCAACCTCGTTAAAGTGAAAATATTTCTCATGTAATTTCGGAAATATTTCAGGGAAATATCAGGAAAAAACTCAGAATTTTGTATTTATAATGTGCTTGGAACCCTGTTACTTATCTCAAATTTTCGGCCAATGTGACTTTACACTGATGTAAAGTGGATATATCACATTTTGCCTGAAAACAGCAACGAACAAAATATAAAAACAAGTTTGGAAAATATTAAACCACTCCCCCTTTCAAAATAAATATAATGCTATTTTGCATACCAAATAATTCAGTTCCAACGTTCCACTATACTTTTGATGTAGATTCCGGAGAGTGGCAAACGGCACCTCCACGAGCTGTTTGAGAAGAGCCTGGACAAGGGTCTGGAGTTTACTAGTTGCTACACCGCCTATCAGATAGTGGCAGCCACCGACATGAGCATAGTGGCCATGCTGTGCCATCTCCTACATGCATTCCTGGAGTTCCTGGGCAAAAATGGAGGCTACGGTAGCCCAGGTGAATGGCGGGGGACCAAGGGCCTAATTTTATGGAGGCGCTACGCAGAAAATATTGAAATTGGTCATTCCATAAATCTGGGGTCTAAAAGTGTGACATATCTTGTGTCTTCGTTACACTGACCTGTGTAATTTGCCATGCGAGTATCATTGAAATTGACTTCAAACTATTTTTTATTTGTTTGGTAGGTACTTAGCTTTACATAATCACTCTTGGAGATAGAAGGCATTGAAGAATGTGTCCTGAATTTAAAAAATCTTATATCACATGTAACCAAAACAAAATTGGACCTCAAATTTATAGAATGACCCAAATGCAAAATGTATGTGCTAAGCGTAAATAAGCTGAGAAGAAGTCACAAGCTGTATTCATTGCATGCGATTTAGGCTTGCAGCTTGCTTTTGTTGAATAAAGGTTTTAAGTGCTCAGCAAGTTTCTGTGCTGAACATCTCCATGAAATGCACTCGTGTGGAAATGCTAGCCCTTGCAGTAGACTCTTTGCATCCTGCAGGCATCTTGCATAACAGGATTTCCATTCGGTGTGGAGGAATTAAAAATGGTGGCCTTAGACAAAGCTATAGAGTTATATCTAAAAAAAATCTAGAGAGCATAGTCGCTGTACGTGAATGTGACGACATGGACGCGTAGTTGTCATTCTTCAGGTGGGCAACTTTTGAATTCTTTCTAAATAGAGCTTAGCACATACATTTGCATTTCAGTATTCCAACGTGGGGTCATCCCCCCCCCCCTGAATATTTTTGGCTTTTTCGCAATTTTGCGAAAAAGCCTTTCTTTTTGTTCTGATTTTTTTTTTTTTTTTTTTTATTTCTTTTTGTCGCCAAAATGCCATAGACTTTGTACACGTTTTTTCTACACGCCACTTTTGGCATTAATCTTTGTCAGACATCATTCAAAGTTAGCATAAGCATAGTCCCTATAGCAAAGATGTGCCCCGAAGATTGACGTCATGGTGACGTCATCGACTAATTTATTATAGATTTTTGAATATTTAATTTTTCCCATAGACTTTGTACACGGAAATAAAAAAAAAATGTCGTTTTTCAAAGGGCATTTTTGACTCTTTGCCAGTAATTCATTTACACCAATCTTTGTCTAAGCAAAGACCCTAATTTAAACAACATTGTGTAATGATGACGTCATGATGACGTCATCCGGTGTTTATTTATGGGCAATTAAATTGTGACACTTTTAATATTTAAAAATGCATAAGAAATCAACAGTACGCGTCCGCCGCATTCTTTTGCTAACAAGTGGTAGAATAGGTTGAGGTCTTTATTTCATTCAGTGTGTGTGAAATCACGCGACCCTTGCTTCCGGTCGTAAAAGGCCCAAACCGGAAGTGGCTTATTATTTGAAAGTGGTAATAGATATGAACTTGCTTTTAACGGTGCTAGTGTCTTAGCCGATAGTATTCTTCAAATCATCTACCGATGACGTCATGCAATTTTCGAGCGCCCTCTAGCGACAGGTTGAAAATTTTCAAAAATGTATTTTGAATAGATGTCTGTGGCGAAGTTTGTCGGAATCGCCTAAATATTGGTGTTTATGATGACCTTGACCCACTTAAGACGTGTGCGAAGTTTTAGGCGTATGACGTCATCAGACCGGAAGTTATAATGAAAAGACCCTTTTCCTTCTGAAAATTCCTGAAAAATCAACCATGGCAGTTTTTATATTTGTTTTTACTTTAATTGTCGATTTAAGGGTAGGTCTAAAACATTTCAAAGTTTTGAGGCAATAAGTGAACTCGGACATACCCTGCGCACGCTTAAAACTTCAGGTTGACAATACCTCTGCTTTAAAACATGCACTGGACGTCCACAATGTACATGTACATGCACGTACGTTGTACATACGCACATACATCGTTTGTCAGTCAGCCTGCAGCGCACGTGTGGCTGAGGTCAAATCCTGTCCACAGTGACCGTTTTAGCCGATTCTCGGCTAACTTTGACAGATTTTATGTTCATTCATGCGCATAGTCAGGGATGTATTATTGATAAAAAAAATCATAATGCGGAAAAGCCCTGTGTTCTGTTGCAAACAGACATACAGCTCTAGTTTGTTTTTGGTTTTTTTTGTATCGGAGGAGTGAAGACACCTTTTTGTCTTAAATTTTCAGAAAATAGCTAAAAAGATGTACGTGTACGTGCTGAAAGTGGGAACATCTGGGTATTTCACAGTTGTGCCGTATTCTAATTATACAACTCTCTGCAGTCTACGTAAAGAATGGCCGCACTCTATGGACAAAGCTGAATGTGATGGAGACTTTCCTGTACTGATTCTGTGTTTACCACATGCCGTCCACTGTGCAGCATACCGTGCTGCTTATTTTAAGAGTGACACTGGTCATTCTCAGGGAGTCACATAGGTTCCAGTGCAGCGTACCATTTTATAAGGGGGAGGAGGTGTCATAGGATTTTGCATTTTTCGACTCGACGTTGTGGTGTGCCTGGTTACACCACTCAGGCATGCAACTTTTCCTCGGATCCGCTGATTTCCTTTCTTTTTTACTTCTCATGAATGCCATTACAATTTGAAAAACACTGTACAAAGTCTTGAGTGGTTTGGAATTTCCTCGTTTTTTCTGAATTGGCAGTTGCATGCCTGACCACTACAACCAACAAGTTTTTGGTTTTTTTTGTTGCTCAGATGAGGAGCGTCCAGCGAGCGCCGATAGCACCGGTCGGCCTCCGTCTCGTTCCAACGGCCGACGAGCATCGAGAAGAGAGGAGAAGAAAAAGGAGAAGGAAAAAGAAAAAGAGAAAGAACGCAAAGAGAAACTCCGACAGCAGTCTAAACACAGGTCAGTAATTAAGGATGCATTCCCCGTGCTGTTAATGAGTTTTACCTCAAAAAATAGATTTGTTTTTGCAATTGCTATTTTCCTAGCAATGTACACGTCATTCACTTTGGAATGAGACATTGAACAAAACAATTCACTGATGTTTAGTTATTGAAATATTTCATCACAAAATTTGAATTAGTAGCTGCTAGAAATTAATTCGCCTCTCGCACGGTGGGTTCATTTGTACACAAAATGAAAGCCTTTATTCAGAGGGTTAAAGACGCCAAAAACTGGAACTAATTAATTTTCTCCTTTAAAACAAAACATACAAATTATAAATGCATTAGGAGAAAAAAATGGGAAATTTTTTTTTTCTGAAGACCAGGGGGGTATGCAACTGTAAGTTGGTTTCTAAAGGAATACTAAGTTTTTAGCTAATTAGCAGTGTTGACGTCAAGTCCATGATGACGACTGATACTATTTCATTAGATGCAACTCTGCGAGCACCAGTCTAAAGCGGGTGTTATTTTGACAAAAAAAATCTTCCGCTCACTTTTTTCCAGCTCCAAGGAGTGGTACTTGACAAAGCACCCCGACCAGCTTCTGACACTTCTCGGCAAGATCTTTGTCTTCTGCTACACCTGGTCGGTGGGCGGCAACCTCAAGAGAGAGGACGACAGCGAAGATGACGGCGGCATCTCAGTCGCGCCTCGGACAACTGGCGGAGGGGGAGGAGCCAAGGCAAAGAAAGCGGACATTCCTGATCTGAACATTGCCTATGAGTTTGACACCTTTGTGCACGATATGTTTGATACAGAACCCCCACTAGGTATGTCGACACTTGACCGCACATATGTGACCGAAGTTGCGAATTTGATTTTGCATTATGACATGAAAATCTTTGGAATCAGTTTCTTTTTCTCAAAATTTAATAGTTTGTATTATACAGGGTGTTTAAAAAAAAAAGGAAACCCAACTTCAAAGAATGAGTATGGACAGATGATATGTTTACAATGTTTACTGGCTATACAACTGGTATCATCTGAAAGCTTAATCTCTATGCTTTCCAATGATACTATGTTTAGGTTTTTGAGTCATGCATCAGTGAGCATCATTGTCTTGAAAACTGGATGCAAAAATGCAGTTGGTTCACTTTCATAAAAAAAAACCCACTGGGCACATTGTGCCTATTGTTACGAAAATGTCTGTGAAATGGCTTGAATGATAATCCTCGGGAAAATGGCACATTGTTTTGAACGTGGCTTGGTCAAAACGAGAAATTCATGACAAACAATAAAATCCAGTTTTGAAACCAACCCGACTTGTTTTTTTTGGTTTCTTTTTATGCACTCTTGTCTTCATCTTGAATACTTATTCTCATGCACACCATGCCTGTTGTGTTTGACATGAAAGTGAACCAACTGCAATTTTGCATCAAAATCTCATGACAGTGGCGCTCAGTGATGCATGACCCTGGAAATGTAAACAAGGTATCATTGAAAAGCAAAGAGATTACGTTTTCAGATGATAACAGTTTTATAGCCAGTAAACATTTAGTCTGTCCATACTGGTTCTTCAAAGTTGGGTTTCCTTTTTATTGAAACACCCTGTACATTGCTTGAATAAATCCCCGTCATCTGATTGGTTGGTCGTTGATCACATGTCCTTGAATTATTCGTCCCAACCCACGGCCCGGCCGAACCGCAAAAGTTCTAATCCACGGTGTTAATGCTTTGCACGGTCACACGATTGGTGGCTCTGATCTATCAGATGAGGAGGATTTATTCAAGTTTTGTATAAAACAAATAATAAATGTTTCACATTCGTCCAATGAAAAGAATAATTTAATTCGTTGACAGATGGCATGCTCCATTCCTCTCGGCGATAGCCTGGTGGAATGGAACATTCCATCTGTCACCTCATGAAATTATTCTTACCATTGCATTCATAAACATTCATTGTTTGTATAGAATGCTCCACCAATTTTGAAGAGTAAGGAATAAGTGAAAATTCTAGAAATACTTAATTTCAGTTGATCAACTTTGACTTGTCTTTTGATGCTTTTCCTTTTGGTGTAACCAATTCACCATATGCGTGCAAACTCATAGCGGGTACCAACAAAAGTAATAAAACATTCAAAATCTTCGGACAGTGCCATGTTTTTTGGTGTTGTGTGTGCTCCAATTTTTGTGCAAATGAAAGTTCCCATCTTCTTTTTTGATGGAGCAAAAAATGAAAAAACTTGTTTTTGGTTACTACATCCACTGTAGACTTATGTGCATTTAATCACAATTTCTTTTTTCATTTTTGCGCATAAATGTATATGCTCACTTGAAATACTGAATTTGCTGATTAGGAGTGAAATATAAAGTGCTACGTTCTTCTGACAGGTGTGCGTCTGCCGTCCGGTAGCCGGACCATCTTCCACTACTTTGTGAGCACCGAGAGCGGCAAGTTTGTACCCTGGGATGAACTGGTTCCCTCCACTAAGTCCCTGATTGACAAGGGAGTCAGTCACGTCTCGCTGGGGGAACAGATGGGCCTGACTACCCAGATGAGCAAGAAGGCAACGCGGGAGGATAACGAACTGGTACCGACTGTGGATACCGTCCGGTATTCTTTCCTCGTGGGCTTACTGCTGGTCAACAGACACCCTGTCTTGCTTACAGGTATGAACAAGATTGCTTGGACCATTTATTGACTAGCAGTTTATTTGTGAAGTATTCCTGCATGCTTATATTGGGGGTATACTGTCATGCTCTTCAACACATTTGAATTTACAATAGGTATGTCTTGATGTTATGGAAACAGCTCCCTTTTTTTCACTTCTATTTTGGACATCTGCAATACTCTTCAAAAAGGGCTTTTGATTTTTGTCAGACAGCAGATAATCCGGGCGTTTCACAATGCAGTGCCACGGAGAGTCCATTTTTCAAGTTTACAGTCGACAAAACACGGCCCATTTGAACGAGTGTCAGTAGACAACTGGAGCTAATTTGTTAAGGATTGGGGCATAGCGTTCTGCCGCCTTACAAAAAAAAACACCCATATTGATAAAAAGAAAAGAAAAGGGCAAACAGATACTCGAATCATATGCTTACGAAAATACTGACCAGACAAAGTAACAATTTCATAGTCCGCGCTCCGAATTTGTCGACCAGCTCCCACAATGCACTGGGAAAAATGAACTCTCGGTGGCAAACTCTTGGTGGCGCACCGCATTGTGAAACGCCTGAATTAAAAAGTTGTAAAGTAATTATTCCAAAACTATTTTTTTTTGTATTTCGTTTGATGTATCGTTCAAAGATCTCTCGTGCAAAAGTCACAAATTCATCACGAAACTTCTTGTCATGGTTTTTTTTTTGTACATCATTTTGCATGCAGCTATTCATAACCAGTAGTGCAACCAACATAAGCCCACCAGTATGTCATTATTCTTTTTATCAATTAATTGGACCCTATTTGGTAATTATTCAAATAGCTGAATTAAGGCGAAGTAAAAAAAAACAACATGTTTCTCGTCCCCGCCCGCTTCCTTTTTGGAGGCCGCCTGGATTTTTTTACTATTTTTTATTTTTGAAAAATGCAGTTAAAAAAACACCGAAAAAGTCCATGGTTAAAGCAAATGCATCTAAAACTGTTCATTGTAGACCAATATAACTCTAAATGACACTGTAAATATGTTCAGTTCTCTTGTCCAACTTGTCTTTCATTTTAAAAGTGTCTTTGAACAGTGGAAACATCAACGGTTGCAGGAAATTTTAAAATGGTGGCCATCTTGATAAAAAATAAAAAGCCCCTCTTCCTCCTTTTTTTCAAAAACCTGGACGAGAAACATGTTTTTTTTTATTCGACCTTATCATTTTAGGCTTTTGCTTCAGACTTTACAAAAAGACTAAGGGTGCAGAGCTCAGACTAATAATACAGGGATGAACCTGTTTCTGAACTTCAAGTGCATGTATAACGTTTTCAAATTAATTTTAACCTTTGTTTCGTTTGGAAGAAATGTTGAAGGAGACCAATATGTGGGGCAAAATTAATTGTCAATTTGCAAAGTTCAAAAATTGTAACGATATTCTTTCTCCCCATGTTTCAAAAAAAAAGAATTGATTTAAAGACACGTTGTGCGTTGTTAGTCCCAGTACTGTTTTTTTTTCAATGCTGTCTTTACTTTGTGCTCCCCACCCCTACTTGTGAACAGGTGACTCTGGAGTGGGCAAATCGGCCATCGTCGGCCACATGCTCAAACTCTTGAGCAAAGAGAAAGGAGCCACCACCCAGCTGGGTACCATCCTAGGTGATGTCTTCCATTACTCAGAGCGGGGTACCAACATCCTATCTAATATCAGTGCCTTGACAGCTGGGATACTAGGGGACGATGACGCGGACAGCGGTAAGCAAGCACGCTAAGCTGAAACCTCTTTGTCTGTCTTAAGTTAACGTGGCTCATCAACTGGCTTTTAACCCTGGTTCCCTTGGCATGAAACGACTGAGAATATTTCAGTTGTCCTTGGATGGGTTGCCCGACCAGTGTTGTAGTCACGTCCATCTCGAATCCGTGCAAGTCCATCACAAGTCCCTGCAAGTCCATCACATGTCCCTCAGTTCCAAGTCAAGTCACTAGCTATTCAAATTAACTGTAACAAAAGCATTCCTTTGTCATTGTTCATGCCATTACTTGTGACTTGACTTATGAAAGGACTTGTGAAAAGGATTTGGGAAAGGACTTGTGAAAAGGACTTGTGACTCGACTGCAGCACTGTGCCAGTCCCCCCCAGCTAATACCGGTACCCATTTATACTCCGGGGTGGAAAGAGGGAAGTTGGGGTTAATGCCTTGCCTAAGGACACAACACACTGCAAGCAGCTGGATTCGAACCCCTGAGCCTTCCGACCATGAGTCATGCACACTAACCACCAGGCCATAACCCCCCCCCCCCCCCCCCCCCCGCCCATCATTTTACAAACAAAAGAAACTCTCAATGTCAGCTATTCTAAGGGATCTTAGCCTCTCAAGAAAAGGTTCCTTTACAATCTGACTGACACCAGGGATGTAGTCGAGTCCATCACAAGTTCATTCAGAATTCCAGTCACAAGTCCAGTCACAAATCCAGTCACAAGAAACAGTGGATGAACAACAACAAAGGAATGCCTTTGTCAAAGCTCATTTGAACTGCAGCTGGTGAGTTGAATTTGGACTGGAGGACTTGCAGGGACTTGTGATGGACTTGACCACATCTCTGCCTGACACCTGTTACAGTATAACAGAATTTTCAACTCTGCCACTCCCTTGAATGCTTCAAAGGCATAAAGGATCATTTGCTTTTCATACGTTTTGTTCATTTCTAATGAATACCACTCAAAATCCGAAGACTGTTCAAAACCTAACCTGTTGAAGTTTCAGCTCAGTGGATATTACACTTTTCACAAAAAAAATGAAAAACTATGATCACGAAACACAATTTGTCAATAGCACTCTTAATTTAAAAAAATCAGTCAATAGACTAATTATAATACTTGGAAATCATCTACATTTGTTGATTTCTTCTAAATGACAGCAAGCCAGATGGAGTACTTTCACGGCGTGTTTAGTACCAGTACGATCCTTAATCCAAGTAAGCTTTTTGATAATAATTCATCAGGTTACTTTTGGGATAAATGCAAAATGATCCTGTATGTCTTTAAATATGGATTCCTATCCTTACTTTTGTAGGTATCGGTGTTGCAGACACCATGGATTTGACCTTCATCACTGGCCAGGTGCGACGTGCTACCGGTACCAGCGGTATGGTCACTACTACGCTACAGCTGAGTGCTCAGACCACGGCGGCTAGAGTACGGGCCCAGATTGAGCACAAGCTGATCAAGAAGGGACGAGACACCATGGTGGGGCCAAGAGGCAAAAAGGTATAATATTATAATGAATATTCATTACATGCTGGTATCTGAGAATTGAGCGCAACAGAAAGCAACAAATCGTGGGAATTTTTGACGCTGAAGCACTTGTAACAGTAAAGCTAGCATGCCTAGGATGACAGCATGGAGCGCTGTGGTTCAGACCATGACAGAGAACACAGTGCTTGTGTTCTTGGGCAACACACTTTACTACAATTTCTCTCTCCATCCTGGAGTATAAATGATACAAAGCTATATTAGCACAATCAAATTATTCTCACTGTGTTACTTTTTCCCTCTTTCTTAGGTCCTTGTTTTTGTGGATGATCTGAACCTACCCGCCCCCGAGGTCTATGGAGCCCAACCCCCACTGGAGCTGCTCAGACAGTTCTTAGAGTTTGGAGGATTCTATGACACCAAAAAACTTGCCTGGAAGGTATAATTTGTTTCATGCCATAATCCCATTCCCCTAAAAAAAACATGTTGCTTCTTGACAGTTTTCATGAGTGTTTTGACTGACAGCCTAACAGAAATATGAAAGAAATGAAATTTGATAAAACAAAACTCAGACTCGTACTCAAGTCTGAGTCTGTTTTACACAAACTCTTATTTCCAGCATGTGCGTTTGTCCAAATACTCGTATTCTTCTCCACACAAAAGCCATAGCGCTCAGACCAGATAGTCTGAATGCAAAGGCTATGGCTGCATACATATTACTGGGCTACGGCTTACAGTTGTACACAGGCTTATGGAAGCGGCTTTAGCCACTTCCCAGAGACATGTGTGTTGCTTCCAGCTGTAGCCCAGTCATTCAGGCATAACCAGTAGTTCCTACTGAACCCTTTACGTCTAAGTGTACTTGTGGGATTTGGAAAAAAAGACTTGATTTAAAACACTTGTGGAGCGACTTTTTGAAAAGTGTAGACATTTTGTTTGGTCCAAGTTTTATTGCGTGGTGAAACAATATTCAAATAATGAATGTTTATGAGTGCAATAGTGAGAATGATTCATGAGGTGACAGATGGAATGTTCCATTCCAAGAGGCGCAGCGGAGTGGAATGGAATATTCCATCTGTCACCTCATGGAATTATTCTTTCCATTTCACGAATGTGAAACATTCGTTGTTTGTTTCAACAACATCTGAATAAATCCTTGTCATCTGATTGGTAACATTTAAACTGGCACTATGAATGCCATCAGAGCTGTGTCATAGCACGGCAATGGCAACCGATAGCCGTGCAATGGCAGTTCTATTTACCGTGCAATGGAACTTCTATTATCCTTCTATCTTGTTCTTGAATCGCTGCAGAATATACTGGATGTAACTCTTTGTGGGGCCTGTGCTCCCATGGGAGGTGGCAGAAACCCAGTCAGTCCGAGACTTCTCAAACATTTCTGGTGAGTTGGAGTGATAAATGTTAAAAGCCAATTTCATACTCGGAGTGAATGAAAACACGAACATGAATTCATGACATCATGCCAAGGAATTGCATTATAAATGTTGCAAAAGTTGAACATGTTCCAAGTGTGCACATTTTCACCGGGAGTGTATCATGAAGCAAATTTTCTTGCATTCTGTTGAAGTCTCAGCCAATTTTTACTCAGTAGAAATTTCATCAGTTCACATGCTCAATCAATTTTATTAGTCCCAACAACCCAAATTATCCAACACACCCTGTTTTTTATTCTTGATGGTTTCAGGACATTGCATCTACAGGGATGTCAGTCCTCCTGCAATTGCCTGATTTGAGACTTTATCAAATTGTAAATAACATATTGGCACCATATATGTGTGTTATGAGCACGAGTATGAGTTTAAATACTTTGCCATGTGTACGAGTGTGAGTACAAGTACTTTTTCATGAGTACTAGAACGAGTACCAAAAACTCTCCATGAGTAGGAGCAAATTTAAATGGGTGCATGTGTTCTCAAGGGCTTTTTGCTGTCAAACTAGGCATTAAACAAATGCAGAAGCCCCCCAACTGTACAAAATTGGTTCTTTTTCTGGATGTAGCCCTTAAAAAACTTTGAAATTCTCTGGGAGAAAATTTGCAAGAGTACAAGAATGAGTACTTTGCCATGAGTAAGAGTATGAGTACAAGTAAGAGTACATTCTCATGAGTACAATTACGATTACCAAAAAATGTACCCCAGTATGAGTACGAGAACGAGTGCTACAACACTGATGTATACATGTACCTCCTATATGTATATACCTCAACTTTTAACTCTTTTAGTGCCCGCAAAATTTGAAAAGTTTAACCCTAAGGTGCCGAACTTCGAGCTTTTTTTTTAATTGTTCAAAATTCTGTTAAAAAAAAAGTAAATAAGTTTTACTCACAAAATTTGTTGTTGTTGCTCTCTGGTATATCCTTGGTACATTGGAAAGTCAATAGCAGTCACGTACATAGTGATACACCCTGAAACACTGTCCTGCACACAGGGGAATTCCGCACTTTTTGCAGAAAATACGAGTGTCAGTGCTGCACCCTCTTGCAAGAACTCGAATGAAACAAATAAATACAGGTCGTACCTGAATGAAAATGATATTATTAGAAAGAGCAAGAGCACCCCCTTGTGATAACATGCTTACTCTACCTCGTACATGGCAATCGGCAATTTCGAACTAACAAATATACCTTGTACATGTACGACTTTGGCACTGAAAGAGTTAAGCAAAAATGTCAGAGTCCACTTACATCCTGGCATCTGATGGTTTAATAGTGTAAATGTGTAATCCGCCCATGCCTTCGCACTGGCCTGTGCATGTCTGCAGCCTTTCTCAAGTTGCATTCCTCTTCCTTTTCTGTTTCCCCCCAGCATGATGGCCTTGCCTCAGCCCTCGGTGCGTTCCCTCCAGCACATCTACCAAGTCCAGCTAGGTCGCTTCCTGGAGAACCAGAACTTCTTACCGGAGATACGAGAGCTCCTGACTCCCTTGGTGTCAGCATCCATTGCCGTCTACTACAAGATGTGCGTCAATATGTTGCCAACCCCGGCCAAGTCACACTACACCTTTAACCTGAGAGATCTCTCAAAGGTAATACCTGTTTCAAAGTCTCACTGAACCAAGTAGTACTGGCCATGTTTAAACATTATCATTTTACGTATACCAGTCTTAGTTTAATTTTGATTTGTATAAGTTAATGAATTATTTGTTTAAAAGTTTATAGGATGTATTTTGTCTTTTAGATGTTGTAATTCATAACCGAGCCAACCCTTTAATGGTTCCCAATAACATGATCCTTACCAGTACCTTACCTTACCTCTTAGCAGTGACTCATTTCAACCTAGGTAGATTGTGGTTCTAGACTGGTCAATTTACAAATTTATTTTCCATTTACTTGATTGATTGCAACAGTCAATCTTCTGTCGGAAAACTGTTTAAATGTACTTGATTCAAACCTTGGGAAGTAGTTGGTTCAGTCCGAGTCTGTTAGCATCACTATTTTGCAATTTTGAAGACTCAATTTGGAATTGAGTGGGATTTTAAACTACTACCTCTGGCAAACAGTAAACTTGCCCTGAGCTATCTAGCTCTACATTTGTGGTCTTACAATCTGTCAATTTTGACAATTTCAAAGAATGAAATCCTTGAATTGATAATTTATATTCTCAGTTATCCGGTAGAACTTGTTGAAATATCAAATATAAAGTCTAATTCTTGAATGTACCACATTTTGCTACTTGCCATGTATTATGTAACCAGCCCACCAGGTCACCGTTTGCCTTAGCTGAGGAAATCTAATGGTTTTGGATGCAATGTGGCAAGTTCCAGAATAGTAACATTTTTTTGATATCTTGAATTATAACGAAAGGGTAAAAAGTCATTCAATCATCTTATTATCCAGGTTATCCAGGGCCTGTTGCAAGCCGACGAGACGGTCATCACGTCCACAGACTCGGCCGCGTTGCTCCTGGCCCATGAAGCCACCCGGGTCTTCCACGACAGACTGGTGGATGAGCCTGACAGAAAACGATTCTTTGAATTCCTAGCCGATGATCTCCACAACTACTTCAAGGTTTGTAGTGGTCTGAACACAGCCTGGATATCTTTCACTGTATCATGAAACAAAGTTTACTTTGGCTTTGTAGGCATTGAGAGCAAGAACACTTTTGCATTTTAAAGTTTATACGATTGTTTTTCATGATGATGGTTTATTTTGTAGTTGTGTTTCTGTGGTACTGTGAGTAATGAGTAGGGAAAGATGAGTAAACTTAACCATTTCAAGTCGGATGACGTGAATACATGCAAAGGTTGTGGTATTCGGAACAGATTGCAGAAATATCTATCAGTGACCTGCTCGCAGTGAGGGAGGCGGGAAATATCAGGGTGTGCTACCCGCAGATGATGGCTTGAACCCGTCTGGCATCGAGGTTCATGAAAAACAATCCCGCGCCTGGGTCCGATCAATGTCAAAATAATCCCGGCGCGAAGTGGTTAAGGACAACACAATATGAAGGAAGTCTTGAAAAACGTAGAAGGCACAGTGTATAGTATTTTATTTACTTAGTGCATATTTATGAAACAAAAGCATTACTTTCATTGGTCAATGTCCCAGCGTGTTGGGGGAAGTAAAAGCTGCTTCCCCTGTATGTATGCATGCGGGACACACAAACACTTTTGCCCCACTGGTCGGTAGTACCAGAGAAAGAGAACCTCTTAGATTGGCTCCTGGACTCTCAAATTTGATCATAAGTGAGGTTGCTGGTGGTACCATACCTCCCAACAGACAAAGTATTGTCTGTTTTCCTTGGGACAGATTTTTTTTTCGCAGAATTTTCCACACTTCATAATGAACCTAATTTTGAGACGTGTGATGAAACAAATGCAACATGGTTTATTTATGGGAAGGGGCATGAAATGACTGGTCACTCGATGTTGGCTGACTTTGATAACCTCCACGAGGGGACTTATTAAACCCCTTCCTGCCGGGTTTTTACGCCTCACTGCACAGGCTTATACGCATCACTGCACAGTAGCCTCTGCGCAGTAGCAGCAGTAGAGGCACTACACAGTAGCAACTGACCAGCAGCTGCCCATAGATGGCATACCATAGAATACCGGGCCACGGCTATAGCCATCAGCCGGCGAGGAGGGGTTAACAGATGGGTCTATATCATAGAGCTATATTAAATTACTAGAGCGCTAACTCGTCATTCTGCACGCGGAGACTCTTTTAAGCCGTCCTGGGCGCAGACATTTTGAATTCATGTGCGTGTTTGTAGAACATAATGAAATTAGATGGATTGAATTTTGAAAGTGTACTCTCATGCAACGCGCAAGTAGAACATAAGCAAACAACTTAAGCGCGTCATTGACGGTTCAAAAAAACGTGACGGTAAAAATCATCTGCAGTGAATACGCGCACGCATTGCGCTGTTTGCATAGAGCAAAATGACACGCTCATTTGCTGATCGTGCGTTTCGCTTTTGGGCGTATCGGCTTCGATAACGCACCAGTATGGAAACAAATGCAGATATGCAAATAGTCGTACAAAAGCCATACAAAATTTCTAGGTCTCCATTGGTTTGTGCATAAACATGGATGCGCCCAGCAGGCATTACTTTGTACACAAAGTTAGCGCTCTAGTAATTTAATATAGCTCTATGGTCTATATCCACAGTCCTGCATGAATGGTACTTGACAAATTGTTTGTTTCTTTGATTTTTTTTCTCCAATGTTAAGGTGAAGTGGACCCCCGAGAAGCTTCATGATGAGCCCATATTGTTCGGTGACTTTCTGGACTTGAATGCCCCCTCTGTTGACAGAGTTTATCGTCACATCAGCGATTACGATAAGCTGGCCCAGATACTAGAGGAGTACATGGTGCGAGTGGACTATGGCGCAGGCCAGGTATGGAGCAAGAATAAAACAATAAGATTAGGCCCATATCTAGGGCCACTGAATTTCCACCTTAGCTGAACATAGTAGAGAAATATCAGAAGTCATCTTTTGAAATTTAGCTTTTTGTGCGTACACAAAAAATACATACAAGTGGACATTAAATTATATCTTTACACATTTCTAATTCCAAGCATAAGGTACAATTTATGTAAAGTCTTCAGCAAAGTTGTTTGACATCAACTACATGGCACACATGATGAAGGCGGAATTGCATTTTCTTACACAGTTTTAATGCAGTAATGATAAAAATGGAACGTTCGATTTCCTGAAACGGAAAACACATTTTCGAAATTCAAATATTGAATTTCTATAGTATTTACAACACTGAGGTGTACATGTACCTGGGGTAAATAAAAGAATAGGTAAAATCAAGTTTAAATTAATTTATTGTCATTTTAAATTGTTTGCGTCAGGGTTCCCAACTCATCTTCTTCAAGGAGGCGCTAGAGCACATCGTCCGAGCGGCTCGCGTCTTCAACCAGCCCGGGGGTCACATGGTCCTAGTCGGTCTGGATGGGACAGGCAAGGCCAGCACTGCCCAGCTGGCTAGCCATGTCTCTGGCTGTGTGCTGTACCGATTGACTCTGACCCGGGGCTACGGACAGAGCGACTTCAGGGACGATTTAAAGAAAGTGTTCCGGATCGCCGGGGTGCAGGACAGCAACACGGTCTTCTTGCTGACTGACAGTGATATTGTCAAGGTAGGGAGCTGCTTGTTTGTTTGCTTGCTGGGGTGTTTGTTTGTTTGTTTGTTTGTTTGTTTGCTTGCTTGTTCATGATTTCACAGAGTGATCCTGCATGAATCGAGAGTTGTAGAAGAGTCACCCAGTAGTATGGCTTTTACATGCAAGACAGCATGCATGTGTAGAATGCCATGGTCCAACACCATGGTCCAGTGGTTACGGTGTTTGACTCATGTACGAAGGTGTGGGGGTTCGAACCCTGCCAGGAACATGGTGTTTGTGCCCTTGGGCAAGACACTTAACTACAATTGCCTCTCTCTATCGAGGAGTATAAATGGGTACCTGTGAGGAGGACCAATTGAGCGCTGATATCGGCTGCCGCGTGGTCCCATGGTCTGATGAACGGGGTAATAATTGTAAAGCGCTTTGAGATCGTTGATACGATGGAAAGTGCTATATCAGCACAATTATTATTATTATTATTATGTGGGGGGGGGGGGGGCATACTGATTCTGGCATGCATTGTTTGAAGTCAGATGTTGAAGTCGGGACAAAAATGGTCATTCCTCAGACCAGTCAAGTGAATTAAAATTTGCCTTTCATTTTCTTCTTGTTTGATGTAGCCCTCAGACACAAGGTCTGGCAATAGAGTGCAGGAAATACACAAACTGGCCGTGTAAATGTTTTGTCCATGCTTTTAAATCACATCCTTCTAATCCTTGTAGGAAACGTTCTTGGAGGACATTAACTGCGTGCTGAACTCTGGCGAGGTGCCCGACCTGTTTGACAACGACGACCTGGACTCCATCACCATGGACATGAAAAGAGCCGCCGCCGAGGCCGAGATACCGGACACCAGGGAAGCCGTCTACCAGTTTTTCATCCAGGTACAAATACATTGTTTGTGGGGCCTGTTCAAATTCTCGGAAGCCAAACTCTTCAGGAGGCTGCGTTTGAATTACTTGGATGTGGCTGCAATAACATACAATTGAAGACAGCTTTTTAGTTAAACAGGGTGTGTTCCATTTACAAGAGCAATGCAAACGTTGCTTACCTATTTCCCATTGGCTGTGCACAGAAAGATTGAGTGGACCGCACCCCTGATTTTCTTCAAACTGTACTTTGAATCAAGTTGGAGTGCTTGAACACATCTTTTAAGTAGGATCTAATTTTATCTGGGAAGTGTGACCTGGTGGTTAGGGTTCGTGACTCATGATCAGAGGCTGAGGGGTTCGAATCCAGCTGCTGGCCATATGTTGTGTCCTTGGGCAAGCCACTTCACCCCCACTTGCCTCTCTCCACCCAGGAGTATAAATGGGTACCGGCATTAGCTGGGGAGTAACCTGCGATGGACTAGCATCCCATCCAGGGGGAGTAGAAATATTCACCGTTGTTTCATGCTACCGAAACGGGAGAAAAACGCCGGCCTGATGGGCCACATTTGCGCGTGATAGACCTTTACAATTTTAGCTACATGTCATTCTGTTTTGGCTTATAAGCAAAGATTTTAAACAAAAGATAAAATATGACAAGAAGGATGTTGTTAAATTGAACAACATCCTCAGAAGTTGTTTTATAGTGATTCTTTAATTGCTGCCAATGCTGAGTTTGATTGTACTCATTTGTACATATGATTTGGGAGCCAAGGGATTGTTCATCATAGCCAAATATATGTGATAAGATCAAGCTACATGAGTCGTTTGTCGACCCTGGTCAAAAAAAAACCGCATGCTGATACCATTTTTAGTTCAAAAATTATGGAAGTCGGAACACCAAGAGATGTGATGAAGTGGCCCTATTTTGGCCTGTATCTCCACATAACCATTCCCGACAAACAACTCATTTAGTTGGATCGTATCACTTATGGTGTTTTAGTGGTCTTTTACTGTGCAATGCTGGCAATTGAAATATATTGTATTCCTGTGTCTTTACAATGGGTTTTCTTTCTTTGATGTATTGTGTTCAATTAAAATGTTATATGTTTACATTTTTCATCTCATTATTTTTATTGATCCTTTTGTTGGTGTGTTCGATATTGTATCAATAAAATTTTAACAGGAATTAATATTTTGTTCCTGTCTGACAGCGAGTACGTTCACGACTCCATGTTGTCTTAGCAACCAGCCCTGCCGGAGACGCCTTCCGTCAGAGATGTCGGACCCATCCTTCTCTTGTCAACTGCTGTACCTTGGATTGGTTTGATGAGTGGAGCGAGGAGGCCATGCTGCGCGTGGCCCATGTCTATCTGGGACAGGTTGACTTCCAGGGGATCAGTGGTGATCAGGATCCTGTGGTAAGTAGTTTAGGGTCAGTGTGGTGAGCACTGTAGGGTGAGCTTGGTGAACTAGTAGGGACAGGATTGGTTTGATGAGTGAAGTGAGGAGGCCATGCTGCGTGTGGCCCATGTCTGTCTGGGACAGGTTGACTTCCTGCGGATCAGTGGTGATCAGGATCCCGTGGTGAGTAGTGTAGGGTCAGTGTGGTGAGTACTGTAGGTTCAGTGTGGTGAGTACAGTAGAGACAGGATTGGTTTGATGAGTGAAGTGAGGAGGCCATGCTGCGTGTGGCCCATGTCTATCTGGGACAGGTTGACTTCCAGGGGATCAGTGGTGATCAGGATCCTGTGGTGAGTAGTTTAGGGTCACTGTGGTGAGCGCTGTAGGGTGAGCTTGGTGAACTATAGTAGGGACAGGATTGGTTTGATGAGTGGAGCTAGGAAGCCTTGCTGCGCGTGGCCCATGTCTATCTGGGACAGGTTGACTTCCAGGGGATCAGTGGTGATCAGGATCCTGTGGTGAGTAGTGTAGGGTCAGTGTGGTGAGTACTATACTAGCGTGGTGAGTATCATAGAGACAGGATTGGTAAATGAGTGAATTGAACTGTATTCAGGTTAAATCGCAGAGAAGTGTGGTACCAGGATTAAATAGGGTGCAGATTTTACACTGCATGCAGATGTGCATTCCCTGATGAACCGCTGCTCTTAGAACCCCTTTGTGATGTTTCCAAACTATCCCAGAGCTGGCCAACACTTTGCTGTGAACAATCCAGGCCTTTCATTCATTACAACATAATCACAACCATAAAAATGCACACATTCTTGTTCTGCAGTTGTGGGGATATACACTTGTCTGTACGAGGTATTTGTGGGGACCGAAAATCCTGTGGGGACAGCAGAAAGTCCCCATAACTCGATCCTAATTTACCTGACAATAAAAAACTTCCCCATAAGACAGTGTAGGCCTGCACATGACTTTCTGACCATGTGTAACTTTTCAATACCATGCAATACTTAACTTTCTGTCACCGCTTTCCATTTGATTACTTCATCTCATTATGAATGGGCCTTTAACTCTTTCAGTGCCCACGAAATTTGAAAAGTTTAACCCTAAAGTGCCCAACTTTGAGCATTTTTTTTTTATTGTTCAAAATTCTGTAAAAAAAAAAGTAAATAAGTTTTACTTACTAAATTTGTTGTTGTTGCTCTCTGGAATATCCTTGGTACATTGGAAAGTCAAAAGTAGTTACGTGCATAGTGATACACCCTGAAACACTGTCCTGCACACAGGGGAATTCCGCACTTGTACGAGGTTTGGCGATTTTAAGTACGAACATTACCTCGTACATGTACGAGGTTGGCAATTTCGAACTTACAAATATACCTCGTACATGTACGACTTTGGCAATGAAAGAGTTAATGTCAGGAATCTTGTCTTCTTTCATTCAACAGAACCTGAAGGACAACATAGCCCACGTCTGCGTGGACATTCACAAGGACATCACCCATCAGACGGTCAAGTATTATGAGGAGATGAGGAGACATTTCTACATCACACCCAGCAGCTACTTGAATCTTATCCAGCTCTACTCCAACATGCTGAAAGAACAGAAACAGCGTGTCATGGATAGCAAGTAAGTGAAGATGAGATTTGAAGGTTTGCATGGTGGAAAGATACTAAGACAAGATAAGTTTGCGGTAGCACCATGTGAATAAATCTCTTTTTTTTGGTATGTGTGGTTCTGAAAAGAACCGGAACTGAAAAGAACCTTGCTTGCTGAAGAGAAGATGACGATGGTACCAAATACCCTGTAAAATTATTCTGCCTCAAATGGTATCGTTCAGAAGAAAACAATCATTGAAGGTAGTTTAAAAACTGTGTGTCTGTGGGCACACTTTTTTTTACAACCACCTTCAATGTATGCAGCAGGCACTTTAATTAATCACGTTTTTGCCTTTACCAACCCTTTTTTTTACTAACTTTTTTTTTTTTTTTGGCATTCATTGAGACGAGCATCTTTGAAAACCTCATATTGCAGTTAAATGTCAATTACTTCAATATGTCAAAAAAACCCAAGTATTTGGTCTTTTTGTTGATTTCATCCAAACAGTGCCCACAATGTGAGATGCTGTTTCTTGTTGAAAGGAATGTTTTCATTTTTGAGAAAGAATACGTACTCAATGGATTTTACCACGTTAATGTCACATAAGGTCATTTGGAGGCTACTTATACCGTACTAGTCAATTCAATATGTTCCAGTAACTGTTATAAAGAGGTATCCCTTGTGTATTTCTGTTTTTCTTGAAGAAATCGATTGTTTATTGGTCTCTCCAAGCTGTCCGAAGCCAACTCCCTGGTAGATGCCATGCAGGAAGAGTTAGTCAATCTAGGACCTAAGATTGAAGAAAAAGCAAGAGTAAGAACAGATTTTATATGTTTTTAATAACATCTCACCCACAGATTCTGTCGCTTGATTGGCCGAGAGTGTATCACATGGTATTCATTGTTTTTACTCTTTTATCATGAACAGTAAAAAATCTATACAACGGCAGCCTCGCTCTGAAAAGGTACTATACCCTTAGCCAACAATGTAACAAAGTTGGACATTGTTCTTGTCCGTGCTACCTTGGTACTTTGTAATTTGCTATTCAAGTATCATTAAGATGACCCAAAACAAGTTTTTACTTGTTGGCTAGGTAGTTTAAGTAGTCACAATCACTCTTGGAGGACGACTGCATTAAGTTGTGTATCAGAATTATAAAATCATAGATGTCAGATGTAACAGGGACAGGAAAAAGAGTGGACCCAAATTTATGGAATGACCCAGATGGTTGTTTGCGTTGGGCAAATTCCGCATGCTACATAATAGGGTACAAACATTTCATGGAGAGGAAGTTTGGAAAAGTGCAGGTAAATTGTCAACTGACTTCGATTGAAATACAGTTGTCTTGAATTGTGGTTTAGTTCATCAAATATTTCACAGAGCTGCTAAGATTTGAAATTAGCTCAGCACAGAACATTTTTGCTAACCAAAGAGAGGTTACCAGCCAAACTGTCTTGCGATGTATATGGCATGTGACTGGTTCCCAGCTAATTTTTGTTTAGCACAACAATTTGCTAAGCAATGTTTTTTGTCTTGCAGCTCCTTAAAAATTGGACTCCTGATCGGATGAGAACCTCTTGTTTTTAGGTAATATTTGTATACGTAGAGCATTTTGTAAAGTCTGGAGATGTTTTTGTTTGCCTTTGTTGTTCAGGACACAGAATTACTCCTGGAGCAGTTATCCAAAGACCAAGAAGCCGTGGATCAGGTGCGATTCATCGTGCAGCAAGAAGAGGCCACCATGCAAAGAGAAACGCAGATTGTGCAAGACTACGCCGACGTGAGTCATGATTCCTTAGTAGACCTTATGCTTCGCAGGTGTCTCAGAGAGTGTTCTTTGTTGTTTTAATTCAGTAACAATGAATGCACAAACGGTTTACTCATGCCTATCCAAGCGATACAAAATCATTGCCCTCTGATTTCGCCTTAATGCATTGGGTCTATTGTATCCACACAAAGGGAAACCCTTAGAAGTGTTTTTTCTATTTAAAAAGTGATTAGGGGGATTGTGAGGATGTGATTTTGACAGTTAACATCAATGGTCGCATCGGAGACGATACGTATTGGTCATCAAATTTCATATTACACTACACCCTCTGCTGCAAGGCCAATTTGGTCGTTTCATACATTGAACAATCTGCCAATCAATATGCAGGAGGTGTAATTAATATTCATTATTTTCATTATCCCCTACGCACCCATAGCAAGCCCAGCAGGACCTTAGTCTGTCATGACAGGCTTACAGGATTCAGTCACTGCTTTGAACTCCATAGACAAGTCAGACAACTCAAATTAATGAATATGTATGAATGTAATTAATATTCATCATCGTCATAGTCCAATCCACACCCTCGGCAAGCCTAGTAGGACCTTCACTCTGTCATTCCAGCCTTACATGACACCATTGCCGCCTTAAATGACCTAGACAAATCAGACAACTCAAATTAATGAATATGTATGAGTCTAATTAATATTCATCATTCTCATTATCCAATCCGCGCCCACAGCAAGTCAACAAGCAGGACCTTCATCAAGCTGTCATACCAGCCTTACTGCTTTGAATAACTCACTGTTTTGAACTCCATAGACAAGTGTATGTGTATGAGGTCTAATTAATATTTATCATTCTCATTATTCAAACCACGCCAACAGCAAGCATAGCAGGACCCTGAGTCCGCCTTGCCAACCTTTATACCATCACTACCTAGTAGTCCCTAGACAAATCAGATAACATAAATGAATGAATATGTATGAGGTCTAATTAATATTTGTAATTTTCATTATCGAATCTGCGCCAACAGCAAGCCCAGCAGGACCTTCAGTCCGCCATGCCAGCCTTACAAGATGCCATCACTACCTTGTAGTGTCAGATAACTCAAATTAATGAATATGTATGAGGTCTAATTAATATTTATCACTTCATTATGCAATCTACGCCAACAGCAAGCCCAGCAGGACCTTCAGTCCGTCATGCCAGCCTTACAAGATGCCATCGCTGCCTTGGATTCCCTGGACAAGTCAGACATCTCAGAGATCCGTGTCTACACCAACCCACCAGACCTAGTCATGCAGGTCATGGCAGCCGTCTGCGTCTTGCTGCGACACAAGCCAGACTGGAGCACCTCCAAGCATCTACTGGCGGACGCTGGTTTCCTCAAGAGGCTGGTCATGTTTGACAAGAACAGCGTGCCGGACAAGGCAAGAAGTGGGGGAGTGAGGGGGGAGGGGAGGGGGAGGGGGGCTTGAATTGCCACTTGGACAGTTGGACTGCTGGATCAAGTACATTGAGTAGAGCATCTTTGTTGTGCTCCAAGTGGCCTCACCAGGAATACTAAGGGTGCCCCTCACGTATTTGTGCTGAGAAAAATGTTATATTTTGAACTTCCAACCACACTTAAAGAAAAGTCCCTCCAGACTTAACTTCAGAAGTCATCATTTTACATTTCGGCCACCCTAAAGATAGAGTACGGAAGTGTGATGTGTGAGGAAGCTGCCTATGGTGGAACTAGAATCATGTCAAAATTTCATTTGACCTTCCGTTTTGACTTACTCAAAATGTTGCACTGGCAACAGAAAATAGTAAAGGTGGAATTGTGCCTAGCTATCAAGATAATTTCAGAAACTCTGAGAGTGTTGTAGATGGTAAAACTAGACCCACATAAAGACATGGCACATTAATGCACTTAGAATGCCCTTAATGCACCAAATGCTTAAGACAATTCTGACAAATGTGAGGTTTTCTGGCAAAATGAGTCAGTACTAGGCACAGGCCGTAGTGAAGAAAAATGAAAAAAAAACTGAATGTGGTGATTTTTTTCTTCAATTTTCAGGGAAATGTTTGATATTTCTACTGCACATATTTTAAAGAAATAGTATAAAAATCATGGAATAAAAGTGTTTTTAAGAAAAACAAATTTGGCATCTTTCATTTCATGACTACAAAACAGTCGAAAGTTTTACGGCCTTTTTCACAGTATTTTACTTTGTTGACACTTTAAACAGCCATAATGTGTCAACAGAATGTCTGACGTAAGTGCAACAAACAGCATTGTAAGGAGAATTTCATTCTCTTTCCTAATACCAGCACATCCTCATGTCAGCCTCTGCCCACTTGTGCCTCATTTTGCCTAAATGCCTCACAAATATGATAAATTGCTTTGAAGACTTTTAATTGACAAGTTATTCAATGGAGCAGCTTTTTACCTCTGAGGCATTCATGTATTTTGTTTCTTCTTTTGTATTTTTTTCTCAGGTTTATGGCCGACTGAAAAAGTACACCTCCATGCCAGACTTTATCCCAGAGAAGGTGGGCCAGGTGTCGTCAGCTTGTAAATCCATCTGTCAGTGGGTGCTGGCCCTGCAGCATTATGGAGAAGTCTGCAAGGTTTGTAGCTGTAGCCGTGTCTTAGGCCGTGTCTTAGTGACAATTATGCCATTTGCTAACCAAACACTTGCATACTGCAATGGTGGCCGATCATGTATAAACGGGATGGTCACTTTGACGTCATTCTATCGGTCCCTATTAGCGGTTGTTAGGTGCCGTCATGCGAGTACCTGTGATTGATGCGTGTGGCTGGAACATGCAGTGTGGCATTGAAGAGGAATATTTTTGTGAAAAAGTGTGTCTGTATATGAGGCCAAAATGCATTGTAGTTTGTGTGGATCCCCATGTAAACAGAGCAGACTGACCGTGAAAATTGCAATGGATATCTTCTAGGCAAATGCGGGGCGGTCTACTGTAATGTGATCCTTTCTGGTGTATGTTTGCTGTCTTGTAACAAGCTTTATTTTTATAATGACCAGAGTTTTTATCTATGAACACCTCAGATGGTGAAGCCAAAGCAGAAGCGAGTGGAGGAGGCCAAGGAAGCGCTCAGTCTCGCCCAGGAGAGCCTCCAGGAGAAACAGGCCAGCCTCTCCAAGGTAAATGGTAGCATTGTCTCATTCCTTCTAAGTTTTCGGAATAAACGTTCAAGATCTCGCTCAACACATTTTTAAACTTCTTAATTTCGTTTTAAGTTGCGTACCACTTGCTCTCCAACAAAATGGATTTTTTTTCTCCTAACAAATTTTGAAAAACACTACTTTTATTCAGATTTTGGGTATCTGTAGCCCTCTGTGAAAGCACATTTGTTTTTAGCACGAATAACTCCCCTTGCTTAAGCCAAATGTCTGGTAACGGGTAGCTAATCATTCGAATTTTGTAAAGAAATAGTTCATGTAACTAAAGTTCAATGGATTTTTTTTGTTGGATGTCTCATTCAAAAATGAGTAACTTTTATATTGCTAGGGAAATAGCAATTGAAAAAACAATCTATTTTTCAAGGTGAAATTCAAAAATAGCAGGGGGAACGAATTTCAAATTAGTTGGATTTCATAGACAAATAAATCAACTAACCATTCTATATGTTGCATACTCCATGAAGGGATACTGGCTTAAGTCACCATTTATTGTTAGGTAACAATCCTCATTTCTTGTGCAGATTCAAGAACACCTGCAGATGTTGCAGCAGCAGTACGACGACAGCGTGGCACAGCGGGAATCGCTGCGAGAACGCAAGGCACTGACCACGCTGAGACTCAAGAGGGCGTCTGTGCTCATCATGGCACTGGCTGGCGAAAAGGTATTCCAAAGAACAACAAGAAATGTGAATTACATGTACTTACATGTAGCTACAGCAACAGGATGAAAGCAACATGTGTGTCTATAGGCAATGTCTTATGGTTAAGTTGAAATGACGTCACACTTTCAAACTGGATACATTTTCATTTGTATTGTAGGGTTGGGATTACAGGGTTTTGTAAAAAAACAAACATGTAATTTCCACTTTTCTAAGACTAGTAAGATGTCCTAAATATGTAGCGTAATTTTACACGTTCCCACAGTCAGACAGGGGAAGGCATGTTTTTCTGCACAGGTGCCAAAATACTCTGTCTGTTTCGAATAATGGTATTTCTACAGACGTGCCAAAATATTCCACAGATGTCCCATTGCTTACCTGCACTTAGATAATAGCCACTTTTGTAAGGATGTGCAGATAATACTTTAATGCCGTACAGATTGTGATTTAAAACAAATGCATATTCATGACTTCATCAAGGAGCTACCGAAATTGCTTACTTCAATTCTGTGTGCAACTTTTCACACTGACATTGCTTAAGCTCTTCATTTCACCATTTCTTCCTGTCCGTCTTTCAGATCCGCTGGGAAGATTCCATGGTAGACCTGGAGTCCAAACTCATGGGCGTAGTGGGCGACACCCTGGTGTCTGCCGCCAGCATAGCCTACTTGGCCGTCTTCACTGCACCCTACCGCAAGGCCATGATTCAGAAATGGTGGACGGCTTGCAAAGAGAAAGAGATCCCCGTCTCAGAGGGTTACACGTTGGTGGGAGCCATGACTGAGCCAAACACGGTGAGAATTGAGGGAGGGGGAGGGAGGGGTGGGAAGGTGTCTGTACACTTGATACACACACAGTGGTGTAAGTAAACGTAAAGTCTATCACGAGCCCATCAGGCCAGCATTTGTCTCCAGTTTCCTAGGCATAAAATTACCGAGAATACATGTATTCTCTACAGCAAGCACTCCCAATCCTAACAAATCCTACTTAAGGAGTAGCATCTCCAACTATCTTCAGCCTCCTGACGATGACTAGAGCAGGCTAGTCGAAACGTTGAGACCAAAGACAAGTTCGTTTAGAACTTACAGCAGGACTGTTCTTATTAGAACAAAAAACTACTTAGCAAAGTTGATAATAAGCAGGACAACTTCTTTTCAGAACTAAAATCTTCTAAGCAGTAGTTATTACCACATGGTGTTACCGCAAACCGAAACGATACCAATACATGTATTTCTCTTCCCCCTGGATGGGAGGCGCCGCAGCGAATGCCGGTACCCATTTACACTCCTGGGTGGAGAGAGGCAAGTGAGGGTGAAGTGGCTTGCCCAGGGACACAACATATGGCCAGCAGCTGGATTTGAACCCCTCACCCTCTGATCAGGAGTCACAAACCCTAACCACTAGGTCACACTCCCCTCTACACACAGTGTTGTAGAAGAATAATACCAGTAATGACTCTGAATGGCCCAAATACATTTGATATCAGACAGGCATAAAATATCCATTGACTGGACTTTGGAGTCATTTAAAATGACTGTAACGGTAGATTTTTTGATGTAGTTGCTCCTGTTCGAACGTCAAACTTTTCAAGTTATTAATGCAAATCTTCAGAACAGTTTGGTTTGGCACGAATTTGAAATTCCAGTCTGAAACTAACGTAAATTGTGTCTGAAGAAGAAACGACAGTAGCCACATGCCACAAGAACCTAAATTTCTATCCTTGCTCCGATCGACAGGTGCGTAAGTGGCACACTGAGGGCCTACCGCAGGATAGTCACTCGACAGAGAACGCCATCTTTGTCAAGATGGGCCATCGCTGGCCCCTCATGATTGATCCACAGGGACAGGCACACAAGTAAGTTTGACCAAAAAGATTTCATCCTTTTTGGAGTGTCTTTCTAGCATTTTGCATGGAGGCAGTAAACTTAACAATATTGCTCCTTCTAATATTTTCCTCATACAGAAATAGGTAAGATGTATACCTGATTCTTCTACACTTGATTTTTTAAACTAAACGTTCACTGTTTTGTTCAAGGGCAGTGGTCGACTTTGCCATCAATCCAAGAAATGGCTTCGTGATTGACATCTTCCTTGTTTGCAAAGGGGTCATTCCATAAATTTGAGGTCCAATTTTGTTGGTGGCTGTTACATCTGATATAAGATTGTGTAAATTCAGGATGCATTCTTTTTTGCCTTCTATCTCCAAGAGTACCTGCCAGAGAAATAAAAAATAGTTTGAAGTCAATTGTAGTGATACTTGTATGGTAAAATACACAGGTCAGGTGTAACAGAGACACAAAACATGTCACACTTTTGGACCCAACATTTTTGGACTGACCCAAAGACAAGCTGAGAGAGCATATCAGTTTCATTGGCTGGAAAGGGATATAGGGGCCAGACCAAAAGATGAATGCCCAGAGCTAAGAGACACCCACAGTGAAATTAGCTGGTAGAGTGAGCTATGTAATAATCACTGTTCAAGTCGAGACCAGTGTAAAATCATATGCAAGGCAGCAGGCATGCTGAGCTGAGTGGCTGTACTATGTATCGTTCTATCGGGTGACATGGTTGGTGTAGTAGGTAAAGTTCATGCCTCTCACCGCTGAGGCCCGGGTTCGATTCCCGGCTCGGGTCACATGTATGTGAGTAGAGTTGTTCGTTGGTTCTCCCCTGTGCCACGAGGGTTTTTGTCTGGGAACTCCGGTTTTCCTGCCTCATCAAAATCAACACTTTTGATCTTGCTGTGCTCCATGCTAAGCCATGGGCCATAAGGCGGCAGCCTAAAGTGCATTGACATGCCTTTGGCTTGACCACATTGTAGCTACGTCCTTTGCAATTCGGCTTCTGCTGCGAGGAAGGATGATTAGCCCCAGCGTTTATTTATGCATTTATTTATTTATCGACATAATGAGCCAGCTAGTCAAGTTCTCCTCTTGAATCCTGAAGCCCCTCGACGAAAAGGTCATCCCAACATGACCCTGAAAACATCCATCGAGCTAGAAACTGGTCTGAGTGGTCCATCTCTTTCCAACACTATGCTTGACAGGGACAGTTGGGCCCAACTCATCAAGTCATCATGAAAATGAATGAATGAAGAAGAAGAGATTTATGTCTCTTATCCCAAAGAAGTTTCTGTTAACTCCAAAATGTACTTGTTTTTTTTTTCACTCTTTATTCAGATAAATCTCAAGTAACTCAAAAGTTTCAAAAACTTTCTCTTTGTATCCATCAGGTGGATTTGTGAGATGGAAGGCTCAGCCTTAAAGAAAGTTGAAGCTAGCGACCCCAACTACATGAGGACCCTTGAGACATCCATCCGTGTTGGAGAACCAGTGCTGCTGGAGGTAGGTCTCACTGTGGTCTTGGAACCACCAACGGATTCAGGATCAAATGTTTCAGGGGAAGGGAAGGGGCAGGTAAGAAGACAGTGGCACATCCAGGAGTTGATCCGAAAGGTGGTTGACTGACCAGCTAGCTGACTCTTGCAGATCCAACAAACTGTGGGCGAGGAGAGGAGTGGACCTCATTTGATACTGTAGCGTTTGACCAATGGGTTCTAAATGAAGGATGTGAATTTTCCTAGGAGTTTGCCGACAGAGTACTGCAACACAATGACAGACTAAACAACACGCTGACATGGATGAAGAAATGTGACCAGGAGATGGTGCCTCAGTTTTTAACTTTTAATCCTCAACAGATCATTAATAGGTCAATCACATTATAACAATAATTGCTGATTATTTGCACACTGATTCACCTTAATTCAAGCAGGGTAGCTGTCCGTCAAGGGATATTCGGGCTCGAGTCCTTTTTGGAAGTTCCGCAGCGCACAACCGTTCAGCTCCAAGCTAGCACAACAACCACCTTTTTCGCGTGTGCGGTTAACCAACTTTATAATACATTATCCTGCGTCGCTAATCTGCGCATGCGCCCCCGGCCTACTCTCCGGACGGACAGCGCCACATGTGATAATCGCTAAAATACTAGGGGCATTCTTTTTCTTCTTTTTTATGTAGTACATCATTGGAATAAAGTTGGCATCTTTTTTTTCAAAAATGTTATACTTTTCACAAAGAGTCAGCTATTGTTATGGGGAGTTTTTTTTGGTCGCATGAATGTAAAATTGTTTGTATGTGAATAACTATGTCTTTTCTAGGCTTCCAAAGGCATAATTATTTGTGTGGTACTAGACTGAAAAACAATGAAGGAAAGATCGACAAACGACAGGATAGTGTCAGTTATGAGGATTAAAAGTGGCAGCTTTTAAGCGAATAGTTAATGGTGCAATGTTGGTTAATTATTAAGGTGTTGCTTTGAAGTTGCAGTCCTTTTTTTACAGAAAGGCTTTTTTTTTTTTAACAATGGACAAGCTTTATTTCATTTGCTTCAGAACGTGACCGAGATACTGGACCCAGGATTGAGACCCATCCTGATGAAGGAGATCACACGCAAAGGCGGACAAGATGTCATCCGTATAGGAGACACAGAGATTGAGTACAACCAGCACTTCAGGTCAGTGCAGATTAAATCACAAGTCCAGTCACAGATGAATCACAAGTCCAGTCACAAGTGAATCACAAGTCCAGTCACAAGTGAATCACAAGTCCAGTCACAAATGAATCACAAGTCCAGTCACAAGTGAATCACAAGTCCATTCTCAAGTGAATCACAAGTCCAGTCACAAGTGAATCACAAGTCAAGTCAACGTCAAGTCACAAGTATTGGGGGAGGAAAAAATAACAACGTAATGCCTCTGTAATAAATCATGTTTTTAGCTTGTGACTTGATTGTTTGAGATCTATCAAAGTACCTCACTATGCTGCCTTTATTTATTTTTTATTTCTTATTTTAACTGGGTAGCCCATTCAGTGGAATCCGCTGATCTCCCATGGGGCCCAGTAAAAAGAAGACAATGTGAAGAAATTACAGTTTTAGATGTGGGAGGAAAAGCCCAGAGGAATGTTCTGGGGAAAACCCAAAAAATTACTGTTGTAGTCAAGGTACTTGTGATTGTCACAAATACATCTCAAGTCCAGTCACAAGTGAATCACAAGTCCAGTCACAAGTGAATCACAAGTCCAGTCACAAGTGAATCACAAGTCCAGTCACATGTGGATCACAAGTCCAGTCACAAGTCCAGTCACAAGTGAATCTAGGCATGCAACTTTTCCTCGGATCAGCTGATTTCCTCTTTTTTTAGAAAAACACTGTACAAAGTCTGGGGAAAATTTGAATTTCCTCTTTTTTTGTGATTTCCCAGTTGCATGCCTGTTAATCACAAGTCCAGTCACAAGTGAATCACTAGTTCAGTCACAAGTGAATCACAAGTCCAGTCGCAAGTGAATCACAAGTGAATCACAAGTCCAGTCACAAGTGAATCACAAGTCCAGTCACAAGTCCATTCACAAGTGAATCACAAGTCCAGTCACAAGTCCATTCACAAGTGAATCACAAGTCCAGTCACAAGTGAATCACAAGTGAATCACAAGTCCAGTCACAAGTGAATCACAAGCCCAGTCACAAGTGAATCACAAGTCCAGTCACAAGTGAATCACAAGTCCAGTCACAAGTGAATCACAAGTCCAGTCACAAGTGAATCACAAGTCCAGTCACAAGTCCATTCACAAGTGAATCACAAGTCCAGTCACAAGTCCATTCACAAGTAAATCACAAGTCCAGTCACAAGTGAATCACAAGTCCAGTCACAAGTGAATCACAAGCCCAGTCACAAGTGAATCACAAGTCCAGTCACAAGTGAATCACAAGTCCAGTCACAAGTCCATTCACAAGTGAATCACAAGTCCAGTCACAAGTGAATCACAAGTCCAGTCACAAGTCCATTCACAAGTAAATCACAAGTCCAGTCACAAGTGAATCACAAGTGAATCACAAGTCCAGTCACAAGTGAATCACAAGCCCAGTCACAAGTGAATCACAAGTCCAGTCACAAGTGAATCACAAGTCCAGTCACAAGTCCATTCACAAGTGAATCACAAGTCCAGTCACAAGTGAATCACAAGCCCAGTCACAAGTGAATCACAAGTCCAGTCACAAGTCCAGTCACAAGTGAATCACAAGTCCAGTCACAAGTCCATTCACAAGTGAATCACAAGTCCAGTCACAAGTGAATCACAATTTCAGTCACAAATGGATCACAAGTCCAGTCACAAGTGAATCACAAGTCCAGTCACAAGTGAATCACAAGTCAGGTCAACGTCAAGTCACAAGTATTGGGGGAGGAGAAAATAACAAAGTAATGCCTCTGTATTAACAAATTATGTTTATAGCTTGTGACTTGATTGTTTGAGATCTATCAAAGTACCTCGTTATGCTGCCTTTATTTATTTTTTTCTTATTTTAACTGGGTAGCCCATTCAGTGGAATCCGCTGATCTCCCATGGGTCCCAGTAAAGAGAAGACAATGCGAAGAAATTACATTTTTAGATGTGGGAGGAAAAGCCCAGAAGAATGTTCTGGGGAAAACCCACGGAGTCAGGTAGGGGCTGAAAACCCAAACCGCATATTGGCCCAGGCGGGAATCGAACCCGGGTCACAGTGGTGGAAGGCGAGGAAGGTACCGCTAAGCCAACCTGACTCCCCTTTAACCCGTACCCTCTCTGCAATGGGGGTAACATTAGTCACGTCACATTTTATTACCCAAGATGAGTAACAGCTTATGTCGTCCAACATTTCAGTCACAACACATTTTCATGAAAGTTTCCGACTGCATAAGTCTGCTACTTAATAGATACAATGCGGTCATATTAGATGATGTATGAAATTAATAAAACGGAAAACTTCACTCACAAATCTTAGTCATCATAGAGCAAGTAATTGCCGAACTTATCAAGGGTGGTACCAGAACTTCACAGCTTTCACAGGCCTTACTAAAACAAATTTGAGTATGACCTGGATAACACGTGACCAGTTTTTCATCTGAATTTGCAGTAATCCACAGCTTCTTTACAGTGAAACACACCTAAAGCCCGGTTCATACTCAGCGCGAATGCGAAGCGAATTTGATGTCAAGAAACGTTCGCTGCGAAATTCGCCCGAGTTGAAATGTGTTCAACTTTTACAGATTTGCAGCAGCAATACTTGCCATGACGTCACCAATTCGCGTTCGCTTTCGCTTTGGCGCCGAGTATGAACCGGGCTTCAGTATGGGCCCATACATGCAGTGTCCTTCACCCGTCTTTTGGTTTTTTTCACATTTGAAGGGGTACTTGTACAAAGAGCCCATAGTCCTGTTATTCAAAGACCTCTTGTTCTTCCTTCTTCAGGTTGTACATGACAACAACGATGCCCAACCCACACTACCTACCAGCCGTCTGCATCAAAGTCATCCTCATCAACTTCACTGTTACATTTGATGGGCTACAGGACCAGCTGCTCTCAACCGTCGTTCAGCAGGCAAGACACTTTCTCTCTTATCCCATTCTTGTATAGACCATGTCACACCAGTTCACAAAATTTCATGTTGTGGTCATGTTAAGTCGGCTTTCAGCAGAGCAAACTGTTCAAGTCTGCACAGCGTGTCGGCAGTTCCATGGTTTCGGACATACATTTTTTCATTTTTTTTTTCTTCATATTTTTGTCTGGTAATGAAACTAAGGATTCCTCAAAAGTACTCTAAGCACTGTAGCTCGAAAGCCTGAAGAAACCTGTGGAGAGAAGACAATGAGAAGAAATAATAGTTTTAAAGATGGGAGGAAAACACCATAAGAGTATTCTGGGGAAACTCAGGGAATCAGGTAGGGACTGAAAACCCAATTCACACGTGGTCTGGGCAGGAATCGAACCCGGGCTATGGTGGTGGAAGGCGAGGAAAGTAACCAGTGCGCCAACCTGACTTTCTGAATTTTGGACATAATGCTTATTCATAAAGTGGATTTTTATTCTGATAAAACGTATCGGTGAGTTACTACAATGATTTATAAAAAAATGATTCATCCATTTTTTTTTGCTGTTGTAGAAATTGACTCAAAACACCACATGTTGTCAGACTTGCTTATAAAAATTAATTTTTCTGTGTACTTTATAAGTAACAGCCGAACTGTTTAAAAAACATTGTAAGAAACAAACTGTATTTCAATAAAATACATAGCTAACTTTGAAAAAATAAACATGTTTCATTTGTGGCGTTTGGATTTGTTGAAGTTTTGGCATTGAGGCTATAATTCCGTGGAATTGCCCCTGCGTATCCTGTGAACTAAGGGTGGTTTAAATGTGTTGACACTCACTGCTGATTGTGGGCCAATTAACATGTGAAGGATTCTTCGTAGTTTGTTTTGCATGAAGTTGATGACATGCTAGAACAGAATAAATTCAAGACAGCTAGCGGTATTTACTGTTTAACCCTGCGGGCTGCGCAGGGGCTCACGCGCTAGGCACTTTTTTTTTGTTTCTTAACTTTTTTATGAAGCTATCACCCAATTTCCTTGAAACTACATGTAATCCTAAAGTGAACCTTGTGGTTTGAGATGGTATGGTCGCTTTTCTTGTAGGAGTTCACTTGGGGGTCAGCCGCCCCTGGGAAAGTTGGGCCTCCAGCCAAAGCCCATTCACTTGTGCACAAAAGAAGTTCTCTGTGTTTTACATACCGCCGTCACAACAATGTCATCGATCATCCTCTACTGCTGGCCCAGTGACAGCTGTCTAGAGCTACAGAAAGGCTGTCTCGACTGTTTCATGTCCATCTTTTTGGGGGGGGATCCAACATGTAATGGTCGATCCAACATGTAATGGTCGATCCAACATGTAATGGTCACAGTGCATGCAGTGTATATGTACATGACTGTGCTGCCACAATGTCTGTGAGTGACCTACTGGAGGGAAATCAATCTTGTGTGGGTTCGGGTGACCTGCATTCATAATATTTTCACCATTAGAGAAAGGATTGTGTCCACAAAATAGTATTTTATACGCGAAAGCAAAACTGCCTCACGCGTGAGCACCTCAGCTACGCGACGTAAGTTTTTACGCTTTGCAGCTGGCAGGGTTAACACCCACTTTTTTTGCCAATGAAAGATGAAAATGTGCTTAGCAGTAAAACACTTTTTCATTATTTTTGGGGGTGAATTAAGGCCTTGTTTTTCAAAGCAGTTGTGGTAGTTTGCGGCAGAGGACATGCATTTTTTTTACGATACATCACATTCTTATTAATAATTGCGCCCATAGTTAGGTTTTAATTTGTTGGTTTTGCTAAATTAATTATGACTCTGCTGCTTGGTTTTCATTTCTTTGCTTTTCAGGGTATTCCGATTAAAAGGCGCTTAAAGAAAATTTACCAGAAAAACGGAGTAATGCAAAATACCAAGTATTTCCCACAGTTGTAAACTTTAACTTTCTTCGGGTTACATCCACTGAAATTAATGTTGCACCGTGTTTCAAGGCATTTCTACAAGACTCCATTGGCAAAATATACCCTGTGATTAATATATTTGAGGACATAATATTATTATAAATTTCTAGGCTGAAATCCATTAATAACAGGGACAGCAATAAACTAACTCGCAATTCGTAACTGGAGACATTTCAACTAATCTATCACTACCAGTTGAAGGGTATTTATTTTGTCCCAAACATTTGTGTACAATGTGAGGCTTGACCAAACATGCATCTAAATGATTAATTGTAACCCTGACATGTCCTGTTTTAAACAGGTTTTTTTTATTAAATCCAAACCTGTTTTGATGTACATGCAAGTTTTAACAAAGATTTGTGACGACAACATTTTTCATTTTACATTTTAACGAAAATGTTGCTGCTAAATCTGGTGAAGGGAAAATATGGTTTGAATCTTCATCAGCTGGTGGCTGGTTTACTTGTGTCATGATTTTTATAGAGTTGAAGCTGAGTATAGCGGTATTTAGCACTACTAAGCGGGAATATTAATATAAGTTAAGTTTAATATTAAAGAAGCTCAATTTTTCTTACTTCATGCATACCCCTAGTCTATGGAATATCCCATTGCACAGTAAAGGTCTGTAATATGCGAGCAGATTCGGCGATTGATTATGCCAAACAGACTGCGTCTTTACCTCGAGACTCCGACCATTCAGCGGGCGCCTTGTATTGGATCTTCGGTAGCCTGTTTTAAAAGCCAATGTCGGGTTTTTTAGATCAGTATGCCCGCTGTTGTATTACAATAACATCCAAACAAGCATCACATCAAAAGGCATCCAAAAAATGTGTCCTTTTGTTTGCTTTTTATCAATAAAGTGTTTTTTGTAAGGCGGCAGAGCGCTATGCCCCAATCTATAACATATTTAGCTCAAGTTTAAATGGGCCATGTTTTGTCGACCGTAAACTTGAAAAATGGATTCTCCATGGCAAACTCTTGGTGGCGCACTGCATTGTGAATTGCCCAAATTGGCTGTGCTACATGTGCCTCTGATTCAATAGATGTGAAAATATTTCTCATATTTTGGAAATGTCTCAGGGAAATATCAGGGAAAAGTCAGGGAATTGGGTTTTCATAAAGTGCTAGAAATTCTGAAATCGTTTACTTAACCACTTGATTTCTGTTGTGCAGGAGCAACCAGTCTTGGAGCAGCAGCGCGGTGAGCTGTTGGAGAGCATAGCTAGGGATCTGACCATGCTGAGAGATCTAGAAGACAAGTCACTCAGTCTGCTGCAGAAATCCGAAGGTATCCGCCCTACCTTTCATCTCCCATGTTTATTATTATTATTGTTAAATATTTCTGGTAATGAAACCAAGGATTCCTCAAAAGAGCTCTCGGCACCGTAGCTCTCAAAACCTGAAGAAACCTATAGAGAGAACACAATGAGAAGAAACTACGTGTTTGCATTGTTCTGTTCTTTAACATGAAGCATGGAACCAGGTAACTGTCGGGTACCCGCTGAAAAGTTTTGTTAGAATCTGCAAAGAGCATTGTGGGTAATAAAATTTAAAAAATAGGACCAGGTCCGGACCATTTTCGGTTGGGTATTGGGTACCTGTTATCTGTTCCTGCCCTAGAAAAATATACCGACACGTACAGTATGTGTTTGTCATACAAAAATATTAAAATAACAAAAAACAGCTATCCCACATGTTAGTTGTTCAAGATGAAAAAATTCCCACGATCGTGTTCTATTCATAAATCTTTTAATTTACCTCTTTTCATCAGACAAATTAGAACATTGTTTATTAAAATGTTGCAATATATTTCAAATACTTGACTACTGTGAATTCGTTTGTAAAGGAATTGAAGGAGGTTATTGTCAAACCTCTCTCATTGCGCTTATGTGGGGCTACTGTTCCATTCATTCCATAAAAGTTTACTGCCAAGAATTCTCCATTCATTAACAAATAAACCAATTTTTAATTTGTTAATATTTACATTATTATAATGCACCTACTTGGTGATATACCACATATATGCAGACAACATCCCGATTTATCTCGATTTCAATCCATCCAAACCGAACGACGCAGCTTGTGCCCTTTTCAGATTGTCAAATTGCATCACCGATGTGCAGAATTGGATGAACTTGCGAAAATGCGCGCTATAAATCGTGTTATTATTATTATTATTATTATTATTATTTCCCTTTGTGCTTTATTGAAAATTTCTAATAAAAAGTTTGCCGTTTGCATTGCTAATGTTGCTAGCATCGTGACTTTGGTCATGAACCCATGTGTGTATAAAAAAAAAATCGTATTTCAGGAAATGTTTTCTTTTCTCATTCCCTGGAAACATTTTCGAGGGAGTGAGACAAGAAAATATTTCTTGAAACAAGAATGATATTCTTATGTTAAGAAATGTAAGAAAATCATTTTTATCAGTGTACACAGATGGGGTTTACGGATGGGGAACCACCAGTATGCTGGATAGCTCAGTTGATAGAGCATCGGAATGGCAATCCGGAGGTCGCAGGTTCAAGCTCCACTACGGTCAATTTCTTTGTTCAACTTAAAGGGGCACTGGGTCCTGGAATAGCCCAATTGGGCTACAAAACGCGCTTTGAACGAGATGATGATAATCGGAAATAACATTTAAAAGTAGGAAATAAACATCCACACAACTATCCTTTAAAAAACTGGGCGTTTTTGTGTTATTCCTGTATTATGCATGCGACAACGAATTTCGGGGTCCACTTTTGTGACCCCATAAATTTGAGCTGTTTGGATGCTAGTTGTGATTTCATTCGTACAGTGTTCGCCTTTTGCGGACGTTGAAGAAACCACCTTTTTTTTTTTTGCATTGGTCATTGGTCACCGCTGTTCCCGAGACACACAATGTGTGTATCGTACACTGTATGAGAACGACACGAAAAACGTATTTGTACTCCGTCGTGTCCGATGTAAACAACCGGGTTTTTTTCGTCTTTTCTTGGGAATGGTCAGACATTAGGTTGGTTTCCTTTCAACCAGATGTTTGAAACAGGCTAAGTAAACAATCCAAAACATGAAATTTTTCAGGGATTTCAGGACCTTGTGCCCCTTTAAAAAAAAAAAAAAAAAAAAAAAAATCTGATGTTGTTGCTGCTTTGTTGATTCACCAGGTCATATCTTGGATGATCAGGACTTGGTGGATACCCTGGATAAGAGCAAAAGGATGTCACAGGAGGTTCAGAAAAGAGTGGAAGAATCAGAGGAGACACAGCAGAAGATTGATTTGGCTCGCAAGAAATATCTACCGGTGAGAACACTTTGATGAAGTCTTTTTTCTGTACTTCAGGAGCGCAACAAGTCTTAGAGCAGATTTAATGCTGATATGAATTTCCAGAATTGTAAGCACGGCACTGCAGGGGATTAACTTGTCTTTACGGTTGTGACTACTTAACAAAGAACGTGCATTGCGATCACTTCTGAAGTGTGCATTTTTTTTGTCTGAGAGACGCTACTTTTGAACAGAGTTTTAGCTGTGCAGCCTTCACGGTACTGGTTCAATGCTTGCTTGTGTATTAAAGCTACTTTTAGCAGACCGAGTTGCCAGGGTCTGCTGGCCGGTTCAAAGCTCAAATTCCATTTGTGAAGCAAGGGGTAATGATAGGGGGTGGGGGGGGGGGAAAGTGTGGTGATGTGGTACAACATGTGTAAGGGCATAAGTAGACTTTAGGTTGGCATTTGTAAAAACTGACACCTACACCTTGGCCCATCTTTCTGAATCCTGATCCCCTTGCATCCCAAACCCTACCTTCAGCCTCCCTTCCCGCCTTGGACAGCGATCCATGGCAGCTTTGCCGTTCTACTTATACTAATTTTTAACATTTTCAACATGCTCACCAAGGTTGCCACCCGAGGGGCCGTGCTGTATTTTGTCCTTGCCGATCTTGCCGTCATCGACGTCATGTACCAGTTCTCCCTACCCTGGTTCCAAGACATGTTCCGCACCTGCATCAACCTAGCTCACAATGATCCCTCTGACAGCCGGCCATCCTCAGGGGGTGGGAGTGGCAAGCCACTGAGTGGGAGGATCAGACCCTCCAGTGCCAGGAACAGCCCCGACTTAGCCAAGGGTGGCACAGCCGGAAGGGAGTCCCCGCTACCGATGGCTGTCAATCGCTCTCTGCTGAAAGGTCATGAACTGACCAAGCATCTGATGAAGATGGTCGACTATCTCACTGGAAGTATCTACAGGTATATAAATTTGTTTCCTTTTTTTCCTTCTTTTGTTTAATAAAAGGCCATGAAATGGAGTTCACTCTAAAATGTTTTGTGCTTACAAAAAATGTATTTACCAAGCTGATTACTCACATTTTTCCATTCTTCAGAAAAAAACGTAAATTAATTGTGTATGGCTATCATTTTTAGTTGAGGTTGTATTGCTGCTTTAAAAAAAATCTATGAACATTTGGAGTTTTGTTGACAATGAAGAAAGTACAAAATCACAACTCAAAGTAATCCCCTAGTTAAATACTTCCTTTGACGCTGGCCAGATGTTGAATGGCTATTATGGGACATACATGTGTGAAATGCAGCATGGGAATGATACCAGTAGAAAATAAAAGCATGCCGTAAACAGCTAATAAACTGAAGTGATCTTGTGTGGGAAAAGTAAAATAAAAGTGGCCTAACATTTCACTCCTAGCAAAATATCTTTCAGGATTTTAGTTTTGTCAAGCATCAGGGTTTGACTTTAGCGGTAGCCTGCTAGCCAACTGCTAGTCAAAACAGCGACGGGTTAGTCAAACTATTCCTTAGGTAGCCCGGCTGGCGAGTAAAAAATTATTGGGCTCCGGCAAAGATGAAAGGGAAAATAAATCATTAAAGAAATAAATCATTAAATTCAGAAAGCAAACTTGTATCAATTTGTGTCTATAACTATTTGGGGTTAAATTATTAGATCTGTCTATTAAAAGCACTGACAAGATTGCCTCAGGATACACGTTTTTAATATATGTATGTACATTGTTGTTTAAACTCTATAATCGAAAAAAAAAGTTAAGGTCTAATCCTGATATATTCCATAAGCTGTGTTGAAAAATTCATGTAATGGACTTCTGCGAATGGACTGTGCAAGAAAACTATTTTTTGAACAAACACACACTTCTTACCAATACCCTACACTCATGGGCGTCGCCAGGATTTTTTTCTAGAGGGGCAAAGCTCTCCCCAGAAAGCAGCAAAGGGAGAAATCACCGGTCGTGGAAAAATTGAAAGGGGAGGGGGTGCTGGACATCACTCAATGCTTTGTTGAAGACTGCGATACCATGGCCTATTGTGTAGAGCGTGTTTTAGGTCCCTTTCAGTTGGGGACATTTGCCCACCCCACCCCCATTGACACCCCTGCGGACGCCCTTGTTAAATGTGCATTAAATTAACAGCAATATGATTTCGCACTTCGCACCTCATCTTCTTTTTTTCTTCCTTTTTTCCCTCCTTTTTTGTTGTTGTGCTTTTCCGGGGGGGGGGGGGGGGGGGGGGGCCTCCTCACGATGCCCATGCCTACACATTTTGAGGAGGCATATAGAGAAAAAAAGGAGGAGCCGGCTCCTTTTCAAAAAGTTGAAAGGCTGTTTACCTGGGTCAATTTATGTAATAATGAACAATAAAGAGATTGTTTTTATTTTTAAAATTTTTTTTAATGGGTTGCCACACTGAAGAAAATATGGAGCTCTTTATGTCTCATAATGTCGTAGGCTAGATCCTCAAGATCATAAAAACCAATGTGTTGATTGGTCAGAATGCCGATTCTTGGCCAATCTTTAGGTTTCTGGCCTCAGTGGTTACTGTGCAGAACGTACAGTCAAATCCAGCACATTCCAACTTTCTTCCCCGTGTGAAATCCTGTTAAAGAGCATATTCTAAACAGGCCCTACCGGTAGATGTGCACTACTGTGCTTGATGCTGGTTTTTGTTCCTCTTTCTTTTACTGTGCATAGTTGTTGGAACAGTAACGGAGCAGTTTTTATTATATAAGTACTACCGGTAGATAAGACATGAGAGCTTCAGAGGCAATATGAAATACTAATACCAGGATATACAGTGTATACATAGTTGATCTTTTTCCTGAAAATTTGGCATGAAGAAGTACAAGCAAATCACAAGAACTTGGTTGTGAAAATAACTGTCATTTGAATAGACGGCAAGAGACTCGCTCGGGTATCTCAGTGAATTTTCCCCGAATGATGCGGCCGAAAACTTCCCTGAAGTGTGGATGTTTAGCAGCGTATATGATGGGATTCACGCAGCTGTTGGCCAACAAAATGGTGCCAGCAAAGGGTAGAAATCGGCCAGTGTGGGCTAACACTAGGCCCAGGTGATAAGGTAAGATGCACAGTATGAAGAAACAGACTACACAGAAGAGATTCTTTGTCACCTCATTCTGAAGTTTGTTCTGTTTCTGCAGAGCATTTTGGTTAGGAATCTCCGGACTGTTCATTTGTTGCACCCTCTGGGCGTGGGAACGAATGTGGTGAAAGATCCGCGCGTAACTGAAAAAGATCAGGGCAAACTGGACGGGGATGTAAGCAGCAAAGAGTATGAAAACAAAGTTTGGGGAGGAGTCAGATACAATCCACGTACAGGTTGAAAACCTTGGCTCGAAGCCAAGTTTGATGTAGCCGGTTCCCACTGTGATGACGGCTATGAGCAAGGGTACCAACCAAGTTAGGAGGATTGCTAATAGCGTCCGCGGTCGGCTGTACATTTTGAGGTAGCTAGCCTTGCTTTGGGTGACCATAAAGTATCTGTTGAAGGCGATGCTGGCTAAGTTATTGACACTGCATCCCAGACAGACTAGAAGTGCAAAAGCCGCCGATTCACAAAGGATTAAGGGTAGCGGCTACCGGTCCTCATTCAGTCCGGCCACAGCTTGTAGCGGAGCGATGAAAACGCAAGTCACCAAGTCGGCTATGCTCAGGTTGAGCACAAACATGTTTGTCGTGTGGCGAAGTTTCCTGGAGACAGCCACAGCAGTAATGACCAGTGCATTGCCGCATAATCCCAGGACTGAAATGGCAACTCCAACAGCGGCAAAAATCTGCCGCTGAGTGTAGCTGAAGTAGACGGAATCGTCAGACGAAGACGTGCTGTTGCTTTGATCAGCCATTCCTCAAGAAAACGAGAGAGCAATCTGGCACAACATCAAATGAGCAGCATCCCAGAAACAAGTGCCCAGGCTCCAGTGGTGTTTTAAGTGAATTTGTTGTCTGTTTTTTTTCTACTTTGTGTTTCTCATGAAGTAGAGAAGGATCAATATTTGTAGAGTGAAGGCACATTGGTTGTTAGGCAGTCATGCCTTAATAATTAACTATATATAGTGCAATTCTACGGTAACGGAAGGACGTTTTCACTCATTATACAAAATTTCAAATGTGTGTATCACAGACACTGTTATTAGTTACATCATGGAGAAATAAAACACGGTTTCATCAAACAAATGTCACAATTGTATTGCTGTAATGCTACCTTCAATTTCCACACTTTTTGGGGGCATGAATACCTCTCGTTCATGAATTATGAATATTTATGAGGTCGGACACGGAAGGACGGTAAAACGGACAAGGGTTTTCCAACTTACATGTGTTTTGCATAAACTCTGTGAATTTTATGGGGCAATTATATGAAAAACATACTGGTTGAAAGATAGTAAGGGGACTAAACTCCCTGTAAAATTATCCTTTCTGGCAAGCTCTCATTTTGAAGAAATCAACGAACGAAGGCATTTCCAACGGTGCTTCTTAAGAAGCACCGTAGTAAAAATTTAAATTAGTTGTTCGTTTTGTTATTCGGCGCAGCGCGCACAAGCATTGGAACGACGCACAGGCGCACGCGGTTTCTATAATTCGTTGGATCAGTGCGCGACATCGCGTAAAGCTGCAATTCAAAACAATTCGAAACATGATTTAGCAACTTTTGACTTTAAATTGAGATCCTAGAATGCTGTTTTTCTCGGAATATGAAGCTTCAGCTGAGCTGAAACTTCATCAAGTAAGTTGTTCAGTATCCTTCATTAGATTTTGAACACTTTTGTTGCTTCAAACGAACAAAATGCACTATTACTATAAATGATGGACTATAGCTTTAAAAGTTAAAATACACAGTATTTGAACACTTGAGTATATTGGTTTCACCGACAACTTTTAATAATGGGTCCAGTGGTTTACCTAAAGCCTTGGGGGGGGGGGGGGCGACCATCCTACATTTAAGTTAAAAACATCTATCGGTAGACCTGATTGCATCAGAATCAAATTTTTAGGTATTGCTTTTAATTGAACTCTAAATTCAATGTTTGAAATCAAATTATAACAATTTAGAGTACCAGTAGTAACACAGTCCTTCTGATTTGAGGCGTGCGATCACACCCCCACGCCATCACACGCCTAAAAGCTGCCCGAGAAGTGCGAATAATCGCACACCTGAATCCCTCAGTACCGCACACCCCGGCATACATTTACAGCATAAATACTCCATAATTTATGGGGAAAAAAGTATGTCGGTGAAGAGAAAACGGTTTTAATTTGTAAACCAAGACGAATAGTACAAAAAAATACGAGATTGTTCAGTCCCAGCTTGGACCACAGAATCACTCGCCTAGAAAAATCACACGCCTAGATAAATCACACGCCTAGAAAATGCAGGTGTGCCTTTTTCCACACGCCTGTGATTTTCAAATCAGAAGGACTCGGGTAACAATAAATAAATAAACTTTCAAACTGAGGTTGTTAACTTAGGCATAATTTGTAAAAAAAAAAATGCACCTCACATGTCTTACACAAATTGTATGAAACTGTGGAATAGTACTTTCTGCCGTCTCATTTTTGACTCAATTTGCTCCTGGAATGGCTTCTCAGAAATTGTATCTTTCCCTATTGTCCAAATTGAATGGCGATGGCAGCAACTTTATGATATGATTTTCTGCAACCACTCCATACATGTACGAGTACATAGACATACATACATGTACCGTATATATATATGTATGTTGTACATGCCTGTGCCATCCTTTGTAATGAACACCTTGCCCTGCTCATACCACCTTTGTGAAGGTGGGTCACATCAATGTCCTTTTAATGCTCATTATACATGCATGTATTTGCAGTGATTTTCATTTTTCAAACATGAGCACAAATGTTGTAACATTTGATAAAAATAACATTTGTCCTTCCGTTACCGTCCTTCCGTTACCAGTTTGG